CTGAAGGGGCTCCACTCCATGTAAATCCTGATGTGTTTTTGATATCTAAAACAGCATTATACCCTGATTTGAGCTACAAGGTATTGAATCTATGTGACATAATCATGTGACTGATAACATACCGATTGTCACTTAGTCTTACAAACACTAGCTGTCTTCTCAGCACCACTTCCATTTGGGAATCTCTCCTTCAGTAAGTTTTCAGCTGCAGTAAGTGTTGGAGTCTTGAAATTTCCATCGCCACTCACAGAAAACTGAGACAATAGAAAGTCGACAAAAACAGCTTCTTCATCTGATATCCAGGTAGTGCTGCCGTGGTCCGGTTCGGTCAGGTTCACAGAGGGATGAGCGAGAACCAAGAACCGGACCTAGGTCCAGTTCTACCAGACTCGACAAACCCCGAACTGGACCTTTACGAACAGTTTGGAATGGTCAGGTCCGGTTATTTTCACGTTCGAACGTGAACTGAACCCGATTTTTTTTACAGTGAGCAAAAAAAAAATGTACATATTTTACAGCGCACAAAAAAACGTAGATAGAACTTGTACTCGTAGCTACACATCCAACATGGCTGCTTCTGCCTCAACCTTTGCAGAAACATGGCCATTCTTGTATGCTGCCTTCAATAGCTGCAGCGAGCTGAATGTGGATGCTGCAAGTCCATTGCGTCGAACAGTAGAAGTGATCCCTCCGCTCGAAAAAGCCTGTTCGGAGGGGACAGAGCTTCCTTGAATGGGCAAGTAGTCTCGTGCAATGCGTGCTAGAGTAGGATACTGCAATGAGTGAAGCTAAGGAACCATTTAAGTAGCAAATAAACAGGTCATGATGAGATTACTTACGCCCCACCAGGCAACAATGTTGTCAGCTTGCTCTAGCGGCGAAGACAGATACATCGTGAGTTCTTGATGAGGATTATGAGCGCGTTGGTCTGCGGCTTGATGGGTTTTGATGGCCTCGCGCATCCACGCGTCACCGTACCGATTTTCATGCAAGGGTCTTGTTGGCGGAGCAGGTTCTTTGGCAGGTGCCCGAGTTGGCGGTTTATAATACTTGTCAAACTATAAACATAAGTTCAGGAATGCAAACGGATCGTCGAGAACCAGCTATAACTGGCACTGGTTTGCAACCTGTGAGAGTAGGCGCAGAGGAAGGAGTAGATAGTGGGACAGTATCATCAGGATCATGATAAAAGATGATGTCCTTAGCATCCTTAAGAAATCCATCAGTATTGAGGGCGCATGCGTCAGATTCAGACATGATGATGAGTGAACTCACCTGGTGCTTGCTCCTTTTAACTGCTAACAAAGTGAACAACCGCTCTCCAAGGCCATATACATTGGAGGGTCGCGAAAACAGCCCATTCGAGAGCCGGGGGTGCGGGATGCGAGCCTCCGGAAAGAATTCAAAGTCGTCGCAAATCCTGAGGATCCCAATGACCATGGGGGCAGAAGTTGAAGTTGAGTCGAAGTCGAAGTGACCATTACTAGTAGTGTGTGCCTCACCGATAACATGAGGATGCTGCGGTTCGGGGTTCGGAACGGTTCGGGAAGGTCTGAACCTATGTCCAAACCGTTCGGGTGATGGTGGACCGCGAACCTCTTTCAGGTCCGGTCCGTCCAAAACTTGGAACCATGGACTGAACCAAGGACGAACCGGACCACAGCAGCACTATGTCCAGGAGGCAGCAGGCTTTCTTTTGCCCTTCTTCAATTCCACTTGGTCAATGGTACCATGAGAATGAAGAGAATGAGTAGATTTGTCACTGTTGATCGATTCACTGGATGACATGGCGGTAGGTAAGCAAGGTGCGCTGACAGCACTGCATAATCTGCAATGATGTGATCCGGCATCTCCTAGACCATCATGTGACTTGATTCAGAATTTTGAATTCGCAATTATTTGTTGTCCAGACTGTGCCTAAGTTTTACATAAATCGCTTCTGGATATCAATTGTCTCTCAGCGAGCCGGCTTCAAGCCACGCTCCTACCCAGCAGACGTTTCGAGGGTGGGGGTCCCATCTAGTACAGTAGTAGATAATCAAATAGAGCAATTTTTCTCATCTACCATAATTCAAACACCGAACTTCTCCCTCCACCCTCTCAACGACCGCTGGCGCAAAACACAAGAAAACAAGTAAAGCCACAGGTCCTCCGCACCTGTGGACCAATTCACGCTTGAGCCAATTTGGCAAGTGTATAGAGTTGTCTGCGCTGTTATCAATTCGCTAAGTATGACCGTTACACATGCACATGGGTACTTTGTATCCTGCAAACACTCATGGAACTCATTGAGAGGGTGGAGGGAGAAGTTTGGTGTTTGAATTATGGTAGATGAGAAAAAAATGCTCTATTTGATTATCTACTACTGTATTAGATGGGACCCCCACCCTTGAAATGTCTGTTGGGTAGGAGCGTGGCTTCAAGCCTTGTATTGGTCCTGTGTAGCGGAGAGTTGACTCATCCAGTGTTTCAGCACAGGCTTACATTACGTTCATGACTAAGGTATAGTGTCATTGCATGGACAAAGAACAAGTGCCAAATTATTACCGTATGCATCTTAGCTGACGCATTCTTGCAGTTGATCCCGTCTTGAGCATACCTATGCTTTTGATGATGGAGCTATCCTATTTGTTGGATACAGGACCTTATCTGCATCAACCGAGTCACCACTAAGTATTACAAATATCGAGCACTGATGCAGTGACTACTAGTATTGGCCCCTCCATGATGCATGACGTGGACCAAATGCCGAACGGCGTGTAGTACTATTAAAGGTTGTTCGAATGGAGTCTCTTTAAATCTGCAAGCTTTCCCAATCATCATGAAGAAGTCATTACTCGCATCTGTGATTGATCAATGGTCGGTGGTGCCCCCAGTGGAGACGGCTGATCTATCTGGAAAAACAGTTCTTGTCGTCGGTGCCAATGTGGGCATTGGATTCGAGGCATCAAAACACTTTGCCCGTATGCAACCAGCGCGGTTGATAATTGCCTGCCGTAACGAGGCCAAGGGGAAGGTCGCTTTGGCTGGTATGTATGATCGTTTAGTATAAACCCGATGTGAGACGATTGACTTCTATCTTTTGAACTTAGAAATTGAACGAGAGACCGGATACAATGGATGCGAGCTCTGGATAGTCGACCTTGCAAATTTTGCATCAGTCACCACATTTTCTGATAAATTCAAGAGGGAGGGCGGTGATTTGCATATCCTTGTCATGAACGCAGCAATCGTGCAGCTCGTTTACCAGCCCACCGCTGATGGCTGGGAGTCCGTGTTGGTCTATTGCACTTTTTCTGCGCGTTGTTATGACTCATATCCGCCCTTCAGACTACAAGTCAATCATCTTGCAACGTCACTTCTTTCTTTGCTCCTCATTCCGCAATTAGTCGCTGCGGGGGAAAAGTCTTCAACACCTTCACGGATAGTAATTGTGTCCAGTGATCTTCACTACTGGATCACGCCCGCGAAAGAGGTCGAGGCTTCCACGACACCACTTGAAACGCTGAGCAACGAAGAGTGGTGTATACCTGAGTAAGCAAACAAACAAAGCTTCATCTTCGTAGGAATTCCTCACGTTCAACATCTCTCAGGCACATGCAATCCCGGTATAATGAATCAAAGCGTACGTGCCTCCTATCTTTGTTTCCTGTTTTAATCTGACCCATACCCAGTGTTGAATGTTCTCTTCGTTCGTGCCTTGACGGACAGGTTGCAGTCTATCACACCACTCAGCGCTGTGGCCGTGAACCCAGGATACTGTTATTCACAATTACGGCGTGACTGGTACAAGAAACCGACCTTTTCATTTGCCAGAATAGCGGTCGCTCTCAATGAACGTCTCCTGGCGTGGACGGCTGAACAAGGTAGCCGTCAGCTTGTATTTGCTGCGGTGGGCGGACGAGACAATGAAGACAATATGAAAGCCGGGTACGTAAACCTTGGCCGCCTCATAGAGGTCGCCGATTTCGTGCTGAGCGACGAGGGTCGTAAATTTCAGAACACTGTTTGGGTAAGAGTCCAAGTCCACTGATTCGTCTATCATCCATGGCTGACGTTTCTGATATTTTCTATCAGAATGAGACTATAGACATTCTGAACGGCGTTTCTGACAAGATTGCTCCAATAGTTCAAGATTATCTCGTCGTACCTGATTCGTCCATAAACTGACATGCGATGTATCTGCAGAACAGTATGTACCTTTTGCTATCTTGTTCTGTATACTTTACATTGTCGACTCCCATGATTTCATCTCCTTAATGCCAGGAACCGTACAGTTGCAGTCCTAGTATTACAAGAAATATTCAGATTGAGGTGTTTATTTGTGGTTCGTAGGTTTCAGGCAACCCAATTTCGGGCTAGATTTTGGCTCATTAGAGACATTTGTCCACCCAGATCGTTACAAGCCCAAGCAACAGGTCTGTAAGGCAAAGGACGACCCATCTCATGCGCCTCTCTCCACTATGGGGATCGGGCAGACCCTTCCATTGCTGAAATAAAGCACGCAAAATATTTCTTTCTTCACTGATTTCATAACTGGATTCCGGATCAGCCGCATCTTGATTCATAGAGTGCTGATGTTGGCAGGTATCAACATATCACCGGGGTAGACAGAGCACAACTCAATAACTTTTCTCATAACACGCGTTGAAGCCGGCTCTCTGGTAACTGAGCAGGATGCAATTTGTGAAGCTCCGAGAGAACGGCTGAAACAGGGTGATTGGAAATAAATTCTACTTCTGCTCGTAGATGGCTCGAATTCAAGACCATGTATTCCGTTCACACAGGATTCGACGCGTCAGAGTTCCATACATGAATTCGTGGAAGGTATATCTGTGAACGCGACGATCATCTTGCACGTTGCCGCCTTTCAAAAGAACATAGAGTGTTCAATGCCAGCACGAATAATAACACACAACGTGTATTCCGAGTTCTAGCTACCTCCAACTCAAACTTGTCTTTCGGAAACGCAGAAGAGAGCGCTCGAATAACAGTACAATCCGGCGGCAAAATACCTGAGCCCCAATCCGATCATATACCTATAAAAATATCAAACATAATTTGTGCCATGACAGTATAAGGTCAGACGGACTTTGTGGTAACCTCCTTCAGCTGGTTTCTCCAGCTTGCAAGTGCGTCAAAAATAACGATCTACGACCAATTAACGTAGTTCATCAAGCCTGATTGAATCCGGTTCGCCTTTTCCAAAGTATGGAAATGTAGATATTCGATTATCATCGCTTGACGCTCATGTCATGGTGGTGGATCATGATATTGGTGAATCAGAATGTGCAAGCAAGGTATGGCCGCCGGTCGGCACATGAGGTCGTCAGATTCAAGCGGAGTTTAGATAACAAAGCCTGTCTGCTGCTCATTACACAACAGTGACAACACCCGATGCCCTCCAAGCTTTCAACCCTCAGGTTAGAACATCAACTTGACCTACAGGTCAAGCAAGCTTTCTGCCGATTGGCAGGCGACAATCCTCAAATACTGCGATCAAGTATTTTGATGCCACTTACCGACGGAGAGGATCAACAAAATGAACATGTGACGATTCGAGTACATTGTTACCAGTTCATTTTGTTGTGACTGTGCCGATATTTCCAAGGAAGTTAAGAACGTCCTCATCCGATGGCGAGCGAGAGCACTGTCATCAATAACCGCTTTTTACTACGGCGGTTTGTCGAGTCGTATTGGTTTTCCGGTAGAGCGAACAGCTCTTGGGGTTCCCATCGAATATTGCCGAAGATAGCAGAGGAGAAAGTTGGTCAAGCAAGCAAAGTTCAATTATATGCAAGATCTCGAAGAACCCATCTTCGTCAGTTCGAACTGTTTTTCTTCGCTTTCACCCCATCTCCCAACACTGCCAGTGCAACCACTGCTCACTAGCATCAAGTACCAAGTACTGGTGATCCCTCCGGGTGCATTTACCAGTGCATCACTGTGATAGCTGATTAATGATTCTCGATCGATTGCTCTAGTAATCGTTATCTCGCAGTCGACTGGGATACCAAATTCGTGTTCTTGCATTCATACAATATTGGTACAATACTACACAAATCTATCGTGAACCGGATTGCGCTTTCTTTGACTGCACATGCACATTTCAATTGCTGGCTTGTTCGATCTCCTGTCTCCACCGCTTCTGGATATCAATCGTCTCTCGGAATATCTTGTATTTGGCATCTAACAGTTTCTTCACTTTCGATGAAGCACTAGGAGCCACGAGGGTTCCAGTGGGTGTCATTTCGACCTGAATGACAATCAGTATCTACTACGCTCGATAGATTACATAGGATGTCTTACCATAATCTTCCACATGTCTTCTCCGTCCTTGACACCCTCTGCTGCAATCCTTCCCAACATCGCTGCACCGAGAACCACAGCCTCGGAATGTGACTTGGGCAGGATGACGGGGATGTCACACGTGTCCGCAAAGAGCTGCATCATCACCACATTCTTTGCCTGTCCACCGGACATATACAGAGACGTGATGTCATGACCTGCTGTGTTGAGAGCCTCGACGATGTGGCGTGTTTGAAGTGCGATAGCCTCAAGTGTTAGGTAGTACTTGCGAGCGAGGTCAGCGATAGATGATTCCTAGCTCACACTTCAGCTGAAGTTCAAATCTTAAGCAAAGCAGTGACTTACCAGCTCAAGACCGACAATGGAACCTCTCATTCGAGGGTCGGCAATCGGAGACCTGTTTCCTGCGATAGAGGTCAGCAAGATATTAAAACGAAATGTAGCTCATCTCACCATGGAAATCGGGGTAGAAGTGTATATGCTTCGTGAGCTCCGTGTAGGTATCGACATGATTCTCGTGGCGCAATTTTTCGAGGACGTCCAGCAGGACTATAGACAAACGGTTAGAACACAACTCAGTACATCGCTCCAAAGTGAAGAGATACACGAACCAGTATGAATAGCCTTTCCCTCTTGTTTTGCACGTTCCTTGAGTTCAGAATACGCAGTATGAGTGGTGATGATGAAGTCAATAAGTTGTCCCGTGGACGACTGGCCCCCTTCATTCATCCACCAGCCAGGGAAAGTTGCATCCTGTGAAAATGTACCATCAGAGAATCGATTGATATGCGGGATGACAGTGAAATACCTTATATGGGCCCCATACACCCTTTACGAAGACACCTTCTCGACTCTGGAATGGCGTGTTCGTCAGTATAAAGATGATATGTGCAAGTAACTTACCTGAACAAGATGACAAGTGCTAGTTCCGGCAACAGCGGCCAAACGGTGCCGAGACTCGTCGAGAGAGGGAAGTACGGTTGAGAGCTGACCATTCTCCGTGTATCGAGCGGCAACCGTGCCCATCCAGCCAGCATATCTAGCACGACACAGGAGCATCTACATCAAAGTAGACACACTGATGTAATATAACGTACGCGTCGATCAGGCCGCTTCCTACAGCAGTGCCTTCCACAAGTCCAAGTTCTTCAGCGGCCTGTTTAGTCAGGCCTTGGCCGACTGGGCTTCCAGCAGCCTGTACTCTGCCATGAGCAGTGCCCATCTGCCTCCAGTTGCCATCATCGATGAGTTCACCGAGACCAATGCGTTCAAAGAAGTCCGGCTGCCAGCCTTTGTCAGGAACAAAAGAGCATTTGCACGTAGTCGAACAATATGAGCGTGTGTTATCTCCGGTTGCTTTATATGTGAAGAAATCGGGAAGGTCAAAAAATTGGCATCGGGTGAATAGGGCAGGGTCCATGTGCTTCTTAAGCCAAAGAATCTTGGGCACCTCCATCTCAAGCTGCTCGCAAAGTAGAATTAGCAAGATATCACCGGATTAATAGCTGATACATACACTCATAGTTCCGCCAACATAATTCAAGACAATCGACCCAGTGGAGTTGATAAGTTCAGCCTCCTTCTCAGCGCGATGGTCTGCCCATAGAATGATGTTCCGATCACCATTCTTTCCGAGATCGTTGCCTTTGGTTACTGTTATCGGCGTCGCGTTAAAATCTGACACGGCGAGAGAGCAGGTGGCATCGAAGCCAAGCCCCTTGACCTGCAGTCGCGGGGATGTTAGACTCCTTCAACACTTCCTTCACCGCGGTACAGATCTGCTCCCAGATATTGTTCGTTGATTGCTCAAAGATGCGGTGATCGTGCTGATCGCGCCAGGTGATGGTGTCCTTTGTGGAGGACGCTTTGATCTCGCCATTTTGCGCGACGAGAGAGGCACGAGCAGAGCCAGTGCCGACATCGATCCCGATGAAGTAGGTGTCACTTCCCATTGCAACGGGCGGGACTATAGGAATATTAATGGTGGTGGTCAGAGAAGGAAACGAATGATTGAATCGAAACGCTAGTAGAAATCCTAATACATATGTAGTACGACATTGGAGTCTACACGTTATTCGGTAGCCGGCACGGGACATCCAATGTGATCACTGATCATGATGCCACAATTGCCCTGTTCTATGTAGTTATGTAGTTCCATAGCTAACAGTATATATAAGCCATAGGAACCTGCTTTTCCCCCGAGTGTCAACCAAGTCAACTTTCTGTGTGAACTACGGTACGCCACAGCAGATCACAAGTGAAACTGGGGCGTTCAAAGATCGTCGTTACCGAGAAAGCCTGCATCTTATCTACACCTTGGTTTTCACAAGACCATATATTTGATTTACCTCTGGACTGGTTAACAAAAAAACCCAGTACGTGCACGATCCGATCTGATTGATTCTGATTGATCAATTTATTTCAGTGATCACGCGCTCAGACTCCATGGCTCCAACGCTCGCGGTCCGCTAGCCAATGGTTTCCATAACGTACTTTCAGATCCGGAGTGCCGCTTCATAAGCTGCATGAGTGCACGCTTCCTCCCAGTGATACGTCGCCACGCTCAGGATCGGGATCTTGCAGCTTGCGATTGAATCGAACGAGGTCAGGTAGCAATTTATAAAGCTTGACCATTTCCTGCGTGTCCTCGTCTGTTTGAAGCTGTATGAAATCCGCGCAGGACTCCGTGCCAAAATCTGGGGTCACGTCTGTTACAGTGATCGGAAAGTTCCGCGGTGGTCAAAGTATGCATCATCGCAACCACCCTGCCGTCTACGTCAAAGCCACCGTGATCACGTATCCCGCCATCTGTGTCAACCCGTCATGCCAATCTCGACATCCTTGTCAGCCGCCATGATCCTAGGGAGGACATGGGAACCGTAGACTGGGAGTTGCAGACAACGATATGGTGTTGGCAGGCGGGTAGGAAATATGCAAACACAAAGGAAGTGGTAGACAGGTAGGCAAGCGTGAGAGACGCGCAGGGATTAGGAGAGATGGAGGTCAAGATCCTGATGGCAGACAAGGCGGAATGACAGTGACATCGTGCGGTGGCCTTGACAGAGCTTCTGGTACTTTCTGAATACGACCAACTGTAAGCATGCCGGTTTACCTGAGTTCCCATAATCAGCATATACACCGTCGCTGACACTGAAAGCTAAGCTTTTGGTATGTCACCTTTTGATGTAACGGTTATGCGCGGGCGGCGGTCTGAACCAAGTTACACCAACCCACTGATAGGACACAATTCTGCATGCAGTCTGCATAGACCTCACGCGGACCAGCCAGATCCTGGACTTTCTGTAAACCACATCCTCGTATTGTTGGATTTGGTGACAGCCGAAGGGAAGTTTTGGAGGTGGTTAGGTCTTGAGTATGGACAGTTGACAGAATTTACGCTAATCATCATGTCCTTGTATAAAACTTGGACGTACCTACTCTTTCATTGCTGCCGCTTGGAAGACATCATATCTTGTTACTTTCCCGACCAGCGGTGACTGTGGTCGTCTCGATGGGTTCGAATGACTGGGGCACTCGGTGTGGGCACAAGACAAACTACAGCAAATCCGACAGTTGTTTCACTTGATTACCTCATTAAGAGATGCTCTATCAATTCGGTGAGCTCGTTGTCGAGTCCGTTGTTGCAAAAGATTGTGATGTCGTACTTTATATGCGAGCCGTTCTCAGTGATGAACATACGCTCGTTGGGTGGGGGTGGGCTATATGGATGATATGCCAAAACCAGTCAAGATTTGGCCAGCAGGAGGACACGCGCTGGATGGAATAATTGCACGAATGGGCTGGAGATGGGACCAGTTGGATGGTTACGAACATGATATACAACTAAACATTGGCTAAACACGATGTATGCGAGACAGAAAAAACAGCAAAGGATGCAGGGAAGAGCGCTGAGCAGGGGCAAGTAAGTGGTCACTGATCATCCAAGAGGTCCATGTCGTTATGGATTTGCCGGACAGGTGGTTTCCTTCATATTGGCGAGCTGTGACAACATATGAGCATATCCTAGAAGCAGTAGAGGACCCTGTAGAGTTTTATACCCTTCCTATCAATAACTTTGATGCAGAGCATTAGTTGGAGGATATGATAGATGCCAGAACATGGGGGTCAAACCTGAGTAGCGTCCTTGGCTTCATTATAACGGTGCAACAGGCTTATATGTCTTGATACGATAGCCTCAGCGCTCTCGTCCTCACTATATAAATTAGTTCGAGGGGTCAGCACGTTCCGTCTGAGTCAATTATCTGCTCCAACCCTATTCCTCTTCTGTAGGACGTCAATTTCTGCCTGAAGTTTATCGGTGTATTCCTTTTGTTTCTATAAACAAATTTGAACACACTTTTTATATGAGGCCGACTTGAAATATGACATACCTTGGCAGACGTCGCGGCATGCATGATTTCTGTTCTCCTGCAAAATGACGAGTATGTAGAACTTTGGAATTGACGGCGGGAATAACGGCGGGAATAATGGCGGTTGTTGTGGTCTTGTTTGTGCATCTGGGTCCATCTTGTGACTGCTTAGGGTGACATCGCGTTACCACTGTCAGATTTCCTGCTTTCGCGCTATCATACAGATTATTCTGATCGATTAAATTCTTGCTCGACCTCTCTGTCAAGGCAGATGTTCTATTTCTGGAGGGATACGAGGCGCTATTCTTGCGATACGCAAGCCCCAACAGGAATACTTTGCTCAGGAAAGGTTTCTGAATGACACCTTTGAGGCGAATCAACTAAGGGACAACTTGAATTCCTTGTCGCCAGCACGTGTATGTGAAACATGTGCTTTACCCACAAAGTTCCCCAGATTTCCTCGCTATCCTTTTCGGAAACAACAGCGACAGAAGAAAAAATCATACTAGGCTCTGCATCATGTGAAGCTCCGCAAGAACTTTCCAAAGAACTTCAGGGAAGGTCTCGTTTTTCGATCGCTTCAAGAGGCTTTGGGGATATCTGGAAGTGCTATTTGGTAGAGCGCAGTCGGACTGTTCAGGTAGGTCTACATCATTTTCAGCGAATGATATTGAACGTAGTGCAAGTGGCCGTGAAGAGCATTCATTCATTCGAATTGTGTAGTGATGCTGTTGGAAGAAGCCGCAGGCAATGCCCTTCTGTATGACTTGTCAATATATCTAATCATGAACTCCGCTCAGAGAGTGCGTGATGATCTCAAAGAGCGAGCTCTTAGACATGATAGTCTGAGTATCCTTCCACTCTGGGGAGTGGCAAATAAATTTAGGCCTTACCTCGCAGTGGTTTGCCCATGGGTGCTCTTGCCGGGCTATCTTGAGCGCCAACATGACCTCTTGTCATTTTAAGATAGGTTCTCTCTCGTAAGCTCTTTTCGCATGTCTCTAGAAACGTACTGAGTCTGTTGACCTTGTTAACTGAGAAAAGTTGCCCTCGGATTGTAATACCGTGGGTCCTTTTACGGCAACCAAGTTTTTAGTTTCTAGTGAGTAATCTTCTTCCTGATCACTATCCCGAGCTGAATCGTATACGGGGGGAAATGTACTGTTTGTCTTCAGAGCTAAACCCCAAGTCTCCTGACCGGATTCCACAGCAGCCCTTGCCATTCTTATTCCCTGATTTTCCATTGTTTGATGACGAGTTAATCTAGGTTAGTGAATTCTTCCACAGTCTTACTATTGGCTATACCACCAGCGTGATTACGCGGTTTTGAACTGAATCTATCCATTAGCAGCTTTTCAAAAACCGATTCTGCAGATAAGAAATCGTCCTTGAAGTACCCTGTACATAAATTCGCATTTAGGATCTGCAAGTGGTATATATCCAGGTGTTAACACCTAGGTGGCAATATATTACCTGCGAGGTGCATTTTGTAATATCTTGGGTCAATGCCAACTCGAGCACGAACCAAATATCGCATGCCCCAGAATGAGGCGCTTGCCTGGGACACGATAGTTTTGCCATGAGCCAGAGCTTGATCCGCACCAGCTATCAAAATCAAAACTTGCCGCCAAGTAAAATCTTCCTTGCACGAAGCAGGAAACTAAACAATATAATACCCACATTTTTATGCTTCCGCACAGGGTCGCGACGCATCTCTGCAAGAAACTGCGTCCGGCGATGGTCCCAGGACGAACGGACTTAGGATAGAAAATCCAACTTCTAAAGGTTAAAGTCACATACAGGAGGTGCCTGACTGAAACCCTCCCACTTTGTAGAATCGAGGATATGTAAAAGGATTGTCATATGGTCATTGAGTACGCTGTCGAAAGTAACCCCAAAACAAAGCCACTGTGAGTCGCCGATCAAAAAGACTGAAGTTTGTCCATCAAAATCGCCCACTCAAGCACAGTCACACCTTTCTTCAACACCTCCTCCTTCATCTCCCTGTCTCTCGTTTCCTCTCGCAATCGGGCAAATGCACGTAGGTGTTCCTCGCGCCGAATTCCGAGACTAGCAAGTATAGGCGCTATATGAAGTAACGTCGGTTCGCAAGACGAAAGCACCGTTTCAACCGATGATGTAGAGGTTGAACGAACGCCCATCACGGGCGGAGAAGGCCAGCTTCTACTAGGAAGGCTACGTGGAGGTGAGGTGCTGTTACTATTGGTACTCCTAGACGGTGTTGGTTCTAGCGAAAAAGTAGCTGGTGATTGCGGTTGTAGTGATGAGGTTTTGACATGCTTAGATAGAGCTTTGAGTTCAGCCATCGTGTATATCCGTTCAGAACGTGTCGGGCTTGGAGGACTACCCTGTTTATCGCGTCTTCCTTTCTTCCCCTGAGGTAAAAAGTTGGCATTGAGATCAGACGGTGTGTATAATCTCTCCGAGCGATATGTCTGAGAAGCACTCGAGCGGCTTCTTCTCAGTCCTGATTTCAGGTTCTGTAGGTTCTGGTGGTCAACATCATGTTCAATTTGATGACGCATCGAAGCACAGACCTCTATATCTCTGGGCATTGGCGGCGACTTGCTTCGCCACTCCTGGGTCCGTTGGGCAGTATCAGCGACATTATTTCCGACCACGTTCCCAAATTCATCCTTCTCGTTTCTCGCAACATCTTCCCTCCACATCGAAACTTTCGTTCCGCGTTCGATGACTTTCGATCTTGCCTGATGCCCATGACGCTTTATAGTGCCTCCATTCTGATGCCCCTTGTCCATTGAATGTACGGTCTCTTGATCGTTAAGCCCCGCATCGAGCACGCGCCTCGCAAGCTCCTCGGCGTAAAGGTAATCTTCTTGTTGCAGATCAGGAGCCCGCCCATAGTCGACTTCATGTTTCTCCGCCCACTCCCCATAAACCCCATACACACCACTATATCGTGCGGCATCTTCCATCTCCTCCTTGTGGACATGCACCTGCGTGACACCGTCAAAACCCCGCATCTCCGACGCAGTCTCAAAGTCGACGTCCTGGGTCACAGCATCAAAGTCATCATTCACGATCTGGACTGTCGTTGGTGCTCGGGGGTGTCTGTGTTTGCGAGCCACGGGGGCTTGAACGGCTACAATCTCATGAGATGAATCTTGATGCCAATCGATGAGTTCAAATCAGTGGATCAATCACTCAAAAGTGATACTCACCGCTATCTGACTGTCGATACCGCATTTTCCGCTATGGACAGCGGCCTTGGGAGTTGCCTGTGTGCCCCGATGCGATGATCCTTTGTCGATGTCAAGGGTAAAGTCAAGAGCCAGGCATGTGCCACTCTCTCGGTTTGTTTCCGAACCTGAGGTAACCACGAGGCCTCCTGCGTTCGAACCTCTGAATGTGGTGCCTTGTTTACTCCACCTTTTGCAATCTGATCACGCATGATGAAGTAGTCGAGCTAAAACGCCTTCTACACGTGTTTTTAGAGTGTGGGCCTCGTTGCGTTTGATTAATAGGACGGTGTTTTGGATTGGACGGCTAATCATATAAGTTGGGCAGTAATATACAATGCGGAGAAATACATGCCGTGGTACAATATTAATAAGATAGTGCAGACATCGAAAAACACCTAGCAAATGAGTAAAGCGGAAGGGGAGTGTGCTACGTGGTTGGCCAGTTATTTCTTCGTCTTGCTCTTTTTGCTGCTTGATGCCCCCGCTTTCTCTTCTGCCTGATATGATGTTGGCGAAGATCATCGTGCCTCGAACAGATACTCACCTTCCGTTTTGTTCCCTTTCCGTCTTTAACTGTTTTGCTTTTTGATTTTGTGTCGTCGACCTTCGACTTCTTCGGCGAGGTTTTGGGTTGTGTTGAAAAAAATCCATCAAGGCGACCTTGCTGCTTTGCATTTAAGAATTTTTGTAGCTTTTCGGCACCTTTGCGGACTCTTTCCTCACTGTGTCCGCGTCAAGTCAGTTGGTGGCTGTGTCGGTGGAAGACCGTGCTTACTTGAATCCTTTTTCAGTGACCAGAAACTGCACAAGACCATCAATATCTGGGTCTTTCCACTCGAGCTGAAAAAGATGTAAGTGGTCATACCAATGGAACAGCAGTGAACAAGTTTCGTACATCAACGTCAGAAGCCGGCACTACATCTGGTTTTTCAAATAATTTCTTTGCCTCTTCCCAGGGCCAATCTTCAGGGACTTGAACGCCTCCCTTTTTCTTCTTGGCACCATCTTCTGCGTCGGCAGCTTTCTCTTCCTTCTCTGCCTGCCTAAGATGACCACGTCAGAGAAATTAAGTTGTGTATGACTGGAATCGCGTACTTCTCACGTAAATGCTCGACGACACCTGCAAGCCCACCATATTCTCGTATGAGCTTTAGAGCACTCTTCGGTCCAACTCCTCTTATTGGCTCGAGATAGTCGCAACCAAGTAGTATACAGAGGTCGATGAACTAAGAAAGCTTTAGATAAATCAGGAGACATATATAGAACGGACCTGTGACATGTCCATCTCGAGACCTTCGAGTGCCTTTTGGAGGTTTATCTCACTGATAGGTGCTTTCTTTGCCTCGGAGAATGTCAAGTGCCGGTAGAGAATGGGTGCGTTGAAGGTAAGGGTGTCCATATCTTCTGAACCTGCTGCGTATACCTATATTTTGGTGAGTAACGAAGTTGACGAAACAACGCGTTGCAGACCTTGCCTCCCCTGGCGAGCTCCGCACATTGTGCCTCTGCTTCGGATGGCGCCTGAGAGGGTATTAACAATTGAGCTACAGAGCACATTAAAAGACATACTACGATGACAGGAATGCCCATAAGTTTCAATAGTTTTCTACACTCTTCATTGTGCTCTTTTGTGACTTTGACGGTTCGTCTAGAGAGCCTGTCGACATCCTCTGCAGTACCGGTTTCTTTAGCCTCTTCACCTTCTTCCTTAGCTTCCTCCCGCCTTTCAAAACGTTTCGAGAGCTGTGAGAAGGTGATGATGATGCATATGCAATATGATTGAGCTACATACCACACCCGACTTGAGTTCTGGAGGTTTGCCATCGAATACATACGCGGGTTTGATACCATTCTCGACTATACGTATAGTACGATAAAAAAAGCCCATCAAATGACTTGTCGTTTCCCCCGCGTCGTTTGTGAGCATCTCGCCATCCTTCTGGCGGACAGCAATAAGGAACTGGTATATGGACATGGACGCGTCTATGGCGACTTTGCGTCCGAAGAGGGTCTTTATGTTGTGTTCTGTAATAGCCTTTGGTGCATGCTCTGAGATAAGCGCTGTGAGTCCTTTGATTCCCATTGTTTGTTGGTCGTATTGAATCTCGACGTAGTGGACGGTGGTGGTGAGGAGGCGTGTGACAACGTACGCGTGACACGTTGTAACGCGATCGTGACTCAACGCGATGTGACCCCTTCTGTGGGGGTTGGTCTAATGTGTTTCCTCGGAAGGACAAGTCTGGACAAGTAGGCTAGGATGTGTACATGAGCCATTCACTTTCGTTACACGATTTGGTCGGTTCTCGTCCACAAAAACGTAGGCGCTTATCACTTTACGAGGATCACGATATTAAACTTGAAACTGAATCCGTGACAGAAGGTGCGAGGTTGCCCAAAACTTTTCATGTACCCTATGCCTGAGATATTCCAGATGAAGCTGACCTTGGAATACGCCAGCTTATTGCTGAGGAGATTGACCTCGAAATTACTATCCGCCAACGCCTTCTAAACACCATCGACTCTCGCATAACATGGGCACTTATGCTACAGGAGGCTCTCGTTCGGGATCCGTCCACTCCAGCTCCTGATACCACACCAGACGATTTCCAAGAAGCTGCTTTAGACGCCCTTAACGCTGTAGAAGTACCTTGCGCCTTCTTATTTGATCGCGAAGAATCAGTATATGACGATGCTGAACCTCCTTCTCTTCGTTCATTCTCCCCTGTCGCCCCAACACAGCGCGAGCGAATACCTCCAAAGGTTAGGCCTACACGTACGGCTGCAGCGAAACTACACCCGCAGAAAAAGCTGCTCTACATCCGTCTGCCCCCTTCACAGACAGCCATGGAGGAGCAGATTGCTATCATTACATGCCCTACTTGTACTCGCACACAGTTCAGCACTCTTCAAGGGCTCTTGAATCACGCGCGGCTTGCTCATGGTATTGAGTGGGCCAGCCACGACGCGTGCATCACGGCTTGTGCTGTTCCGGTACCCTCTAGCGATGATGTGGAGAAAGATCGGGTCGAAGAGGAAGGTGTTGAAGTACCTTGGGGAGGCAGTGTCGTTGGTCTACAACGACTGTTTGAACGAGCTGTTGGTGTCAATGTGCCCGCATCTTTTGTTTCCAAAGAAGGGCAGGGAGCTACTGGCGCGGCAGCCATACCCAGCACACTGCTTTCACGCACCCTCGGTTTACATGCGGACTCCCCTGCCCTTGCTCCGTTTCTTGGAAGAACCCCGAAACGGAGATGCATACATGCTTATGAAGAAGATACAGAAGTTGATATTCTCAGTATCGATATCGATCTACGCAGGCCTTCACACAGTTTCGAAAGTAGGGAAGGAGTCGCGAGGAGAGCAGACGAGGGTGGTGGTCATCCCTGGCGAATGGCTTTTCCGCATCGAAATAGAGCTCGCCCTGGACTTGATCTCGTTGTTGACGCGCCTGCCCTTGTTGATAACGCTGCAGAAAATACAGCAACCCCCGCAATACCAGGGAGCACAACTTCACGCTTCCATATCACCGCCCGTGTGCATATCACAGATAGAAGTTTATTTATCTCGCCAAGTATGCTCACATTTTGCAACATGTCAATTAAATTTGATCCTATCTGTGTAGGCCGACGGTTAGACCTCGGTATTCCGCCGTCGCATACTCACCGGTGGATGCTCAGTGTTACTGCTCCCTCTTATGTGCGTGTATTCTTTTCTTCTCCTCTAAGTCTTAATGATGAATGTCCACGCTTCTGTAGTCGATACCTCTGGCCTCATTTATGATACGTTTGACAGTTTTAGCAGTAGCTCCATCCGATAATACACAACGGCAGCCTTGTACTGTGGACAAAGCGCCTTTCGCTATCATAGGCTCATCTTCTGAGCCCTTTCTTGCGAAGGTCGTGATGGAGTGGGCCAGTGGCGGGAGAATGGAAGTAGAACATTGGATTGATGTATGTCTTGCTTTTAGCCTCGCGTCACTCATATTCAATCTTTACGTAGCTTGACCTTGGGAACGCAGCGAGCTCTGTTCTTGGTTCAGAACAAGTTCTCGATGTCGAACTTGATAGAGGGACACGGCTCCTCTCTGTCCCCTCCGGTCCTCCACTGCCTATCCCTTCCTTGGAACGCGAACCTGCGGATATTACAAGGCAATCTCTGACGAAATCTCAAGAATCTACGGATGAATTAGGATACGCGAAGGTTCTGCGGAGTTTGTTGCCAAGAGTCCCTATGACGCTCAAAGGTATTTCTGACCAGCGCTGCAGAGCGTATTCATCTGCATTTTCCTGATATGAAGTTATGATAGATATGAAGTTCCGTTCACCTTTCCAGGTACCATATAAGCTCGTTCCCTCACCGGCGCATCTTCTGGCGCTTGTTCCTGGGAGAAGGAAAGCTATCGAAGTGCGTATTTATATCGGTATCGACGTTTTGGCTTCATAATTCTAAATTTGTTGGTAGTGGGGAAGAGCCCGAGCATTGCAATCGCTTTATGTCCAGCACGCTGCCTCCGCCTCCGCAGAATTAATCTCCCTCACAGTTGGTGATGTCTATGCCTTCCTAGAAGACTCGGGGCTTTTTCCACGTTCTTCTTCGAAGATCGAAGTTCCTGTTCTGAGTGCGAAAGAAAAGAAGGACAAACTGAAGGACAAGGACAAGGAAAAAGAATCCGCACTTTTGCCGGTAGATGAACCTTGCTTTGTCTGTGGCATAAAGAAACGCTTCCACCCTGCACTTGCTGTAACCACCAAACTGAAAAAGGAGCCCGTTTTCGATGAGATAGGAACCTGGGTTTGCGATATCGTTCCACCGCACGAACTTGAGCGGGGTTTAGGGATACCCATTATCGATTTGACGAAGATTTTTGGAGGTGGACTCGAAACTGCCCTATACGCCGGGGAAACTGCGGGGGATGGGCAAGCGTTACCGCATCAACCCATGGCTTCTTCTCAAATGCTCAGACATTGGCGTTATTCTGCGCGGCAGATTGCCTCATTAAGTCCGCCAGACCTCATTCTTGCTATTCATAGGATTGTCGGGTCTTTGCGTCTTCCGCATTTTCCTGAACTTTCTTCTCCCTCCCTGGACAAACACTGTACGAATGCGGAGGTCGAAGAGGCGTTCGCCCCATCATCGGTATTAGCCGCTGTGCTCAAATCGTTTATTGCCGTCCTCGTGCGTCCTGCAGTGGACGTTGCAAAACGGGATATTGCGATTGCATCTGGTACTGGAAATAGTGGTGCTATTCCGGTTGCTGGACAAGGCAAGGTGGCACGAACTAAGCGAGGGAGGAAAGTGGGATCTGTTCTCACTCCAGGACACATCTTACGAGGGCTGTCGTTGCCTAGTCTTGTCCGCGGTGGCGGGCTCGCTACTACTCCTCTCAAAGATGTGTTGAGGCTTTGTCTGGCGGAAGTGGGAGTGCCTGTGGAGTTTGGACGATCGTTGACGCGGGCTTCTCTCCGTCGGATTTTGGATCGGGATGGTAGCGTAGAAATGGGGATGACGGGTGAAGATGACATAGTTAAGGTGGAACCACCGTGAATCCTGATTTAGTGGGACTTGGTATTTGACGTGATGTGCATCATCCCTGGGTCTGACACCGCGGGCAAGTATTGCACTCCTTTTTGTACATTCATTGTGATTCTCTGGACTCTGTAAAACAGGATGCACGCCTTGAAAACATTGTGAGTCTCTTATGTTTGTCACATTCTGGAGCGGGTGGTTGATTTCGAAGCTCGCTAGGATCTCCCTACCTTGAGAGTGGTGTGTCAACCGGTTCTATTTTAGATATACTGCACATGCTTTGGACGCGGAAAATCACACCCTTGGCTAACTACCGCATGACTCTGCGGTAATTTATAGGTGTCGGAGCTTGCTTGCTTTTCACAATGCACGGGTGACCCACATCTACCAAACTAAAGATGTGCGAACTGGGAGAAATATTTAGTCTCATGACCTGACCATGTCACATGTACTGTAGCCGACTGTATGGAAGCATCGAGCGTGGCCAAGTCGGCAGGTAAGTAATCAGGCATCTTGCCATCCTGACAGGCCAAAAATTAACATCCTGGCTTAATCCTAGCGCCCATTGCGGAGTTGCCACAGGCTTTCCTTTAAAAATATGAAATATCATAATACAATGAGCCGAAACCAGTCTGATATTAGTTGAGTTGTACTTGTACTTGTTGAGGCATGCATTGCATACAGGTAAACGACACGACACAACAAATATATCTGCCCTCTTCCCTCAGTCCGTTACTTATACACGAGTCGAAGAGACTAATTGTAGATATAAACGGACCCCCCGGGGGAAATTAATGCAACCAGCTTCAGATCCGCGTGACGCGTGACATTGCTTCCATTCAGTCAGCCTACAAAGTTCACCCGAAATGGACGCCCGGTGAAAAATGGAGTTCATGGGAGTTCTGTAAAAGTTCTATTATCGTGTTATGAGTCGGATCCTACTCGGTTCTTTTGAGTTTTTCCAATATAGCATCATGACATTGAGTCTAGAGTAAGGTTCCAACTGTATGTAGGAGTATGTGACAGTATTGTTAAAAGGGGACTTCCTTGTGTAAGTATAATACTGTACATAACATAGCAATACTGGAGACAAAGATGGACTCAGAGATGGCCTATGGAATGGGGACTTTGTGCAAGAGTCTTGTAGTATATTGCTTGGTTTGCTGTCATATTCTTGGTCATTATGGTCTCGGACTTTTTTCCTTGTTCACTTCAATCACCATTGGCTAGTACAGATCAAAGTATTAGTATTTGCGCTGCAAATAAAAATAAGGTGTTTGGGTGTTTAGGGTCTTTTTAGTACACGTGCCCAAATACGCTGACTAAATGAGCACGGTGCTCCGGCTACAACTGATAGGCGGTACAGAAACCGTGTAATTACAGGCACAGTGTAGTGGCAGCGCCGCGGCAGAGAGAATAAACATTGAATGGAATTATCGCCAAACATCTCTACATCAGAGCTGAGCGCTGAGCGCTGAGAAGTGATTCGTGTTTCAATATAAAGATGCGATGTTTCAACTGAAGTCAAGGAGTCCTTTCCCTCATCACCCTTTTCAATTACTGTGAGCCAGTCCCTCGGTCTAGATCTTCTGTCCTATCTCCAGCCTGAGAGATATCTTACTTCTGTGTTGAACTCTCGTGCGGAATCTTCTCTTCCTTCTACGTGCGTTCATAATAATCATGCTGAACACACGAGCAGGCAGGCAATATGAGTAAAGTTACCATTGTCAACAACACAAGGGACAAAATCACCGTTAGCATCACTAACACCGGTGAAAATGGCGGGGCACCCGGATTCTATGAAATTGCGTCAAGACAATCTGACACATGGCAACGTAGCTACACGCAAGTGTGCTATGTCTTGAGGGCCGACAATGGAACTACTGAGGTTCTCGCTGTGGAGCCTGGAAAAACTTACCAAATCGAAGGTGCGTTCAGAGATGTATAGTATGAGGGAGTTCGTTTTAAACATGGAAGCAGGCAATATTGCAGTGGACGAAGTCTCCATTGTCAACAACACCAGTGGGAAAATTACCGCTAGCATCACTAACATCAGCGAGCCTGGTGGGGGCCCCGGATTCTATGACATTGAGTCAAAGCGCTCTGACACCTGGAAACGGAGTAAAGTGCAGGTGTGCCATGTATTGAGGACTGACAGTGGAAAAACGGAGGTTTTTGTTGTGGAGCCTGGAAAGAAATACTATATCAGCTGAAAGCTTTACGGGTAGAAGCATTTGGCCATAGTTTATGTCTACGCAATGTAAGAGTATCGAATACATGTTGTTTTTCATGACGCGAAGATTAAATTCGCGTCCGGCAATTTGCCCTCATGCGATATCGACACATTCAGCTAGGCCGAAAGATCATACCGCCGCGGCATCCGTACTGTCGCAGTTCTCATTAGCACCGATCTCGTTAGTGCGAGGCGTCCAACGATGTAGCCCAGGAATCACAGTCAGCATAAAGGAAAACACGAACTTAGTCACGGTAAGGACAGGGACATCAACGCTTTTGCAATGAAATTACGTAATGCAAACCCCGACGCTACGGGAATTTGGAAAGCATTACTTATGGATGGCCGAACGTTACCCGGATAACCTTACATACAACATTGATCCAAACGAAACCTTGTCAAATTGTAATCACCAGACAATTTTTTTGATGTGGTATCTTATATCTCGCAATCGGGTTTGGATATACTGCGCACATGTTTTGGACACGGGAGATCACCAAGGCTCTGTCAGTATCACGATGGATGGCATTGGATTCGCCCTTGCAGATGGCCCCTTGCCTGATGCAACACTCTTATCGTGAATCGATTATACAAATTGGTAATTACTGCCCATCCTCGGCACCTTCCCAAACTTTTCTATCAGGCACTTTGCGCTCGACGTAACTCACTGCGGTCACCCACCCCTACCATCATCACAGTTGTTATCGATCTATGTAACCATCCGTGACCATTCGCAGAACAGGACACATGCGTCCCTGTGCCTATCCTTTCTTGATGTCGAGGCCATCGTGCCATGGTCTTTGGCCACATGATACTTGCTGTTAAATTAACGGGTTTCAAACAAGCCTATGTGACAAACCTTGTGCATTGCGAATTGATCAAAATCTTTTGTCAAGGCTTCTATTGGTCCGTACTGAACATTGACAATACGATTTGTGTCTTGCTTCGCCGATGTGGAAGTTTGCGATAATATCCGAGGGTTCACGAGCTTGAAGGGTACACTCACATTCTACATATCCCGTTATTCAAATACTCAGGCCTCAGGCACAACGTTTATATAGTGATAGACGCTCGGCGAACTGCGGCACTTGATTTGATTTCATACGAACACACATTTGTAGTACGATTTCGCTGCAAACTGGAGGACCTGCATTGACTGCACGGAAAATAGGTAAAGTACCAAAGCGTTCGGTCCCGTCAACTTGCTTCCGCCTCCGCATTTAGTAACGTTTAAGTAGATGCATGAACTGTTGAAGGAGCAAACAAAACTCCGGATACCTTTCCTCTCCTGGTAAATTTTTTTGCCAGGATACAATTTTGGGTGATTCTGTTCTGATCCCACTCAACCCCAACTTCCGCGCGGTTCTCGGACCAAGTTGAAGCATCATCCGCCACAGCATTCGGTACTGGCTCCGCAACTTTTTCGGCTACCCTGTTTACGGAGTATACCTAAGGCCATGAATTTGCCTTTAAGTCTGGCCGTCTATTTCATACCGCCACGTTCTACTCTCAACTCTTGTCCTCACTCGTTCGTTTGTTTATCCATTTGGTCGGGTCTGCGAGATGTCTGACCAATTCGACCCCCCGAGTTTCGATAATACCCTTGGTGCTTTGCTTGTAGGTTTCGCTGTCTCTGCCACGTAAGTACTCACATATTCCATCTTTTCATACCGAATTCAACTCGCGTTACAGTGCGTTTGGAATGTTGACCATTCAACTGTTCACCTACTATAGGCGTTTCCCCCAAGACAAGGTTGCATACAAGACTCTCGTGAGTGCAGGAATAGTATCAAGTTCACCTGCACGTTCATCATACAACAACATTTGACCAGGCTGCCTTGATATGGTGAGTTAGATTTCTACCTTGTTGAAAAGAAATGCTCAAATCGTCAAGGTTGCTTTCTTTCGTTGATCAAGCTTTTGTCGGTTACGCTGTATATTTCTATACCATCACGTAAGATGCCCGCTATCCTCGCCTCACATCGCTGAACGAATGAACTAGAAATTATTTGAATCCGCTTCCGTTGACTACAGAAAAACCTCAATGGTAAGCCCTTCTGGTCAGAGTAATGATCTCTTTTCCTCAAACGGTGTTTGGGCTAGGACTCTTATAGTGAGGCTGTCCTCTTGCTTACCGTCAGCATATATTGAACTTCCTTCGTGTAATAGTTGCAAATGACTTTGGGCGTGAGTGTCTCCTGTGAACTGCATGTGGTGTATGTATCTAATCGAAGTGTCCTTTCGAACAAAGGCTATTGTTGGTGGCATTGTCAAGAGGTACGTAGAATAATTCTACCGATGTGAACATGTGAGCCACGACTGACCTTCGGCTTCTGATAGTTGTTTCACACTAAGAGTTTGGAGGTGTACGGAACTGTTTTCATGTTGTTCCAGAATTCTGTGTTGATATTTGCACAGTCAGCTATAGAAATTGGTGGCTTACAGGGACCTTGGTAGGTTGAACTTGATTTCACATTTCGCTGTACTGATAAGGGTCCTTGCGAAGTTTTTGATGGTTTTTGCACAACTTGGCACGGCAACTGGTGAGTATATGCTAGCTTCTCCTCCAAAATCATTCTGAATCTTGTTATCAGTGTTCACTGTAGAAAGGTTCAGTTTTTTTTATCGTACCATCAAGTATACTCACATGGTACACAAAACAGTTTCCACTTATCTTCTTTTTCACGCATGAGCACCGTGAAAGTATGTGGTTCTATGGTTATCTATTTTTCGTCCTCACCCCTTGTAGCCTTTGGGAACCTTTTCCTTGGCCATCGGAGTCGCCACAGACATGATCATAGCTGCTGCATTGTGCTTTTACCTTCAGAAAATGCGCTCTAGCCATCCAACGTGCGTCTCGTAAGTTTACATTTGTCACATTCTAATGAATCCGCTATTCTAGTGCGGACTCCATGGTTAATACGTTAATAGTATATGCAGTGAACACCGGTCTTCTTACCAGGTTGGTCTCACCAGTGCTTTTCCAAGTTTAAAGCCTGACATACTTGTATACAGCACTATCAGCCTGTCGACCCTTATTCTGGTGCGTGATAACACTATGCGCAAGTTTTACAGGCTGAATTGTGTGGACAGTTCAACACCATGCCAACGAACTTCATATTTATATGCATGTATTTTGTTCTGAGCAAACGTAAGTCATAAACAAGTCATTCTTGGATCAAGCTAAGATAGGCTTATCCAGTTTATGCAATATCATTCCTGGCTGCGTGAGCGGTTTACGAAGTTGTACTTAGTACCTCACTCATCATTGCTCAGACTGAACACTCGAAAAATCATACGAGGTCGTGGCACAGACTATGAAAGAAGAAAGAATACAAGCTCCAGCATAATTACAGAGTCCATAGAGCCTTCGACACAGCTGCCGATGCCGAACACTCTGGAAACATACTCAGGTGCGGTTTATTATCTTTATTCTGCTAGGATGCGTCTAGAGGATTCGCCATGACAGAATATCACCAGCGGTCGTAACTCGAAAATCATAGTACCAAACTCAGTACGTTCTTTTGTCTCGCGTCACCGACCGTGTCATAATGGGTCACCTAGATGTCGCCTATGGTTTTGAGTTTGTAATTTCCAACCGCCATTTACATCATTCCCCGTGACGCCTCGACCACCCCGTACTCTGCGCGCGAGGTGCATTTTTTCATTGAATTTGGTTCTGCCGTTATCCATCTTTCTTTTATTCGCACAAAGCAATGCCTGTTGCACTCATGCTGGAAACCCAACTTAGACACAATCGCAACTCGGAATTTTGAAGGAAGTTTGTACAACACCATTAACAACGCGAGAACGCGTTGTACTTGTTTCATATGGGCAGAATATACACTATCACTTATAGACTTGCTTTTCGGACAGATGAATCGTGATTCGTACAACTCCATTTGGTCGCCATGTCGTAGGTCGGCTCGGGTTGCACACCGACAGCGCCTCAACGTTCACTGCAAGATGTCTATGATTGTAACGCTAAAGAAACCTATGCGTATTATAGACCAAGCACGCACCACCATGGTCATGCCTTCAGCCTCCCTCGGCTTAGCAGGAGAGTATCACAGATTTGCATTTGCCGACTGTCTATAGTCTCGCCGTAGGCAGACGGGCCGATACAGCTGTTCCTTAGGCTTGACATCCTGAGAAAGTAAAGAAGTCACCTATATCTTGACGTCCGAGTCGTCGGCTTCGATGATTACACATTCCTATGCATGTGCGGTTGACTTACTAAAGGTATTGGGCACTGATTCATATCACATCAAGGAACAAGCGGAGTTCTGATGGAAAGATTACGTATAATATTCAAAAGCCTTTTCCTTACTTTCCTGAGGAGCAAACTAAGCTTAATGATTGTACCCATGCAGGAGAACCAAGGGCTACTGGGCTGGAATGACAGAACGACAACTGAAGGAAGTCCGCAATCTGCATTTCGAGGTTTTGTGTAGAGCATGGCATAGAGCGCGGGCGAGTCTTTCCCCCGATTTTGACAATTGGGCTCGTGTTGACACACTATTAGTGCTTACAATGCTTCGATTGTTCCGGAATAGAGTCTGGACTCGGTTGTCGCGAGCTGTGTTATGGTAACCCTTACGGTGACCATGAGAGTGCCTATTTTCTGTTAGTACCTCTCTTATGAAAATCTAGCCAAGTTACGATCAGCTGCAGCGCCTCACGGGAACCAAATTTCAATCTTGGTTTTTGAGTGTGACCAATGCAGAACTCCACAGGCCCTGAAGTCAGTCTTTCATTTACTTCGAGTTGATCGGAAGCTTGGCAGTCACATATTTACCCCCATAATAGCTTGTTTGTTAAGCAGCCAATATACTCCCAGGAGCCAATTGCGTATGATCACGGGAGTCACGAAGAACGGCGAAGTATCCGCAGTTTAGGTCCGAGGGTATCTGGCCCTATGTGGAATCCGGCGAAACTCGCCAGATTTTTTATAAGGCAGATTAGGTTAGCAACGGGTGCGGCGTCTCCTATCTTGAACCAGATTTCGACGAGATTCTGATTGCGGAACTTTCCAGCACTTGCTAGGGATACGTTTTTGGACTTTGTTTTTTAGGGAACGGGAGTTTCGTAGGAATTGTTGTTCGGGCTACTTTCAGTGATCCATCTGATGTCGTACCACATGCACTTGCTGATCATACATCTCAAATCATTTGTTTCCATCGAGTCCTAGGTAAGCACCATCTAACCCATAATAGATGTGTATTGTATCGCCTTCAGACGAAGCAATCGTTGAGATTCTTCATATCTCTAAGAGCGATAGACGGCAAGGGAACATAATGCGGCTCTCCTGACGTCATGACAATGGTGGCATTGTACGAGGACTCGTTGTGAGGATGATGACTAGGCTATGACGCGCTACCGCTTGCAAGTCTGTACGACGGCGAACTACGAGAAAGATTTAATATTACGGATTTCAGCTACCGCACCGCAGTAAGTGTTGTATGTTTGCCCGATCAGCAGGATCTCAGTATGTGCTCATCGCAGACCCTTTAACCCCAGATAGACACTCGCTGAACTCCGAAAACTTGCGAGCTAGCTTGGGATTTGTGGATCATAGGCGAGAAGCCACCTACCACTGTTGGCCACGGCTCCACGAATTCTACTGCATATCGTAGATTGTCGCATCGGATGGCACATAATGCTGCATCTACAGGCAGTGATCTGGTACCGCTGAATGTAGCAGGAGTTTCACGCTGTAGAATTGTCCACGATCGTGTTGCTAAGTGACAATCAAGAAGGTCGAAAAATGTTATGTAGGCCTCCAGCGGACCAGCGCGGACGGGTGACTGTGCCACTATCAACAAGTGCCTCCCCGTTCGCACCCCAGCCTTGGTCAGCTTCTAGCTTTCTATTTCCCTGTCCGATCCATGCTACTATTATCGTGTGGTAAGCTAGCATCGACATTTGTGGCTAATGTCATCATTCGTTAGTCAGATTCATACAAGGGTCCACAATATTGATGATGGTAAGTACTCGACAGTTTACCCGACCTGCCAAAGAACCCGAAGGCCAATAGCGATAAATTGACGTACTAGTATATCTATACTTTCGCAGGCTGTGGGTGGGCCTATGAATGCACTTCACGAGCTGAGGATCGGCTCGAGTCAGCATGATCATTGGTGTAGGTCATGACCTTTTCAGATTGAAATCACCAGTGTGTCGAACGTTCTGCGCCGGCGGATATCAGGCCATGAATGAAATAGAGTGTAGAGATGGTCGAAGTTCGAGAACTTGATGCAGTGTCACAGCGGAAGTCATATGGATAAGTATTGAACTGGCGCCCTATTGATATGGCAGGCGACATAGCTGATACTGATTAAGAGATAGCTACAAGAGATGAGTCAGTATACACGACACTTGCTTGAATGGTGTGAGCAGAGGGGGGAAACGACACCCATATCAATCTCATTAGATTGAGAATTGACATCTGTACTCGTTCACGCTCCTCTTCCGATCGGAGAAATGACCCATGGCTGCCACTACGAAGCATGTCAATAAGGCCCTGAAGCTATGTAGAACTGGGAAAGGCGTAATCAGCGTTCTGTGGTGACATGAGGGATAGAAAATAAGGCTGTGACAATGCATGCAGGTAGTGAGGGAAGGTCGTCTGCACTATCGAGCAACTTCTGAGGTTCAGGCTCAGAGCAAATCACATCTTATACCAGATGATTATGCAAGATAAACACCGGACACACGATGTACTCACCTAGGGCGTCAGAATTCCCTACGCACTGTCTCTCACACTGCACCTATACCGTCTCATGTATGCTATGATAGCTTAGACTGACATCGACCAGAACTGGAGTGTGTTCCAGGCGCGAGTAGAGCTTTAAATGAGCAAGATGTGGTCGAAATTCAGAGTACATATGAAAACAACGTTCACTCTGAAGCAAGTCATAGATAGATGCAAGAAGCTATGTTTTTTTACTTACTGGTCGATGCATATACTTGAGTATATGGATTGAAATATGACTCTAATTCGATGGTTGGGGGTCGTTGTTTGGACTCCTGAAGCACATCATAGATGCGGGAATCTGTTGGACTGAATGGCCACTATGCTGTCTCGAGTATATGCATCAAAGCATGATTCACCATGCCGTTATGATTGAAAATAGATGGATATATCATAATAGGGACCGGGATGTGCAGAGATCAAAATGCTGTATTGCGACATGAACCTGTTAAGGGACGATTAGCGCCATCTTGTGGAATCAATTCCTTCCACCCGCAGGACATAAGAACTCTTGCCATTAAGCAATAACAGGCCAGTATACCACCCAGTGAGTCCTGATCAAACTTTTTCGCCCCCATAATTGATCATCACCTACAGCAGAATCGGATCAATTGACCAGACTACCGTAACGAGGTGATTCTTTGCAAGGCGGACACGCAAGGACGCTTCGACCACGGTGAAATGGGAAGAACCAATTCTGAAGCATAAGTTTGAAGGACACAAGGATGCAATTTGGAGCGGTGTTTTCTTGCATGACAACATCCACATCGTGAGTGGTTCAGTGGACGGCACTATGCGCAAGTGGAATTGCGACACGGGAATTGCTGTCGGGAAACCATGGAAAGGTGGGGGAGGGTGTATATATGCACTGGCGCTTTCACCGGATGGGAAGATAATTGCGTGTGGGAGGGAGGACGGAAGCGTTCAGCGGTGGACTACTGATGGTGAGATGACTGAAGGGGTTTGGACGGGTCATAACGAGGTAGTGTGGTCGCTCTCGTGGTCACCCAGCGGAAGTCATATTGCCAGCGCGTCCGATGATGGGATAATCCTGATTCAAAATGCAGAAAGTGGAAAAGTCGAGGTGGGCCCAATCGAAACGGAGCAAGGCGGTGTGTGCGCTCTTGCATACTCGCCTTCGGGTGAGAGAATTACATCAGGCGGGGACAATACAATATGCATCTGGAACACGAAGACCGGCGAGCTTGTCGTTGGCCCCATTCATGACCCAGGGAAGTTTTATGTGTCGTCTTTGGTGTGGTCGTTGGACGGCGCTAAACTCTATTTCGCATCCGACGAATTTGCACGTGTTTTCGACAGCACATCGGCCAAACTGCTTCATTCCTTCGAGCACAACAGTCACTTGAATTCGGTCGCACTTTCTCCCAAAGACAATGTCCTGGCGTGCGTGGGCATCAATGGTGTCGCACAACTATGGGACATAGAGTCCCACCAGCCACTCGGCAAGCCATTTCACCAGAATCGTGACACCCTTTGCTATGTGTCGTTCTCCCGAGACGGGAGTCATCTAGTATATGGTGGAGATGACGGGGAACTCACCTTATGGATGCTCAAAAATATAGCTCCTCAGCGTCCAGCACCCACACCACCCCAACAAAGTGATCGCCCGCCGCTACGGATTTGGAGCATACCAGCAACTCACTCTGATCGGGGGTTTCCACACTTTGCCTCTTGATTCAATCAAAGACCAGAGGTGACTCCAGAACAGTGATTTCACTTGCGGCAATTGGTAAATCTCAGGAGTCAGGAAGAGGTTGTTCTTTCTTGTCGCATCTTTTATCAGCAAGTTCATAATCTCGAAGTCGTCCTGACTCATTTCACAATGAAACATGATCATCTCCACACCTGCCAATAGCACGTTGGCTTCGTCTAGTGTTGCCGCAGTCCGGCTCTGAACCTCGGTCGAACCTGAATCTTCCCGAACCGAACCTCGAGCGTCTTCGAAGTTTTGGCAGGTGTATGTCGGAAATCTCTCGATCGCACGGCTTGGACAAAAAGTAAGATCATTGTTGCTCGTTTATATCAAGGTTATGATGTGAATTCTTTGACGTTTCCCCCACATCTCCTGACCAAAACTTTGCCCCAAAGTGCGGTGATACGCTGCTACATGCACAGTGTATCACTTAACTGTACAGATCGACACCCTTAACTCGCGCGTCAGTGTCAACGGCCATACTCCACCGATGTAAAATCAAGAATGTGACTCACCCAGAATTCTGGAGGTACTGTCATGCAGGTGAGTTATGTTATCAGGTCCAGGAAAATGCTGATACTCACGCAAAATCTAATGCATCCTTCAACTTGGCAGTCTGAGTGCGTTACGCATGTTGAGGGACATTTCTGATCGCGACCGTCGAGGCCAGCTGCATTGCTAGTAGTGGGCATGGCAGAGCATGATGATACTAAAGCAGCAATGACAGCGAGGACAATTGCGGAGGAGAAATGCATTGTTTGTGAATCGTGTGTGCGGGATCAGGTAATTCTGAAGGCGATAGTAGGAAGACGGCTGGCTTTTATGTGGTTCTCCGGAATTACTGTTGCGTCGATGTGCCTTCAAATGGATACATATTTACGATTAATGCCAGCACATTGCCATATTGCTAGTATTGTGGGCAGAACCAGTGGCAGAACCTTTCCTGCAGAATGTGGCAGAACTTCCGTGCATGTCAGGTTCTGCCAGTTCTGCAAGCGTAGAAAGTTCTTCCCAGGTGCAGCATTGAGCCGTATTCCAAGGAACTCTTAGAGCATTCCAAGGAAGCGACATTATTTTTGGTAACTTGCACATTCACTGATGTGCGCCGCTATGATCAATTTTCACTGGGCCTGAACTTGCGACATCCAGCTTCCTCACTATTCCGTGGATCGCAAGAGTCTCTGCGTGAGTACTTTGCCCAATAACACACCACCTCATCTTAATGCATTCATACAGGTATCTGTCTCCAATCGCAATAAACATCAATGGTCAGTTCCTCGCGCACATGGCATACAGTAAGTAATAAACAATCTATCTTACAAGACATCTTGAACGAGGTTTTCTGTAGTTTAACCCTAACTCAAACAACGATAAACTCAAATTTAATGGATCTTTTTACTAGACGATGGTCGAGATTGAGAACAACCGTGTCGTACAAATCTAGCTGGATTCAAAGGTGAATGTGTAGTTTCCAAAAATTGAGCTTGCGATTCAGAATACAACCTAACTTCATCTGAAACATGGGTATTGTTAGCGAGCAGTAACATTTTTTATTCTGCGGTGTAGCTATTAATATCGGACAGAACCTACTTGGCTTGTCCGAACGCTCTGCAGATATGAGATCCCGCCCGTTGGGAACGGATGCCACGGAAGTGTGATGGCAAAGACTGTCCAGCGCCTCGAGTGAAACGGGACTTGCTTGCTATCCATCAATATCAGTCACAGGACTCGAACAACGCCCTATCTATAGCAGATGGGTGGGCCGATATTGAGTCTCGAAAGTGCCACATAAGCTGATCATGAATCTGAGTTATAGACTACACAGAGCAAGCCTGCATCGGCCACGTGCCATGACCAGAGAACTCCTTGCCGTAGATATGCTGAACTGTCTTGCCTTGTTGGTAAGTTTGGCATGATCACTGATCCTTGGGAAGATGAGTTAGCAAATAGCTCGGAGCAACTGAGCTACTCACGAAACAGAATTGATATGCGCTTGAAACTTGGTTTACCGATTTGAGATCCGATACGAAAATAATTATAGAATCATTACCGGAAGCACAGCCAGCATCCGATGGGTATGATGACCAATCTACAATATATAACAACACTCGCTACGGTGACTCGCAGCTTGCGCCAGCTGCCAGGCAAGACAACAGACAACCTACCTGGTAAGTAGTAACTAGTCAACTGTCCACCCCAATAATTGATCACGAACCATCCTAAGATTGATACACCAGGAACCTATATGACAACTGAGCTATGGCTACTATGTCCATAGCAGGGCAGACCCGTCAGCTTCCTCCAACCCCTACGCAAGCCAAAAGTCCACCTCCCAAGCAAAACTTTGAGGGCCACGCGAGGACTATTCGAGATTTCGTCTTTTTGCACGATAACATCCACATCGTGACTGGTTCAGAAGACGGCACAATGCGCAAGTGGAACTACGACACAGGACTTCTTGTTGGGAAACCATGGAGTGGGGAAGGCGGGAGCATATATGCACTGGTATTATCACCAGATGGCAAGACAATTGCATGTGGGAGGGCAGATGGAAGCGTTCAACGATGGAATACGGATGGACAGATGATGCTTGAAGGTGTTTGGACGGGTCATAATGATTGGGTGCGGTCCCTCTCGTGGTCTCCTAACGGAAGTCATATTGCCAGCGGATCCGATGACGGAACAATCCTCATTCGAAAAGTGGAAAGCGGAATAGTAGAGGTTGGCCCAATCAAGACGAAGCAGTACCGGGTGTGTGCTCTTGCGTACTCACCTTCAGGAAATAGAATAGCATCAGGCGGGTGGAACACAACAATTTGTATATGGGACAGCAAGACCGGCGAGCTTGCTCTCGGGCTCATCCAAGGCCTGGGTTACGAGGTGACCTCGGTGGTGTGGTCGTCGGACAGCACGAAGCTCTACTCCGCATCCGACAAATCAGCACGCGTTTTCGACAGCACCTCAGGCGCACTACTTCACTGTTTCCAGCATGTCGATGTTTTGTATTCCATTGCACTTTCACCCACACACAATGTCCTGGCGTGCGTGGGCGATCAAGGTGTTGTACAACTATGGGATACAGAATCCTACAAGTTAGTTGGACAGCCATTTGGCCAGAATCACAAAATACTCCGCTGTGCATCATTTTCTCGAGACGGGAGATACCTAGCGTGTGGCGGACACGACAGGACACTTGCTATGTGGACTGTTGACGACATAGCTCCTCAGCTTATACCAACTGCAAAGTTATCTTGGGGTGATCATGTAAGTGACGAAGGACACGTCGATCTCTGGGACTCACTTCTCTGGGTAAATTTCGTGTTTATCATGCAAGGGCACTAGTATTCACAATAAATGTAGTATTATTCACAGAAATCTCTACCGTTGGAATCATCTGGCACCCATGTACCTCACGTGTCTTTCATTCGTCGCCTGTGGAACGTCATCTCACGACACCGTCCGCCTGCAAACGAATCTGTTTCACAAGAACCCCCCAACCGCGGTTTCTTTGCTCGTTGTTCTCGCTCAAATTCATCCGTAACCATCGTATCCAGCCAACCAACAGCATGGAAGGTCTGGCCAGGAGAAGACTTGGGAAAAGACGAACAAGAGGAAGATGTAAGTCTTGTCCTTACTCTCGCACACTATCATCTCAATGCCAACCTTCCCTGAATTCTCAGATGGGCGCAAGCAAACTACAAGAATATGGAAGCAAACAACGGAATGGATCTCTTGTCGACATTCCGAGCCCACCTCCCTATAATTTCGCTCCCCAGGCTGAGCTCCACAGCGAAGAACATAGAAACTTCTGGAGGCGGGTAATGCAGGCCCCACCTCCCTATGATCTTACTCCCCCTGCTGAGCTCCGCAGCAAAGTGAATAGAAGCTTCTGGAGACGGCTGATGCACATTTGAGGGAAGGAGCTTACTTCCATCAAATCGGCTCCAACAATATCCGCCTCGGTGTCATTAAGGTTTGCTGTGTGCATGGGTTTGAGGTAAGCTTCCGTGTTATCTTTATGCTTGCTCTTACTTACTGGAAGAAGAAACAGTAGGGGTGCTGACACGATACCAGCGAATGTGCAGCTCTTTTGTTACTATAGGACCTATCATTGGCTCGTTATACTTGGGTATACCATTGCAAGCCGCTGGAAATTATCATCTCACACTCATTTATTCGCCATCTAACGTGCCAGCCATGGCTCAGACTCTGACTCGATCTGTATTCTCTATGTATGCTACCATTTTGATGTTTTCTAGGTTTCCGTTGGGCTTGTAGGTCTTTTGTTATTCTGCTAGATGTCGAACTTGCTATGCTTCATTACTCTATCCTTATTCATGCTACATAGTGCTCTATTGTGGCATCATTACTTGTACCAATATTAACTTATCCATCATTACATGTACTACTTCGATTAGCCCTCAAGCGCAAGTCATATATTTGATAAAAGCTATCCGCACAGGACTTGAATACTGTACGACGAAGGTATCAAGGTACCTGGCGTATAACGAGTCTACAAATCAACGGGATTTAGAGTAGGCTGATAGAACAAAGCGACACGGTATAATATGATGTCATTTAATTCTTGGACGCCAATTAGGGGTTTTACAAGACAGTCCGTCCTTGTCGTCATGCAATGCAGAACCTTGCGGGTGCTGCGAGAAGGTTGTCAGCTGCCAGTGGAGCGACCACATTTCATGCTCACTCCTCAACTACATGTCAACAGCTCCAACCCTCGTCATCGCTACATCATCGATTCCTCGTATATATATAAAGCCTCGACGTACTTTGTTTCTTTATCTTCTCAACCACAACACATAATCAATAATGTCTTACGATCAAGGAAACCAAAGTTCAGGTCGTGAGTCATTCAAAATTTACAAATCTCAGACAACTTAACACTCATCTTTGTGATCAGGGAGCTTCAACGACGACTCAAATTATGAGACCCCTGTCGGTGATCAGCGCACTGTCCCTGGGGGGGACTCCGCACTTTCAGGATCATACGGAGGTAGCGGGACTGGCCAAGCTGGTGGATATACAGGAAATGAAAGTCGCGTCGGTCGACAAGGCCAGCAAGACTTGGATCAAAGGGACAATTATTGCAACTGCGACACAGACCCCTATGGATCGACCGGTAATCGCGGTGGTCAGGACGTTCAGGATGTGAATGTCCCTGAAGCTGGCCAAGTTGGTGGCGAATATGACAGCGCCTATGGCCAGAGCACCGGTGGTGAAGGCCGTAGTCGCGGGTATGAGCGTGATATGGATGAGTATGATGACTCTGGCGTTGGCGTTGCTGGTGCTGGTACCGGTCGCGGTCCAAAGGGCAAGTTGTCTTCCATGGGCTCCAAATTTATGGGTTGGTCTTTATTTGTCTTGCTTCGCAATTATATATTCATATTCGTGCATAGGCGAAGTGGAGAAGATGGCTGGCAAAATTTCGAATGATCCCTCACTCGAGGCTAAGGGCGAGCAGCGCAAGGTACGTCCTGATCTAAACCTGTACAGAATGTGATAGTTAATAGTTTTGTAGACCGGCTTCTGAGTTACTCTAGATGGACTTGTACTCATATTTGTATCATAGTAAGCGTGCTTTGAATGAGTTCGAGGGAAGTCATCATATCACACCTTATGAAGGACTGCGAAAAAACATTATTGCGATACATGGTGCCTGTCTTTGTACATTACATTACCCTTGGTATATTCTTGTCGAACTGAATCCAATCGAATCCCATTGTACCATATAACGAATTTCTTCGCCTTTCATTGGCTTGATCAATCAAGGCATCGAAGGCTGGGCGTAGAAAGTGACGTATAGTTGATGGCATCATTCAACCTAACGTGCTGAAATCTAGCGTGGTGAAATGATGCATGCCACCCATGGGAATCTGGTTTCGAGTCGCAAGCCACCATCAAAATACCTGAGCGGAGTGGGAGTCTGTGGGGAAGTTCTGCACCCGTGGGAATCTGCTTGCCATTATCGGAAGCACGTGCGTAGTTGATGTTGTCTTCTCTTTTTTTTGGACTGCTTTTACTCGTGGACTCTGGAGTCTGTCAATTCACTGATCTAAGCAAAAAAAGATGTACTTGTGTCCCTAACGTATTATAGGTCCTGTCGCTGTGAGTAACAGAGCATGCGTGGCGGTCTAGCTTTCATATATTAACCTGATGGACTGCAATTTCATTGATTTAACACGAGATTGGGCGTAGTACTGTGTCATGTGGTGGGTACCATTCGAACATATTGTTGAACTAGGCCTCACTAGGTTAGAATATTCTAGGTTCCATTCTAAATGCACCTTCAGGGGCGAAATGTTCAAGTTGTCTATGCCAGCGGTAAGACCTTTAAATAGGTGTGCTGTATACAATAGCCAAGGTATTAATCACATTGACAGTTCCAAGGTCGCAGGTGACCGGGGCAGTGGCGCTCAGGACGTTTCAAGATATAATACACACTATCCCTTGACGACAAGGAGCTTAGCGTCTCTGTTCAGACTGTCCTGTCGCCCAGCCTGACATCATGAGCTCGTTGCGCGACGATGACATCAAACTGGACTCCGAAAAGCCGATTGTCGTGAATCCGAAGGAACGAGCACGCATTCTGCGCAAGATCGATTGGCATCTGTTACCTTTCGTGACGGTGTTTTTCTTGTTGTCGTTCTTGTAAGTTCGCTGAACGTACGTCATGTCTGATGCTACTTCACGCTCTACATCACCTTCAGAGATCGGGCTAATATTGGTAAGTCGGAACAGTTTACTGTCGATCACTGGCTAAGTCGTTCACCAGGAAATGCGACGGTTGCTGGAATGACCACAAGCCTGAACTTGACCGGCTTCAAGTACAACATCGCTGCAGCCGTCTTTTTTGTGCGTCTTGTATCATCCATGTTCCATCAAATGCTGAGTTACTTTAGATCCCATACGGCTTTGCTGAGGTCCCCTCGTACGTACAGCATCAAGAGTAGCGAGTCTGTACTCAGTGTCTGTGTAGAAACATCCTACTCAAGCTATTAAGGCCATCCCGCTGGAGTACGCTCACCTTTGGCTCTTTTTTGCCACCTAACATTTGATCCAGTACCGTCTATCATGGTCGCGTGGGGTATTGTGATGACCCTTATGTGTCTCGTCAATTCGTACAAATCTCTCGTTGTGTGCGTGAGGTGTATCTGCATAGTGGAAACGGACACCATAACAATGCGATGACAGAGCTCGAGCGTTTCTCGGTTTCACAGAAGCAGGATTATATCCAGGAATAAATTACTACATCTGCCTTTGGTATCCACGTTCGGAGCGGTCCAAGCGCATTGCCATATTCTTCTCCGCAGCGTCTGTTGCAGGTATGCAGTATTTCAATATGTGCCGTATTTTATCTTTCTAAAAACTTATCATTCATTACAGTTGCCTTCGGTGGGCTCCTTGCGTAAGTCACTTGGTTTTTCATAAACCCACTGTTGACCTTTACGTGCACCTAGGTATGGTATTGAACGGATGGATGGGTAAGCAAGATGCTTACACTGTCAGGCACTACTGATGCACCAATCAGAGTTGGAGGATTGCGTGGTTGGCAATGGATTGCATGTTTGCATGTTTTCAATCTGAGATTTATACTAATTTATCTCTGCTAGTTCTGCTTGGAAGGCATTGGTCAGTCATCCCAGATTTGAGGCGATTCAGATACTCATCTTAGACTTCAATCAGCCACTGTTCTCGTCGCAATTTTCTCTTTTTTCTGCATGCATGATGTGAGTTCGTGGTCATGCTTGGCCTTTCAGATGTTGATTTAGACTACTTAGTATCCTGAAACGGCCAAATTTTTGACCGAGCCAGAGAGATTATACATCATAGATGCGCTCAAGCGGGATTCAAATAATCTTTCCTCTCGCTTCGACACTCAATTCGTCTGGCAAGCCCTACATGATTACAAGACATACGTCCAAATTCTCATTTATCTAGGGTACTCATCCTCCTGTCATCTTGTGCATTATCTGAGTTGATTATCAGGTTGCTCGTCCCTGGTTATGCCATCGCCCTCTTTTCGCCAACAATCATCAATGAGCTTGGCTTCTCTGCTGCGAATGCTCAGCTACTATCAGTCCCACCATTTGTTGCCGGCGCTATTGGAACAATCATAGTCGGCATCTATTCTGATAAGCACAATCTTCGTGGCCCGTACATCATTGGTGGTGCGCTCGTGTCTCTTGTGGGATATATCTTGCTATATTGCAGCATACAAGCGGGCCCGTCGTACGTTGGAGCTTGTCTGGCCGCTGCGGGAAACTATCCGACCGTCCCAGTCATTCTTGCTTGGGCAGGCTCGAATGCAGGAGGTGACTTAAAGCGTGGAGTTGTACTAGCAATGGTCATCGGTATTAGTAACCTTGGAGGGTGCGTGGTATTGTTATATATACAAATTGTTTGCCCGCTTATGCTTGTCTTAGGGTTTGTTCCTCATTCATTTATATTGATCCGCCACGTTTTCACATCGGACATGGCACTAACATGGGATTCATTTCTCTGTCGTATGTCTGTCTTGTCAGTCTTCCGAACTGCAATATGATAATATGATTTTGCAACAGAATCCTAATGAGTCTCTTCGCTATGTGGAACTACAATCGGCTGAACAGAAAGAAAGAAACGCAGTGTCTGGCAGAAAACATTAGCGGTGATAGAAAATACGATTTCGAGGACATGGGCGACGCTAGTCCTCTTTTTAGGTGAGTTCCATGACTCAACTGTAATGCTACACTGACTGATGAATATGCAAGGTACACCATATGAAACATACAGCTAATTCGAGCCGTACTTCTTAAGCATTTTTATTGCACTTCGGGAATGACGCACACCTACATTTCATTTATGATATAAAGTACTGGCATGATGTGGCGTAGCATTGACACCAAATATGGCACGTACAATCACAAGAGGTAATACCTCAGGTGAATCTGATAAGTCGACAATAACGATGAAACCGCTCATTCTATACGACATCCCCTCCCAATTGCCTGGAAGCTACTGGTCTCCAAATACATCAAAGCCCAGGTCAGCATGCTTGGCGTGAGTGCAGATTGACATCCTTACCTCTTGTGCCAGGTTCGTGTTAAGCTATAAGGAGCTACCTTTCGAAACTGTCTGGGTCGAGTACCCAAATATTGCGCCTGTTCTCAAGGGTCTTGGCTTGACGCCCAAAAAGAGATTGGATGGTTCAGACATATACACCGTCCCCGTCCTCAACGACCCTAACACCGGCGCTCTGATCGATGAATCCCTTGAGATCGCAGCATATCTCGAGAAAACATATCCTACAAAGCCCATCTTCCCTCACGGCTCTCATATGCTCATTCGCGTATTCGACTCTGCATATCTCGATGACACGCAACCCATCGTGAAGCTGATATACGTGCGCGTTGCTGAGATTCTGAACCCCGTAAGCGCGGAGTTTTTCCGTCGGACGCGCTCGGAGAGGTTACAACTTCCGTGGGAGGAGTTTTCACCTGAAGGTCCGAAACGCGATAAAGATTGGGCATATCTTGAGCAGGGTTTCAATAAGGGAGAAGCGCTATGGGTCAAGAGCGGCAGGGAGTGGGTTATGGGAGATACGTTCTCGTATGCGGACATTATCGTGGCAAGTCGGCTATTTTGGTACAAGCGTGTCTTGAAGGAGGATGAGTGGGCAAGGATCAGCTCTTGGAATGGAGGGAGATGGGCAAGGGTGCTGGATAAGGTTCAGCAGGAATGTCACTTGTCGTGATATGAAATCCCGGTGGCTTGAGATCCCCAAGTTATAAATACCAGAATCCCGTATTAAGTGCTGCAGCTGCCGACGATATTACGCAACCCACCATCCTGTATGACATGGTACCAAGCAATCTTCGAGAAGAGACTGGGCGCCCAATTTGAATGGCATGCCGCAAGACCGATAGGCGTAATAGGTAGCCGATTGATTTTGTTCCGGTGTCCCGTTTGCGGAAGTCGTAAAACATAAATGATCCATCATGATGTGCAGTGAAAGTGACACCCAGGCACCCTGCATGAGTGGACTGTCATGCATGTCATGCATGTCATGCTTGGCCGTGGGACGTCTGTAGCCAAAAACACGGCAAGCCGACTGTCACTTTGATGTCAAGCGCATCTTGAATCTTGAAGAAGGATGAGTGGGACAGGAATTCAGTATCCCATGACCTGTTATGACCATCTGATCAAGATATTCCCTGCATGTGATATGCAATGGTGTGAAAACGACAGCTTTCACGGGTCGGTACGTATACGGGTGACCCGAGACACTCGAAGCCTCCGAGGTTATAAATACCAGAATCACAAATTTTGTAAGCACTTGCAGCCGCTCTCAATGCAACCCATCGTCCTGTACGATATACCATCCAAGCTACCCAAGAAGAAATGGGCGCCCAACCCATCAAAGACAAGGTGCTGTGAGCATATTGCAACACCTGATAACCGGCTCACACACTACGCGTCAGATTCTGTCTTGGCCATAAAGGCCTTCCGTATGAAGTTATCTGGGTGGAGTTTTGTGACATTGCCGCAACCATGAAAGGTATCGGCGCATCCCCAACAGCTGGGAAAAGGTACACTGTCCCGGTCATTAAGGACCCAAACACTGGTGCAGTGGTCTCCGACTCCCATGCTATTGCCAAATACCTCGACGAAACCTACCCTGACAAACCACTTATACCTCGCGGGGCAAATGTACTCGTAGAGACCTTCGAGACCCTATTTCTCAACACGGTCATGATTCCGTCCTTCAGGCTCCTTATGACCAGAACTCTCGAGATACAGAATGATATTAGCCGGGAAATGTTCATCGAATCGCGGTTAAAGATGTTCAGAGAAACACGCTGGGAAGATATGGCTCCTGAAGGGAAGGCACAGCAAATGTGGGCTGCATTAAAGAGGGGCCTTGGTGTGGTGGATGGGTGGTATCAAAAGAGTGGGGGTAGGTGGATTATGGGGGACACTTTCTCGTTCGCAGACATTGTCGTAGTGTCTTGGATGGTTTGGTGGAACGCTGTCTTGAACAAACAAGAGCGCCAAGAGGTCCACGCGTTACACGGGGGAAGATGGGCACGCCTTTTGGTAGATGTGAATGTTGAGTGCAACACAGATTTGGGCTCCTTTGAAGAACATAGTCATTCCTTCTTATGAGTTTCGCAGCCTTATGCTGCTAGGTAGAAGTTGTGTATGTACATGAAAAGTTCTGCACAAATAAGGACAAGCTAATAATCGTCACGCACGTGACCGCGTTTCCTCACTTGAACGCGTCCGTGCTTGCTATGAACGTATTCCAACAATGAGTTGCAATTATAGCTTCGGTATGAACGGAGGTAGGAATCGACGCATATGACTCATCTTGATTTAGACACCGAGGAAGATTCTTCACGCGTGCCCCAGGCTCCAGGTACCCTTCAACATCTCGCGACAGAAGAGGAAGCTGAGAAGGCAGAAAACTGTGCTAAGTTCGTTAATCATATGTTTGAATCCTGTCGTATCACCTTACATATTACGCAGAATCCTAACGGAAAGTAGGTTTCCAGTCAATGACATTGTCTGGTGCCACTGAAGCGACCCATGATCAGCTTTCGGTCATGCAGAGTACAAGGGGAAGCAAAAGGAAATTATCCAAGCTGCTACTTCTGGTGAGTCATTGCAGCACAATTGTATGAAAACTAATTAATTGCCATACAGGATTGGATGTCTTTGTATTAGCACCGACGGGAATGGGCAAGGTATTTGCAAACGAATAACAACAGAACATCTATTACATCTCGCGGTCTACAGAGCCTGTGCTTTCAGATTCCAGCAGCCGCAGATAAGGTAGACTTCTGAAACCACTGCTTGATAGGCGCTGAATTTATCATAGTTTGGCATCTCCATCATAGTTTCGCCACTATTGGGTCTGTGAAACCTGCCAATCGAGGTTGGTTCAATAAACTGACCCATTAATCCAGCCCTGATGAAAAACCGTACGTTGCGTGCCTGTTTGTCTTTTCATCCGAGACTGGACTGGATTGTGCAGAAGTATCGAGTTTGCGCCGCAAAGGACTCCCCGCGGTCTCTTGGACATCAGACACACCGAAGGGTGAACGAGATCAAGTATTGCTGTTGCTTTTGTATACTTTGAATTTACTGAGTTAGGTTTTATAGATCATTGAAGACCTCGAATCAGGGAGCCCACAAACTCGTCTTCTATATAGTGAGCTTGCTTAATGCAAGAATGCACATGCAGTGAGCTGATCACAATTTCGAGCAGCGACACCTGAAAGGCTATGCACGCGTGAAATGATGCGTCTTCTTGAAATTGTTTATGCGAAGGGCGAACTCAACAGACTGGTTGTGGACGAGGTAAGCACTATCTGCGGACAACGTAAAAACTACTTATTCATTCATTCGCAGGCTCACTGCATCTCTGTGAGCATCATAACCCTTCTCACTTTCAGAACTTACTAACAACAACTAATATCGGTTGTTTCCATAGGAGTGGGGCCATGACTTCCGTGAGGAATATCGCAAGCTAGGCTCTTTCCGGGAACGATTTCATGGGGTGCCCATTATGGCCCTCACAGCAACAGCTACCCCGAGGTATGTTCGTCAGGCCGCAGGCATTATTCTATGCTTTATTTGGATCTTTCTGTTTCGTACTTATATTGTTATGGCTCCAGTGTTCAAACAGACATTATACGCAGCCTCAAGATGTCCGGAGAAAGATTGTTTACCGCTTCGCACCCCTTCAATCGTGCCAACTTATTCTATGACATCAAATACACCGCGGCGCTCGACTCCCTATCTCGTATGTCAGCCGTATATGATTTCGTAATGACCCTACACCGTCGCCGGGCCCGACCGAGCTCCGGGATCATTTATTGTCGTACCCGCTTAGCGTGCGATGAACTATCGGCCTTTCTAAGGGGAAAGGGCATCAGTGCCAGGCCATATCACCGCGGAATTAGGTGCGTCTGGAGCGAGTTCTATACCAAGGTCCCTAATTTGATTATGGTTGTAAAGCTCTCATATGCTTGATAAGACGTTAAGCGAATGGGAAGCAGGTGGAAACGGTGATGGCGGTGTGGATGTGGTGTGTTCTCTCCGTGTTCTTCAGTCGTCTCTTCTAACATATTACTTAGGTCTGCGCAACCATTGCTTTCGGAATGGGGATCGATAAAAGCGATGTTCGGTTAGCTCTCTCTTCTTGAGAGCCTGTGTGATACTGACGCTGACAACTAAGTTATATTATCCACTACGACCTTCCGAAGAGCTTCGAAGGTGTGTATTCTTCACAAACTACTGTGAAGAACATCATTGACTAGCAGCCCATATCATGCTCAGGATATTATCAAGAAACAGGTCTAGTTGTACCATCTTAGTTCGCTCATATTATCTCATAACTAGTTTCTCCAAACAGGACGAGCGGGCCGCGATGGCTCCGTGAGTGGGTTGTCGTGTCCCTTTCTCTTGCTGATTATTTCCTTTTAGCCATCTAAATGTGTGCTCTATTACTGTAAGATCATCGTTGTATGCTAACGGACACAACTAATGTTTGAATGCAACTTACAGCTCGTGAAGACGCCTTTCGCCTCCGCAGGCTGGTGTCTGATAGCCATGCTAAGAGACAGCAAGCTGCAAACACCATGTACGGTCCCCAACCCAGTCAAAGATCCATTGATAGTTTCAGTGCAGTGAGCGACTTTTCCCTGCTGGCGTCAGAAAACTGACAAGTTTCAGTTGATTGACTACGCGGAAAACGCGACGATATGTCGACACGTGGTTGGTCTCATCCTGCTCACTAGCTAGATCGACTTGATCTAATCCCATTCGATTCAAGTCCATCTGCAAGTATTTCGGTGAACAAATCGATACGAGCGACAAGGAGGTCGTCAAGAGCTATTGTGATAATATGTGTGATGTGCGTCTCCTCTATTCTCCTCATCAGTTTAATCCGTGATAGAGCGCACCCCAGGTGTGCAAATACCCTGATAAAACCCTGCGCAGAAAACAGAATCTCTCCTCAGAGGACCGCGTTGCCACACTGTCGCACTCGCGTTCCTTCAATGCGAATGTATTCGAAGACGACGTTGAGGGTTCATGTCCGCCACCTCAAAGGCCTCCTTCCGGTCAGTCCAATCCTGGGCAGGCGGGAGGTGGTGAGCTGAGAAGGCCCAACGCCCGTCCTGCAGGTCCGCCTGCCAAGAAGGCAAAGCTAGCGGCACTGCCACCTGCATTAAGTGAGCAATACGTGTTCGATATTGAGTACTCCATCTGACACCGTGATAGTCACAAAACCTTATAGTTCTCTCGGTACCTTGAAAAAGCCATTCAAAACACCGTTCAAGGTGCCGTTCAAGCAGTCTCCACAAGAAGCACGTGTTGTAGAATCTTCGGATTTTCAGCAAACAACTCAAACATGTGAAGAAAGAAACCATGACAATGACGAGATTGACGTCGTCAAGGTTTGCTTCAATTCTACTCGGCAAGTTCCACGAGACGAGCTGCTGCAAGACCATGTCCTGAAAGAGGAGCTTATGGACTTTGGTCAAAGTGGCGGTGATGTCTCCCTTGACGATGGTATGTTGTTCAAACGCAAGCGGTAGCCATGAATTTTCAATACCACTATCTTTCAGAACCTCAGATACATTTGCCCGAGATTGATATCGAACTGGAAGCGATGATCTCCAAGAAAATACCCGTAAGTTGAAATCTTGCGTAGTACACGAAAATGATGGATGATGTCGCTTAGGACGCAACAAGGAAAGAAGTCTTCCGCACCATTAGACAAGCTTTACACGGAGCTCTGCGCTGGGACGATAGCGATGAAGGATTGTGGGTTAATTTGAGCGATGCTCCATCCAACACCGAAGCAAGGTACTCCTCATGTATCCATGAAGTGTACATCCTGACAATTATCACCGGCCTAGACACCTACTCCTGGCAGAAGCCGCTAAAGAGATAGAGTACTCTGTGCACACAATGTCCGCCACTGAGTCTGGCTACAACCAAAGAGCAAGAGCGAAATTGCATGTGGTCAAGCTCATGGAGCGTAGAGAAAGTCTTTGGCCGATCGACGCAGCTCATTATGATGAGGATGAAGAGGAAGCGATCGAGATGATAGGATTGTTGAGGAACATCTGCAGTCGCTGGAGAAAGATTGGTAAAAGAAAGGCCCCATAATCTTTGTCTCTCGCCTATGTGGATGTGGAGAACATGCGATATAAAATTTATCAGACAGTGCGATGATTCATAATGATAAAAACGAGATCGTACCATGCCTGTAGTATTCTCAATCCAACAAGTAAGCTTGGTATAGGGTCAGACTTCACGCGTTCATCTCTTGATTCTCCTCCAGCATTAGTATTTCCCTCAGACTTTAGCGCGTTAGCAATCATGTCAAGGAGCTCCGCAGTAGAAGCAATTGGGGTCCTTGTGGACCCGACTTATCGTGTAGGAGGTGGGTCAACTCGGAAGACACCCCTATCCAAGACACAACCTTCACGTTGGCTCAACAACTCACGATGGCTTACAACGACTTAGTCCAACCGTCCTCTCCCATTAGACTGGGTACTAGAAATCTCCGCGCATTTCGTGTTGCTCATTCGTTTCGAAAACACGTTTCAATGTATTAGCATCATGGTATCTACTATCTAGCCATCTTCTCAGCTTTGCTCGTGTGTCTACTCGTACGGGCGAATGCACCACGAGCATAACAGACTTCCGAGTGGACAGAATCAGACAGACAGGGATCATCACTCTCGTGGCACATTTACTGATAGATCTTTTTAATATCCGCCATAGGTTTCCGATGAGCCACTCACAGTCAATCAATGTAACAAGAATAGTTCGCAAGCGCCATCATCAAAAGAAGTGCGCAGGCACATTTGATAGCTAGTTTTTATGCGCGCTCCGAGCGTTCCCACCAATACTTAATTGTTGTTCCTGATTCTTCTGGCAAGAACAGCGTTTTCAAACACCGTCCTTCGAATGACTCGAGCTTGGATCGAATTCGTGTTCTTCGTGGCCGGACACGTGCAGCTTTTGAGTCTTGACTCGTGTGCGGTGAGTAGGACTCGTTGGGATGGGGTCTAGGTATTGGACTGTTATCCATGGATGATTTGAGAAATGATAAGTAAATCGATAACTCAGTCAAACATTGATATGAAGGAGAGCGTCAAAAAGATAGCTACCGGCATGTGCTTGAAAATATGAATTAACGTGGGGCGGACCCGGGAGGTGGTGTAGGAATTACACCAAATGAGGGACCAAATCGTGTGGACAACGTGCAATATCAAATCTCATTATCATGCTACTGTACTGCCATGTTCGCAGTCCAGAGACCAACACCTTCTTCTCTTTGACCCATCATATGCAAGAGTCGCGGTCGGCCGGATCCTCTGCGAAGGGACATGAGCGCAGACGATCCTGCAAATCTGTTCCCTGAACAAAACCAATTTACCCAAGATGGAGATACAAGCTTCTTGCAAAACTCACCACCTTCGTTCCCAGATCGGTTACAAACGACCACGAGTAGTTCGTTGGGGATTCCCTGTTTCAAATCCTTGTCATTTTCATGTGTCGCCTTCTGGTCCTGGATGGTCGTCCATAATGGGTTCAAACGCATAGCCCAGTAGTTTATGACTTCCCAACTCGGCTCCATCTCATCTGCGTCGTCATTCTCTTCCGGAGTCGTGTCATTAGCAGAATCAGCATCTGATTCTTCTCCATCTTCGTCGGGATGCAACCATGCATTTAGAAGTATCAAAAGCCGCGTGCCCGATCTCATGCAGTGTCGAGCTAGTTCATACGGTCCTTCTTCGAGCGACTCCCACACAGCAGGGTCCTGCACATTCAAGTCATTGCAAATCGCAAGCGTAGTTGGGCCCAGTGGATGCGGCAGGGTCATTGTCGTGAACCCAGATCCAGGAACAGCCCAAGGAAGATCGAGTTTGTAGAGGTTGGTCTTGCGATATGCTCCGATGCGCTCTCCTGTAGGTCCATACATGACTGCACTGTTTGCACCGATGCGGGGCTGATGAAACGATAAACTATCGCCACCGAGTGGAGGGGCATGTTCACGTGGATCGAGCTTCTCAGGATACCCAGCGACCACACAACATTCAAGGGAGCGTGCCAGCTCCGCACAAAAAGTGGATGTCGGCCCTGTGTGTGGGTGTTCAAGATACGGTGTGATAGCAGCTGTGTCCTGAAAGACATAGCCTGATGTGCATGATCAGAAACATACGCAGTAGCAATTCGGAAGTGCGAGAACCGGCTCACCGGAAAAAATCATCTCTGGAAAACACAGGAGATCAATGGATCGGGGCTTCAACCTTGCAGATAGGTGTGAGATGGTCTTGAAACGTACTAGTGCGTGATGTCGCATACCCATTGCATAATTCTCGAGCCTTGGCTATATTGGCTTGGACTTGGCCGAGCTTTATGACGTTAAATCGTAGCTGTTTTCATCCCCGAGGAAATATGGACTGACCTTTGGAGCAAACTGCACGACGGCCACACGCAACTGCGTAGGGATCATGATCATGGGAGCAACTTGACCGCGATCAAACCTTAAGGCAGTGCTAGGTCAAACGTACAAATAACGAAAGATAGGAGTAAGAGTAACAATTCTCTATAGCCAACCTGGACCCTGTTGTTTGTTCAGCTCCACAAGTAAATAGACGGTGAGACCAAATCTCAGGCTGCTGTAAACTAGCTGTCGGCCCCACATACTACTCCATTGCCAGCACATTCCTCGCACGGCAGGAGTCCCCACAGGGGCCCGTAATTCGGTCTTCTAACTACTAGCCCAAGGGCTTACAGTCAAGAAGCCGTGATACCACTCTTACGTCGGTTTACTCTCGCCTCAGGTCATCTAGTCAACGAGAACAAGCCTCGTCTCATCCCAGAAGACCATCACCTTTTCCCCCGGAGCTGGAGGTCCGCAAAGCGGAGGACTTCGGGGGAGAGGCTGTGGGCTATCTATCAAGTCCATCACACCAGCTGCAAGTTACTTTTTTGGGATTGGAGAGGAAATATCTGTAAAAACAAAACCATCCAAAAAAAAAACTGAAATAAGATGCCAAGAAAGCCACGATAATGTGAGAAACGAGAAATCAATAACACAGCGTTCAACACAGAATAGACCCAAAAGAAGTATAATATAATGGACTCCACTTGCATAGTAGATGTAGGCGAACAGATCACTGCTCACGAGACCGCAATGAGGGTCCGTTTGAAGGGATCTCATCTCGGGATCCAGGACGCGAATGAGGCTCCTCTCTTGCAGCTGAGGGAGCAGGATACGCATTCATTATGCTTGCAAATGTCGGAGGCACTGGCAATGGTGCATTAGAACCAGCAAGATATGGCGATTGCTGTTGCTGTGGGGGAGGTGATGCTTGTGAGGTGGGTGTCACATTTGGTGGCGAATGATTTGCGAGCTGACGCGCGCTATGTGAATGAGAGCCACTGTGTCGCCTGTCTTCAACATCCCTGTGTGAAGGAGGGCGGTACTCGTGGATACTTAAAGTGTCGGCGGATTGAGGTGGGGGAAGAACGATAGTCGTGAAAGGTTGCGATTGCAGATGTGGGGGAGGGTGTATGTAGGAAGAGATATCTTCAGCATGACCATCGGCAACACTAGATTGATCTTCTGGAAGTGCAGGAACGACGGCCGCGTGTCTACCGCCTAAAGGTCTGTGTTATATCGTGTCACAATTCAGAAAAAAAGGATGAGAGGAGAAAGAAAAAGAGCGGCCAGCATGAATGATAGTACAGCCCGCGGTACCCGCTGGTCCGCCTCCCATTCCAACAATTCTAAATACTGCACTGGCCCTAGGAATTATCACTCACCCTCCCTCAACAAAGTTCTGCCATACATAATCGCGCAGGCGATCAGCATTTGGAAGCTCCTGGATCAGGTGCTTGATTGTGTTCTGTCCTAGCCCAAAGAAGTCGGGCCCCGAGACAGAATTCGAGTGTTGGCGATTGCGAATATTATTGGCTTGCTTCACAATAGTAGACCATGCACCGGTAGCAGTGCCGGCAATTTGAGGACGATCTGGGACATCAGATGCGACGATCTTGAACTTGGGTCCATCTCCGCCATCGAGGATTGAGCAAGTGTACACAGCGTCTGCGGTGGGATCCACCGTCGAAGAGTATTTTCTGCCAAGAGGTATTGATTGAGAGCATTACTTTGATTCAGATGGGTGCTCACCGTGTCACCTCATATCCAACAGGGAAGATGTACCGCTCTGTGTGAAAGTGCTCTCGCATGCACACCTCTCCGAGTTGATTCACTGTCATGATGCCGACAGTGAGTGGCAGTAATGGACGTCCTTGTTTATCACGTGGAACGGTAGGGATGCTGTAGCTCTTTGTTGTAACAGTATGGGCCTTCAAACGTTTAGGCTTAGCATGGCGCTGAACCTCGGTTGCGCGAGACGATGGCATAGGTGCAGGGGGAAGCCCCATGTGCGGAGGTAACGAAGGAGACGGACCGACAAGTGGAGGCGTATTTCCAGGGACAGGAACCAAGGCAGGGTGCTGTGCGCCACCGTTGGCACTAAAACGTACTGGGTCATAATGAGGCTGCTCGTCGCGAGGGGATAACAACGGAGAAAGTGATGATTGGGAATGTGCCGGATTGCTTGAAGGGATAAGGTCATTTGGCGAAGGCCGCACAGGAGGCTTGAGGCGAAGACGAGTGCCTTTGGTCGAGACAAGAACAGGGGTTCCTGGGCCACCTCCCTCTGGAGCAGGGACCACGCCCATAGCGGGCTGCCCATGGGGAGACTGGCCCATGGCCTCTTTCCCTTTAACAGCAGCTCGAGGTCGCTTTGGTTGGCGACGGGCTTCACGAGCCTCCTCCTCGGCACGGTCTCGATGTTCATCTTCTGCGCGCTTACGAGCCAACGGGCCGACATGCCGCGAAGTAAGTAGTGGATCAAGCTCATGATCATCAGTTTCCTCCTCCGCCATTGCCTGCCGGAGGTTGGATACGAAGTATGAACGGGCTTTCAAGGTTGAGAGGGAGCGAGGAAAGGCACTGGACGGCGGATAAGGAACACCCGAGACGTTAGGCTCAGAGTGTGTTTCAAGTTCACGAATGCGGTCGAGCATCTTGCTGGAGTGGAGAGTCAGACTAACACAAGAGATATCGGTATTACAGGCACACGCACTCCCGTTCCTCCCGAAGTTTCACATTACGTTCCCCAGAGAGTCTTAACTCGTGCTGCGCCTCCTTATGTTTCTAGAGCGAGTTTGTTAGTTCGATAGACGACGATGAATGATGACTGCTCACATCCTCCAAGTCGAAAAACTTTCGTTTCAGTTTTCGATATTTATCCAAAACGGATTCTTGATTTTCTTTTGGAGGAGCGGGTGGTGGCTGCTGGGTGACTTGCAACGGCGGCGGGGGCGGCGGACCCATGACGACATCAGCGGGTGGGCCCATCGTTGTTGACGATGAGCGACGGCTGGACATGGAGTTTGTGTGAAAGTGGAAAAGAGAACCGCACAAGAAGCGCGCAAAGGTAAAATCCAACCAAGCTCAAACACGACTACACAGCCTAGCCCAACAAGACTTTTTGATTTTTTTGTCAACGTCAAGCCATCACATTGACGGCAGATTCAGCTTTCGAAACTCTCTTTAACTCCGTTTATTCGTAATGAAATATTTTCAAGGGTGCACCCTATTTTTCTTCTAAGAATTATCGACTTTGAAACTTGAAGAGCAGAACAGAATTTGGTGGAGATCTCTCGTCAACTTTGCCACGGCGAATCTGCCACGGCGTTGAGTCTGCCACATCATTTCAACCACCCTATTACTCCCGGAACCTTGAGCCACGCCACTACCGCTTTCCTTTTTTCTATTTCTGGTAGTCACTTGCATCCTCTCTCAACTCACATCTTCCAAATCGTTTCTACATTTTCATCCTTTGTGAGACAGAGGTTAAAAATAGCACTCCTGCTCAAGTTCGGTGCCTGTGCCTACCACCACTGAACGTTGAACACCAAGATATTCCCTTGGCTTAGCCAGATATTTTGATACATCAACAGGGACGAACCAAATTCATAGCGATCCTGTCAAGGACCTGACAGCATGCTAGGCTATGCAATCCCTATGCTGGCCAAATCTATATTCCTGCCAGTGTGAACCTGATCTTCAGAATCCCTTCCACGCGCGTGAATCATTTGTACTGATCTGGCTCAAAGTGAAAGCCGCATGGGGCGCCGGTCAGGCGCTCTGTGAGCGCAACATAAACGCCAATAGTGCCGAGAGAGGCTGGGAATGTCATTGCACATTATCTGTCGTGTGATGTGCCAGCACATGTGCGTGTTACGATATACAATGAACATACCTACCGAAAAAGTCATTCCAGCGATGGCTCCGCGAGGATAAATTATGAACTCCAATTTGTATCGCACTGGACGGATTCGAATGATACATCATCAGAACAAAAAGACACAGCAAAAAGCGTACATAGACGAACAAAGGAAAGGATGGTATCGAAAATACAATGACAGAGAGTGCGTGGTATAGATGCCCGAAATCATGCTTTTGAAGTTGGACGAAGTACCAGTAAAATGCCGTCCGAGTGTCCAGAGAAAATAGCGTCAACGGAAATTTCCTGATCAGAGGTCGATGAAGACATCGAGGACGGTGGCCGCGAACGGGAAGACGATGAATGAGAGGCGCAACGTGGGCTTGATGGCATTCGGCAGTTGATTCTTGCGTCTCCGAGCCTGCGCCGCGATAGCGGCGTATCTTGCTCAATTTCACTCCTTGAATGCAGGTGATTAAAACGAGAACGAGATACGGGCGGAAATAGCCGGTCAATACCTTGAATCTCTGCCAGCAAGTAACAGCACAAATTTACCAAAACCGAAGCCACCATCGCTTGGTTGCCCTCGATCGTTGACGCCCCATGATTTGATGACATCGATCCAGCTGCGTACGCTATGTTCTGTGCGACTAGTGACAAAATCAAAGAAACTTCGACCCAAAACCTTGGTAGTTGACAGGAGAAGGTCGTTGGAACAGTAGAGGACCGTGCAATGAATCGAGAACCGGTCAAGGATGAGTGCCGATCTTAGGGACTGAGGGGGTAGAGGATTAAAACTAATTATTGTTGGTTTCTTGCCTCGGCTGCGGCTTGATGATGAATCGCTAGTGTCCGTGTCTGTGGAAAGGCAGCCAGCTCGTGAAGTGAGGTCGGATATACTGGGACTAGATGTCATCGGTGAAGGGTCGCCCCATCGCTATTCATTTTTAGACAAGCAGTCATGAATAAAGAACGATGCCTACCCTGAGCTCGAAGTTCTTGGCAGAAGGTGTGACAACTTCAACTTCTTGCGCAGTAGATGTATTCTGGAGCGCTTTCCCGCCTGGTGAGGCAAACGATACGCTGCCTACTATAACGCTGTGCACGACGGTCCGAGACTGAACCGAAGTTATAAATCAAACAGTCAAATAAAGGATCAAGACTACTACTCACGACTGCACAAAGAATGTATCCTTTGAAGGGATCTTTATGCTTTAATCGAAGATATGCGAGAGCAGCGGCTTTGTCTTCGTGGATAGTATCGCTAAAATCATAATTTGGTCATTCATCGGGAAGTGAAAAAATATTATCCGTCAACGTACTAGTGCATCTGCTTTACCTGAGAGAACTCGTCTGGATGTACAAGCTCCAAAGCAGGGCGACCTATTAACTCGCGGGGTTCAAAGCCTACAGCATCGTTAACGTCAGAGGAGCACTAAATGGCAATTGTCGTACCTAGCAAGTCGGAGACTGATTCAGTAAGGAACAGCCAGCGAGCCTAGACAAAAGGGCTTTATTCGGGGCCAGCGACAGGCGCTGTCAATTATGAAACTTACATCCTCAGAGAAGTCTACGATGGAAACTTCGCACAACGTTGAGCTTGTGTCATACGGCCTGAGGTAAGGAGGCACGTACTGAATGAAACGCGTGGTGTCTCTGATTCCATAGGTAGTCACTGTCTGATGGATTTCCTTGGCCAATAAAAAGTGTGCGTTATGTAGGCACGAATTGAATATGCGAGCCTTAAACTGATTTGTTATAACAGCAAATAGTACCGTCAGAAGTTAGAACTGACGACGAAGAGAAGTAAGGCTACGGAGGGTCGGGGGTCAACAGTGCTTTTATCTCTCCGTTGCAGAGAAGACTTAGGGTTTCAAAACCCGAGGAACGCTTGAACAGAATTACCAGAGTCATGGTGTTATTTTTTGGAGATTTGAGGTGATTGGGTTGAGTGTCATTATTTAGTAGTATTAGTTGAGTATTACTATCATTGATTCCAAAAAGGATATGCTTCCGTAATGAACACGATAGATCTAAACAACATAAGGCAACATTATCCTCGTTCATACGCCAGGTTCATTCAAACCGTGCAACGCCTGAACAACGCGGGGAGGTCTCAGTGGGAATCGGAGTCGCCCAGGACTAGAAGCAGAATCCACGTCTAGTGCTACACTTGCTGTCAGTTTCTGCCCTCAGTATGATCGTGGGTTTAACAGATCTCTCACACAGGCCCGGGTAGTAATAGCCCACTCAGCAATCTCGACCCGGCCCAAGCTTGTAGTCACCTTGTCATTGGCTCAATCGTGTTCTTCTTATTGAGCCAAAAATATTAGATGTGGTCGAATGCTCGAGACGTCGCCGCAGGCGACCTCGTTATCATCTGGCAGGCACGTGTCTCACCTTTTGAAGTTTTAGGGTAGCTCACATACCTGTAATTGATTTATGTCAGACTCGAGAACTCATTCAACCTTTACTCATAACTCCAGGGAAGGACCTTAACTCCAGGTTTGGATATTACCGGCATGCAGACCTTGTTGGAATTCCCTATGGCTCCAAAGTAGGATCTCGCAATGGCAAAGGATTCATCCATGTTCTTCGACCCACTCCGGAGCTTTGGACGATGGCACTTCCGCATCGTACTCAGATCTTGTATCTTGCCGATATCGCGTTTATCACCTCATGGCTTGACATCAAACGTGGAAGCAGTGTCATAGAAGCAGGTAAGCGTTAAAAGTTGGACTTATAGCGGATAACACTGCTTTTGCCATCGTTCACAATGCTGCGCCACTTTTTTTAGTTTGGTCACAGCGAAAAAAAAGACACGTGGATCATCGTTCTAGTCTTCATCCATCCTTGTTTACTACGCCGCATTGATGTGTCCTCTCGATTGATGAACAGATTAACAACGTGGCTCAGATTCAAACTTGTTCTGTCTATCTCTTTTTGTGTTCATATCCCTTTCATTGCCTTTTACTAAATGCCTGTGCCAATCGGAAAATTGACCTCCGTGGGGTGAACCCTTAATTCACCACGTACGTCACGCAGGTACTGGTTCGGGATCGTTCTCCCACTCCATCGCAAGGACCATAGGGTCGGTAGGACATCTTTGGTCATACGAATTTCACGAGGCTCGCGCAAGCAAGGCCCGGTATGCAGCCTTCCGCTTTAAGCCATAGTAAAGAATCTAATGTCATTCCAGGGAAGAGTTTTCGCTCCACGGAATGGCAGACATTGTCACCCTCACACACCGCAACGTGTGCAAGGACGGTTTCACAGTTGAAGACACGGTTGATGCAGGCATGTCTCTTCCATATCATACAGAGTGATCGCCTGAGCCTGTTATCCATTTTCTACAGTATTCCTCGACCTTCCGGCTCCATGGGACGCTATTGAGCACGCCAAGAAGGCGTTGAAGGTACGCCACTGTTTGTTAGTAATCAACATGTCCAATTTACTCGGAAATGAAAAGAAAACTAGCCCTACTCGTATATGCTGTTTTAGTCCATGCATGGAGCAAGTCCTTCGAACAGTTAGCGCCCTAAATGATTCAGGTTTCACGGGTATGTTTTTTAATGTTGAATGTTACGTAGAAGTCTCACCCGTGTACATCTGTTAGACATCACGATGTTTGAGACGTTATTGAGACCTCACGAGGTTCACCAACTATCACTACAGCCTCTAACCCAAGCGGTGGAGAAGCTTAAAAAATTGGAACAAAAACGTGAAGACAAACGTCAGCATCAGATCGCAAGGTCGAGTAAAAGGAAGCGGGATGATTTACAGGAAATGGACACTGACGATACGGGAGGGAAAAGGCTCAAAACTCAAGAATTGGCGGAGGAGGATGTCGGTATCCGTGATATCCCGAATGCTGTGGTGGACCCTGGCCAATCTCCCAACCAACCATCACAAATCAAAACATCTGTCTCAAAGGTGGCTCCCGACGTTCGGGGCCACACGTCGTATTTAACTTTTGCTCGGCTGGTACCTACAGCTCCCTCGGGTTCTGTCACCATTGGAGAGTAAATAAAATTGTATATTGTATTCTGGCGATATAAAACATAAAGCTATAAAGTACGGAGAAACCCCTCGAGCGGATCTACTCTGCCGTCGCTCTTCTAAACGCTCGTTCTAACTCAGCTTCTTCACGCAATTTAGCAGCGTTCTTCTGCGGGCGAGGCCGCAGGACTCTGCCGGGCGTCGTAGTTGGGTTTCCCTTAACAGAACTCCCATCACGTGTAGAAGGTGCATTGTCGAATCTATGATCGTCCTCTGATGCGCTATCGGTATCTTCTCTGATCCGCTTCTTTCTACTTTTCCGCTCTACAGACGAGTTGCTCTTGGAAGGGGTATTAGTACCACTCTTCGTTAGCGCCTTCACTCGCCCGCCTCTCGCTGACCTCCCGGCGGGAGTAGAACACGACTGACGTTCAGGTTCATCAGGAAGAGCGATCTCCGAGGCCTGTCTCCTCAAGTCGTCTTCGGCCAGCTCGAGCATCGACTTAGGCATTACATTACTCCGCCGAGAAGGCAAGTCAGCAGATACCTCCCCCATCTGCACATCTTGGGCGAAATGAAGCGGCGAATCGCGGGGATGTGTATCAGACACCGCAACACTACTACGCTCGGGTACAGCCTCGTCGATTTCGGCGCCATCGTCACCGGTCGTCGAAGAAAGTAAGGACGAATGCAAAACTGTGTGCTGATCTTTTGGGAGATGAAACGGCTTCACCACATCGTCCGCGGTGGTGAGGTACCCTCCTGGTTGCTGGGGAGAGATTAGGTTCACATCCAAATCTCAAGTATGAATGGAAATCAAACATACTTGCTCGCCTTGATGTGCCTCAGCATTATGCGTATCCAACCAGTGCTGTGGCGTTGCATCATCCGTGTTAGATGCATATTGCTTGCGGAGACGATCTCGAATTCGAAGCCCTTGCACGAGACGTATCCAACGTTTGTGAACTTGATCTAAACGTTTGGCATGCGCTTTCTCTTCTGCGTCATTTTCGGCTTCCAAATAAGCCTGAAGACGAAATTGAGTTTAGTGGACCCAGCAAGATCCGTGATGTGGTAAGTTCACCTCCACTATGATGGTTTCGTTCTCCTCGGCCACAACAATTCCCTCCATTATCGGAATAGCTCTCCGATTCCTGAATTCAAAACCAGTCTGGAGAGCTTGTCAGCGCGCGAGTAATCGTGCAAGAGAAAGGCTCACCACTGCTTCTGCATAATCAAAGCCAAGCCTCTTGGCTACTTTGGCAACGCCCTTGACTGAAAATAATCAGAATTAAGTTCTGCGTCGCAGCTATCGCCGATTTCATCACGCACACGGGATATGAATGCTACCCTCAGGGAGCATTGACGGGACATACAGATCAATGTTCCCAAAATCGTTCTTGGGAACTTTTCCCTGCGAACACGAAGATCAGTCATGTGCCAGAAGTCATTAAGACTAAACACACGTCAACGACTGGCTTGGGCTTGTAAAGTTCCGTCTGGGATTTTGCGTATAGACCTTGCATGTCCTCCTGGCCATCTCCATCGTGAATATCTGTTCTTGCTTTCTCAAGCGCAAGCTCCATTTCCCGCTTGCGGCCAATGGTGACAGCACGTTGCTTGACCATCTTCATAGGCTGGCAACCTTCTCGAACCACACGCCCTTGGCGCATCCAGTTTTCCGCGGTCTTCAGAGATATTACCGAAGATCGAGGATACACGGGTTCGCCCCGGAACTTGCCCAATTCGACAGGAGGATCAATAACCTCCTCACGCTTCAGATGCCGTGAGAGGACATATCTGGACTTTGAAATTAGTATGATGCGTGAAGAAGGTGAAATTACGCTTGTACAAAGGATGGCCCTTGAATCCGGCAAGTGTGGTGGGCATGCCCTCGGTAAGCTGATGATTATGCAGTTCTGTATCCTCGGTATCATCGCGTTGCTACACGATCCGTGAGACTGCATTTACAGGCATAGAAGACATGACACACCAATCGATAGGGCCTGGTCACTAGCTGCACGAGACTGTCCCACCACTCTTTTCGCCTCCCTATCCCAATTCCTTGCACCTTCGCCACTTTAGCAGTATAGTCTTTGGCATATCGTGGTGTCACGTCACGGCCGAAACCATCCTCTTCTAGGGCAACCACGTAAGTCATGCGATTTTCTTGTGGTACTCCAGTCCTGAATGAGTTCTCAGCGGAGGGGTCAAAAACATGGCGTTTGTTGATAAAACCACGAATTGGATCGACCGGAAGCCACCGGCCATCTGCACGTGAAAAAACCTCTGTCCAGAACACAGGAGGAGTGGTTGTAGGGTCAAGGGGAGCTATTCAAGCACAAGCATGACTTCTAATGTGTCGAAGGTTGAAATATCTAGCATACCTCTAGTATTCGTTCGATTTGCAGAGTAGCCCTTGGTTTTCCTGAGCTTGATGACCGGCCGCGCTTTCCCTTTTCCTTTGGCTTGAGACGAAGCTTCCCCATGGGATGTGTCACCTAGAACTTCTGCTGGTGAATGAGAATTGATTTCTTTTGCACCTTCGAAATCACTGTCTTGCGATAAAACATCAGTGTCCCTGGCTTTCTGCTTCCCCTTCTGTCCAGACGGTGGACGACCTTTGTCGGCGGCTTTGAATTTTGGTTTTCCGACACCAGACTGCCATGGAATGCTCTGAAGACTAACAACCAATCTAGCAGGGATGTCCAATGCTCGACACAACGCAGTGAACAATTGTGCACTTGTATCACGAGAACCACTTTGCATCAAGGCGTGTTTCATAAGACTATTTGGACTTCGAACAGGCTCCACGTCGTCGCTTTCCTCGTCCTCAAAAATTGTGTTTCCACGTAGGGCAAGATCACGCTCGTTCTCGTCGAAAGTCCTGTTCCTGATGTGTCCCGTAGGAAGAACGTTGAAAAATGTGCCCGCCCACCATTCCACCAAGCGAGTAACGGCAGCCTCAAATAATCGACCTCGCTTATTCTGGTCGGGTATGCGAGACTTGTGTATTAGAGCAAGACCATTATGAAGATGAAGTGGTGTTAAGGAGAGTAATCGAGCCTGAAAGGCATTGATGGTCGAATCGATTAGAGAGAACAAGCCACTTACGTGAAGAAGTTCATCGTTCAGCCACTTATTCCGCACTCTTGCATTTGCAAGAAGACAAACTGTATGGACTTTGTGAGCTCTAGTCCTCAAGATACGTTCAGCTCGTGCTGCGGCTGCGGCTGCCTTCCTGGATGATCGGATGTCAGTACCTACGCGATGATATGTAGAAAGTACAAAGCAACTTAGAATCATCCTTCTTCGTCCCGGAGTGTAAGGTGATTTCAATATTCGCGCGTGGTACCGGTCCTTCCAACTGGAGTTCTAAGTCTGGGTTGGTTTCATGAATTTGCTGAGGAACATCGACCTCCTCCCATTCAAATTCTTCTTCGCTGCTATCTCCTGGTATCGACCGAGAGTCTAGCATCATGGCGAAAACTTGGTTGGTGGACAAGAGCCAAACGTCATCCTCTTCCGCGAGTCACGATTAATTGGTAGTCACGGCGCCGCGTCCATCACGTGGTGTGTATTGATGGGCTCGCTTACGTATTTATGAACTCCGCGGCTTGAAGTATTATGTATTCACACTGGCTGGTCCAGAGATTACTTATCGACACAACATATGCGTCTGCCAACTGGCATGCCTTTTGCTCCACGCTTCAATGAGATAAATTTCGAGGTGAGCCATGACGCAGCAGTCGCTCTGTTGATATCTTACGCCTACCATGCAAGAACCTCATTGCAAATGCGACACAAGGATCTGTTCAAGCAATCGCGCAACTAGCAACCCTTGCGTCAGATCATGCTTGCCTCCCGAGCCAATATGAGCGCATGATCAAAGTTGCTTACCTCTTGCTTGACGCTATCCATATCCCATACGGCGAAGACCCATCAGCAGATGATGTAGAAGCTCCATGTGCTGCCCTCACTTTTATCGGTTCCACATTTTTCATCTGGATATCAGACGATAAGATGGCGAGTGGCCTCATCGCAGACCTTCTAAGTCACTGGGGTGACATTCGCCGCTGGATCTTATATATTTATGAGGAATTCATTCAAGCGGAATCGTTTGCCATCAACACCCGCCGGGATTGCAAGACCGCCGTCGTGACCTTTTTGGCGTTGACCCGCGATAGGATGTTGAGTGGTTGGTCGAAGAAGGTGGTCTCGGATACCAAAATGATGCCCTTGATATTTTCCCTCTGGAACCTTGAAACCACAGATGCTCGATTCTCATCTCACACGGGTCAATTCAATGCATATCGTGAATCTGTTGTCCTTAACTCCTGCTTCCTAATCTCGCACGAGACGAAATCACCGATCGACTGGGATAAGGCTTTGATTCCTTTCGATGGACGGGCGGACACCGCGTCGAGGATTGCGCTCATGCACTTGTCGCAAGAGATGGAACGGCAGTACCTGGATCCAGAGTGTATAGCATGGGATGTGCATATCGTTACAGCACTCTCATTCCGCGATGACATGCGCCGGGCATTATTAATTCTAGGAGCAATAGTAAAAATCACGCACGTCATCCAGCTTATCGTTGGACGGTCTTTTGATCGAGCAAACCTCACATATGCCGCGAGGTGTATCTCCAACGCATCACTGTTTCTGCGGATTCGTATGCAAGAGAATGATGGCAATCCATGGATGTCGGAAGCCATTCGGTCAGATCTTATCAAAGGATTGCTGAAATCTGAACGGTACATACCGTTCATGGACAACGACAAGGCTCGTGAAGCACTCTCCGACATACTTCACATGATCATCCCCGCATACACTGTCTACCGATCATTGCTGCTGCCCATAGCGAAAGCAGTGAACGAAATAATCGACCTTGGACTGGACAAGCAGCTGGATAAACGTGGGAAATTATATGAGGGCTGGGTATGTCTGCAAGAAACGACCGAACGAAGAAAAGCACTCAACTACCATGGTCCTGAAAAAGTTCATGTACAAACATGCCACAACGATAATGTGTGTCGGATCGTCTATATTTTTGGTGCTACGTTGTTGACACATAATCAGTGCCGAAAAACTGTGTCGACAGGTACGCTCAAGCGGTGTGGGGGATGTCTCCATACGTATTACTGCAGCAAATCGTGTCAGCGGTATGACTGGAGGAGAGGGAAACACAAAGCATACTGTACTAGAGTTCAAGAACGTTCTGCTTGGTCTCGTGAGCGTCCTACTGTGCTTGTTCAATGTCCGCATAAGCTTAGCATCATCTTACAGTCGGAGAGATGAACAGCATATCGAATCGCGACCTCAAATTCCTTGACTGCGTCATAGAAGACGAGCTGAAGAAACACAGAGCGCGTATCGCTAATCATGGGCTCAAAATCAACGTCATAGAGTTAGACCTCACTCACGGAGAACCAAACATCACTTTCGACTCCAGAGGTGTTAACCCAAGCCCATTCAAGCTCTTGTGTCGATGCGAACACTACGCCAATGATAATTGGAAACGTCTACGACAACACGTTGCCAGGATAGATGAACCGGTTGTCTTGGTTCGCGCATTCATTCCGGGTGGAATTTCGAGAAAGGCGGTATTGCGGGCCATCCCACTTTTTCAAGTACTGGGACGTCCTCCCGAGCAACAATCACGCGTGTACGCCACCTACGTCTATACATGCTGTGGCAGACCGGGACAGGAAGCCAACAATAGTCCTCTCAGAAATTTTGCCAACTGATGGGTCATGAAGCGAAGCAGATAGTATTGTACGATAAGTGTGACTATCCCACTGAATAGTTCAACGCCACGGGTCGCGGCGAATGGAAAGTTTGTACGTACTAGGGCTGCGACCCACCTATATACATAGATTCCATTGTATTTCATCCGGCAAAGCCCATGTGATAGCGGCTTAGTCCGGCTAGGGGAAATTATGTAAAAAGCAACAGACAGGCTGCCGCATCGACAAGGACTCGGATGAATTGGAAGTGCAAAACGCGTAGACCAAATCGTGCAAATAATAGCGTAGGTGTGAAGAGACCAACGGTAGATTCACAACCAAAAGTCATGGTCAGCAGGTTTGAAAGTCAGCTATCCCCAATGATGATGTCATCATAACTACTTGTCATGTCCGACACAGGCGATATCCCCAGCACCATTGGCCATTCCTTCTCACAAATTGTTAGAGTTGAACAACGTGAAGATATCAAATTACAAACTATCTTTGTGGACGCAGCTGTCTTGGTGGAGGTGAGTAGCTACTACTACCCGTCATATGTAAAGTTTCGTGTCTCACACCTTGTTTGATATCAAGGAAATTCGGGTCAAAGATTACCAACTCGGTGGTCGGCCTTCCTCGAAACTAGAATTTTGTGGCATTTCCTTAGCCCCAGAGCAACGTAGCCTATTTGACATAGACTCAGAGCCTGAGGGACACTCCCCACTCTCGCATTCGAACGATATCGAAGAGTCCCAATCACTGCCACCCCCACATCTGAACGATATCGAAGAGTCCCAATCACCACCCCCACATCTGAACGACCTCTGGTATGATGATGGGAGCGTTGTCTTGAAAGCCGGAGATGACTTCTTTCGTGTGCATAAATCTATTCTCAGCCAAAAATCTTCTGTTCTTGCAACCATATTTCAACATCAGGCAGAAAACACAGAAACACATGAAGGGTGCCCTGTGGTCGCACTGAGAGATGATGCTGGAGACCTCCAGCAGCTCCTCCTTACGATATATGAGACATCGTATGCTTCACATTCTCAAAGCTCAGTAACTCCAAACTGATCTAATGAATCAGGTACTTCGAGGACAACGCGCAATATTTCGTTTATTTATGCGCCATTCTTCGGCTCAGCACGAAATATAAGATCGAACCATTGCGTGACTTGGCACTTCGGCGACTGAAGCGTAGCGTTCCAACGACACTCGCATCTTTCGATGATCCAAGATATCAGGACGACCGCGCGACCGCGCAAAAAAATGTCCTTGCGGTCATCAACCTTGCCAGGGAGACCAACTGCTTGGAACTGCTTCCTTGCGCCTATTACTACTGCTCCCGCTTGCCGACAAGAACAATCTTCGAGGGTAATGGTCGAGTTGTTCTAGCCCTACCAGACATAACCATCTGCATCCTCGGCAAAGATCAGCTTCTGGATATGCAACGCAAAACGACTCACCCGTTTTTATACACACTCCCAACATTGAAATTTGGGTCTCGTTGCAATTGTGGAAGTGATACTAGGTCCTTGTTGGAATATTCGCGTTGCATAATTTGATTCGCGGGTGCTGTGTGTTTTCACCTAAGACAGGAAACAAACTGCTCTTTGGGAAGGCACAGGTTATATCAAGTATCTGGGATTGTTCCATCCGACCATCATGTCCGCTCCATGACGTTTATCTCAGCAGAATTAAATATAATACTCTTACATTCACACTCATCAGGGTACCTCCGAGCGGAGCAACATGGAAAAATGCGACAACGTTTGCGAGATGTGAAACAATAGCATAAAAAGCAATGACCAAAACGTTCGTGAAGTGCGTGATGCGTAGACAAAATCGTGCAAATGACGTGAGCATGAGGGATATTGAAGGTGTAGATAATGTGAAAGAGGATGAATGCGATGACAATAGCAATAGATAAGAGCAATCAAAGCTTGATGACGAGCGGGTATGCAATGCTCCAAAAGAGGGGAATGGAATGAGGTCAATCATAGTGACAGAGAAATGACATGGAGAACGGCAACCATGCGCACTGGTATTAGAACCAAAAAGTTATGCAAGCGTAATTGATGAATGAGAAATGGAAATAAGGAAATGAGAAGAAATCAAGATGAATAATAAATTTACTCGTTATAATCAGGCAACAATAGTGCGGGACAATCTTCTGGAGACCGTCCTTCCAGGCACTATCGCCTTGAACGCGCGGAGAACGAGTGCAGCAGTAGCAGTGTTCTTGCTATCCTCCTTAGACGAGCGTGACGTGCCTGCACTGCAGGCCACGACACCAAGCTCATCCACAGACGCATTGCCCCACATGTCATCGCTAGACACTGGCTGAGGCATCGCCCGTCGAGTAGAACTAAACATGTTGAAGTTACGTGGATTGTTATTTGCTGGTTTACACTCCAAAGTAGAGGATGCAGTGTGAACAGGTTGGAGGTTGTCAGATTGGTATCCCTTGCCGACGCGTTTGACGCCTGTGGTAGACATAAGGAAGCGGTCATAGACGCCTTCCACACGACGGAGGTCAGGCGAATTGATGACCATCTGCTCCCCAGACTTGCGCGGTGGATAAGGTTCCACGTGGAAAGGAGACGCGGTGATATCAGTGTCATCGAACAAAATCGACCGTCGTCTGATAGGGTAAGGTGTTTGCATCTCTGTCTCATCTACATCGCCAGACCACGGCATAATTGGAGACGCGATGAACATCTTCCGATCGAGTATGGCAGACAACCGTGGCGTAGGCGCTACTACTGTTTCTATTCAAGAAAAATCAGCAACTGAGCTCATCACAGCACGCAGAGAACCCACCTCTCGTAAGATCAAACTCCAGCTTATCTACAGGCCTGATATGCCGGTCTAAATTCCCTTGGGACCTTGACTTTTCTCTTCTCTTCGACGGTGAGCCCAACCCATCCATGTCATTCTCATCGGCCTTGGGCGAGCGCGTCGAGATGGTGGCACGACGCTGGCGCCGGGGTGTCTGAGAAAGCACATTAATGGTAGACACACCAGCACGCTGGGTGAAGCCGGAGTTATCGGGAGACATATACCCCGAGAGCAAATTGCTCTGATCCGCGAGTGCCGATCGTCCAGGAGACAGCGGCGCATTAGGATCATCACAAAAGATCTCATTTGCAGCAAGCATGCGCTTTGGAAGGCGCGAAGATGAACGCGATATATTAGCATTGAGCGCCTGAGAATTAGAACGTGAAATGGGCGGTGAGAGGGGAAGTGCAGGAGGTGGCGTGATACTGGTGGATGCAAAAGCAAAGTTCTGGCGAGTTTCCTCAACAACTCCTGAAAATGAGTTGCATGAGCCCCGCACCCGTGAACGAGAGTGAATAAGCTTACTCTCAACATTCTGAATCCAGAGATTCATTCGATGAAGAGCTGTCTCTCGTTCCTTCTCAGCAGAATTCTCTGGGCGAATTTCCTCATAGCTGAATCTTCCAGCTTCACCCGAGCGGCGCTGCTCAAACTCGATGGGTTCCGGGGAAGCACACCACACAGGTGTCGTACGACCACCCGTGAGTTGCCCAAGCGTCGAGGACTTGTACATCCGAACGCCTTTGTCTGTGTCATAAAAGTTTAGAGTTAAACAGAGAGATGGTGATTAGAGAAGGAGGGACACACCAATAGAAGCTTTCACGCTGTGTTTGAGTCCAACAAATCCAGACTCACTCGCCCGGCACATCTCACTTGGCAGATTACATTCAGCTGGACGCACACGATCAGTCAGCATACAAGACAAGATGCATGCAAAGAACCACTCACCAGGCGCCGTCGATGCTGAATAACTCCTGTCCACCCCAAGCACCGAAACACTCCCTTTGCTCATCTCCAACAACTGCGCGCTCGCCCTCACCCCTATCCTCGCAATCTCTATATGCTCCGAGCTCAAATCCGCACGATAGCTCGTAACATTCGGATCGATTTCACTATCCGTCTCCTCTGTCAACACTTCATCCTTCATGTGCACCCCCAAGGGACTCTTCTGGCCGCTCGAAACCGGGGAACGACGCGCTTCCTGAGCCTCCTCCCTTTCAATCGCACACTCTACCTCTTCGTCGCTTAACTCCGTCTCATTATCACCGTTAATGTTTCCGTTGGCTGATGTCATAATGGACTCAGCTTCGCGCTGCATCTCTGTCAGTCTTTCCATCTCCCGTAACCGCTCGCGTTCGCGCTCCCACTCGCGCATACGGTCACGCACGCTGCCTTTGCCTACGGTTGAGGATGTGGTATTGGCCATACCGCTGACATTTACAGCTGTTGATACGTTCCCGAGGTCTGGAGTAGACGCGTTGTGGTGGTCGTTCAGACTTGTCCTCGACGTGTTCTGTCCGATGCTTATGTCCGTCCGCGATACGCTTTGAATGTCCGTTCTCGATGCATCACGAATGTCCGGCCTCGATGCGCTCCTAACATCCATCCTTGAAACATTCCTCAAGTCTGAAACACTCCTCAAAGCCCCCTTCGCCCTCGCCTTCGGCAATCCATGAGCACCCAAATCCACATTCTTCGCAAAACCCGTCAAGTCTGCCAATACATTCGCTCGAGAACGCGAACAGGGTTTACGACCACTCATTTTGGGTGTGCAGTTTCCTTTGTGTTGGGGAGTATTTCCTTTGCCGTCCACGACTGGCGAGTTTTCTTTTGCACGTGGCGTGTTCTCCCTCCCTGTCCTCGCGCCTTTCTTTCTTCCGCCATCCATATCTCTCAGAGCGAGATTTGAAGGCGTCCTCAATCCAAGTGATTTCGGGACTGGTGTGAGCGAATTGAGCGAATAAAATCCGGAGCTGATGTTCATGTTACGACTCGTATTGGAAGCATCGACGGAAGCGAGGGGAGTAGGTCCGAGCTTCTTTGCGCCCTTGACAACAGGGGATCCTTGTACAGTCGACAACTTCCGTCCTTGGCGATATCCATCCGCGTGAGGGTAGGGTGAGCGGAGCTTGGGTTGTGATTTCGATCGTGCGTGGTGCCTCTCGTTGACGCGGGTGTCCTCTTGGATCTCCTTTTCAGGTGTGCGAGACACCGAGGAGCGGGAGGGAGAGCGAGAATTGGAAGACCAAGGGAGCGAAATGTCAAGACGCCGCGAGACAGGCGCATCTTTGGGTACGGCATCTTTCGGAGTGGATGTGTCTTTCACTGGGGGAGATGTGAACGAGGATGAAAGTGTATGGCTGGGAGTCTGCTTCGTGGATGGAACGGCAGTAGAGGTGGATTTCTCTGTAATAATATAATAATAATAAGTATGCATCTTCTGATGAGGGTGAGACGCGACGGACTATGTATAAGCTTGTCTGGAACTGCAGCCTGCCAATATACGTCAGCCATGGCCTGTTTCGCCGTACACCTCAAATCAGCATTAGGAACAATCATGCGCTTGAGCAGCTTCTCCACAGGCCTAGGAATGGTGTATGCGCCTACCCATTTGCCACGCATCTATGCGATGAGCATCATCAATTGTTTGCCTGTTAGATTTGAAAGACTGAGAAAGATACTCACTGTCCTGCTCCAGTATTTCTCCAAGTCGGCTTTGCTTGCAAACTGCTCGCCCTCTTCATACTCGAATGGGGTGCGACCAATCAATATTTCGAAAAATGTGACACCGAGTGACCAGATGTCAGACTTCCGGGTGTCATGGGGAAGGCCACGGGCGCGTTCTGGGGAGAGGTACTTCACACCGTACAAAGTTAAGTATCACGTAAACGCGAAAATAGAGTGGAGAGAATACGAACCTCAGGGGTGCCGTATGTCAAATTACTGTGGAATGCTTTTGGAGAAGAAAGGTCATACTTCTCTGCGAACCCGAAATCAACCAATACGGGTATATTCTTGTGGGAGAGCAAGATGTTGGCAGGTCTGTGGCGCGTGCAAATTTGGTTAGCAAATTGTAGGACAAAAGATACAGAAAGGGTTGTTAACGTACTTGATGTCGTTATGCACGACCCCACGCTCGTGCAGGAAGTGGACACCACTCAACAGAGAGCGGAACCATTCTTTTGCGCGGGGTTCGGATACCTCGACGGGGACGAGGGTTGGTAGATATGCCCTGCAATACAAAATGATTTGTCAACCATAAGATTAAAAAAGCGTCGAGTGACGTACATCGTGATAAGCGCGTATGACGGGGTGATGATGAACGAGTGAAATGGGATAATTGAGGGATGCGGGTCGGCCTTGAACGAGCGCACGATCTTCATCTCGTTCCATCTACGTGTAAATAAAGATGTAAAGATATGTCAAAGATCTGTGTCAGACGAACCATGACACGAGGCAAGCGGACTTACAGCGAACGCACGCGTGCAGCCGTTGTGCTGGTCTTGGAGCGGTGGACGAGCTTAACAGCTACTTCGACGTCCTTATGCTTGTTGGATGAGGAACTGGATTTGGGACGGCACAGCCAAACGCTGCCCCAGTTTCCGAAGCCGATCTATATGACGTTCATTTAACTTGTTCGGAAGAGGGGAGACAAGACGTACCTCTTTGACGAACTGAAGACGTTCTGCAAGAAGATGATCTGAGAGAGAGAAAACGTCGTTGGCCTCTGAGGTGTCCGTGGTCATTGTTGCTGGACAGTAATGAATTGATGGTTAGATGCTTCAAGTGGTATGTAATGAGACTTGGGAATGGTAATGGTATACAAGTACACTGGTAAACGTGAATGAGAATCAGAGGAAGTTAGACCGAGACACCGTCGTCGTCTGCTGTAATGAGCAGAGTCAGAGCTAACGAGTCAGTAACAAGAAAATTGGTGGAACAGCTTTATTCAAGTCACAAACTCACATATACATATCACACTCGAACACTACCCAAATATTAGTAAATAACGCGTCGTTGCTTCTCAGTCACGTTACCCGTCAATTTATCAATAACATTCTCTCATGCACTGTACAATTTGGTGTGCCTGGCTGACGACCGTTCTCTAGATCAACTACCACCACCGCGTACGTGGCACGGAACGTATATACACGGAATAGTATAGATCTCAGTTGAGCCTCTAGGAAACCCGAAAGCCGGCGGTACTATAATCTGGGCCAAGCAGGGCGTTCTTCCATCTACGGTGAGTCGACTGCTCAGGCTAAATACGTTCTCAAAATCATAAAAAGCTTATTTTCAAGCGACGACTTTGTCAATCACATGTATTAATTTGAATAGAAGGTGCATTCCACTGTGCAACAGTTGAACAGGTTTTTTGGACCTGATAATCCCTGGTGCTCAATATCTGGGTCTGAATCGCGAAAGCGTAAGCTGGGATGTTTTGCAAACAACGAGGCTGGAATATCCTTGTATGCTGAGTGTTGGACAGCCCACATATGCTCCTCCCAGGTGGATCAAAAAGCTTAGCATCATTTCCAGTGCGAGGGCATCTCTCCCAGACCCACTTACGAGCTGATTGCACATTTGATTATGAGCTCAGCAGCCCAACGACACCGTTGTTCATAACGACAGCTGAAACATCATATAGAAGCTAATTTGGAATTATGATGCTCGAGTCCCCGAGCTGTTTGGCAATCCCACGTGAATGAAGTTCTCAGTTGGGAGGAGCGCCTTACTTTCCATCCTATTCTTGGATAGGAAGTCCTCCACGGGCTCGACCAACAAGCAACTACTTAGCTCCTACGTGCAAACATAACGAGTGCGTTCTTGCAGTGGGTTATTGAGACGACTGACGGAAATACTGTCGTCAAGTCTCCTGCAAATACTACGTGCACGTGGCTGCAAGTTGCAATAGTTGTAACCTCGACAGAGCCTTTCCGGTGTGAAAGTGAAAGTGATGCAGTGGTCGATTAGTGTCTCTTCTAGAAGCCCAACCCGCTACCGGGCGGTACTACAGTGCTCATGTAATGTGTGATCCTCATAGTGGTTACCAATGGCAAGGGCGTCGATTTGACTTGCAAATTTGTTTCCTGGTGTGGCTGGTTCTGAGGTCTAGATCTCGCTACCTCACTGTACTGTTGGATTACGGTCGTGACTTCGAATCGAAATATGTAATAAATAACCCTAGTGTCAAGAATATCCAGACGCTGAGCATACGATAACATACACTGATGAAAATGTAAGTGTAATCATTAATGGAAGCGTTTGTAAGAAAAGATGAGGAAAGCTGCTAAACCCATAGAGAAATCTGACCGACATGATCTTACTGGAGAATCGTAGTGTAGCGGCGGCCGCAAGTTACTGCCCGAAACTTTCTCCTGCGTTTTGGGAGTACATAATGCATATAATGCGTGATCCTCGTAGTGGTTACCAATGGCAAGAGCGTCGATCTGACTTGCTATTTTGTTTCCTGGTGACTGGTTCTGAGGTCTAGATCTCGCTATCTCACTGTACTGTTGGATTACGGTGGTGACTTCGTTACACGTTGACTTCGAATCAAAATAATAGATAACCCTAGTGTCAAGAATATCCAGACGCTGAGCATACGATAACATACACTGATGAAAAAGTAAGTGTAATCATTAATAGAAGAGTTTGTAAGAAAAGATGAAGAAAGCTGCTAAACCCATAGAGAAATCTGACCGACATGATCTTACTGGAGAATCGTAGTGGTAGTGGCGGCCGCACGTTACTGCCCATGACTTTCTCCTGCGTTTTGGGAGCATTACGACCTGACTCTATTGTTCCCATCATTGAATTGTCTATAACAGGCAATTTTTGCTTACCTCGGGCGAGCACGACGAGGGCGCTTGGGCGGTTTTTGTGGAACAGACTGGTGCACCGGCGAGTGGTGTCGAGATATCATGTTCCAGAAGCGTCGAGCTAAGGATGGTTTGGGGGGCCGAGGGAAACTCGACGACTTTGCAGCATTAGTCTGTGATCATGATGATGTTCATGTGAGAAAGGCAGGCAGTCAAGTATGAGTACTGACATGAGGTGGGGGCTCAGACTGATTTTGGTGGTGCGAAGGTTTGGGAGCATTGACGACCCAGACAGTCAGTTTGTAGTCGTATCCACCACAAGCTAGGTATCTTCCATCTCGTGAGAATGACACACAACGACTGGTTTTACGATCCTGGCAAAGCGATCGGCCGCGTTTGTGGGATTTTGTGTTCCACAGCTGTGCAATACCGAAAAAGCCCACGCAGGCCAGGACATTGTTTTTAGGTGAAAGCGCGACCGAGAATAGGTAATCGTCATGTCTATAGCGATGAAGCAGCTCGCCTGTGATGGTGTCAAAAACACGTGCGAAATTATCGGAGGCGGAATAGAGTTCTTTGCCGTCCGATGACCACACCAACGAAGTCACGACGTTCCCCCCTCCAAGAGGTCCAATGACATACTTGCCGTTTTTCGTGTTCCAGATGTAAATTCTATGGCCACTCCCGCCTGACGCAATTCTATCACCCAACGGTGAGTAGGAAAGACTCCATACCTGCGAGGGGGTGTAGTCCTCATCCGGGTCAAACCAGCGCTCCCGCCGCGGCTGAATCGCAACCTCTAATACTCCACTTTTTGCTTTTCGAATCAGGATTGTTCCATCATCGGACCCGCTGGACAATATTATTTCCGTTTGGAGACCACGACACAGACCGCACCGCCTTTGCATGACCCCACCAACCACTAATAATATTGCCGTCGGTGGTCCACTGCTGAACACTCCCGTCCGCCCTCCCACACGTAATTATCTTCCCGTCAGGTGACAATGCCAGTGCGTTTATCTCTCCCCCTGTAGCTCTCCATGGTTTACCGACAAGACGTCCAGTATCGCAGTTCCACTTTCGCATTGTGCCATCCTGTGATCCGCTCACGATGTGGACATTGTCGTGCAAGAAGACACAACCCCATATAACGTTCTCGTGACCCTTAAATTCATACTTGGGAGTTGAACCTTTCTCGTGGACAACAGCCATAACTTGTTACTGGTAAGGTTCCCGGGGTATCAAGTCTCGCTTTGACACAGTTCGCGATCAATTGTGGGTGTAGCAGTATCCAGTAAATTCTCACCTGGTTTTCTGTCTCTTACTTGGTCGCAAAATGGAAAGATGGGTGGTGGTTTTTGTGTTGGATGCACTGATAAGGCCGCGCTGGTTCATTTGACAGGTCTAAATACTCCCAACGTTTCGGCTGCAAACGATGAGTCCACGTCCGTATTATTCGCAATTTCCAGCTGCGAGTGATAAGTCCACGACCGCATCAGGCTGATAGTCTTCATCACGATCAAACGATCATCCACCGAATCCTGATGTTGGCATACTAGCAACCATATTGTGCGTATACGGAATGCCCACTGTCGTGGTTAACATGATATCTCACACTTACTCTTAGTAAAGTCGCTTCAGAGCCCGCGTGATCATGTATGCTCCGGACTCGAAATAGTACTGTTCCCTCCACGAAGATAACACAACACATTGTGGTACACGTCGACGAATCGATGAGCTATCATTGCATGCGACAGGTGCGGAGCAGAGGTACGTGCATACTACTAGGAGGGAAGTACATTGTGCTTCTAGTGATTATGTTGTAAGGAAGGTTATCTCATTATGGGCTCAGCAGTAGGGATGAGAGGATGAGCGGAGAAAAATTATATTTGGATTGACTTCTAGTGTATGATGTTATCCAGCATTTATCTCATGATACGCTAATAAAATGCTACAGTCGGTCCGTAGACTCGTTTCGTCGACGCTGACGAATACCCCGATTGTCTGCCCCTTGGTGTATGTGGCTGCGCTCGTACTTTCGACTGTCATCATTCATCACATCTGCAAGAACAATGTTGCATCGGCACCTGGGAGCCTTTCCTGTCGGAAATGCAATTCAAACGACCAAGTGCAGTGGTAAATTTATTGTAAAGTCTAACACCACGAGTAATTAGGAATATTATCGTACCCAATACCACTCAAAACACTCGTTTCCTCTGTAAAGGTCAAATATGATTGCGATGATTGGCAGAATTATGCTGATGGTTTGTACTATATGCTTTTATATCTTTCACTGATGATGATGGTCGGGAGAAAGTAGTAGTCTTAGATATCGTACAAAGTCGACTTGTCTCCTATGAAATATATACACACCGAATATCAATATTTGTTTTAGTCGTAATACTTATCCCCTCGCGCATTGCTCCATCCCTTCCTCCGGTCCCAGGATACTAGCACAACATGCAAGTACCGTGATCATCAGGGAATAACTCCTTCACTGTCGATCAACTTCTCAAGCATCTCGCCGGCTACAGTCCTCAACTCTTTCACAGCGACGATACTCTCTGTCATAGCAATATCGATGCACTCTCCCTCTCCCTGCTCTGAATTTCGCCTCTCCAGTACTTCGAGAACAGCATCCAATTTTTCAGTGAGATGCTTGAGACCATATTCCGGAGAAATCTGCATATGCTTCTTCGTGCCTTCCACAAGGACAGGAAGTAACTCGAAACAGTGTATGTCTTCAGTCACGATGAGATTGAACCATGCATTGTCGAGTACATCCCACCACCGTTGCACCATGATAGAATCGAGCGATGTAACCGACAATCGTTCAGGTGCGATTCGCAGGAGAATGCCGACAAGGTAAAATGCAGGTTGCTCGGCGAGGCGGCACTTTGCAATAATGCTAATGCATCGATCTATATGGTGATCCCTAGACAAATGGGGGTGCCAATTGGAATTCCTTGTGAGAGCAAATAGCAGTTCAAGATAGCACAAGTCGCTGTCAGAATCATCACTGGAGTATGTTGTGCCTGGTTGCGGACAAACCGCAGTCAGGATAGCGGGGGATAACTCGGTCAGGATCATGTCTCGCAACTCCACATCGTGGATGGCATCAATTGAAGCAATTGCTTCTCGATTATCGTGAGCTGCACGGAGAGCAATATAACGTAAATGCTTAGGCATGTTACTGCCCATGCAGGCAATGAGGCTCTTGAAGAACTGATGTTGTTTAGCAGGGCTGCAGCGTGCTTTCATGACCACCAGGAACAAAAGGATGTCAAATGTCATCTCCTCGTTGTAATAAATGTACTCGGGGCAGTCCACCAACCAGTCGAAATCTTCTGGTGGATGGGAATCATCCGACCATAAATAATAGCTATGCCACCAGCGGGCAGGGTCCCGAGATACTTTGGCAGCAGTGAGCGTGAAGCGTAGTCCATTTTTCAGAGCTTTCAACAGTTCCCAGGGATCATTTTGTTCGGGTGACCTGAGTCGTGAATAGATCTTCCGGCACGCGTCCAGGTTCCGCATGACGTCGACTGAACGACTCGTAGGATAGTGATCTTTGGCAGACTCAAGCATGAGACAAATGACGTCGAGGAGTTTCCATGCCCTGCGTGTAACTCCTGTACTGTCTTTGTCGAGATCGCCTCCATCGTATTCCCGAAGAACCATTTGAAACTTCGCCAAAAGTGCATTCACGAATTGAGGCAGGGAAGAACTATACAATCTCCTTGTTAGTGATAGCAGAAGAAGCATCAAATGAGTCAATGGCACCTTTTGTCGATACGAACTATGTCCTTCTTGTCAAACTGGACCCCGACCATGACGCAAGCAAGAAGAGTGCAATTGGCTACGATTTGATTCGACGGGGAGGACGAAGAGGACAGCAGTTCTGATATCACATCTATGGCGAATCGTTCTATATCCTGATGCACTCGCCCAGTGACAAAGTGGTAAGTGAGGGAATGCGACAGCCACTCCATGACAGAGTCGGGACATCCATGTAACGGATACCACAAAGACATACCCCTGTCATTTTCTGGAAGGCAAAGATTCATAGTCGTCCTAAGCACCATGTCGTTGGCCCCACCCATGTCTACTAGTTGCATCCGGGATAACACATCGTAGTCACAGTCTCTTCTCCCGCGACCAAGAAATTCATCACGGTCAGGATATACCTGAAAAACCCGGCCATAATAGAGATGACTCATAGCCATCAGACAAGCTGATGCCTTCTCCTCCAACGATGGCATAATTTTTCCATCGAAGCCGACGCAGTCTGTGAAAGTATCATACAGCTGATACAGCATATCTGAGGTGTCAAGATCCAGGGTCCATTCGACCTGCGGAACAAGGCTGGCAGCGGCGAGAAACACTTCAGGATCCGTAGAGGTCTCGAGCAGCCATTTGACGCTAGGTGCTTCAAGATTGCTGGTGGGTATGTCAGGAAGGGTGACCGCGTATTCATCCTCCGACAAAGTGTCCAAATTCAGGTCGAGTGCTTGTGCTTCTGAGTCCACGACCTTTGTCGAAACGCGCGAAACAACAAAAGACAGCCAGTTCTGAAGCCTGGTGATTAACTGCTGAAGAGATCGTCGTGCGAATGTGCCGGCCACATGTACAGGGCCTGGGCAGTGAAGTGAGCACTGAGTATATTTGTAATAGTAAATAAGACCGCGCCACCTCTAAATACTTCAGACAATCGGGTCAAGCTCAACCTGACAATAGCAAGCGATCGCTCCAGCACGCCTGACATGAAACGGTCAAAACCTGTGCAAATGGAAGAAGACATAACTCACCGTGCAGTGACATCATGAACTGCTGGAAATAATTGGACACTCGTTTGATCACCGGGCGTAGAACCTCTGCGATGTTGATTCAGAGGGTGAACCACCGCCAGAATTCAGTGAAATGATCTTACTGTCGATGTGAAACATGCGCAACATCGTCGATATCGGTGTCTGAAATGGACAAGCGGGAGATATCAAACATGCCATCACGGTCAGGGAATAGAACAGAAATCCGAAGATCGTCGTTGCGATGATGACCCAGGCGACGCTCGGCTGCTCATACCAGATATTGGCGCCGAGGGCAATCCCAAAGAGAAGAAGTGAGATTTGAAGTAAGACCGGAAAGGATTGCACGACAGCATCAAAATACCATGTGACGAGGCCGTCGAACTTCTCTTGCCTGCGCTTGCCTCGCTCCTCCTGAGAGCCCCGGCCGTATCTGTTTGACTTGTAGTACCCGAGCCACTGCTTGCCTAGCACGGCCCCGAATGCGGCGAGCAAGCTCGTTGACAAGCTTGCGTATGCGATCGTTTGGATCCATAGGGTGGGCGCGCTCGGCGACCACGTAGATGCTGGGTCTGCGGGCGTGGAACCCGCTGCAGCGAGATTGCCGAGTCCGATTTGAACGAGTTGCTTCAGAAGGGCATTCGTGGTATCGCTGGGGTCGGGACTCAGATTGGACTCCATTGCGACAATGAAAGACGTGCTGACAGCGGAGAAAAGACCAGACTGGCCAAACATCAGTATCAAAACGCGTCAAAGGTCAGCGCGCTAAACTTACGAAGATCAAGACGATGTCCATGTCTGTAGTGTACCGCTCGAGGAACTCGCCGTCGTGTTCCTCCGCGACTCGTTTGTACACCCCCCAGAAGCGAGACCGGTTGTCCTTGCCACTCTTCAACGCGATCGTCGAGTCCTGGAGAACGCCCAATACTTGTCTCATGACATTTGCTCTGCGTGTAGGATGTGGTCAGTTGTGAATGCTCTGCTATTTTTCACTCACAATTCGCTTAGCGTGGGTTCGTCCTTATCCCCCACGAGCTTCGCTGCCTTGCTGAGATAATTGAGGAACATGTTTGATATCATTATTGACGAGAACTTACGAAGCTAAATCGCCGACCGGTGCAACATTGGGAGTGTTTTCCTGTACCTGAGGTCCTGACGGCTGTGAAGGTCCAGCATTCGAGCTGCAGTTCTGGTGAGGAGCGAGACAGAAGTTTCAGGGCAGAAACACTTACATCACCAATGGCAGCTCCGCCGAAGGCTCAAAATTTCTCACCCTATCTCGTTGTCAGACAGCAGGCAGACTCTAGGATATCACAACTTACATTTCTGTAGGTCCTACATTGTCGTCCTCTGGATAAGGCTGCTCAGCCAATTCGTTCTGGGCGTGCTGATCCTCAGCACTGCCTGTGTCTGATGTTTGTGACATTAGTGATTTACTACCAGGTTACTGTGATGGATCCAAAGCAAAGGGTCTAAGGTGGGTGGACAGAGCAGTGGTGGTACACAGCCAGTCGTTTGGCGGCCGCCGGCTGCGACCACGTGCTTGCGAGCGTTGACGCCGAAAGCTGCCTGCAGTGGACTGCGATAATAAATAGGCCCCCATGATTAGGGTAGTCAGACCATGAAAGAAAGTTGAGACGTTCTCAGTAGGAGCCGGCGTGCCGGAAGAGTACAGTATTAGGGTATTTGCAATTGCTTCAATTTCTTTCTGACGTACATTGCTCTTGAATAATTTATACGGTAACCAATTCTTATTACGTTACTCCTTGTATGCTGCGTTCTTGTGCCACAGAACTTGATGATCCATCATATCATCGCATAGCCCCGACTTAAGATGAAAGAAAACCACCCCGAATTTAAGCAATGTTTATTATAGCCAACTCACTTCGTGGTGCTCGATGGAAGAGCCTAGGTCGCACATTTCCTCGCTTTACTTTCACATCTACCTCACTAGCTCGCGATATTAAAAGACCTTTGGACGATCCGTTCGTCCGTGTACAGATTAACGACAAAGACGACGGGGAAGAATTTGTATGCGACGAAGAGCCACTTGTGCTGTCGCCCGAGCAAGGCTTTGGATATTACCCCATTACCTTGGGACAGCATTTCGGAGAGGGCAAGCTCGAAATTGTGAGAAAACTTGGATGGGCAGGTAATTCTAACGTGTGGCTCGCACGCACCCTGGGGTAAGTGCATCTTTTTGATTTCCATTGAGTCTGCTTATGTGGATCATGGTACTTTAGAAACGCATATCCAGCGAAATATGTCGCTGTCAAGGTTCTTACAGTCAATGCGACTGCAGGTGTGGTGCAAGGATTTCTACGTGAGGTGGACTCTCTTAAGACCATCAAAACGGCTAATCCTGATTACCCCGGCCGCCAACACTGCCTTCATCTCTACGATATAATCGCTGAAAAGAGCCGCCATGGTCCTCACATTTGCATCGTGACCAACGTTCTGGGGGTGAACCTGATTGGTCTCCGTAACTTGCAACCCAGCGGGCGTGCTTTCCCTATTCCCGTTACTAAACGTATAGTGAAACAAACACTTCTTGCTCTAGACTATCTTCACCGCGAGTGCGGCTTTGTACATACAGGTATGTATTCCAGCTCTGTTCTGCACCAAATTTTGTGACTGACAACGTGATCGTTAAGATGTGAAACCCGACAACGTTCTCATATGTGTGGACTACGAAGACGAAGCTATAACTCGTCTCCTCGAAGAAACACCATCTGTCGCATACGAACCTCGTTTTGAGCTCACCTTATCTCCTGAACCTATCATCACAGTAAAGTCACAGCCGCTCCCTAATTTCGGTCTTCGGGAGGACGTGAGCAACCTCAAGATTTGTTTGATTGATTATGGTCAAGGTTAGTGACTTTACATCTGAACGATGATATCTCAACTGTCCCACCGTCAACAGCAACGCCCGCCAACGAGCGCCGAGTAGAACTGGCTCAACCTCTTCTCCTCCGCGCGCCAGAAGTTACTCTGGGACACGAGTGGTCTACACCCATCGACGTATGGTCCATGGGATGTTTAGTAAGATATAGTTTACTTTCGCTTGCTGCCGTCAACCGAAATCCGTCTAGGTTTTCGAATACCTGACTGGTGCAGCTATGTTTCAACTCTCAGAGTCCTCCTCCATCAGCGTGGAAAATCTTTGTCTCCAACGAATTCTCGAGCATATCGGTCCTTTCCCACCCAGCTTTTTGGAACGATGTCAACACCGGAGTGATTTCTTTGACGAACAAGGTAAGATGTTCGCACTTCATCAGCGAACAGAATTAAATTTTCTTTAAAGGATCACTGCGCGTTCATAATTTGATCCCTCAGCCGATGGAAAGCTGTCTTCGAGCATATAAAGTTATGGACGAGAAGGACATAATTCCTGCCGCTGCCTTTATTCGGAAGTGTTTGACTATTGATCCTCACGCACGACCTACTGCCTTGGAGCTGCTAGACGACGAGTGGCTCAAGAACGCGTGAGACGGTCCTTTCTGGTAGGATCTAAAGTTCTTGAAGGCTTAGATGTTGCACATTTCAAATGACTTTTAGACGAGGTGACCTACAAGATTACTACGTAGCCAGAGCGTGTATCATGACTGAAATATGTTGAGAACCTCTCGTTACTATACACATTGTCACACAGCCTTATTTTCGCCCTTGACTACAGCATGTTGCTCGTGCGTTTCTCAATACATATGCATATTGAATGTCAATGATGGTTTTAGTCGTAATACTTATTCCCTCACGCATTGCTCCATCCATTCCTCTGGTCCAAGGACACTAGCACAAATGCAAGTACCGTGATCATCAGGGACTAATAACTCCTTGGCTATTGACCAACTTCTCAAGCATCTCGCTGGCTACAGTCCTCAACTCTTTCACAGCGACGATACTCTCTGTCACAGCAATTATGACGCCCTCTCCCTCTCCCTGCTCTGAATTTCGCCTCTCCGGTACTTCGAGAACAGCATCCACATCGCCAATGAGACGCTCGAGACAATATCCCGAAGCAATATGCATATACTTCTTCGTGGCTTCCACAAGGACAGGAAGAAACTCGAAATGGGGGTAATTGGGATATATCGTATACTTGGCAAAGGGCCATGCACCGCTGAGCGTATCCCACCACTGTTGCTTTGTGATGGAATCGAGCGATGTGGTCGACCACTGTTCAGGTGCGATTTGGAGGAGGATTCCCGCCAGATAAAATGCATGTTGTTGCATGTCGCGGCAATCTGCAATAATTCTAATGCATCGATCTACATGGTGATCCCCAAACAAACGAGGGTGCCAGTTGGAATTCCTCACGAGGGTAAAGAGCAGTTCGAGATAGCATAAGTCGCGTTCATCATGGAAGAGGCGATCAGTATCATCATTGGAGAATGTTGCGCCTGGTTGCGGACAAACCGCAGTCAGGATAGCGGTGGATAACTGGGTCAAGGTCACGTCTCGCAACTTCGCATCATGAATGGCATCCATCGAGGCAATTTCGTCTCGAGCAGTGTGAGCCGCGCGGAGAGCGACATGGCGTAAATGCGGAGGCATGTTACTGCCCATGCAGGCAATGAGGCTCGTGAAGAACTGATGTTGTTTAGCAGGACTGCAGCGCGCTTTCATGACCACCAGGAACAAAAGGATGTCAAATGCCGTGTCCTCCTCGTCGGAATAAATGTACTCGAGGTAGTCCACCAACCAGTCGAAATCTTCTGGTGGATGGGAATCATACGACCATGAATAATAGCTATGCCATAAGTCGGCAGGATCCTGAGATACTTTGGCAGCAGTGAGCGTAAAGCGTAGTCCATTTTTCAGAGCTCTCGACAGTCCTTCGAGATCATTTTGTTTGGATGACCTGAGTTGTGAATAAATTTTCCTGCACACGTCCAGGTTCCGCATGGTGTGGGATAAAAAACTCGCAGGATAGTGATCTTTGGCAGGCTCAAGCATGAAGCAAATGATGTCGAGAAGTCTCCATGCCCTGCGTGTGACTCCTGTGTTGTCTTTGTCGAGATCGCCTCCATCGTATTCCCAAAGAACCATTTGAAACTTCGGCAAAAGGGCATTCACGAATTGAGGCAGGGAAGAACTATACAATCTCCTTGTTAGTCATGGTAGAAGAAGCATCAAATGAGTCAATGGCACCTTTTATCGATACGAACTATGTCCTCCTTGTCAAACTGAACCCCGACCATGACGCAAGCAAGAAGAGTGCAATTGGCTAGGATTTGATTCGACGGGGAGGATGAAGAGGAGAGCAGAGCTGATACCACATATATGGCGAATCGTTCTATATCCTGATTCGCTCGCCCAGTAACAAAGTGGTAAGTGAGGGAATGCGACAGCCACTCCATGACAGAGTCGGGACAACCATGCAACGAATACCACAAAGACATACCCCTGTCATTTTCTGGAAGGCAAAGATTCATAGTCGTCTGAAGCACCATGTTGTTGGCCCCACCCATGTCTACCAGTCGCATCCGGGATAACACATGGTAGTCAGAGTTTCTTGTCCCGCGACCAAGAAATTCATCACGGCCAGGATATGCTTGAAAAACCCGGCCATGATACAGATGACTCATAGCCATTAGACAAGCTGATGCCTTCTCCTCCAACGACGGCATAATTTTTCCGTCGAAGCTGACGCAGCTTCTGAAAGTATCACACAGCTGATACAGCACGTCTGAGGTGTCAAGATCCAGGGGCCATTCAACCTGCGGAACAAGGCTGGCAGCGGCGAGAAACACTTCAGGATCCGTAGAGGTCTCGAGCAGCCACTTGACGCTGGGTGCTTCAAAATTGCTGGTGGGTATGTCAGGGAGGGTGAGCGCGTATTCACCCTCCGACAAAATGTCCAAATTGAAGTCGAGCGCTTGTGCTTCTGAGTCCACGACCTTTGTTGAAAAGGGCGGAACAACAAAAGACAGCCATTTCTGAAGCCTGGTGGTCAACTGCTGAAGAGATCGTCGTGCGAATGTGCCGGCTATATGTACAGGGTCTGGGTAGTGAAGTGAGCGTTGAGTATATTCGTAATAGCAGATAAGATCGCGCCACCTCTAAATACTTCAAACAATCGGGTCCAGCTCAACCTGACGATACCAAGCAATCGCTCCAGCACGCCTGACATGGAACAGTCAAAATCTGTGCAAATGGAAGAAGACATAACCCACCGTGGAGTGACATCGTGAGCCGCTGGAAATAACTGGACACTCGTCTGAACACCCAGCGTAGAACCTCTGTAATGTTAATTCAGGGGTGAACCACCGCCAGAATTCGGTGAAATGATCTTACTGTCGACATGAAACATGCGCAACATCGTCGATATCGGTGTCTGAAATGGACAAGCGGGAGATATCAAACATGCCATCACGGTCAGGGAATAGAACAGAAATCCGAAGATCGTCGTTGCGATGATGACCCAGGCGACGCTCGGCTGCTCATACCAGATGTTGGCACCGAGGGCAATCCCAAAGAGAAGAAGTGAGATTTGAAGTAAGACCGGAAAGGATTGCACGACAGCATCGAAATACCATGTGACGAGGCCGTCGAACTTCTCTTGCCTGCGCTTGCCTCGCTCCTCCTGAGAGCCCCGGCCGTATCTGTTCGACTTGTAGTACCCGAGCCACTGCTTGCCTAGTACGGCCCCGAACGCGGCGAGCAAGCTCATCGACAAGCTTGCGTATGCGATCGTTTGAATCCATAGGGTGGCCACGTTCGGCAACCACGTAGATGCTGGGTCTGCGGGCGTGGAACCCGCTGCAGCGAGATTGCCGAGTCCGATTTGAACGAGTTGCTTCAAAAGGGCATTCGTGGTATCGCTGGGGTCGGGACTCAGATTGGACTCCATTGCGACAATGAAAGAAGTGCTGACAGCAGAGAAAAGACCAGACTGATCCAACATCAGTTTCAAAACGCGTCAAAGATGAGCACGCCAAACTTACGAAGATCAAGACGATGTCCATGTCAGTAGTGTATCGCTCGAGGAACTCGTTGTCATGTTCCTCCGCAACTCGTTTGTACACCCCCCAGAAGCGAGACCGGTTGTCCTTGCCACTCTTCAACGCAATCGTCGAGTCCTGGAGGAACGCCCAATACTTGTCTCATGACATTTGCTCTACGTGTTGGATGTGGTCAGTTGTGACCGCTCTGCTATTTTTCACTCACAATTCGCTTAACGTGGGTTCGTCTTTATCTGCCACAACTTTCGCTGCCTCCCTGAGATAATTGAGGAGCATGTTTGATATCATTATTGACGGGAACTTACAGAGCTACATCGCCGACCGGTGCAACATTGGGAGCGATTTCCTGTACCTGAGGCCCTGAAGGCTGCGAGGGTCCAGCATCTGGACTGCAATTCTAGTGAAGAGCGAGCCAGAAGTTTCAGGGCAGAAACACCTACATCGCCGATGGCAGCTCCACCGAAGGCTCACGATTTTTCTCCCTATCTCCTTGTCAGATAACAGGCAGACTCCAGGACATCACAACTTACTTTTCTGTGGGTCCTACGTTGTCGTTCTCTGAAGAAGGCCGAGCCGAGTCGTTGCGGGCGTGCTGATCCTCAGCGCTGCCGGTGTCTGATGCTTGTGACATGAGGAAGTTACAACCAGGCTACTCTATTATTCCAAGCGAAGCTAGTGAAGGAAGTCTGAGGTGAGCGGGCAGAGCAGAGTGGCGATACACAACAAGTCGTTTGGGCGGCTGCGACCATGATGAACACGTGCGCGCGAGCATTGACGCTGAGACTGCCTGCGGCGAACTGCGATAATAGGCTCCTATAATCAGTGTAGTCAAAGCGAACCCAAGGAAGAAAGTTGCCGCCTTGAGACAAATATGTTAACGTCCTGACTCCTGAGTCGGAGCCGGGGCGCTAGAAGACTACTTGTAGAGTATTCAACTTGTACTCCGAGTCACTCGCCGTGTGCGAATACCGTCACCGTGACGGTGGTAATTGCTCTCTTTCCCGAATATTGTGTAGTCCTCTCTAAACTGGGCTGAATGTTTTTCTGACGAACCAATTCTTATTACATTATGCGTTCTTGTGCCACACTCAATTTATCATACTCAGGGCCTCAACGCCTCAAGCTTCAAGAGTTCATTGCAAATAATTACAACTATACAGTCTAGTATGTCACGATATTTATGCTCTGTAGTATAATGATCAACATGCTCCATTTCTTAAAGAATAACTCTCCCAAAACCTTAAAACTCCCCAATGACAGACGCTCTATCTGTCAGCACAACTGCACAGTGCAGTTACCTAGAAGACCACACATCGTCGCTAGATTTTAACTTTGATGCCTACTATTACCTTACTGGCTCGCAATGTTGAGCTTTGAGCCTTTGGGCATTGCTGTCGGCACAGATCAACGACAATCACTGCGGGACCAACCGAGTAAGTATCGACTCGAGCAGTAACATAACTTAGCCTTCGAATGGTGCCTGTTGGACGTTGAACTCATTTACTCCATATTTTATATTGAAATCACCTGTGCTTCAAGTTTTCCCATACATCTTTAAAGGCTCTTGATCAAGTCCTCCCCAGACAGGTAAGGCGCCTGCCTGATGATGGTATTCTGCCATAGACACGATGATGACTGATAGCTTATTTCCCGTTGGAGTAGGAGTCCTACGGGCATATCATAGGAGAGGAGAGCCCAGCGACTCATTCCGAGGCTTGGTCAGTGGAGTAGCATAGGTTGTAGGGTTAGCACAGTCAATTCTTGTCAGTAGCACGCACGCACACACGCTCCCAGAGTAGAGCATCCCTCCGAAGTCTTGGTTCGACTCCAGCTACCCTGTCCACCGTTTTGCAATATCAGAAGTGCACCAACGATTCGAATCTTCTCGACCGCCCACTTGAACATTTCCCTATCGTCCTCGAGCCTCCAGGCGCGTCTTCAGATCCAGGATCTATTTTCCTACCGTCTGGGGATATATGGAGATGGATTTGATTTCGTGGTCATGACCCTCAAGCATCTTGTTGGGCTTGTGATGCGAACAGCTAAGTCGTTGTCTGTTGTCTTCCATAATGGTGCAAGTGTAGACTCGTAACCAGTCTGACGTACGTCGCGTGAGCCATGCTAGTCACGAGCCTACTTAGCTTTGTTAGGTTGACAGATGGCAGAAACTGACTCCCGGATCCCAACGTCCATGGAAGGCGTTAACGTTGTTGTAGATGATGAGCAAGCGTGAGAAATATAGTAAATTCCATACTCCGCTGGCACCGGTGGCACACCGTCTCAGACTTTAACTGTCTCAAATGGAACAACTCCTAGCTGAGGTAAATCTAAGATGCCTCAGGGCGACTTCCCCTTTACTGTTACAGTGTTTGGCAACTGCATCTTGTAGGACTCAGCACAAACAGTGATTGCTGCCGCCCCTCTCGGTTAGCACCACTGGTCCACTCTCAGCGCACAATTGATCCTGTTGCACACCGTTTCTAGGCAGACAAATATAACAGTTGCTCTATTCCAGTAATCGGTGCCTGACAAGAGGAACTTAACGACTCGGTGAGTCCAAGGTGAGCCACGAGTCCATCGCGATATCTAACATATGTTTTCGAAGTTGAACCCGGCGTAGCCTTTGAAGTGAGTAAGACGCGCGTCAGTCTTGGATTCCACGATGCCGTTGGCTGGATTTTCTTCTGCATATTCTGCATACCACGCAATTTCTGCTATGAAACTTTTTTTCTGTAATGATCTAGGTCGATTAGGCTCAGGTTGAGGGGCTGTGCAACTTTGTCGAGATCGAATCCCGTCCGAGTGGTCGGGCTACAGACACGGTTATCAGTGGCTGAGACTGGCAGCGAAGAGAGGGAGGATGTCGGCGAGCTTCAGATCGAGTGGTCCGTCAGGTGGAGAGGCGGGGGTCGGTCGAAGTTACATTATATTCTATTCACGTCCTACTGTCGCGTGGATCCTTGCTTCTGCTTGGCTCGTCACGAGTTGATGCGAGTGATAGCGAATGATCGCGAGTGACCAATTTGCATGGGATTCAATTGGATTTCAATTAATCATCCTTTTGATCACCTCTCTTATCAACGCCCATCATCCATCTTTACTACGTCCCTTTCCACCATGCTTACCTTTAACAGTGAAGTCGCGGAATTGGCCAGCGCGCTCGCTCTGCAAGCTCCCGGCACTGACGCTCCTTTAGACGTGCTGGGGGACTGGGGACGAGAAGTCGTGCGATTTCTGGTGAGTCTCTGTTCTTCGAACCTTTTCCTTGTTGACCATAGTTCTTTGCATAGACTTGGCTCGACACCGAGGAACGCAAGGAGTTATTCACGCTTACGGCGGTCTCCGAGCTCCAAACAACCTTCCGAGACCAGGTGGATACACGCCGCTACCACCCTTTTCGATCTTGGGGTCGCCGGTGGCTTCCCCTTACTGCTCAGGCTTGGGAAGCAAAAATGCAAGCTTTAATGGCGACGCCCGTGATCAAGGATTCTTTCGCTAGCACCCAGTCGTCTTCGCTTGCTGTCGTCACTCTCTCTGAATCTTCTAACAAGGGCAAAGGCGATGGCCGCGCAGGTGCAGGCGATAGGGAAACTGACGAGGAGTCTCCTGCGCGTGGCGCTCACCCTTCTCAGGCTAAACGTTGTCGAGAGGAAACATTGCAAGGCGACAGAGGGCCTTCTGATGTCCAAACGGTACGTCTCCCTAGGTTCGCAACTTGCAGCGACTAACGCTCGACTCCATCTGCAGTCTTACTCACTCGCGGACCATCCTTCCAATCGGCGTCGGCTCCCACCCTCCGTAAAGAAACCAGCTCCTGCGCTCCCGCGCATGCCTCCACCCAAACGCCGCACTGTCAACGAGCTAATGCAAGAGAAAAAGCTGCGAGATCCTCGCGCTGTGAGATTATTGTCTCTGTTAAACCTCTTGCATGCTAAGTTCCTTTCCGACTGCTATAGGTGGTGCTTGAATGCCAGAGATGCACGGAAAGACCCTCGGCGATGAGGCCCTGCCTCACCGTACTTCGTCTGTCGTGGCAGACTGATGAATACGAGCTGTCGGACCGTTGCATGCGCTGCATTATAGAGCATCAAAAGTGTGAGTGGACTGCTGATGCTATTTCTAAGAATGCAGGTTTGTTTCTCTTATTTCAATCGAGCCATGACTTGTTGACTTTGATATGCATTCGCAGAACACCGTTTGCACGTCTCCACAAAACTCTTCTCACTCACTGTGGACCAGCCGGCAGCTTCAAAGCCGTTAGGGCCAACGTTGACTCAGTCGATTGCCCCTGTTCCTCACGTCTCCACAAAACTCTTCTCACTCGCTGAGGACCAGCCGGCAGCTTCAAAGCCGTTAGTGCCAACGTCGACTCAGTCGATTGCCCCTGTTTCTCACGTAGCTATCAATTCGTCGCACAAGAACACGGTGAAGGCAACTTCTTCCAATCGGCCTGTACCCGGCCCTTCCTCTGCTATTGCGACAAAGCAGGCAAAGCATACTTCCCGCATCATGCCCCAGCTGCCTACGCCAAAGCGCTCCACTTCACCTATTTCAATTGAGATAATGGAACTGTTGTAAAAAAATTCGTGAACGATCTCATTGCATCAAGGTTCCAAAGGAAGGCTGCGGTCATGCGCGAAATCCTAATGCCCACGAGATCAGAATCTATGCCTTCCCCGTTCGCTACTTCACGACCTGTGGCACCCTATCTTCACTGGCACGGAGCTCTCGATTGCCTCAGGCTTGCGATCTTTACTTTATTGACAAGTTCCCTAGCTACAGGCTTGTCATCTCATGCAGTAGATGTCGAGCACCTTCTACTGGTAGTGAGGACACCCGTTCAGAGCATCCAAAACATCCGATGTGAAGCTGTCACACAACAGGAGCGTTTCTATAAATCAGCATCTTTATGAGCGACACGTGTATTGGAATCGGTGCCCTACACAATAACAGGATCATTTTTGAAGAGATCAAACATCGATGCCACATATCACGTAGAGACGGCAGAGAAGGGCGCCCACGAAGTGGAGGGTGAGGAATAGAAGTTGTGGGTAAACGATAGCCTAACAGCTACCGTCGGCGACTATCCACGCCGTGACTAGTCCGCAGGACGCCGAGAAGCTTCGAGTACAATTTGGGCTCGACCGACGAATTCAACTGCGAAGACTGCGTTACTGGCAATTCAATTTCTTCGGGAATATAGGATTTATGTTTACTCCGTCTGCTTTCATAATTCGCCCGCCCTCTTCCCACTTGCCTAGGACAAAATGTCATGAAATTCCTCGCACCTGCCTACCACTGTACGTACTCCACGGGCCTTTATACGATTTTGATCTAAGTACAGATGACGTTTCCTTATGGTCTGCATATATTATCCCACAACTTCATATTTGCCCTAGACTCGTCTTTTGTGTCGCTGCGGAACACTAGTTGCGCGTCTCTCAGTTTCACGATAGCTTGAGGATCTTATCGACATGTTTCGTAAGGCTCGTCGGGGGTCATATCTTTAACGGGAGCCAGGAATGAATTACGACGCGTGAAAGACAATAGAATTGAAGAACTTACTGTGAGAATGTCATGTCATGAACACATGCAAGTGTTGATGTCCTTACAATGTCCGTCGGGCGCCTTCCTTCCTCTGCCCACTGGATTCAAACAAATGATATGCTCATAGATCTTGCCTGTTTATACGCAAATGCTGGCCCAGCTCTCCTATGTACCATAATATCTCTGCGGTGGCTATAAGCTTCTTCAATCTATACACCTATCGGTCATAAGCTCTTTTAATTTCGCAACTTCGATCCGAGGAATGACATCGATTTCAAATGGCGCTGCACGGGCGATAACAGCATCCAAGAAAGCATGCGTGTTGATCGGGGCATCGGGTCGTTGAGCGATGCGGAAAGACCACAAGAGAAGTGCGAGGCTTATGTACAACGAGTGGTTTGCAAGGTGCAGACCGGGACACACACTTGTAGTGACAAGTGAATCTCGATGATCGATGTCAAAAACGATGTCGGCACGACTTACCGTCTACCAAAGCCGTATGCGATGAACTTGATGTTGTCCTTGAGGCGACCTTCTGAGTCGAGCCAGCGCTGGGGATCAAATTTTTCGGGATCTGGGAAGACAATAGGATCACGAGAAATAGCCCTGAAAACATGCACTTAATGAAGCGATGAACATCGAGAGATAGCATCTTACCATTGGCACCCATATACTATTGCGCCTTCGGGAATGCAGTATCCTTGCTGGTTTCACAGACTAGAATGAGAACGTAGGTTGCACTGAACTTAAGACACTGACCCAAAAAATATCCTTAGATGCACGATGTGGAAATCCTGAGGCACATGTCAGCATCGCGCAGGAGTATGGTAAATGTAAAACTGACCTATGCGAATGACAGGTCTCCATCTCAGAGTTTCTAACAAGAACGCGTGCAACTGGGGGAGCGAGCTTGAGTCTTTGAATGTCGGTGCTACCATGAGAAATTAGTCGAGAAATCAAAATCATTATACCCTTTAGCAGTACCCCTGTCTGACCCGATGACCATATCGAGCTCCTCATGCACCTTTGCCTGAGCCGCGGGGTAGCACGCTGCGGCCATCATAGCAACGGCGATTGCAACAGCGGTCTGTATTACAAATGAGTAACCTCGCGGAGATAAATTAATTGTATGGCCTGCCGTATCAGATCCCGCCCCAAAAAGTGATCCAGCGAGATATGCCATCTCGTCTGTAGAGAGTTGATATTCATCTGCGTTCTCCAATAGTGTCTTGGTGAAAGAGGGGCCAGCTTTGTTTTGATCCTGAGTACAAGAAGACATAAATGACATACGTTCACCGAAACAGAAAACCGTTTACCATTTCACTCTCGACGCGCCGTAGCTGATGCCTGTATAGATCTAGTTCCTCATGATGCCACTCATCAAGTTGTTTCCTGTAACCAGGCCAGTAGCGCAAAAGAGGCACGCGATCGACGAGATAAGCTCCAGGACGCATCACGACCTGGAAATGCTCCATCACTCTGTGGATACGGACAACTTCAGGGTCGGTGTTGGCAGTAGGCACAGACTTCCCGTAAGTCACCCGAAGAATCACTGATGCTGCATACCTTGAGGTAAATATAAGTGAGAAGATCGCAAAATCCATGATGATGACATACCGCTGTGCGTGCTTCTGGTGGTTCTTTGGATCGTTCAGCATATCCATTACGAAAACCATCGCGTTCTCGTGCTGCATATCTTGATATGCCTCTGCCATCTTTGGCTGCAAATGGGTATGTACTGCTTTTCGGAGGCGCCGGAAACGATCTCCGGAACGAGCCATGAGAATACGCATTCCATTTGAGAGCATCTCGCCCGCAGCAATGGACCGAGGTCGATCTACCAGCGATGCACCTTCTTTCTCCATGATGTCCGTAGCTGCCTGATTGATGTTGGACATCGTCAGAAAGAAGCTTATGTTGTGGACAGTTTACCTCAACGCTGCCAATGACAACTATCACTTGGCTACCTTGTCGCAACGACACAATCGGGCCATACTCTCGTACCAAGTCGCCCAGTGCATAGGCAATGCTGAGTGGGCGATCTTTCTTAGTTTATAATATGATTTGAACAAAACTCACTTCGCAGCAGGTAAAGCATTGCTCCAGAACCAACGGGCGGGAGGTCCAGGCGGAAGCGGAATGCTGTTCTTTCTAGAGGATGATGAGAATTTCTGGTATAACACGCCGAAAGCCGCCACAATTACGACGATACCAGCGGGATATGATATGCTGACACTCATGATGAGGGTTTCTGTGTTTAAGCGTGCTAGAAAAAGATGTGAGTGAGAATTCAATAGTGCTACTTATCTTATTTAACGTAAAAGTATAACTTGAAGCTGCACGGATTGAGGTTGCTCTATCTGAGAAGGGAATCGGACTCTGCGGCTGATGGTAGAGTCGCATCATTAATTTCCCTCAACACAGTGCCACGGTTATTCGGTACGAGCGCATGCAGTTCGGAATTACAGTGAGAACTTGAGAGTACTTATAACATAGGCCATGGTAGAGTCTTGCTCTCCAACACGATGCCACGGTCACGGTTATTCGGCAAGTTTGCGGTTCGGAATTACCCTTTAACCGAGTCAGTGAGAAGGTTAGGTTGGGAGTACTCACCGTGACTACGTGGGCCACCTTACTATCGACTTGGAACAAGGATACCAATGGAAGTTGATGTTAGTTCCCAAACCCCGCATGGGCTCACCAGCGCTCCAGCGGCGGCTGAATTCAAGGGTATTTTAGCTTAAAGTTTCCGATTACATAACATTTATGGCTTAGCCAATTAAAATCCTTTATCGGAGGCTAAGCCTGTCAATGTCATTGCACAAATAATGCACAACAATACTTCCTAAATCAGCTACTACCGTCACGATGCTCTGCTAATCTATACCATTAATGCTGCTTTATCATGTCTAATGGGCCGAAATATCTGCACAGTGACCCTTTACCTACTTGGCAGGACGACCACCATGAGCGTAATAGAAAGTGGGCGGCCACAGGGTCAACTTGAAGGTGTGAAACTCTCCAGCCGATGCTAGGTTCAAGATCATTACACAGACGTGATGATGGCACAGCTCACAGACAAGCGTCCACTTGGCAGTTATCCCCTAATTGCCGTATACTTTCAATTTTTTTTAATTCAATACTCAATTTCCTTCAGGCATGGGTTCTTGCCTCATGGACAAAAAGACATACTATTGTTCGGGTCTGACGCTCTTCCCACAGGCCATACATGGCTTAGTCTGTCGAGGACGATTTGATGAAACACGGAACTTCGTGAAAAAGACCCAAGGCAGTATGCAAGGACGTCTGTGAAACTACTCCCGGTGTGCACCACGAGTGAGTGTGAAGGTACCAGGGACTAACACACGACGTGATGTCCGCTGCCAAAGGGAAACCCCTGTCCCTAACTCCGTGCACGAGTTCCTAAGGAAGGGAACCGAAATGCCACCTAAAGTGACTGTCAGCACTAATCAGTGTATTTTTCAAGGTCCCGGTGTTGTCCCGCCTCCGAATTTTTTGTACATGTCGTAAGACATGTGTACCGCTCGCCTTCTAAATTGAGGGCTTCCTGTGTCATGTACCTGATCTCTAGACTGAATCGACGGTCTTAGTTAGTCTTAGGTGCGTCGAGGCTATTACACATATTAATAGCTAAGGTACGCATTTCGACTATTTGAACGATTTTCTCGGCTACTTATTTCTTTTAAATGAATGGATAGTGTCTCAGCGGAGCTCTCATATATCATAACAGGACCTTGGTTGACAGTCAATTTCCGACGCTACAGGTATTTGCAGGTAGAAGACATTTGATGAACTAGCCTGAAGATCAGTACTCAAGTTAGCCACGTGCCTACCGAGCTAGAAATCCGGCACGTCTCGCGAGCGGTGTGGTATCGGTGCAAACCCACGATACTCTCGCAAACACCAAATGATTACTGTCTCACCAGCGTTCATTAATCTTCCAATAAACCCAGCCCTATACCTAAATCATGAGGCACCAGGCACTAAAACAGCCTCTTTGATCCTGGATGTGTTCATGAACGGAAAGGGACTACGTATGACATTACATTGTACTGTGCCTACGACGTGTCCGAACACTCCACCGGTCTATAGCTGCAACTTCCGACAACCCTGGTATGCAGCAGCAGTCTCACGGCCCACGCTGAGGTATAAAACCCCTTGTTTCGACACGCAAAGTAAAGCAACACACCGAGCTCAATTTCTCTACTCATACCACTCTCACTATCATGTCACAACAATTCAACCCCAGTGATGCCGAGTTGTCCCAATATTCTGAGGACATGACTGCGTACACGCTGGAGCAGCTTATTCAATGGCGCGCTGACCTGGAGCGCAAGGCCAAGGAACAAGAGGAGAAGGAGCGAGCTGGTGGGTGTGATAAAATAAATTGCATGACAAAACTGACAAGATTGAATATGCAGCGAAGAAATCACAGAGCAATAACACAAACTCGAAATCTTAATATGCCTCAACCTACGGCAGGTGCGTCTGCTGCTATCCGTCTACCTACGTCGACCTGACATACTTTCCCTGCCATTGTTGAAGGCATGAATATCTGGCCATGTATATCTAATACTATATCTCACTTCTCTCCTGAACTCTCGTGTCTTTTTGATTTTAATTTTGAGTAATATATTTCTCCGCTGTACTATGTACGTACTGTTATATCTGTACCACGAGCACATAGAATCTAGTAGATGACGGCTGCAGAGGATAAATAATCGAGATCTGAATAAATTTATGGCGACGGTTTTTATTGGCACCACTTCTTCAAGCACCTGATGACGGGGCCCGCAATACCCAACTTGCAGACGGGGTGTCTAGAGCTGAGCACAAAGCTAAGACAGCACATTCTGCAGCCCTCCGATAACTACCGAGGCTGCGATGCTTTGAAGATCCGTAGGAACTAAAGTCAGGGGAGCCGACGGTCTCCCGCGAAAGAATCTGCAACGTGCCACCATTTGTGTTCCTACCTCGGGCCATCAGCCCGCGCTTCGAGGTTCGAGCGTTGTGATCGATGTCAAGCCTACTTGATTGAAAACAAAGCTCCTCGTCTAAGTTAGTCATTGAAATAATTTGAAGAACGGGGAATGACCACGATAGAAGCAACAAGTAAACGAGGAGGGACGCATCGTATATGGGCCTACGGCATTGTACGAACACCTTATCTGTGTCAACAATGCTTCCTATACAAGAGCACGCGGCCATGAGATCGGAAGACCTATCGGTAGTAGAACCACTACTAGTATGTGACATCTGCTAAGAATAGCACGGGCATAACGCTTTTATATTTGCTGTCATAATACTTCAAGTAGCATATAAAACTCGGGCTTAACTTTGGACAAAGTGCGCATCTGAACTATGTGACAACTAAACGATACAACGAGACAAAGGGAAACGAGATACACGCCGCTGTTCCGTGACATATCGGGCTCGAGGGTGGGAAGAGAAAACGAAGGACTGTTATCTTGCATGGCATGCACTCGATGTAAGATCCGATCTACGAGCGCTTCAGTTGGGAATGGCGATGGTATCGGTGTGGCACATACATATATATATGACGCAGGTTTTGCACACTGAAATATCACTCTACCCACCCAACGCAGTCTGTTGTGGGGGCCGGGCGTGTTCTAAGATATATAATTATTCCCATACACACCGGAAGAATCGGCCGATTACCTTTAGAATCATGCTGCTTGACGCCTTCCCGCACTCTCTCTCGTTCGCCCTCCTGCTCGTATTCCTTTGACATGCGTTCCAGCGAAGCTTGCCATTCTATGAGCTGCTTCAAAGTGTACGCAGCAATATTGCGAGAGTACTCGCGTTGTGCAGAGGATGTATCCCCCATGATAAAACTTTTTGAAAGTGAGAGCAGGATTACTGACGTCACTGTGTGAGAGTCAAGTAAAGAGTGAGAAAGCTGCGGATCTAGATTTGAGATAGATTTTCGAAGAGGTACCAGTCTTCATTCAAGCCTGCGTGGAGGCTCTGAGCATGGGAAGGATGGGCGACTTTTCCAGCTGACAAATTAACAAGGACTGTGAAATGAATAGTGGAGCGCAAAACGGACAGGTTTTAATGAGTCCGCTTTGAAAAGAGCACTCCGAGTGATGTCACACTTGAGTGAGAGCGTAACCTTTATTTGTGGCTTCACGAACTGTGTGGGTTTTGGAGTTAGGTTCCCCACGGACCGCTCGTTCTTCGAGATTCGATTTCCTTCGACAAGAAGGTTCGAAATGGAAGCGAGCTCATGCCGAAATGAATCTACGGCAGTACTCCACAGCTACGTTTCAAAGTTTGCCAGCCCAGACCGACCGTTCTATGCCGCAGTGCGCAGGGACACTCAGATTCGATTATGCCTTGCGTCAGAGGTGGAGCCTGAGGTCATGCCCATCACATTTTAGCTTCAGGCAGTAATTCTAACGACGATACCAGCAACTCACCAGTGCCAACCTTGCCGAGTAGAAGTCACGGAAATCTAGCCAACATTGGAAGTCCACCCTGAAATTTGAAATTTAGAACATTGCACATCAAAAGTGGAGGGCTGCATCAGCTGCTGCCACCAGTGGTATACCGCAAGCCGGGTTGCTCATGGCTGCACACCGAGTAGAACGATCGTTAGTAACTGCTGAGACTGAGAACTGGAGAGAGCCGCCTTTCTCGAGGGCCCGATGATGTTGCAATTGACAACTTGAAGGTACGTATGAATCTGGACCGATTGCCACGACTGGAACAACATATATACCAGGGTAGCCTGGACCTTAGGTCTTAGGCTGTAGGCTGATAGTAATGCCTCTTCGAGTGACGACGAACTTGGCCATTTCAGGAGAGTATTCAAACTCCGTGCCACTGTTCCGCGTCATTATCTTTTCGTCCCAAAATAACTCGCAAACACATGCGCATGCCCGGATCTCGGTCTGCAAGGAGACGACCTTATGTACCACGGCTTGCACGAGACTTGTAATGATATCCACTCGAGGTGCGACAGGTCATAAATGCTGGCATGAAGAACGTCGGTGAGAATTGGATGAGAAATACAATCTAGATACATTTGAGGAACATAAAGTTCGAACACCCAAAAATGGGGTCGCAGCGAGTGTGGCCGTAGCGAACAGCGAAACAGCACATCAGACAAAATAGGGGACATTATCGAGTGACAATGAGAGTTCAGTTCAATTTCAAGACTCATGTGAGGGAGCACGACCACAGCTAAAGAACGACCCGCAACACCTTACTTGATAAGAAATGGCTCCCGTCCCCCAGTTGGGTCTTGGATTCCTGTTGGTTGAGACACTTGTGTTCCCAGCAGAGCTTGAGGTTGACCCGGTTGCGTTAAACTGCCAGCCTCATTGCCGCTTGTACCTTGCATAGCTGCGGCCACTTCAATGTCAGTCTCAGGGATAATACCATATGTCTGTAACTATGTAAATATGTTGAACAAGGTCGAATATTGGCAGTGTCGAGCACTCACATCTTCATCGCGACAAGGAGCTACGACGGTGTGTCTACAGGAAATGACCCAAAATCCAGATGCCGGTGTTCGAGGGGTACTGATTGTGGTGTTAAATATTGAAACGCAGAGAGCTGAAAAAAATACGCCAACGAAGGCCAAACGATAGGCTCGCAGGAAGAGTTGCGGGACGAGGCGTGGGGTTGGTATCAGTGTCCCAGAAGTCGTTGCCCTGTACGAATGTTAGACTTGCATGATCTAACGAAACGAATGAGCGAATGACAAAGTCGTTCACAATTGATTGACACATCTCTCAGTTGAGCTGAACGTCTATGGTAAAGAAGTAAGATATGGCGCACAAGAGAAGCACACATGACTATTGCTCTCATCCGCATTCTGAATGACAACAAAACCCACTTTGAAAATATGCCGACCACGCATTAAAAACACTCACATCATCGCCTTGCTATTTCAGAGCTGCCTCCAGCCTCCACAGATAGACATTTTCATCTGATCCAGCACTGGCGATATATTTCCGTCAGGGAGTATAGCAACAGCCTAGGGTTCGTCGTCGTGCAAGAGCAGGTTGCCGACTAGCTGATTCATCTTGAGATCCCAGATGCGAATCGAGTAGTCAATTGATGCGCTAACAAGATGGCTTTCATTAGGGGAAAGCTAATGGTACGGTCATGACCCTGAAAAAAAATGACCCGTTAATCAGCTGCCATTTTCGGATGGTACAATCGATTGATGCGGAGAATATGTATGCCGTCGTTGAACCAACACAACGATGTCACATCGTTGTCATGGCCCTTGATCTCCATGAGTAGCTAGCCGTCCTTTGACCATACGTGAATCACCTTATCCTCCGCTCCGCTCGTGAATTTGTCCCCTTGTGGAGAGCATCTGACAGGTCTCTATCGGTGGTGCTATTTGTTGGCCAATATCCGGGTTCCAGCGTTGTATGGTGCCGTCGGTCGATCCACTTACTATCTGCAGGGCATTGGGAGACCAATTGAGGCACCTCACTCGACCATTGTGGCCCTCCCACGGATCACCAGCGATACTGCCCTTCTTTATGTTCCATAGCCATGGCAGCCGTCTGAATTTCCGATCACATTGTTTCTTCCGAAGATACAGCCATTGAGCCAGCCTACCGAGTTTTTTTGGGATAATCTACGTTGGCAGAGGTTTATGGCCGCCTGCTTCTTGTCAAGTTAGTGAATATCAAAATACAATTACTCACGTTCCCGAAGTGCATCCCGGCAGTATTGTGCACCATAGCGTGGCGGATCTTTCTCCTTCGTCCGATGAGGTTCACTAACCACCGATGAATTCAACATCGCTCTTTCTTCTCCATCTCTTCATTTTGCTGATGTACTTGACTCAGCAATAACACTGACAAAAAAACTCTCTGTCCTTACAGACATGTTGACAGAACTCGGTGATATAGGTAATGAATTGTCGCATGAGGAAAGATAGCAGTGGAAATAGCGAAGAGACCTGCTGGATAGTTAGCTGCACATGCCGTACTTGTAGGCGCGCTTAGTATGCTGAACTTATCAGCGAACGTCAAGATGTAGCCGTGAATAGTACGCCGATCAAATGTAAAATCCTCACCTACATATTATGATTCTGTGCGTGTTTGCGTGGTAGATGTGACGCCAATGCCTGATTGATTTTTCAACAGTCGTGACATATGCATCGGTCAAGGCATCATCCACACGACAGTGACGAGATTGACCTTTTGCTGCGAGAGATAATGAAGGGCAGACTGTTGTGACTCGGTGTATATGATATTGTTGATCGTCGAAACACTCGCGAAAGGGATAAAGATAGTCGAATATTCTTGATTAAAATCAGTAGATAAGCTGACCATATCGTAAATGCGAGCAAAAAGTTTATCCCGACACCAAAGTTTGTTTTTTCCTTCCCGCACAGGTGATTGTGAGGTCCACACCGCCGTCACATCGCTCCAGCTGAAGATGATCTGGTTGATGATGAGCACGTTTTCATTATGATTGAGTCGGAGGACTGCACCAGAGTGAATTGCTGGAAGCAATGGCCAAGGCAGAGTATCGGTCAAAATGTAACACGCCCTGTTGACTGCTGAGTCGTGAGTCCTCGAGATAATCAAGAGCAAAAGCCTAGTGAGGTTAGTAGATGTAGATGGTGTGATATGATATTATGTTGAAGAAAAAGAAGCGATGGGACTGGTGAAACGTATACCAGAGATGTTGAAGCCGCCCCTTGTAGAGCCACGTGACAAGCTACGTCTTCCCTAAACGCAGTTCTGAACTGCCACCTCAGCTGTTGGAGGCGAATTACCGTACAGTGGTATATGGCTAAGCTTGCCAAGTCTTGAAGCTGAAAGGCTTGAAGAACTGCCATTCTTGCGACTCGGAATAATGTTTCATGTGTATTTAATTTGTAACAGATTCACTGGTATGTACGGCAGAAACTTGAAGACTTTCAGGCTTCAGCCACTGGCATATAACAAGAATGAAGCACGAATATCTGCCCTACCAGCTGCCGGCAACGCTGAGTCGGCACGTTGACATACTATATCTCGAGCGCAACTTTCTGTCTTGGTTCGGTCTGACTACACTAAGTATGGGAGAATCACTGCAGGCAAGCCGCAACTCTCGCCGGCGTCAACGCTCGCAAGCACGTGTTCGTCATGGTCGCAGCCGCCCAAACGACTGGCTGTGTATCACCGCTCTGCTCTGCCCTTCACTAGCTTGGCTTGGGATAACACAGTTGTAACCTTCTCATGTCACAAGCATCAGACACCGGCAGCGCCGAGGATCAGCACGCCCACGACTCGGCTCGGCCTTCTTCAGAGAACGACAATGTAGGACCCACAGAAAAGCAAGTTGTGATGTCCTGGAGTCTGCCTGTTATCTGACAACGAGATAGGGAGAAAATTTGTGAGCCTTCGGCGGAGTTGCCATCGGCGATGTAAGTATTTTTGCCCTGAAACTTCTGTCTCGCTCCTCACCAGAATTGCAGTCCAGATGCTGGACCCTCGCAGCCATCAGGACCTCAGGTACAGGAAAACACTCCCGATGTTGCACCGGTCGGCGATTTAGCTCTGTAAGTTCCCGCCAATAATGATATCAAACATGCTCCTCAATTATCTCAGCGAGGCAGCGAAGGTCGTGGCGGATAAGGACGAACCTACGCTCAGCGAATTGTGAGTGAAAAATAAGCAGAGCGATCACAACTGACCACATCCTACACGCAGAGCAAATGTCATGAGACAAGTATTAGGCGTTCTCCAGGACTCGACGATCGCATTGAAGAGTGGCAAGGACAACCGGTCTCGCTTCTGGGGGGTGTACAAACGAGTTGCGGAGGAACACGACAACGAGTTTCTCGAGCGGTACACTACGGACATGGACATCGTCTTGATCTTCGTAAGTTTGGCGTGCTCATCTTTGATGCGTTTTTAAGACTGATGTTGGATCAGTCTGGTCTTTTCTCTGCTGTCAGCACATCCTTCATTGTCGCAATGGAGTCCAACCTCAGTCCCGACCCCAGCGATACCACGAATGCCCTTTTGAAGCAACTCGTTCAAATCGGACTCGGCAATGTCGCTGCAGCGGGTTCCACGCCCGCAGACCCAGCATCTACATGGTCGCCGAGCGCGCCCACCCTATGGATTCAAATGATCGCATACGCGAGCTTGTCGATGAGCTTGCTCGCCGCGTTCGGGGCCGTACTAGGCAAGCAGTGGCTCGGGTACTACAAGTCGAACAGATACGGCCGGGGCTCTCAGGAGGAGCGAGGGAAACGCAGGCAAGAGAAGTTCGACGGCCTCGTCACATGGTATTTCGACGCTGTCGTGCAATCCTTTCCGGTCTTACTGCAAATCTCACTTCTTCTCTTTGGGATTGCCCTCGGTGCCAATATCTGGTACGAGCAGCCAAGCATCGCCTGGGTCATCATCGCAACGACGATCTTCGGATTTCTGTTTTATTCCCTGACCGTGATGGCGTGTTTGATATCTCCCGCTTGTCCATTTCAGACACCGATATCGACGATGTTGCGCATGTTTCACATAGACAGTAAGATCATTTTACTGAATTCTGGCCGTAGTTCTCCCTCTGAATCAACATTACAGAGGTTCTACGCCTGGTGTTCAAACGAGTTTCCAGTTATTTCCAGCAGTTCACGATGTCACTGCACGGCGAGTTATGTCTTCTTCCATCTGCACAGGTTTTGACCGTTCCATTTCAGGCGTGCTGGAGCAGTTGCTTAGGTTGAGCTGGAGCCGATTGTCTGAAGTATTTAGAGGTGACGACCTTACCTATTATTACAAATATACTCAGTGCTCACTTAACTCCCTAGTCCCTGTCCATGCAATTGGCACATTCACACAACAATCTTTTCGGCGATTGATCGCCACACTTCATTTTGTCGTTCCGCGCTTTTCGACAAAGATATTGGACTCGGAGGCACAATTGCTCGACCAGAATTCGAATGTTTTGTCGAAGAATGAATTCGCGCTCACCCTCCCCGACATACCCACCAGCAATCTCGAAGCACCTAGCATCAAGTGGCTGCTCGAGACCTCTACGGATCCTGAAGTGTTTCTCACCGCTGCCAGCCTTGTTCCGCAGGTCGAATGGCCCTTGGATCTTGACACCTCAGACATACTGCCTCAGCTGTATGATGTTTACAAAAGCTGTATCGGCTTCCATGGCAAAATTATGCCGTCGTTGGAGGAGAAAGCCTCAGCTTGTATGATGGCCATGAGTCACCTATATCATGGCTGTGCTCTTCAAGCATATCCTGGCCATGGCAATTTTTTTGGTCGCGGGAGAATAGATCATGACTACAGTGCGTTATCCTGGATAACCATGAGTTACATGAATCAAGCCAACTACGTGGTGCTTACCACGACTATGAATCTTTGTATTGCAGAAAGCCCTTTTATGTATTCGTTATATGGTTGTCCCGACTCTGTCACGGAGTGGCTATCGCATTCCCTTACTTACCACTTTGTCACTGGACGAGCGAACCAGGCTATAGAAGAATTCGCCATAGAGGTGATATCAAATCTTCTCTCCTCTTCATCCTCCCCATCGAATCAAATCGTAGCCAATTGCACCCTTCTTGCTTGCGTCATGGTCGGGGTTCAGTTTGAGAAGAAGGACATAGTTCGTATCGATAAAAGGTACCATTGACTCATTTGATTCTTCCTCTGCTATGACTAATAAAGGGATTTATGTAGTTCTGCCTTGGCTCGATTCATGGATGCCCTTTTGGCGAAGTTCCAAATGGTTCTCTGTGAATGCGATGGAGGCGATCTCGACAAAGACAGCACAGGAGTCACACGCAGGGCATGGAAACTCCTCAACATCATCTGTCCCATCCTTGAGTCTGCCAAAGATAACTATCCTATAAGTCGTTCAGTCGACGTCATGCGGAACCTGGACGCGTGCCGGAAGATCTATTCACGACTCAGGTCACCCGAACAAAATGATCCCTGGGAACTGTTGAAAGCTCTGAAAAATGGACTACGCTTCACGCTCACTGCTGCCGAAGTATCTCGGGACCCTACCCGTTTGTGGTATAGCTATTATTTAGGGTCGCATGATTTCCATCCACCAGAAGATTTCGACTGGTTGGTGGACTACCTCGAGTACATTTATTCCGACGACGAGGACACGGCATTTGACATCCTTTTGTTCCTGGTGGTCATGAAAGCGCGCTACAGTCCTGCTAAACAACATCAGTTCTTCAAGAGCCTCATTGCCTGCATGGGCAGTAACATGCCTAAGCATTTGCGCCATGTCGCTCTCCGCGCGGCTAACAGCGCTCGAGAACAAATTGCCTCAATCGATGCCATCGATGACGCGAAGTTGCGAGACATGATCTTGACCGAGCTCTCCCCCGCTATCCTGACTGCAGTTTGCCTGCAACCAGATGCAACGCTCTCTGATCATGATCTTGGCCGCGACTTGAACTACCTCGAACTGCTATTTACCCTCGCAAGGAATTCCAACTGGCACCCCCATTTGATTAGGGATCACATAGATCAATGCATCAGCATGATTACAATGTGCTGCAGATATGAGGAGCATGCCTTCTACCTAGCTGAAATCTTCCTCCAAATCGCACCTGAACAGTTGTCAGTTACAACGCTCGATTCTGTCACAGAGCAACAGTGGTGGGACATGCTCAGCACTGCGTGGTTCATTGCCCCTCGTATGATGACTGTATTTAACGACATCAAGTTACTTCTTGCCCTTGTGGAAAGCACGAAGAAGTATATCCAAATTGCTCCGACATATGATCTCGATGCTCTCATTGGAAACGTGGATCGTGTTATCCAAGTACTGGAGGAGAAAATTTCAGAACAGGGAGAGGGAGAGGGCATCGCCGTTGCTGTGAAAGAGTTGGGGACTATAGCCAGTGATATGCTTGAGAAGTTGGTCAGCAGTAAAGGAGTTATTAGTCCCTGAATACTATGATGGTACTTGCATGTTGTACCTGGGACCAGAGGAACGATGCAACTCTGCGAGGGGATATGTATCACGACTCAAACAATATTGATACTTGATACGTCTATGTATTGTAGGAGACAAGTCACATCTGTACTACATATATGGAAATCTACTCATCTAAGACCAATCAAAGACTACTACTTCCTCCCAACCATCATCGCCCCAGACTTGCTTCCGCGTATCTGAGCTCCCTAATGGCTTCAGGGAGACGCAAATCCAGCAAATCTTGAACCAGACCTCACGAGACCGGTTTGCCCACTGCCCCGATACAAGTCTAGCTACCGTAACCTATACAAGGTCCTCTTCACTGTCGGTCTTGCCGCTTGGTGTTCGCGACAGCAGAGACTCATGACTGCTTATTGACTTCCAAGTACCCATGACGCAGGAAAACATCAAGCACTGGACTTCTTTTGCATGGACGGGCGACTTTACTTAGAGTATGGAGTTGCTTAGACGCACTAGAACTTGTACATGAACAATGGATAAGTTGCACTAGTCATCGATAGTGTACAAGACATCAGCATCTGGGCATCAGAATGTCTAATTATTCAAACTCCTAATGCCATCGAAACACTGCAGAAGTATGTAAACAAAGAGAAGGGTCCGTAGTCAGATCCAGTAATGACAGAGTAGCAACGACAGGGTATCCAAAGTGTAGCGAGAATCCAACATGTGCGATATAGTAGAGCATAAATGATTCTAGTGAAAGGTTGGTCAGCGAAGTACAGAAGGACCGAGTTAAATTGACAACAGATGCAAAAATAAGATAAACATGGAAGAAGAGGCAAAGACAATGATTAGACGAGGTGCACTAACCACCGATGAGTTCAACATCGCTCCTCGTTCTCCATGTCTTCATTATACTGCTGTACTTGATTTAGCCATGACACTGACAAGAAAACTTTCTGTCCTTACAGGCGCGTTGACAGAACTCGGGTTGGTATAGAAAATGAATTGTCGAGGGCGAGGATGGCAATGGAAATAACGAAGAGACCTGCTAGATAGTTAGCTGCGCATGCCGTACTTGATTCGTCAGCGAACGTCAAGATGTAGCCGCAAAGAGTACATCGATCAAATGTGAGATCCTCAACTATATATGTCATGATTCTGTGCGTGTTTATGTGGCAGATGTGATGCCAATGCCTGATTGATCTGTCAACAGTTGTGACATGGATCTGTCAAGGCATCATCCACGCGACAGTGACGAGGTTGACCTTTTGCCGCGAGAGACGGATCAAGGGCAGACTGTTGTGACTCAGTATATATGATGTCGAAACACTCGCGAAAGGGATAAAGATAGTCGAATATTCTTGATGAGAACCAGTAGATAAACTAGTCGTATCGTCAATGCGAACAGAAAGTCTATTCCGGCACCAAATTTTGATTTTTCTTCCCCCGCAGGTGACTGTGAGGTCAACACTACTGTCACGTCGCTTCAGCCGAGGATGATCTGGTTATCTTAAAACGCTCGTGATGAAGGGATGATGAACACGTTTTGATTATGATTGAGTCGGAGGACTGCACCACGGTGAATTTCTGGAAGCAGATGGCCTAGGCGGGGTACCGGGTCAAAATGTAACACGCCCTGTTGAATCCTGAGCCGTGAGTCCTCGAGGTGATCAAGAGTAAAAGCCTAGTGATGAGAAGTGGGGTTAGTGGATGTAGATATGATATTATGTTGAAGGAAACGATGAGGGTAAAAGAGAAACCTAGCGTGTAGAGAGGCACAAGTGAAGAAGTGATGGAATGTCAATGATACCAGAGTCTTGAAGCTGAAACTTGAAGAAGTGCCGTTCTTGCGACTCGGAATAATATTTCATGTGTAAGAGGTTCAGTACTAGGTAACAGCGTTGGACGGCAGAAAGCCTCGATCAGCCACATAACTTGATGGTTCAAACGTTCAAGTTCAAAAGTATCAATTGCAAATGCCCCAAGCTTCCGGCAGGCCGGCAACACCGAGTCTCGAGCGCAACTTTCTTTCTTGGTTCGGTCTGACTAATCATAATAATCGCACTCCACTGCAGGCAGCTTTCGGCGTCAACGCTCGCAACTTGGCACGTGTTCGTCATGTCAGTCGCAGCTGCCCAACCGACTTGCTGTGTACCACACACTCACCTCAGACCCTTTGCTTGGGATCCAATACAGTAGTCTGGTAGTAAATACCTCATGTCACAAGCATTAGACACCGGCAGCGCCGAGGATCAGCACGCCCACAACGACTTGGCTGAGCAGCCTTATCCAGAGAACGACAACGTAGAACCTACAGAAACGTAAGTTGTAGTATCCTGGAGTCTGCCTGCTATCTGACAACGATACAGGGAGAAAAATTTTAAGCCTTCGGCGGAGCTGCCATCGGGGACGTAAGTGTTTCTACCCTGAGCTTCTGTCTCGCTCCTTACCAGAACTGCAGCTCGGATGCTGGACCCTCGCAGCCATCAGGACCTCAGGTACAGGAAAACACTCCCAATGTTGCACCGATCGGCGATTTAGCTCCGTAAGTTTTCGTCGATATTATCAAACTTGCTCCTCAATTATCCCAGCGAGGCAGCGAAGGTCGTGGCAGATAAGGACGAACCCACGCTCAGCGAATTGTGAGTGAAAAATAAGCAGAGCGATCACAACTGACCACATCCTACACGCAGAGCAAATGTCATGAGACAAGTATTGGATGTTCTCCAGGACTCGACGATTGCCTTGAAGAGTGGCAAGGACAATCGGTCTCGTTTTTGGAGGGTATACAAGCGAGTCGCGGAGGAACACGACGGCGAGTTCCTCGAGCGATACACTACGGACATGGACATCGTCTTGATCTTCGTAAGTTTGGCGTGCTCATCTTTGACGCGTTTTAAGACTTATGTTGGATCAGTCTGGTCTTTTCTCTGCTGTCAGCACATCCTTCATTGTCGCAATGGAGTCCAACCTCAGTCCCGACCCCAGCGATACCACGAATGCCCTTTTGAAGCAACTCGTTCAAATCGGACTCGGCAATGTCGCTGCAGCGGGTTCCACGCCCGCAGACCCAGCATCTACATGGTCGCCGAGCACGCCCACCCTATGGATTCAAATGATCGCATACGCAAGCTTGTCGATGAGCTTGCTCGCCGCGTTCGGGGCCGTACTAGGCAAGCAGTGGCTCGGGTACTACAAGTCGAACAGATACGGCCGGGGCTCTCAGGAGGAGCGAGGGAAACGCAGGCAAGAGAAGTTCGACGGCCTCGTCACATGGTATTTTGATGCTGTCGTGCAATCCTTTCCGGTCTTACTTCAAATCTCACTTCTTCTTTTCGGGATCGCCCTCAGCGCCAACATCTGGTATGAGCAGCCGAGCGTCGCCTGGGTCATCATTGCAACGACGATATTCGGATTTCTGTTCTATTCCCTGACCGTGATGGCATGTTTGATATCTCCCGCTTGTCCATTTCAGACACCGATATCGACCATGTTGCGCATCTTTCACATCGACAGTAAGATCACTTTACTGAATTCTAATGGTGTTTTTCTCTGAATCAATATCGCAGAGGTTTTATGCACGGTGTCCAAACGAGTCTTCGGTCATTTTCAACAGCTCACGACATCACTGCATGGTGAGTTATGTCTTCTCCCGCGTGCTCAGGTTTTAACTCGTTTCATGTCAGGCGTGCTGGAGCGATTGCTTTGTATCGTCAGGTTGAGCTGGAACCGATTGTCTGAAGTATTTAGAGGTGGCGATCTTATTTACTATTACAAAAATACTCAGTGCTCATTTCACTACCCAGGCCCTGTACATATAGCCGGCACATTCGCACAACTATCTCTTCAGCAGTTAATCACCAGGCTTCATACCTGGCTGCGTTTTGTTGTTTCGCGCTTTTCGATAAAGGTCCTGGACCCAGAAGCACAATTGCTCGGCCAGAATTTGAATGTTTTATCGGAGAATGAATCCGCCCTTCCCCTCCCTGACACACCCACCAGCAATCTCGAAGCACCTAGCGTCAAATGGCTGCTTGAGACCTCTACGGATCCTGAAGTGTTTCTCGCCGCTGCCAGCCTTGTTCCGCAGGTCGAATGGCCCCTGGATCTTGACACCTCAGACGTGTTGTATCAGCTGTATGATACTTTCATAAGCTGCGTCGGCTTCGACGGAAAAATTATGCCGTCGTTGGAGGAGAAGGCATCAGCTTGTCTAATGGCTATGAGTCATCTCTATCATGGCCGGGTTTTTCAGGCATATCCTGGCCGTGATGAATTTCTTGGTCGTGGGAGAAGAGACTGCGACTTCGATGTGTTATCATGGATGAAACCGGTGGACATAAGTAGAGCCAACAACATGGTGCTTATGACGACTATGAATCTTTGTCTTCCAGAAAATAACCGTACATTTTTGTGGTATTCGTCAGATGATTGTCCCGACTCTATCACAGAGTGGCTGTCGCATTCTCTTACTTACCACTTTGTCACTGGGCGAGCGAACCAGGATATAGAAGGATTCGCCATAGATGTGATATCAGATCTGCTCTCCTCTTCATCCTCCCCGTCGAATCAAATCGTAGCCAATTGCACCCTTCTTGCTTGCGTCATGGTCGGGGTTCAGTTTGACAAGAAGGACATAGTTCGTATCGACAAAAGGTGCCTTTGACTCGTTTGATGCCTCTTCTGCTATGACTAACAAGGAGATTGTATAGTTCTTCCCTGCCTCGATTCGTGGATGCCCTTTTGACGCAGTTTCAAATGATTCTTTGGGAATACGATGGAGGCGATCTGGACAAAGACAGTACAGGAGTCACACGCAGGGCATGGAAACTCCTCGACGTCATTTGTTTCATGCTTGAGTCTGCCAAAGATCACTATCATCCGAGTCCTTCATTCGACGCTATGCGGAACCTGGACATGTGCAGGAAAATTTATTCACAACTCAGGTCATCCAAACAAAATGATCTTGAAGAACTGTCGAGAGCTCTGAAAAATGGACTGCGCTTCACGCTCACTGCTGCGCAAGTATCTCGGGACCCTGCCCACTTGTGGTACAGCTATGATTTAGGGACAGGTGATTCCCGTTCTCTAGAAGACTTCGACTGGCTGGTGGACTACCTCGAGTACATTCATTCTAGCGACCAGGAAACGGCATTTGACATCCTTTTGTTGCTAAATGACATGCAAGTGCGCTGCAGTGCTGCTAAACAACATCAGTTCTTCAAGAGCCTCATTGCCTGCATGAGCAGCAACATGCCTCTGCATTTACGCCATGTCGCTCTCCGCACGGTCCTCAATGCTCGAGAAGAAATTGCCTCGATTGATGCCATTCATGATGCGAAGTTGCGAGACATGGTCCTAATGGAGCTCTCCCCCGCTATCCTGACTGCAGTTTGTCCGCAACCAGGTACAATACCCTCCGATGATAGTCCTGACTGCATCTTCCATCATGACCATGACACGTATCTTGAGCTGCTATTTGCTCTCGCAAGGAATTCCAACTGGCACCCCCATTTGTCTAGGGATCATATAGATCGATGCATTAGCATTATTGCAGAGTGCCGCTTCCGGCCACCTGCATTCCACCTGGCTGGCATCCTCCTCCGAATCCCACCTGAACAGTGGTCGGCTACATCGCTCGATTCCATCACAAAGCGACAGTGGTGGGATATGCTCAGCGGTGCATGGCCCCATGCCAACTATATGATATATCACGATATACCCTGTTTCGAGTTTCTTCCTGTCCTTGTGGAAGGGACCAAGAAGTATCTGCAATTTGCTCCGGACTATGATCTCGAGCGTCTCATTGGCAATGTGGATGCTGTTCTCGAAGAACTGGAGAGGCAAAAGTCCGAACAGGGAGGGGGAGAGGGTGTCGTCATTGCTGTGAAAGAGTTGAGGAAAGTAGCCAGCGAGATGTTTGAGGAGTTGGTCAACGGTCAGGGAGTTATTAGTCCCTGATGATCACGGTACTTGCATGTTGTGCTAGTATCCTGTGGCCGGAGGAAGGGATGGAGCAATGCGCGAGGGGATAAGTATCACAACTATCGCAGGAGACAAGTCAATCTTGTACTATAGCTACATCTATGGAAGTCTACTAATGGTTTTTGTCTCATCTAAGACTACTACTTACTCTTAACCACATGACGCGACGCAGGAAAACATCAAGCGCCGGACGTCTTTTGCATGGACGGGCAACTTTGCTTAGAGTATGGAAGCTTGGACGTACTGGAATTTGTATATTAACAATGGATCATAAGCTGCACTGGTCATCGATAACGTACCAGACATTAGCATCTGGGCATCAGAATGTCTAATTATTCAAACTCCTTAATGCTATCGAAACACTGCAGAAGTAGGTAAACAAAGAAACTCCCGATGAAGGGTCCGTAGTCAAATCCAGTAATGACAGAGTAGCAACAACAGGGTATCTAAAGTGTAGCGAGAATCCAGTATGTGCGATATAGTAGAGCATAAACGTTTCTAGTGAAACGTTGGTCAGCGAAATACGGAAGGACCAAGTCAAATTGACAACAGATGCAAAAATAAAATAAACATGAAGAAAGAGGTACAGACAACGATTAGAACAGGGTGAGGAATCGGGTGATTGAGATAGAATATACGATCCTTCTAGCGATGCAAGAAACTCGAGATTGGCATGCGACCAAGGATGGATAACATAAATTTCCGATGATGGCGGTACCACTGAGAAAGACAACAAAATCAACGAAGGCTTTGGTAAGAAGAAGAAAAACTTACCAATTACATGTTTGTCATTCAAAGTGCACGAAAGCTACCCTCTGACATTTGGGCCAGTTGATTTATGTCGGCACTGTAGCCGCTCACCCGCTTTTGAGACAAGAATGTTGGGAGGGTCTGACCGGCTTCGCGCAAGCAATCCACGGGGATGAGACCATTCTCGTTATGATCCAATAATCCGCACTGCTTCTCGACAAGCGCCCAGCCGTCGTCGAAAACCCTCAGAACGAGGACTTGATCTCCTGAGGCAACAGAGATTTCATCGTCAAGAGTACGGGTGAATGGGCGATGGATGGTCTCGAATTCGGGTTGCGGAGGGTCAGCAAAAGGGTCAGAAGATGTGCCAGAAACAGCTATCAGCGAACCGCTGGGTGGTGGCAGGAGGTAGGAGGCAGCGGGAGCAGAAGACAGTAAATCAGAATTGAATATGGGAGGAGGAGAGTGAATCTGGACGAGAGTAGTAGCGCATGACGAAGGAGTAACGAGGTCGCAACCAGCAAAAACAGACGAAGTATGTTGTGCGTCATTGGGACACGGGGGTGGCCTGGGGAACGAGAAGGATTCTGATGGAGAAAACGGACGGACGGACATGGGACTAGTTGGTCCGGGAGGATTGAGATTATTTCCCATAACGAGGTACTGAGTGTCGGAGTCGCTCCCGATACTAATCATACTGATCATGGACTCCCTACGAGAAACAGCGCCAGCAGAAGGGAACAAGAGCGACATGCGCTCGCGCACTTCCGCCATGCGAGGGAACTCAGGAATGGTACTGAGTGCGGCGTGATCAACATTGGGGGATGACATCGGGGAATCAATGCGGAACATGAGTCCTTGATCAAAGTTGGTAGCAAAGCTGCTGCGGGCGCTTGCCCTGTTCAGGTTGGGTTGTCCCCCACTTTGAGAGTCTTGCATACGGTCTCCTACGATAGAGGAACTATCTGACACGGTATTTCCGCCGAACCGCCATTGGTTGCGGCGCTCGAGACGGCGAGCAATGGTGCGACGCCGCACGAAGAGCACGATGAAGCTGATCAGGAATATAAAGCATATGACAACGATTCCTCCAATTGCGCCTGAGGACAGCGGGTGCGAAGAAGTCGCAGTAAGAGATGGAGTAGCATCACTCGGGGAGGTTCCGACACTACTGAATGTACTTGATGTACTGGAGCCTTGGAGACCTGCAGTTGGTGCACCCCCGGTCTGAGACATTTTTGGACTGCCCGTCGCTTTGGGGTTGACCATCGAAGATGACGACTGAACTACCGGAGTACCTTGGATGTTCATGGGCAGCTCTCCGTTACCGTTAGAAGAATTGAGCTGGCTGCCGGTACCATTGTTAACGAAGGCTGGTGTACCTCCCGGAGGGTACGAAGGGGGGCCTTGGAAGGATGCAGGCGTAGTAGTGGTTGCTGTGCTACTACTTCCCTCGGGGCTGCTTCCGTTATTTCCGCCTCCACTTTCACTATCTTCCCCATTTCCAGTTCCGGTTCCAGTCCAACTGCCACTGCCACTGGTACCTCCACCCCCACTTTTACTTCCACCTCCATTTCCGCCCCCATTCCCCCCGCCGCCACCACTCCCACCCCCACTTCCAGTTGCACCACCATTACCACCACCACCACTACCCCCACTTCCACTTCCACCACCACCACCACTTCCAGTTCCGCCGCCACCACCACTCCCACCTCCGCTACCGCTACCGCCACCACCCCCACTTCCATTTCCACCCCCGGTTCCACCTCCACCTCCGCTTCCGCTACCAGTTCCGGTTCCACCGCTGCCGCCTCCGCTTGAAGCGATGGTTGGGGATGGTAACGAATTTGCTATTGAGGCAAACACTAATGTAGTGGCCCCACCGTCAATTCCCACCGACAAAAGGGTTCGATAGGAGAGGAGATATCGTAACAGATGGCAACGAGAATGCTATGCCACCAGTGGAGGAACTGGGAACGCGTTCGTTGAGCGCCCTATTTTGAATTGCGCGATGTCGGACAGATACATGTTGCATCCTGTACTAAAGCAGGATATGTAGTACAGGTAAAGATTGGGATGTCGAAAAAGAGTGTGGGTATCGTCGTTCGCCGGCGTCAACGACGAATTAGAGGATGTGCTGGCTGTCGCAGTGGTGCAAAAGATGTTTGATCCAATAACCGGGGGAGCAGAACGGGTCACTAGAACGGGCATTCGCCATGGCTACCGTAGGTCTCGTCCAACGAAGTGATCAAGTGATCAAAAGGTGACCAATGACATTATGGAATCGCGCAATATTAACGCTGCAGTGTAGCTGCACTTCCAAAACGAGGGTCCTCGGCCGCAATGAGTGAGAATTGTGTTGAAAGCGATCGTGCATGGATCTGACGTCACATACATTTTGAGTGATCATCCCTTGGAGCCAACTTGCAACTTGCCTTCTACAGTCATATTGTTAATGAAGTTTCGGCAGCACTTGACGACGGTGGAAGGAACAAGTTACCGGGCGCCCATAACAAAGTTTCGACACACCTATACTTCCCAGGAACATCTCACGTGGGAGCAGAACGTCTCTTGGTACGGCGATTGGTGCGGTGTTATCAGCTCTGGGCTCAGCCTAATTCGCTATGATAAGTCAACGTTCAGGAATAACACGTACTGCCATCATGCGTCAACTCTAGTTACCAGAGTAGGGCTCTACTTGCCGCCATCATGGAATCACCGAGTGTATCCAGAGGAAGTTTGGATCTCCCAAGCACAATAGCACCGCGGGGGTAACTTTCGAATTTTTCATCACCTCCGCAATCCCTTGTAATAGTATGACGTGTGTACTGTTTCCTCGGTGTGGCGGATAGCCACCGGTGAGAAAATATGTGACTATGTTGAAGCATGTAAACAACAATAGAAGAAAGGCGAGCCTTGACGACGAATGTCGTTTTCCAAAGGATTCTTCGAGAAGAACAATTATCAGTTAGGTTAAATCAGCATGGAATCGAGACACACCAAACAACGGAATCTGAATCAACGATCAGAAAGTCGATCATTGGCGCACAAACGCCAATCATTGCAAGCCAAAATAAGCCAGAAGTTGTGGTACGTAGCATTGCTTGCAAGGATACCAGTATTATGCACCACTGCTAACAACTGAGACAAAAACTAGTTACCACACTTCCACATTTGACGAGGCAGTAAGAAAGACACGCCAATGGCAAGGAGCGCCAGCACCATCATAAAATAGTACACCGCCCACGCATAATAGGGATCCTTCACAGAAAATGAAAACATCGACATCGCCGAGGCAGGTCCAATAATGCGTACAAACGCAGCGACTGTCTGAGCAAGGCCATTAGTGGCGCCCAATGATGCACGATTTGGAGATGCAGCTGCTATATACATCGCCCCGCAAGCTATTATGCATTGATCAGTAATGTCCGCAACACAGGACATAAAGAACGAACAGTAACACATGTTGAGAGCGATGGATATTGTGAGCTGAAGGCCGACAGCAAACCAAACTATCGCGCCAATCCCATACGTCCCACTCAACATGTTGATCACCGGGAATGCGATGATAACCGGTACGCTGGATACGATTCCGCAGGTAAAGACCACTTTGGTACCAAATCGGTCATGCAGACGAGCAAAGAAAAATACTTGGAATAAACCATTGACAATACCGAACGCCGCAAGGATATTGCCAATCCGTGGTGGGTCAAGGCCAAGCCCACCCATGTTCACCGGCGTAGCGTAAAACACGGGTATTAGAGAACGCAGAGCGATGTCAAAGAGAGCCAGAGTCGCGTAATTCAACGTCGCAATAAGAACATGCGGGGTCATTAATGCCCTCAGAGGCAGGGGCTTAGAATCGTGGGGGGAACCTTGAACGGTATCGGAATTTGATCTATCCGGCTGTGGCGGCTTGATATGTACGAACGGAAGCATGGACCGACATCTGTTCCGAACCAGATTCCATGAGGATGTCGTCGTTGGCACAGTCTAAACGTAGATGAGACGGATCAACGAAATGAGCGGACCCACTACTTTACCTCCTGTAAAAGCATATACGTAATCAACCATGACGATACGGTAAACAATGCTGGACCAGCGCAAGCCAAGAAATAAGGATGTGTCTTCAAAAATGTCGACTGCCCAAACAGTCTGGGAAAACGATCTGCCGGATGGGACAAAGACCCGCCGATGAGAGGTCTAGCCGGTCATTCAATGTAAGAACTTGGTACAGAAAAGAACATATGAGACCCCACCCAAGCGTATTCCCGGTCATCCATGGAAGAGGAAGAAACCCGAATGCCTGAGCTATGTTGCTTGAATCTGTAATATCTATCATCATACTCTTGATGACACCGCTGTTGCCATTCAGCGCTCCGCACAATATACGACTAAATAACGAGAGAAAAGGATTGAACTCGTTATATTTTCAATTCGAGTATGATGCACGAACCTCAGTATCAAGCCTCCGAAGGTCTTTGAAAGCCCGAATAGGAACATGGATACTGATATACCAAATAGGCCAGTCAAAATGACTGGCTTTCGGCCAACATGATCAGAAAGCCGGTTCCATTGAAGGGTCGTAAGGGCTTGAGCTACGTAGAACACGGAATACTTGAAGGTAAATCAGGAAACAAATATTTATAGCGAACACTGGGCACTCACCATGACACCAACGAAATATCCTACCCTTGATTCATCACCATGTGTCACTCCAACATCTCTGATCAGCTGAGAAACGAAACAAGGATCGTCAGAACTCATAAGATACAAATTCAGGCTGGGTTCACCTGAGGTGCAAACGGAGCAATTGCCTGAGCAGTCACAGGTTCAGTGAGCTGCAAAAAGAGTATAATGGATAATTGACGCCAGGGTAGTGGAGTTTTGACTTTAAGCTGCTCCTCGGACCGCAACAGAGGCGTCTCTTCATCCGCTTGGTGGGACATGACTGCTGAAGGAGTGGGCCATTCCAGCTGTTTGTATTACCGTTCGCTAAGCAGAACGTATGTAATAGAACCTGCAGCTAAAGCCTTCATACTGCCCGTTTACAAATGAGAACTCCCACGGTCATGGAGTCGCCACCGCCGCCATGGTCAACCGTCAAGCAGCCTGAGAGTCAACTTGTGTTCGTGCATGATAAGGGACGAGGCGTAAATTTCTCAACATAAGTAAATGTCTCAATAGATAAGTTTTTGAGCTTCGAATGAAATTTCATGCCTATCCCTACACGCCAGACCACGCTGTGATTGTGTCGAAGAGAGATGCTGGATAGTAGCCCGACTTGGACCTGTGTTTATCTCCTTGTTCAAATTTTACCATGCTCCTCGTTGCTTTTGATCCTTTTTCGTAAACACTGGCAGGTAAGTTGCGACCCGAAAAAGCCTGTCAGACCGCAAGGAATATTACTGCGCCATACCGGGAAAATTCATTTTTATAACAAATACAACAAAATCACCTGAAAAAAGGGACTATATGCAGATCGCTAGCGACGACACTATTGTTGATCTTCCCATAGACTAGGATCATGAGGAAGTAACAGAGAAGTACCTACGGCGAGAAATGCAATTGCCATCAAGTAGTAATATATCAACCATGCGTCATGGCCTTCTTGTAGCGAATAAGAGAAGACCGAAGCTGCAGATGCTGGGCCAATGATCTTTGCACCTGTTACAACCAGCTGGATAATTCCATTGGTTGCTCCAAGCGATGCGCGATTGGGAGCGGCGGCTCTGATAAACAATGTCAAGCATGCTACGACTTCTCAGTAAATCAAAAGATGCCAGAAGTGGTTGGTTGACATACGATAGCACATGACCAAACTAGTTAACAGAGAAAGTTGAACACCAACGGACAGCCACACCGTCCAACCCATACCATGGACCCGAGCGAGCCCATTGGTCACTGGGAATAAAATGGTGATAGGTACGCCGGAGACAACGCCAGCAATATTCATGGCTCTTGCGCCGAGGCGCTCGTGTAGCTGCGCATAGAAAAGTAGCTGGAATACGCCATGGGCAACACCTGATATCGCAAGTATAGCACCGATTTGGGGAGGGTCGAGCGAAAGACCACCTAGTTCGATCGGCGTCGAGAAAAAAATAGGTAGGACCAAATTAAATGCCGCATAGAATAATGACATAGTGACATAACTTGCTGTCACAGTCAGGACCTTTGGAGTCAGCAAGGCGCACAGTGGCAACGGCTTTGATGGTACTATTTCAGAGTTTGCAGAAATGGCCAAACCATTTCTTGATGGCGGAAAAGGTTTTGCGTATGATTTTCGCAGGAGCCATCCTTTAATCAGCTCCCAAAGTGGCGCCCTTGTTGAAACACTCTCGTTACCGTACTTAGTGTTATCCAGACATGGTCTTAAGAAAATCTTTCTCACCTCTTTGAAACGGGAATACGTGACCAACCAAGCCACCAGGGCAAATATAGCTGGAATAGCACATGGTAAGAGGTATGGGTAGATCTTCAGGAGTTTCGATCGCCCAAAAATCTCAGGGAACCTATCTGCGGGTCGGGAGAGCGATCCACCAATGAGTGGTCTAAGCTATTGTGAATCCCGTTTCAAAAGCAAAAAGTACTTTATATTCCTACCCAACTAAGGTTCCCAACATCCATGGGAGCGGCATATAGCCGTACGCCTTCGGCAAGTTGGTTGTGTCAGTGATGTCCATTACCATGCTTTTGATGACCCCATTGCTCCCATTGAAGGCCCCACAGAAAGCACGGCTGATCAGTAAGTCAGTACTTGACGATTATGGTGAATATTAAATACCCGAACCTGATCACCAGACCGACAAAATTTTTCGACAGCCCAAAGGAGAACAACGAAATTGATATCGCGAATAGAGCGGTCAGTATCACAGGCTTCCGCCCAATGTGATCAGATAATTGGCTCCAATGGAGGATAGTCAATGCTTGAGCCGTATAATACGATGATTGCTTGAAACGATATAAGGAAGGAACACATGACAACGAAGGATTGTGAGATGCTCACCAGGATGCCAACATAGTGTCCAACCCGGGATTCGTCTCCGTTTGTCACGCCGATGTCCCTGATCAGCTTGATAAAATTCCGGTTGTGGTTAGATTCAAGTCCAAAAAAAAGAGGGAATATACTCACTTGAGGGGCAAATGGGGCAAGGGTCTGAAAAACAAGCGAATCGGAAAACTGTAAGAATAATATGATCCAGAACTGATCCCAAGGCAGAGGGGAAGTTCGGGAAATCCTCTGGTCTGGCCGTTGGAGAAGAAGAGTCTCTTCATCTTGACGCGCTACCATGATGGTACGAGAGAAAGATGGACGATGGGCGCAGCCTATTAAATTCGTATATGAGCCGGCAATTAAAAGGCCCATCGATCAGTCGACCGATAAGTAGTCCAAGTGTAGCATCATCCATAAGGACATGCTTCTGGAATCTGGTGAAAGCCCACTTGGACGTAAAGGAAGTTGAACCTCCTAAGTACTATTATGGTCCGAAAGCACGGGCAGGTCTGCATTTGGTTAGGCCGGTACGTTACATACGTACCCAAGCTGCGGCGAAGTGCAAACATTTATATGAGGGCAATAATTTCAAGTAGGCATGACCGTCGAAAAGCAAAATGATTTGTAGAGCATGTTCTCTGTTATGAAACATGAGGAAGTCATGATGATTCCACAGCATAAGTCATGGCGCATACGATGAAAGTCGCGTGATGCTAGTTGGCCTCGTGGTTCCTCCACGATTTGAGGATATGCATGTTGGTACTGTACTCAACTGGTCAGTGCCGTAATTGCCTAGACTTGAGAGTTTTCGTGCAATCCGCATCCCTGTGTGGCAAATCGACAGCTGGCGGTCATTTTTGCAATGATGGGCCATCCAGAAAACACGACAAGATTCTTGATTACTGAGGTCTTATTCCGAGTCGCTGAGGAGAGCTGCTGCCATCAGGAATCGAAATAGCGTGGGAGGAACATGACGAATTACGTCCAAGTCTCCAACTTTCCTTCAAGGAAAGCGACCAGGGTCAAGAGCTCCCAGGAAGGAAGATATCTTCCTAGTGTAAATTGCAAATAATAAGGGATATATCCGGAAGATGCACCGACGTGGTTGTAGACAAATAACACGCGGTCATCGTGTTGTTGGCAGAACGCGGTAGTTTTGCCAACCGGTCTAGCGAAACTGGGACCAGCCTGGTTCATGGCAGAACTCACGCGAAGTAGAGTGCACATTATCTCGGTACAATACAATCAATCCATGCAATGGTGTAATCTCGGTCGACACATTTCAAACACTGCGCAAAAATTATGCAGACTTTCGGCTACACTGTGAGCACCATGAAAGCCACGGAGTTAAGAAGTTCACGCACCATGCTGCCATCGACATGCTCACATGCGGACTTGTGAAGAGGTTGGCAAATATTGCTCTCGAGACTGCACAGCATCCTTCGTGTGAACACCTCTCTCGACCAAGCCTCGTGATGCAGATGACGTTCTTACTATGTCTATATCTCGCCTGATGTCACTGAACTTGCAGCTCTCAAAGATTTGAGAAGGACTGAAAAAGTTCAGAGTATTAATGAAGTTGAAGTGCTCGAGGGAAATGAGTTTGATTTTGATGAGGTGGATCGGATCGAAGAAGGTACAACGCCACATGCTCAGGTTACCAGTCATGATTATGCAATCAAAGCTTAAACGATGATGCATGGTGGAAGGGACGAGGCAGCATTGACTGATGCATTCATTCATTCGGAATATTGTTGTACATATAACCTACATAGCCTAGAGTGTTGCCAGTCCAGTCCCTACGCTGGGTCATTCGCGATAGCGATCTTCCCATACACTAGGATCACGGGGAAGCAATAGAGCAGTACCCACTGCGAGAAATGCAATTGCGATCAAGAAGTAATATATCAACCACGCATCATGCCCTTCCTGCAATGAATAAGAGAAGACCGAAGCTGCAGACGCCGGGCTAAGCATTCTTGCTACTCCGACAACCATCTGGGTAATTCCATTGGTTGCTCCGATCGAGGCGCGATTGGGAGCAGCTGCTCTAACGAATAATGTTATGCAGGCTACAAGTTGTCCTCAGTTTAGCAGAATGCATGAAGTGCTGAATTGACATACGGTAGCACATGACCAGGCTAGTCGTTAGCATAAGCTGGACAGAAACGCACAGCCACACCGCCATACCTATCCCATAGGCTCGAGCTAGAGCATTGATCACTGGAAATAAAATGACGATGGGTATGCCGGAGCTAACGCCGGTGAAATGTATAGCTCCTGCGCCGAAGCGATCATATAAACGATCGAAGAAAAGTAGCTGAAATATGCCATGTACGGCGCCTTGTGCCGCAAGTAAAGCGCCGATGCGAGGAGGGTCGAGGGAAAGACCGCCAAGTTCAATCGATGTCGCATAGAAAACAGGTAGGACCGCAGTAAGCGCCATTTGAAGCAGGCCTGTAGTGGCATAACTTGCTGTTATGCTCAACACTTTCGGGGTCAGCAAGTCACGCAGCGGAAGCGGCTTTGCTTGGACTTCTCCGGAATCCGCTTCCCCAGGATCAACAATAATACTGTTCGATGTCTGGTGAGGTTTTGAATATGACTGTCGCAGGAATCTTCCTTTGATTAGCTCCCATAGCGGCGTCCTTGTAGAAGCGCTCTGGTGACCACGCTTAGTGTGATCCAGAGATGGGTTTACAGCATCACGCTCACCTCTTTGAGACAGAAATACGTGACTAGCCAAGCTATCAATATGAAAGAAGCCGAAATAGAGCACGGCAGAAGATATGGGTAGGTTTTGAGGAGTTCTGATCGCCCGAAGATGTCAGGGAATCTGTCCGCTGGTCGGGAGAGCGATCCCCCAATGAGTGGTCTAGATGCCGTCAACCTCAGTGCGCGAGAAAATGTACTGTATCCCTACCCAAGTGTGCTTGCGATCATCCACGGAATTGGCATATAATTGAATGCCTTGGGCATATTGGTTGCGTCGGTGATGTCGATAAGCACGCTCTTCATGACACTATTGCTAGCATCAAATGTTCCACAGATAACACGACTGGTCAAGAGTATCAGCAATCGATGGCCAATAACTACCATCTGATATTTGAATGAACACGCTCACCTAACAACCAGACCAAGGAATGTCTTCGACAGCCCAAACGAAAACATCGAAACAGATAGTGCTGACAATGCTATCAGCATTACAGGCTTCCGCCCAATATGATCAGACAGTTGGCTCAAATTAAAAACAGTTAGTGCGTGAGCTGCATAGTATGATGATTGCTTGAGATAATATCAGGAACGAATACAAGGGCAAGAACGATGAAGACATGCTCACAAGGATGCCGACATAGTGACCAACTTGGGATTCGTCTCCGTTCGTCACTCCAATATCTTTAATAAGCTTGGCAAAGTTCCAATTCAAGCTTTAGTCACATATAAGTCCAAGCAAAGGAAATGTACTCACTTGGGGAATAAACGGGGCAAGGGTATAAGAAGAAACAGGATCTGGCATGTCCAATAACAGTACGATCCAAAATTGATTCCAGGGCAGAGGTGTCTTGGTCGTTGGCTGCTCCGCTCGATGCAGAAAAGGTGTCTCCTCGTCATCCTGCGGCGCAATCATGGTGGTACGAGGGAACGACTTGAATGAAAGATGCACTTCATCATACTAATATGTGAACTCGTTCCGATAAGGCGGTTCCTGAGCGGCTTGTTGGCTAGTAGGATAAGGCATGAGGCTGCAATAAGCGCGCTTCTTCTGGTCAGTTGACTTGGCATGATTAAAGATCATACCGGCACATCCCATCAGGCTGTGACACCCCACCAGTATGGCCAGGCACTACACTGTAACCTAGCTGGCTAATTTGAACCCTCATGGCCTAAGGTCGGGACCCGTGCAAGGTGAGATTAGACATAGAAAGACGACGCTAGATGAGGATGGTGTTATAGACGCACATGAATTGGAATTCTACCCGGAAATGAAGTAGGATGCAACGGCTGTGCAGGGCGTGGCCTTACCAATACTTTACCACATAACTAACACCGGTGAGCTCAGGGACATGGCCAAAACGGCTAAAATAGCTGATATCGAGTAATCTTCAACGACACTCATCGCATGGTAAAAACATTACATGTTGTCGACTTGATACATTGCATTGGTCAAGTTGATCGCACTTTTGTCGAGAGCTAATTTAGCTCCATCACACCGATTTCAAAGATTCAACTTCGCAATAGTGTACAATGATATGTGGTAGGGCAGAATACGATTCGAAGCAGAGTTGAGTGAGATATTACAAAGTATGTATCCGAACCAGCGGTCGTACGAAGTCGTGATAGCCGATAGTAGCCTACAGTTTTGCCAGTTCCCTCCCTACGCTGGGTCATTCGCAATGATATGCTCGGTGATCTTCCCATACACTAGGATCACGGGGAAGCAATAGAGCAGCACCGACTGCGAGAAATGCGATTGCGATCAAGAAGTAATATATCAACCACGTATTATGCCCTTCCTGCAATGAATAAGAGAAGACCGAAGCTGCAGACGCCGGGCCAAAGATTTTGGCTAGTGCAGCAACTGTCTGGATAATTCCACTGGTAGCTCCGACCGAGGCGCGATTGGGTGCAGCTGTTCTGACGAATAATGCCAGACAAGCTTTGGGATGTTTTCAGTTCAGCAGAATGCAGGAAGTGCTGTATCGACATACAGTAGCACATGAACAGGCTAGTCTTCAGTATAAACTGGACGGCGACGCACAGCCACACCGCCATACCTATCCCATAGGCTCGAGCTAGAGCATTGATCACTGGAAATAAAATGACGATGGGTATGCCGAAGCTAACGCCGGTGAAATATACAGCTCCTGCGCCGAAGCGATCATGTAAACGGGTGAAGAAAAGTAGCTGACATATACCATGTGCGACGCTTTGTGCCGCAAGTAAAGCGCCGATGCGAGGAGGGTCGAGGGAAAGACCGCCAAGTTCAATCGATGTCGCAAAAAAAAGAGGTTGGACCAAAGCAAACGCTGCTTGAAGCAGGCCTGTAGTGGCGTAATTTGCTGTTATGCTCAACACTCTCGAGGTTAGCAAGTCACGCAGCGGAAGCGGCTTTGATTGAACTTCTCCGGAATTCGCTTCCCCAGGATCAACTATAATACTGCTCGATGTCCGGTGAGGCTTTGAATATGACTGTCGCAGGAATCTTCTTTTTATTAGCTTCCAAAGCGGCGTCCTTGTAGAAACGCTCTTGTGACCACGCTTAGTATGGTCCAGAGATGGGTTTACAGCATCACACTCACCTCCTTGAGGCAGAAATACGTGGCTAGCCAAGCTATCAGTGTGAAAAATGCCGAAACAGAGCATGGCAGAAGATATGGGTAGGTTTTCAGGAGTTCTGATCGCCCGAAGATGTCAGGAAATCTGTCTGCTGGTCGGGAGAGCGAGCCCCCAATGAGTGGTCTAAATGCCGTCAACCTCGGTGCGAGAGAACATGTACTGTATCCCTACCCAACTGCGTTTGCAGTCATCCACGTAAGTGGCATGTAGTTGTATGCGTTGGGCATATTGGTTGCGTCGGTAATGTCCATCAGCACGCTCTTGATGACACCAATGCTCGGATCAAATGCTCCACAGACAACACGACTAGTCAAGAATATCAGTAATCAATGGTCACAACTACCGTCTGATGAACACGCTCACCTAACCACCAGACCAAGGAATGTCTTCGACAACCCAAACGAAAACATCGAAACAGATAGTGCTGACAATGCTATCAGCATTACAGGCTTCCGCCCGATATGATCAGACAGCTGACTCCAATGGAAAACAGTCAGTGCGTGAGCTACATAGTATGATGATTGCTCGAGATGTTATCAGGAACGAATACAATGGCAAAAACGACGAAGACATGCTCACAAGGATGCCGACATAGTGACCAACTTGGGATTCGTCTCCGTTCGTCACTCCAATATCTCTAATGAGCTTGACAAAGTTCCAATTCAAATTTTGGTCACATATAATTCCAAGCAAAGGAAATGTACTCACTTGGGGAATAAACGGGGTAAGGGTATGAGAAGAAACAAGATCTGGCATTTCCAATAACAGTACGATCCAAAATTGATCCCAGGGCAGGGGTGTCTTGGTCGTTGGCTGCTCCGCTCGATGCAGAAAAGGTATCTCCTCGTCATCCTGCCGCGCAATCATGGTGGTATGAGGGAACGAGTTGAATGAAAGACGTAACACATAATACTACGTGAAATCCTGTTGATAAGGTGGCTTGTTGACTAGTAGGATAAGGCATGAGGCTACAATGAGAGCGCTTCTTCTGGTTGATTTGGTATTAAAGATCATACCAGCGCATCATTAGCTAAGGCTGTGGCACCCCGCCAGTATGGCGCCGCCCTGAGATAGGTACCACCACACTATAACCTAGCTGGCTAACTTGAACCCTCATGGCCTTAAGGTCTGAGCCCGGGCGAGGTGAGATTGAATAGACATAGAAAGACGACGCTAGATGAGGATGGTGTTACAGACGAATTCTACCCGGAAACCAAGTACGACGCAGCGGCTGTGCGGTTCTCTCTTACTACATGACTCTCAGACTTACACTCCGGCAAGTTCCGCCTTCCAATTCTTTTCTGCTACAAACACCGGTAAGCTCTGATGGGTCTAGATCCATGGCATCCGCATGCAATGACAGCAAGTTCGGCAGGGACTCTAAGGTGCTATGGTACTGTTTTACGTGTAGGAAGTTCACCCTCGTGATGAACTCTCGTTGGTCGTTGGGCTTCTTACCCGGGCCAGAGAACCTGATAAGGAGGAGATCCATGACACCTTGTGCCTGTGGCGAATGAGACTCAACACTTGCCGCCTTGCGTACGTGGATTCCTGCACTTTTGTGAACCCAAATGGGCCTGCATGGACGCAGACGCTCACACTGACACTCACCCCTGCATTGACAGTGACACGATGCTTGCACTTGTGCTCATGGGGATGCCTCGCGGCTCCTATGGGGATCTGACTTCGCTGCGTCGCATTTACTTTTACTAAGGTGGGAATCACAGCTCACCTTAGCTCACTTTTACACAGATTGGGTCACTATTTTTTCCTTCGTTCTCACTACTTACACAACTGCACAAGAGCGCCCACAAATTTACGTCTACGGAGACGAATGTCGACTATTTTCGTAGCGCCGCTGATGGGCCCCAGGTCTGAATTTTCCCTTTGCGTTTTTTTTGTCATTTTTCAACATTTGTTTGCACTCATGTCAAGACCTGCAGCATTTGTTCGAGGGGTCAACCCACCGCCCAGACTGCTCTGTGAAAACGTCTCGCTTGGCACTTCACTCTGACTGTGACACCAATTTTTCCAACTTGCATGGTTCCCGTCTGCCTGCTTTGTCGCTTTATGTCTCTTCCATGTGTGGATAGCGGAATTCTGTGGTTCATTCTTATGTAGTATTGATGTCCGGGCCCGCTACCCGCAAAGGATTTCTATTGACATGTTATCTCAGGCTATGGAACGTTCACCTGCACATACAGACGTACATGAAGTTGTATTCTATCCGGAAGCGAAGTAAGACGCAACCCTGGCGTGGCCTTTCTCCTTATACCACATAACTAGATACTCCGGCTCCGGTGCCTTCTTTCAGATTTTCTTTTTTGCTACACTACTACGGCTACCAACTGCCAGTCCCAAAAGTAGGTCCACGAAACATTGCATTACTGGCGGATAGTAGATACAGTATCATACTGGCAAGATTAATACGGTTTAGAAAATATCGATTTATCTAAATATGCGGAAGCCAGAGTATGAACGAGCGTTTTAGGTGTGGTTCCAATTTGCAGAGGAGTTGGTTCTGAATAGTCGAGACTGTTAATTGCTACTGGGGGCGGTTGGTGGAGAGAAACGCTGGAACTTTGGTATTTCCAGGGAAATCAGAAAGATCGTGTTGTAGATACTGGACAAGGATGCTACCCAATAATCAGTGACAAAGCGCAAGGTATGATAACAAGAAACCTACTTGCTATATGCTTTCTCATATGCTAGACCACCTGCTCCTTCGCAGCCTTACGAGCGCTTGCAAGTGAGGAGTCTACAAAATTCCAAAATCTTCCTGCTGTATAAAGGTCACACATAGGCTTTCCTTTTTCTGCACCAACCGAACCGTCCCCGTCAATGTCCCCTGGTATTTTTAAATAATTTAAGGTACAAAAAAGGCACTCGATGATTTGCTGATGAGGCTACCACAGTCGGTTCAAAAGAAGCGCTGCGCTACGCGTTGCTACAAGTCACTTGGCCCAGCAGTGGGTTTCCTGATGCGCAGACTGCATTTAGCAGATAAGTGAGAACTAGTAAGTGATGTCGTCAATCTCGGCGTTCAGACTTTTGTCTGAAGGTAGATGAACGAACGCAAAAAATTAAAAACGCTACAAGAGTATGAGAGCAATTACAGGCTTTATATGGACCTGCGAAAGTTCAAGAGTTCCGATATGTTACGCCGTACTGTCAACGGTATTGGCAGGGGTAGGTACTGGCTTTGTCGACTGGTAGTAAGATGAGTAAGTGAGTCATGGAACAGAACACGATATCACGCACAACGACACAGACAGCACAAGACACAATGATAGCGGCCCCGATAACTGACAGTAAAGACGGCACAACTCCGAAGATTAGGCGTTCAAGCACTACAGCAAAAATTATCTGGATATACACCCCAGTAGAACCGCGTGATACAGTTTCTCGCCGCAACCCCAATGTCAAGAGAGCCTGGAAAGGTAGTGAATTACATGCAGACAATGGAGGATCACTAGTGACTGACCTGTGCTAGGAAGCCAAAGACACCAATCATGAGCAAAAGAAGTGACCATCTCCATGATCTAGGATATACAACAGGAATCTCGAAGACGACCATCCTGTTACATGAGCGAATGATCAATGCAACAGTTAAATATGCATGGATGTATGTGCGAACCCCAAATATGCGATGATGGTGCACCACAAGGAAAAGAATGTCATTACATGCATCGGATGAGCTCGCTTCCCAATTGCGCGAATCGATGTATCTTTTAAAACCGTTTTAGTAGTCCTTACCATGACAAGGTCAATCACAATACATACATGCCCCAGTGGCTCCAACAACACCGATCATACCTGCGCTATAGAACATCGAATGGTAAAATGGGGGAACGGTGTACAAACAACAATATTCACCCAATGCCAGCAAGCCTTTGCACCGGAGTTGTATCCGAGAAGTAGGATCCGTCGGGATTAGCGCCTGGCACGAACTTGAATAGAAATGGGGGGCGAGCGATGAGGACAACACCAAGTAAGCTGAAAACTAGTAACATCTCTCTAAGTATCCATAGACAAGAGGAGTCAGAGCATAACTCTCACCTCCCGCGACAGCTTGAATGACGGAGTAGCCCTCCCTAAGGAGGAGGCACCCAGTGATCGCCGTTGTAAGAGGTGTCAAGAAAGTCAGGACTGTCGCATCTGCAACAGATAGATACTGAAGCGACATATACAGTCCACATAATCCAAAAAACCTGAGCAATGAAACGATCACCAAAAATTGAGGTTATGCGTGCAGATAAATGCCCACCCGGTGATCCCACGGATTATCAATAGCATTCGAACACCTCTGGGGCCAAAGATTGGATCAGGGACCTTTGTGACAACCCTTCATGTCGTCAATCGCAGGGTATTATTATCTGAAAAGCAACGACATACATGTATATCACACAGCACGTGAATGTGATACCCTGAGGACGAATCGATATTCAAATGAGAGCAGTGCATCAAAATACTTTGACGCACCATCCTGACTACAATAACCTGTTGTGTTGACATTCATTCCATTCGGGGAATAGAGATAAAGAAACAAAGCTAACTTCAAATGCGTGCACCGGAGGCTCCAAGCTGTTCAACATCTTCACCGACAGATTCATGAGAGCGAAAAAAAACTGGGAAGCTATAATGTATAGCATCCCGGCATTATTGGCGATGAACCCTTGGACCTTGAGTCGTCTATTGATTGCTCCATCATCTTGGGACGTGCTGGCAGAAGTGTATGGTGTAGAACCATAGTCATGAACTACAGTGGTGTGAACGAGAGGAGACTTGCTGTTGATCATTTTTGAGCTTCGTCTTCGCCGAGTTCAGCCTGTGAACGTCGCACTACTAGTAAATGTAATGCTTATATATGTGTAACCGCTCGAGTCAAGTGATATTAAAATCGTACCGGGATATTTGGCAACAAAAAGTTGGCAATCCAAATTTAGCTACCGGCCTTCCGAGCACTATTTTTAGTTCAAGGGACGGAGTAGAATCGGACCACCCTCGAATTTAGCACTAGACAGGAGTCCATCAACTCAGAAAACGGTATTCCTGGTGGTGCACATTCATGTTTTGTAAATTGCAGATAGTGAAACTTGAATGAGAAACATGACAATGGTCGTGGTATGTACAACTGCTGAAGTATTTTTTGAAGAGTGCAAGACATCAATGGTGGGCAAGGGCACACAAATTTATATTGCAGTATTGTCAGCGGCACTGTCTTGATGATGCTTCTGTTTTTTTTTTTCATCTGGTGGGTGAAATCTACATTAGCACAGAAATTTGATAACAACAAGCATAGTGACCACACCCACGATGACATAGAGAAGAAGACATGATGACAGCGGCACCAAGAACTGACAGTAAAAACGATATAACTCCGAAGAATAGGCGTTCGAGCACCACAGCAAAAACCAACTGAGCATACATTCCAGTGACACCACGTGACAAAGTTTCTCGCCGTAGTCCCATCGTCAAAAGAGTCTAAAATTACCAGTAAGCAAATGTAGCGTCGTTCAAGTTGGTATGCGCACCTGCGCTGCAAAGCCGAAGACATTAACCATGAGCAGAAGAGGCATCCACATTCATGATGTAGGATATACAACGGGAATATCGAAGACAACCATCCTGTTACAGATGATAAATTGACACGTAAAATGCAGCGATACATTGACACACCCCAAAGATGATATAATTGTGCACCATGATGAAAAGTATCTCATTACATGCATCGGGTGAGCGCGTTTCCCGAATCCCAATTGCACGAATCAAGGTATCTATCAAAACCATTAAAGCGGTCATTACCACGAGAGCTCAGAGACTTCATAACAATACGTACATGCTCCAGTAATTCCAAGCACGCAAACCATACGCGCTCTGCCGGAAATAGATAAATTGTAAGTTAAGCGGGACAGGATGGAGTGCCCACCCAACACCCGCCAGCCTTTGCGCAAATGCCACGTCTGGGAGTCCTTGAGGAATAGCATTCAGGGGGCCAAATAGGAATGCGGGCCTGCCTATGAGGACAACACCGAGTAGGCTGAAAATTAATCATAACCTATAAAAGGCAAATCATAACTCTCACCTCCCGTCACAGCTTGCTTGACGGAGTAGCTCTCCTTCAAAAATACAGATCCAGCCACCGCTGCCGTGAGAGGTGTTAAAAACACCAAGACCGTCGCATCTGCAACAGACAAGTACTAGAGTGACCAGTACATGCCAGCTAACCCGAAAAACCTGGGCACAGATCATTAACAAGTTCGAGGCCGTACAAGTATATCAGCACGCACCCAATGATACTACGAATGAAAAGCATCATTCGAACACCTTTAGGTCCAGCTAACGGATCAGGGATCGCCGCAACAATCCTTCATATCATCAGCTTTAAATCGTCGTCTGGAAAAGCAACTTGTCGCAGCATACAAAAGTGATGCTCTGAGACAAATCAATAAACATTCGAGTCGACGGCTGTGACGCACCATCCTGATCACAATAATCTGTTTACATTTGTTCCACTTCATATCTGAACACCAAAGGTAGAAAAGCTAACCTGAATGCATGCGTGTTGTTATGCTCGTACTAACACACATAGACCTTATTCGTATCACGTGCTCGTGCCTCGTACCTAATCCAATTGGTGACAGCCAGACGTGATTTTTGGCTCCATCACATCTCAACAAGGATCTCAATCATTCCTTGACTAATTTCAAAGATTCAACTTCGCAATAGTATATTACAAGTGTACAATGATATGTGGTAGACCGTAGAGCAGAATATGATTCGAAGCAGAGTTGAGCGAGATATTGCAAACTAAGTATCCGAACCAGCGGCCGTACGAAGTTGTGATAACCGATAGTAGCCTAGAGTTTTGCCAGTTCCCTCCCTACGCTGGGTCATTCGCGATAGCGATCTTCCCATACACTAGGATCACGGGGAATCAATAGAGCAGTACCCACTGCGAGAAATGCAATTGCGATCAAGAAGTAATATAACAACCACGCATCATGCCGTTCCTGCAATGAATAAGAGAAGACCGAAGCTGCAGACGCCGGGCCAAAGATTCTTGCTAGTGCGACAACCGTCTGGGTAATTCCATTGGTAGCTCCGACCGAGGCGCGATTGGGCGCAGCTGCTCTGATGAATAATGCCATACAAGCTTTGAGTTGCTTTCAGTTCAGCGGAATGCAAGAAGTGCTGGATCGACATACAGTAGCACATGAACAGGCTAGCCGTTAGCATAAGCTGGATGGCGACGCACAGCCACACCGCCATACCTATCCCATAGGCTCGAGCTAGAGCATTAATCACTGGAAATAAAATGACGATGGGTATGCCGAGGCTAACACCGGTTAAATGCACAGCTCCTGCGCCGAAGCGATGATGTAAACGGGCGAAGAAAAGTAGCTGACATATCCCATGTGCGACGCTTTGTACCGCAAGTAAAGCGCCGATGCGAGGAGGGTCGAGGGAAAGACCGCCAAGTTCAATCGATGTCGCAAAAAAAAGAGGTTGGACCAAAATAAACGATGTTTGAAGCAGGCCTGTAGTGGCATAACTTGCCGTTATGCTCAACACTCTCGAGGTCAGCAAGTCACGCAGCGGAAGCGGCTTTGCTTGGACTTCTCCGGAATTCGTTTCCCCAGGATCAACTATAATACTGCTCGATGTCTGATGAGGCTTTGAATATGACTGTCGCAGGAATCCTCCTTTGATTAGCTCCCAAAGCGGGGTCCTTGTAGAAACGCTCTTGGGACCACGCTTAGTGTGATCCAGAGATGGGTTTACAGATTCACGCTCACCTCTTTGAGACAGAAGTATGTGACTAGCCAAGCTATCAATATGAAAAAAGCCGAAATAGAGCATGGCAGAAGATATGGGTGGGTTTTCAGGAGCTCTGATCGCCCGAAGATGTCAGGGAATCTGTCCGCTGGTCGGGAGAGCGATCCCCCAATGAGTGGTCTAGATGCCGTCAACCTCAGTACGAGAGAAAATGTACTGTATCCCTACCCAACTGCGTTTGCGATCATCCACGAAAGTGGCACATAATTGTATGCGTTGGGCATATTGGTTGCGTCGGTAATGTCCATCAGCACGCTCTTGACGACACTCATGCTCGGATCAAATGCTCCACAGACAACACGACTGGTCAACAATATCAGTAATCAATGGTCACAACTACCATCTGATGAACACACTCACCTAACTACCAGACCAAGGAATGTCTTCGACAGCCCAAACGAAAACATCGAAACAGATAGTGCTGACAATGCTATCAGCATTACAGGCTTCCGCCCGATATGATCAGACAGTTGACTCCAATGAAAAACAGTCAGTGCGTGGGCTACATAGTATGATGATTGCTCGAGATAATATCAGGAACGAATACAATGGCAAGAACGATGAAGACATGCTCACAAGAATGCCGGCATAGTGACCAACCTGGGATTCGTCTCCGTTTGTCACTCCAATATCTCTAATGAGCTTGACAAAGTTCCAACTCAAATTTTAGTCACATATAATTCCAAGCAAAGGAAATGTACTCACTTGGGGAATAAACGGGGCAAGGGTATGAGAAGTAACAAGATCTGGCATTTCCAATAACAGTACGATCCAAAATTGATCCCAGGGCAGGGGTGTCTTGGTCGTTGGCTGCTCCGCTCGATGCAGGAGAGGTGTCTCCTCGTCATCCTGCCGCGCAATCATAGTGGTATGAGGGAACAAGTGGAATGAAAGACGCAACACATAATACTATGTGAAATCCTGTTGATAAGGTGGCTTGTTGGCTAGTAGGATAAGGCATGAGGCTACAATAAGAGCGCTTCTTCTGGTTGATTTGGCATAAAGATCATACCGGCGCATCTCGTTAGCTAAGGCTGTGGCACCCCGCCAGTATGGCGCCGCCCTGAGATAGGTACCACCATACTGTAACCTAGCTGGCTAACTTGAACCCTCATAGCCTTAAGGTCCGAGGTGAAATTGAATAGGCATCGAACGACGACACTAGATGAAGATGGTGTTACAGACGAATTCTACTCGGAAACCAAGTACGACGCAGCAGCTGTGGCGGCGGCACGTGGCTTCTCTCCTTACTAATACCGCATAATGTTCAGACTACACTCCGTCAAGTTCCGCCTTTCGGATTTCTTTTCTGCTACAAACACCGATGAGCTCTGATGGGTTTAGATTCATGCATCTGCATGCAATGACAGCAAGATCGGCAGGGAAGCTAGATAGCACTCTAAGGTGCTATGGCACTGTTTTACGTGTAGGAAGTTCACCGTTATGATGAACTTTTGTTGGGCTTCAGTCTTCTTACCAGAGAACCTGATAAGGGGGAGATCCACCATGACACCTTGTGCCTGTGGCGAACGAGAGTACTACCCTAACACTCACCGCCTTGCGTACGTGGACGCAGACGCTCACACTGACACTCACCCCTGCATTGACACGATTCAGATGCTCGCACTTGTGCTCATGGGGATGCGTTGCCTCGCGGCTCTTACAATTTGGGGATCTGACTTCGCTACGTCGCATTTACTTTTACTAATGTGGGAATCACAGCTCACCTCAGCTCACTTTTACACAGATTGGGTCACTATTTTTTCCCTTGTTCTCACTACTTACACAACTGCTCAAGAGCGCCCACAAATTTACGTCTACGGATGTGACTCATGTCGACTAATATTATCGTAGCGCTTCTGACGCCCCAGGTCTGAATGTTCCATTTGCATTTTTTTTGTCATTTTTTAACACTCGTTTGCACTCATGTCAAGACCTGCAGCATTTATTCGAGGGGTTAACCCACCGCCCAGACTGAAAGCCTCGCTTGTGCACTTCACTCTGACCGTGACACCAATTTTTCCAACTTGCATGGTTCCCGTCTGCCTGCTCTGTCACCTTATGTCTCTTCCATGTGTGGATAGCGAAATTCTGTGGTTCATTCTTATGTAGTCTTGATGTCCGAGCCCGCTGCCCACATAGCATTTCTATTAACATGTTATCTCAGCTATGGAACGTTTACTTGCACAAGGTTGTCCCGTTGTCTATTCTCGTTCTCTTACTAGTCCGCTAATGGATTGCAGTTTCACATTCGAGAACGTCTTTTGTTTCTATAGTCGGTCACCTCCCAAATCATCGTTGACTACTTCCAAGCGAAGACAGAATCACGGCAGAATAAAAGGAGCCCGCTATACATGTACATGTACAGTTTTGAAACCACATGACGGCCTGTTTCTTACAGATGGATTTGTAGAGAATCGGAACCCTCCTTAGTGAGTCGAGAATGTCCTACACATGTTCTACATAGCCTACAGTTTTGCCAGTACTGCCCTTTACACTAGATCATACGTAGTCATTTGCGATAACACTATCAGCGATCTTCCCATACACTAGGATCACGGGGAAGCAATAGAACCGCACCTACTGCGAGAAATGCAATTGCGAACAAGAAGTAGTAGATCAACCACGCATCATGCCCTTTCTGCGATGAATAAGAGAAAACCGAAGCTGCAGACGCCGGGCCAAAGATTCTTGCTACTGCGGCAACCATCTGGGTGAGTCCATTGGTTGCACCAAGCGAAGCGCGGTTGGGAGCAGCTGCTCTGACGAATAATGCCATACAAGCTGTGAGTTGTTCTCAGTTCAGCAGAATGCAGGAAGTGCTGGATCTACATACGGTAGCACATGACCAGGCTAGTCTTCAGCATAAGCTGGACGGCAACGCACAGCCATACCACCATACCTATCCCATAAGCTCGAGCCAGAGCATTACTTACCGGAAATAAAATGATGATAGGTATGCTAGAGCTAACACCGGTGAAATGTAGAGCTCCTGCACCGAAGCGATCGTGTAAACGAGCGTAGAACAGTAGTTGAAACATGCCGTGTGTGACACCTGATGCCGCAAGTAAAGCGCCGATGCGAGGAGGGTCGAGGGAAAGACCGCCAAGTTCAATCGACGTCGCATAGAAAATAGGTAGGATTGAACTCAACGCCATTTGAAGCAGGCCTGTGGTGGCATAACTTGCCGTTATGCTCAACACTCTCGAGGTCAGCAAGTCACGTAGCGGGAGTGGCTTTGATTGGGCTTCTCCAGGATTCACTTCCCCAGGATCAACTATAACATCGCTCGATGGCCGGCGAGGTTTTGAATATGACTGTCGCGATAATCTTCCTTTAATTAACTCCCAAATCGGCGTCCTTGTAGAAACGCTCTGGTGGCCACGCTTTAGTGTGATCCAGAAATGGATTTTCAGCATCACACTCACCTCTTTAAGACAGAAACACGCAACTAGCCAAGCTATCGATATAAAGAATGCCGAGGTAAAGCATGGCAGAAGATATGGGTGGGTTTTCAGGAATTCCGATCGCCCGAAGGTGTCAGGGAATCTGTCTGCTGGTCGGGAGAGCGATCCCCCAATGAGTGGTCTAGATGTCGTCAACCTCAGTGCGAGAGAAAATGTACTGTATACCTACCCGACTGTGCCTGCGATCATCAATGGAATTGGCATATAATTGTATGCGTTAGGCATATTGGTTGCATCGGTGATGTCCATCAGCAAGCTCTTGACGACACCAACGCTCGGATCAAATGCTCCGCAGACAACACGACTGATCAGGAATATCAGTAATCGATTGTCACAACTGCTATTTGATATTTGAATGAACACGCTCACCTAACCACCAGACCAAGGAAGGTCTTCGACAGCCCAAACCAAAATATCGAAACAATAAGTGCTAATAAAGCTGTCAGGATTACAGGCTTCCGCCCGATGTGGTCGGACAGTTGGCTCCAATGAAAGATAGTCAGTGCGTGAGCTGCATAGTATGATGATTCCTCCGGAGAATATCAGGAACGAATGAAGGGGAAGTGACGATTAAGACGTGCTTACAAGGATGCCGACATAGTGACCAACCTGGGATTCGTCTCCACGAGTCACTCCGATGTCTCTGATGAGCTTGATAAAGTTCCAGTTGCGGTCAGATATAAGTTCGAGCAACGGGAATATACGCACTTGGGGAATAAACGGGGCAAGGGTCCTAGAAGAAAGAAGATCTGGCATCTCCAACAACAGTACAATCCAAAACTGATCCCAGGGCAGAGGTGTCTTAGCGGTTAGCTGCTCTGGTCGTTGCAAAAGAAGTGTCTCTTCGTCATCCTGCAGCGCAATCATGACGGTAGTAGGAGCGAACAACTCGGATGAAAGATCCAGCTCATTGTGCTACGTCACGGTGAGCTCGTTCCGATGAGGCGGTTTCCGACCAGTAGGTGATCCAGAAGAGTTATCATCGGCAGGCGTGACGCTTTTGATGAGTCGAAAAAGGAATAACTATACCACATCATGAGTTTGAGGCTAGTAGCTGATCTCCCTCAGGCTTCGACTGGAGAGATATTTCGAATCCCGCTCGGTAACACTCAGCAGCACTCCGCAGGATTAGCGAGTCGTCTGAGCTCTGTGCAGCACACTCGTACCGCTCAAAAAGCATCGGCATCTCAACGAAGCCACGCCTTCGACAGCTTTACCTACTCCGACAGTCCCGATAATTTTCCATCGTCGTCCCAGATCGCACTAGTTTGACCGTCCTCGCCTGCCAAAACACACATCCTCCGCTTCTGGGCAGGTGATCAGCTCGTGACGGATCTAAGAAAGGAAAATACTTTCGCCCGCAAGTCCAACGAATCTAGATCTAGACCAGTGACCAGCCCGTCTATGTGTGAGGTATCGATAGACGGACTGCCAAGTTTAACTAGGTTCGAATCTGGATCAGAAATAATGCTCAACGCTACAAGATAAAACATCCACCCGAGTATTGATATCCCCTCCTACACACTAATTTTTCATACCTCTTTCTTTAACCTCTCCTTCATTTATTTACTTCATGTTTGTACTTCAAGTTAGTCGAAAGGAAATAGAATCATCGTGCAGCCCTAAACTGTTTTGCGAGTGCAATCCCATCAAGATCAAATAACATCAATGTTGTTTATGGGTATGACGTGGGGGAGTGATAAAGGAAATGCGGCGTGTAGAGTACAAGTGCAAGATCGTAAAAAGGAAATGAAAGGAATATACCTGCGCGTCTCAAAGCTCTTCGCATAAATGAGACACGTGGACTACTTCGAGTGTTTTCGTCTGAAGTCGTGGTCAGTGCGTAAAGGGATATGCTATCCTTACAACATCATGGCTATGCGCTGGAGTATCGCAAACCAGCTACCCGCTGGGGTAGCCCCGCCAAATAACCACCTTTGCAACCATGCGACAAGAGATCCTAAAATGATTATATCAATGGGCTGCTCAGCGCCTCAACCACATAAAAACATACCTTTGATTGGTCCCAATCGCCCAAAACCAATTGTGCGGAGGGCTGCGCCAAGAAGAAACCCCTGCGCAAATAGCGAACCAATCACCAAGCAAAAGAGGGTCCACGCAAGCTTGGGGTGCTGTTCGTAGAGGTCACCTGTATCATTCAATATTTAATCATGAACGTTTCAGAGTGATCCAATACTCGTGACGGACCAATGATCGCCAGAATACGTCGAACACCGGACATGAGAGAACTGGTGTGATTTTTCAGGACTTCCTCACTTGCTCCATACTTGACCGCAACCTGTAGAAAACTCTCCTCCGCGCGATCAAGAACTGTGTTGATTATGAGAGTACGATTCTCGTGACCGGGAGCCTCCTCGGGTGGCGGGAACAGCTCTTTAAGCTCTTCGAATAGGCCGTGCAAGGTACTTCGAAGTTCTTCTAATACTGAATCGAAAGGAATATTACGTTGTTCTGCGGCGTTTTTGACGACTTGGTGCAGCGATTTAGCTGTGCTGGAAACGCTATCCACAGACTCCTTGAACTCCAACATCTTTGAGGGATAGAATTCATTGGCGTGTAGGAGGAGTTCATCTACATTCCCTCGGATATTTGAACCGAGCTCCATGACTTTCCCCCAAGACTCCCCCGCACTTGGAAAGTGCAAACCATCATACAGCATGTGCGCTGAAGCAGACAAAGATTCAAGTGTTTCTGTGAGCCTGTCGGCGCCTTTATGATTGAAGCGATTAAATCGACCGCCCGACGTTTCTGCAGCGTGTAACGACTTGTCATTGTTGTCAAACAATGCTGCTGTTGATAATAATCGACATTAATAAATGATTGAAGAACAGTAGCTATGGGTGTATTCATATAGAACAAGAGGGTGACATACCTCCCTCAGTGGAGGCCTCTAATCTTTCATTGTCGTAGGAACGAATACCTTCTTCAACGTTGCTGGAAGCGACAGGTCGCAGCACTAACGCGATAAATGCTAGAGTAGAGAACCGCATTGCAGTAAGTAGTAAAACCAATTACATATGCCTAACGCTGGTTGAAACGTTGACCCACATGATTCACACGCCCACGCTCCCACGAGGCACGAATGTACCCGAAGATCCAATGTCGCAACCATGCAGCAATTCCACCTACAACATCCAAGTGACATGCTGCTCACCACTGCAATAATACACAAAAAACGTACCTTTGAATGACCCTTGTGGTCCAAATCCAAGCAAGCGGAGAAGTTGGGGAAGAGACTATCCGCCGATTTCAATCTGAAGTAAGAATAAGGAGTTAAACAACCGTGCCATCATAACGAGCGGAGCAGAACCGAACGAACGAAGTGCAAGATGGTGAACATAGATTGTGTAAAATCTGTAGGAAGTGAAGTCGATTAACAAAAGTACATGCCCAAAGTCCAACTGACAGATACAATCGCGAAGACAATTCAAGCTCCTACTATCCGCGACACTTGTGCCATGATGCGCCATGGGCGAGACGACTCAAGTCTAGCTCTCTGTCTCGGAGGTTGAGGATGGGGATGGGGCTAAGGTATTTTCGAAAAAGGAGGAGGCGGAATGAAGGGCATGAGTCAGGTCGGATGAAAAACATATTGTAGGTGCTTCAAATGTTTGATACTGCTGGATTAAATATTCCAGATCCCACACCCGGATCGTCTTGTCGGACGACCCAAACACGATGCGTTTGCTATCTTGCGAGATCGCGACAGACAACATGTCCGGTGTGCCCTCGAGAAGGGGGACCCACTGCCTGGCCAGTCTTCATATCCCACACCCGGCTGTTGTGAGCACACTTAGTGCGATCCAGAGATGGGTTTACAGCATCACGCTCACCTCCCTAGCTAAGCTATCAACACACAAGATTGCCGAAGTAGAGCATGGCGGAAGATATGGGTAGGTTTTCAGGACTCAGGAGCCCTGATCGCCCAAACATGCCAGGAATCTGTCTGCTGGTCGGGAAAGCAAATGAGCGGTCTAGATGCCGTCAACCTCAGTGCGAGAGAAAACGTTCTGTATCCCTACCCAACTGTGCATGCGATCATGAACGGAATTGGAGTATAACCGCATGCGTTGGGTATGTTGTCCATTAACATTCATGGTCTTGATTACACTATCGCAGGGATCAAATGCTCCGCAGACAATACGACTGGTCGAGAATATCAGTAATTGACGTATACAACTACTATTTGGTATGTAAATGAAGTTCGATGAACACACTGACCTAACCATCAGACCAAACAAAAACATCGAAACAGAAATTGTTAATAATACCTCGTGAACTCGTTCGAATGAGGTAGTCGCTGACCGGCTCGTTGGCTAGCTGACAGTGGATAAGAAGGACAGCGGTAGTCCTGCTTTTTCTGATCAGAAGTTTACTTGGAATGGTTCACGCGGTACCTCATCATGATTACGCCCGGGAATAGCCGCCTGTCAATGACGGGGTACGGTACCCGCACTGTCGCCTAGAGGATCTCAGACAAGTTCTCATCTTTGGAAGATCTGGAAGATATTATTATGCCTAAACCTCCCGCGTACGGTCTGCGCATGCGAGACTGGATGAAATTAGAGCAGACATAGCAAAATGTCAGACGTGAATCAGATAAATTATACGTGTTCCAGTTGCAGAGCTGAGCGCTGCATATTGAACGTGTAATGAAAAGTCCACTGCTACTTTGTGATATGACGACTCCACTCAACTGTTCTTTTGGGCACACACCTATACCCGACAACGTAGATTTCCGCCCACGATCGCTATCGTGGCACCAAGACACCATCCAAGTTCTGTGCCTTCAATACGCTTCCCAAGCTGCACCTCCCGATCATCACTAAACTCGTAGCCAAGGACCAGCAAGGCGTGCTGGAAACTGAGATCAAGGCACCACTCTGGTCGACCTTCGAGTTCCTCCATGATATCGGGATATGCACCCCAGTACTGTTCCCAGCTGGTAGGTCCTGCGCAGACCCGTTTAGCAAGCGTAGCGAATGTTGAGATTGACATGGGGGGTTGGGGGTGGTCTGGTGACGAGCCTGCTAAAAGCAATGGAGTGACCCGATCGAAGAAATACGAGAGAAGAAGGATTTTTCCGTTAGGGAAGGCGTCCAGGAGTGATGGCTGGTAAACACCGTTGAAAGAGCAAGGTTTGAGTTCACAAACGCTAGTATAAGCAATCAACAAACACGAAGGAGATCGATAGAAAATAAAAAGGACTTACTCATCCTTTGCCATGACAAGCTCCAAGACACGATTACAAGCCTCAAAACTGCCAATATCCGATCCCGTCATCGTCACTGTCATGGCATCGCCGTCCCCCGCAGGAAGCTTCACCTCTTTCACCGACCCCTGAGCCAAGCATGGATTGTGAATCATTTTTATCCGATCGTTACCGCCATTCTTGCTAGACCTCAGAGAATCCATGAATTGGACGACGCGATGTACGCTCTCTCGAGCGCTCTTGAGGCCATATCCAAGATACGAGTGCTGGTACAACACTCGCTTAGCCCCACCGAACTCAAGCTCATACTTGTGCTCGCCCTCCTTAAGACTCTCATCGCCTTTCTCATCGCCAAACTGGGGTTCGAACACAATCTGCGTGGAACCTCCACCCAAATCGAGTACAGCATAGGGCGGCTCGTCCTCGGGCGAATCACCTCTAATAGTATTGAGAAGATAGTTCGCAGTGATCCACGCATAAACGCCCTCGTCTTTGCCATCCATGATAACCACACCATCCTTATCGGGGAACGGGAAGGGATATTTGGAGAAGATGTGGTCATGCACTGCTTTGAGAATGTCTTCGCTTTGGCGGGCGCCGAGAAGTCGAAGCCCAGCGGTGGCTTTAACAGCGACGGGCGTGCAACCACGCAGGGATTCTGGTACCACGTTCATGGCTTCGTCAAGGAGAGGATCAAGACTTTCTGCCGCTACTGTTGGAAGTCCTGCATACGAAGAGAGCCCTGGTTGAGTCATGCGGAAAACCTCGTACTCAAATGTTGGCGAGGGCCCGCAGTTGTGGAATTTGTAGATGTGAATGCGCGAGCCAGTAGAACCAGCATCAATCATGAGGGCATACTGCACAAGAGGGAGGGAAGGAGAATGCGGGGAAGTACAGTGCACAGTTTTGAGGAGGTCTGGGTCTGTTTCAGGGGAGGTAGGGAAGGAGGTTTTGGAGGGTGGCGAGGTAGTAGTAGTCTTGTGAATGTCAATTTTATCCTCTGATGGATTCGAAGGAGCTGTTGTTGTCGGTATATGTGAAGCTGGGGGATAAGCATCGTCTATTCCGGGCATCGGCGAGTCTTTGTTTCATTATATGTAAATGCATTCCTTGACGACAACCATCGCAAGACGCACCAGGTATCAATTCTATGCTTGATCTCGGTCCAAAAAACCAGACCACGGAAATGAGCACTGCAGCGCCAATTGCGAACTTTTTCCATGCTAGCATCTTAGTCGTACGACCTGGACCAAAGCCGCCCTCAAGACGCTCATAGTTGCTGCTCGTTGACGTGGTAAACATATCAGTTGTCGAGAGCCTGCGAGCACGGGCCTCGTGCCTGAGGTCGACGGACGTAGAGTGACCTGAAGGATGTAATGGTGTAATGGCGAGTCGGCAGCCGAGTTGGTCTGGTGTAAGTATTTACTCAAACCTGACGGTAAGTAGTACTAGAATGACTCGTGGTTGTTCAATGACAAGATCACTTTGGTACAACTTTGGCATAGCCTCAATATTCACATGACGACGCAGAAACCGATACTTTTGATTTCATATGTAATCAACCTTAGGCACATAGGGGAACGTGAATACTACTAGATGGTGACGCGTAATGAAGATAAGAGGGTAAAAATCAAGAAAACGACGAAGGTGGGGTCAAATAGGATCAAGAGCGATCCTGAACATATGGGAAGGGGATACGACGATGCTCTTCGCCAGTGGATGGGGGATGGGAATGGGAATGATGAACATAATAAGAATACACAGAGCATCGAAGTCCAGAACTATCGGTATCAAAAGAACGACGAAGAGAATGACGAAGTGGTATTCATGGGTCTGGAAACTCGGGATACTCGACATTATGACTCCGCAGTAGGGCCTGGTAAGTCATGGCCCTCGATTTCCAGATCTCACTCTCACGCTTGTACTGCTCAATACTCTCCTCCAACTCGCGTTGGTACTCCAGTTTGCGCTTGCGACTTCGTCGTGCAGCGATTGTGTTTTGGCGCCTTTTTGCTTCAATCTGCTCCTGCTCAGTCATGGAAGGGACGATGCGCACATCCTCAGTGAGCTCGTCTTGCTCGTCACCGAAAGCGGTTACACGCGCCCGCTTCCGAGCGAAGACAGCAGGAACTTCCTTGCGAGAGGTCGCTGACGGGGTAAGGTATTTACGCTGCTGCGTGGGAGCGTCGATAGGGACAAGGGCCTCCGGCGTAAGGTTCTTGCGCGTGCCAGTGACAGACACCTTCCGCTGCGGTGGACGACGGTTGGCAGGCGAGTCGAGGGGTGATTCGAGTGGAGTGTTGAGCATTGGAGTGTCGGGGGACATTTGATACAATTCATCGAAATTGGGTTGGGGGATGTGATGGAATTCAGCGGGCTTGCATGGGGGATAAATAGTACTGAAATCATCAAAGAGAGATGGGAGTTCGCCGAACGAGTCACCACCGAAATCATCCAAAAGCGGACTCGTGAGGATGTCCGCATTGTTGTCCGCGGAGCCACATGCGGGCGTGGTGAGCAGCTCATCATCGAAGGGAGAGTCGATTAGGGGCGAAGTGAGAAACTCATTCAAGTCATTCGACATGGTGAGTTCCGGTGTGGCTAGGAGGGATTGTGTAAGCCACGTGAGTGTGGCGGAAGTGAATGACTTACCACTGAAGACATCCAAGAGTGTCTGGATGGCTTCTGCGTCAGACGGCGTAGCCGTCGAGTGCGCCATGTCCTCTAACTGGACACCGGTCGCGTCGTTGTCTGGGTTTTGTGACAACATCATCAGGTAATTCGAGCACAAATTGGTGAAATCGGGTGAGTTTGTAGATGGGAAATGTTCAACAGACAGTGTTGAAGATAATGGTTCTCCTGGTTCTTGTCTACTAGGAGTTGTACGAGGTGCACTGGGCAAAAATTGAGGTATCCCATAGTGGGCAGCAAGATCTGAAATGTTATTGAAGACCGGAGTGGACGTCGTTAGACGTGTTGAGTTACTGTTTATCGCGACATGGCGAGTGGACGAGGAACTTGAAAGTTGGGAACTTTCAAGGAAATTATGCGGGACATGGTAACCAGGTGAGTGCGATGGACCAGGTTGGTGCGAGAACGGCGAGCGATTTACAAGCTGAGGGTCGCGGACATGTTGACTAATGTAATGGGTCGATTTGTGTGAAATTGCGGGAAAGGGTAACGTGTTAAAGGTCAAGTCTGACGCAGGCGGCAACGTCGGCTGCCTGGAAGCTATGGACGATGATGCAATCAGTTTCCCGTTCATAATACGTTGTGTATTGTATTGAGGTAAGAGCGGTGAGTGTGCGTTGCATTGCGCTGACTCGTCTGACCCCAAAGGGTGCACTGAATATGTTCGTGAAGGCCCTGGGAGGGGCAATGTACGAGACAGATCAGGTGACCTCGAGGTCGATGGATGATTATACGTCGACATCGTTTAGCCACGCGCACCCTTGATTTCAATCGATTTGATAGAAATCGGTAATATGATCGTGGTGTGATTGCGGCGCAGCACAAAAGCACACGTAGAACACAATGGGATGAATCAGATAGGACTGAGTCACTCACTGGTAAATTTGACTACGTTAAGACTCTCTGGACACCTGAGCACTGCAAAAGCTGCTCGTGGATGTCACTTGGTGGTTTGAGGGGAAAGAGATCTGGGACGAAATTTGTGACTCGTGTGTGCTTATATGAGAGTTTTTTCACCGCTTTTCAATCTCAGAGCCGCGCATTTCCCAAATTAGTGTGACAGGTACAGCAAATCCGGTGATTCATAAGGCACCGATAAATATATTGTGGAAAAAAAAACAGAACATATGTTACTGGTATTCGGTGGACAACAACTGCCTTCACACTCCTTACAAGCCAGAAGAAATGGCGGTTTAAACATTGGAGAACATCCCAAAGCCGTGGTCAACTGCCTGAGTCAGTCCGGTAGCCTCGGGACTCCATTAATGGGTAAGCCGTTGTTACCGCATCCTGACTCACATTTAGGCGCCCCCACACAAAATAGGGCGTGGCATGCCAGGATGGCGGCCCGTTGACCATCACAAGTGCCAATCGGATAGCTGCCGTCCAACCAGTCGCATAGCCTTGCTGTATAGTAGACACATCACCGCCAGGAAAAACACGTCGCACAATGTGTTAGCGAGTAATGCGTGGGAGCCAAGGGACTGCGCGATCGCAGCTAGTACTGCGATACCTGCGAGCTTGCGTATACCTGTGCCGTCGGCGATTGCAAGAGCCACTGTCATTAATCCGCAGTCGAAGCCCAATAGTAGTTGCTTCTGGAACAATAACAGACACGGAAGAATCGACGTTCCGACATCGTTTGATGGCCGCAAGCTGGGGTGAATACCGAAGGCTTCTGGACGAGAGGTGATTGTTCTCCAAGAAAGTCGCAGACTTTTGTGCGCTTGATTAGGCGATTACCATCACCTTGATTACGACCAACTTAATCGAGGAACATGATCAACCTGTTTTTGAAGAAAATATCTGTTTTGTGACACGAAAAAGAATCTGAGGTGACGGAAAAATTTTAAGCCAGCGATTCCACCGGTACCTGGGATCCCAACTTGAAGCGAGCATGGCCAAGTGGTCTGAAACATGGTTAGTAAGCCATTCATCTTTGATGTGACAAAGCGTTGTGAAATCCTAGTCGGAACTTGCCTTGCGCCATGATTCTGCGGTCGCCGTAAATGCGGGGGCGGTGAAAATGGTTCGCATATTCGCTTCCTCGGCAATGCTTGTCTTGGAGGAGTCCCCTTTCACAAGCGAATAGTGCAGTGTACCAGGATTCGGGAGCAGTGTCTGCTTGGACTGCGGGGTGATATACGGCAAGGCGACGCCACAATTTTAGAGAGAATGTAATTCCCCCAAAGAAAGGTTGTAGACATGAGAGCAAGTGATTCGCAGGAAAAGTCAGGCAGAGATGACATTATATAGTCTCCCGTAGGCAGTCCAAATCCTAGACGGAAGATTGACTCGCATTGACGCAGTGGAATGGAACATGACTCAACTAAAATGTATTACGTAATTTTGTCGGATGCACTTATACCTTCCTAATGGGATAAGATAAGATCATGCTATGGTGTTGAGTTACGACGCATAGCCAAAAACATCAACAAGATCCCCAGAAATGTAGCACCTGTGCTAAAGTTGTCCAGCCAACGTAATGCAAACAGTATATAAGCACCTTATCTTCTGAGCATTAATCTTCACTCAATCACCTACACCGTGACCTATCATCATCTCATCACCATGCCTCACCATCATCATGATCACAACAGACACGAAGACCTTTCCAATGCATACGCACAGGTACTAGTTTATGCCACTTGTTCAATACACATCTCATCTAATCGTGAACATCGCAGGTCACTAATGCGCCCCACAAGGCGAAGCTCTCTCATGAGCTGATCGCTGCCGCAGCTTCTTACGAGGTGGGTCATCCTTCCTCCTGCTTATGATCGATCTTCTCAAAATATCATTGTAGGCAATGAAAGCTTACAACGAGCACTGCGAGAGGAACGGCAAGCCTGCAAGCCACGACAAGGCCAAGGAACTCATGTAAGTCTCTCGGTCGGGAGACATATATCGTGACTGACATCGACTACAGGGCTGGATTTGCCGGAGCCTTCATCGACCACATGGTTGAGACGAAGGGTGTACGTTTTATCTTACTCGATTATTAGTGCAACCCATAACGTGGATTACTTTTCTAGTTGGACCTCATGGACAGGCAAAGGGCCAAGCATCATGGTAAGCATTATAGATCTACTCCTGACGCTCGAATTAATTGTTCTGCAGCTAAGGAAACCGCCTACGAAAGGTCTGGTTATTAGTCGTCAGCAGCAACCTCATGCAACCCAATACCCACCAATGTCATCGTTGATAGCCATGTAACATGAAATAAGTGTGACGATAATATATACAACCATAAGGACTTTATGATATGGATATGCATCATCTGATATAAAAGACATATAAATACAATCCGTGAAAGCGAGCATGTCTAGGTTGCAGAAGTTATGGTCTGAGCACTGAACTTATAAGTGCAGGAAGCATACCAGATATGTACATATGAGTATCGACCAGCTGGTGAGATCAGAGATGAAAATATCCTATGCAGAAATATAGCTCCAGGCAGGGTTTAGGAATAAAGATCGTGGTCCATGAACTAGTCCGAGGTAATATCGTGCAGTGTAATCACTGTTCGAGGATATCTATAATCAATCTAGAGCGACGACACGAGTATCGCGCATCCCATTGCAAGCAGTGTCCACAAAAGTCCTTTGGGACGATATATCCCTTCCGCACTAGGTATTGCAAGACGTTAGCACGAACGGACATGCATCGTAACCGAGATAGAGACCCACCCGCTTGAACTACTACTACTACCGGGCTGGTTGACCATCTTAACGGTTAATATCGCCACTAATCCATCGATCGCATTTAGTCCATTGACAGCGACACTCTGGTAGTGGTTGATACCATCGCTAGTGTTCTGTAGCAGCCCAGAGACGTACGTTGCAGTGGTTGCATAGGTATAATTATTAAAGGAAGTTTGCCCAGAGTACGTTGACGTATCGGTCATGTTTGCTGTTGGAAGAATTGTCGATTGAGAAGTGGCATTCCCCACGAGCCAGTCGCGACCTAGGTTATAGCTGCGCGATATCAGTCAAAGGCAATTGAAAAACAAAATCACACCTACCCATTAACTATGATATTATGCGAGTCTGCGACACGGTCATTTAAAGTTTTGGTGAAAGTCACTTCCCGGACGCACCAGCGATTGGCATTTCATATGAAGTTGCCATAAATATTGCGCCTGAGTCGGCGCTTTGCCCATTTTGTATCCAATAGCGAAAGTGGTTCCCTCCTTCAACTGTCTCCTGACAAGTCCCAAGGTTGGCATCACCATAGTCCCACCGAATGACAGCAGTCTCGTTTACTGAAACACTCAGCTACGGGAAAAGCCAGTTTATGATTGCACAGAAAACTCACAGTAACCATTCCCGTCGCCGAGGTTAGCCATTTGCTCGCTACTGTCAGTCTGTCCCAAACACTCGGTCGAAAACCCGAATGATCTGCCTGCACGTAAGAACAACTCCACAAAAACAGACGACCGTGCTCACTGAAAATAATTGATAAGACCACCGTTGTCCAAAGTGTTCTGCAGCACCTGAGAATCAGAGTACGCAGAAATGATGACGTTTATGGGTTCTCCAAGGCCTGCCGGATAGGTATCTTGGACTTCCTACGGCGCTTATTTTTTACACCAACAAGACTTCCTTGTGACATAAAGGACTTACGGTAAGCATACTCCACCACCATCCATCGGGATGTAGTACCCATAATTTGTTGATCGTTTGTGCGGAGGAGGCGCAGGCGCTGGTGGGCTCGTTGATGGACCTCTAGCAGCAACCATTGCAGGCATCGGCGATGATGCAGTCAGAACGCTGAAGTATAATTGTGTGCGTGTGAGTACGAAGTTAATAAGTATAATTGAATCGTACGTCTTTCAAATTTTATGTGCCTGGACCTGAAGGTGGAGCCGTCTATCACGTTCTTGGGAGTAGAAGCCTAGGTGGGCCGGCCAACGATAGGGAAATATAGGAAAAAGAGTGTTGTGAAAGCCGAAAACGTGTTAGCCATGCATTTTGGTTACGATTTCCTTGAAAGCGGTTATTTGTGTTTACATAATCATTGATGTTCGGAACAATAAACTTCAACTCTCTTGTTTTCTGATGTTCCCCTGTACATCGCCGATTGAATCCTTGTCCCTTTTCTCAAGATAAAGTTTTCCTTACCTGCAGGTCCCAGGTGCAAATCTAGGTCTCATAACTAAACGCAGATTAACGTTCGGCGCCACTTCGTGAACGTTCTAAAGCTCCCGAATTCGCGGTGAACTCGTTTCCGCGCCTTGGCACTTGAGCTATATATGTTGTGGTTCACGATGAAATTAATCTCCTCCGCACCTAATACTACTTTTGCTAATCAAAAGTTTAAGGCAGGTTCATGCTGCACCATGTTCAGCTGTTGCAGAGAAGTTTGGGCTTTTACTTGCGGTCGTTCAATTCCCCCAGTCTGGTACAACCAAGATGCGCAGGTCCTGTAGTAATAAAACGCTCCCATTGGTGCTGGCGCGACGGCAGGAAGGGGCAGAGAGAATATCGAAAAAGCCTGTCGAGGACATAGACTATACCTCCCCGCGGACGGAGAGCAATGAATTAAATAACCAATTCAGGTGCGCAGCAACAACTGTACTCACCTTATGTCCCACTTAGCCGATTAGTAGCAAATTGGAACTGGTCTATATCTGGTCGCTATCACGGGCGTGTCCATCCATGGACGGGCAAGCTTCATTCATCACTTCCGAATGCAACATTTTTAAGGCATCGGCGCGCTAACTTTTCGCCACCGGGTTAGAAGTCTCAAGTTCAAGTTCTCAAATTCTCGAGTCCAACTTTGATCCGCATCGACGTCTCGAACTTTACCTTTACTAAATTTCCGCTTCGAGCCTCAGTCTAAATCTCGCTGTCACATAATTATATGTACCGCGCATTCGTTAGCCGGCTAAGCTTTTATTGTGAGTACATAAATACATACTGGATTATTACTTCAAGCTACCCACGCCTGGCTTTTTCTGGCACGTAGCTCGTCGCACGATATGACTGCCAAAGCCAGATATTTGGTAGAAGGTCTGTCGTTCACCAGCGTTCTGGCCATGAAGAACGCTGGGAGGCTTTGATCAATCAGGCTTGAACCAGCCGTTTTTGCGCGCTGGCAAGGACGCCTTTCAACCTCCACCTCTAAAAATGGCAGCAACCTACTGGTAACGAGTCTATTTTTTTCGATTGGAGAATATATGGATCTGTGAACCCATCAGGCAGTCGTTCCACCGGATACTGACAGATCTAGAGATGGACGTATGAACCCAAGAACAATTTGGTGATACCATGCGTCCCGATATCTCGATTTCGCCGCACTGCGTGTCAGATGCTGTGAGCGGTGCATCTACGTTTCATCATGATGATCTTTCGTGTCGTTGTTCCCTCTCTGTCGCCGTGCCGCATTCAGCCCCATTGCGGTACGTACCACGCGCTTTGCTACCAAGGCAACGCAGGGGGAGTTCCAAAAGGAGGGCTCTATGAGCTGTAGCTCTCTGTCCCTCCTGACTCAGCACGGACAAGTGCGATATACCACATCAGCATACTCAGTACTCGAAGCTGAGGCATAGCGGCGAAATGCGTGTCAGGTGTTGCAGACATGGCAACGCTTCTTTGTATCCGCTTAGAAGTCTAGGATGTTGACCACGCTGCTGCCACCCCAACATCACGTACTCCGAGATGACCGCTCAACCATCCAGACGAGATTTCGTCAGACCAAGGACGCAATACAGTAGTTTTACTCACCAGCTTCTGCCGTGTAATATTTGCAATTATTGCCAAAGTATGCATACCGAAAGCACGAAAGTCTTCAACGGTATATATAGGGGATGACTGACCACAGCCTCTGCAGTGCTGTCACCACCAATCACCCCTAATCCGCTAGTGTCAAGTAATTGATGCCGGAATCAAACAGTGCCCCGAGTAAAAATGGTGTACACACACTCAGGGAGGACGGGTACAAGTGATCACTTCCACATCGAAAATAATTTCTATTGATTTTTAGTAAGTTGCTCGATTCAGAGCGTGCTACCCACACGACCCGCCGATAGTGAAAGAATTTTTTCGAGTGTTTATTGAACCATATCATCCGCTACATTCCCTAAAAACTCTTCCTTCCCCAACCCAGTCGAACGGCCCCTCCAGCATATAAAAGACTCACCCCTGGTCGTCCTTGACGTCCTCTCACCAACCTCGTCTTGACGCAGTCCAATGGTTTCTGACTCTGCTCGTATAGCCGACCTGCCGCTTGAAGTATTAGAGCGCATCCTATTGATTTTGGACCCTCTTGATGTTGCGAGTACAGCGCAAGTGTGTCGGCTCTTCCGCGGGCTCGTCTACTCTGTCAGTGATGAGCATTTCTGGCGAGCTCTTTACTTGGCACAATCATTTGATGACCCCCGCGAGGCGGTGACCTACCTCGGCGATCGCCGGACCAATATCAAATGGAGGGAGGAACTACAGCGGATCATCCGCGCGAGGACAGTCGTAAAAGATGTTACTGTCTGTCGACCAGATGAAAGATGTCAAGTACTACGAACCTTGCTTGACATGGTGACGAACGTACCACCTCTGCCTTTCCCTGAGAGCGAGCCGACCTCCCGTAATGTGTTATGGATACAGACGCTCCTACAGGACGGCGCGTTCCTCGATCTGGAGAGTCAATCGCATGAAGAAGAACAGCTCCGCGCACGGTTGCACGCATGGTTCGGGTTGACTGATAGAGACGCATTGGCGACGCAGAGAGTAATATCCCGAGCATATGTTTACAGTCAGCGCAACTACCGGTCCTCGAACAGTTTTGGGCCTTTTATGCGAGATGGGAGTGGAGTAGTCAATTGGGTGCATATGCAGAAGCTCGCACATGTTTTTGCTAGCGCGTTGATGGAGAAGGATGAGGATGAAGGGTTTGGATTTGAAATTTGCTCCTTGAACCTGGCTTTTTGTCAAGCCGTCATACCGCCTCGCCTAGATCTGAACCGGGAGACTGATTGGGCTGGCGTCGAGGGCTTGTGGCGCATCTCTTATTGTTTCATGGATCATCGGGAGTTACTAAGTAAGTCAGAGATTGTCTTGTTTTTCGATTATCTCTGACGTGGCATATTGCTCCCGTCCAGTTTACAATGACCTCAATGTATGTTCTACCGCCCTTGTTACCTTATCCCATCTGACATAAATTTATAGTTACCAGAGGACGAGCCACTTGATCCCTCTATATTTGAAGAAGGAGAATTACAAGAGACGTTCTGCACAGTAGACATATTTTTCCGTGTGATCAATGTGGAGCCAGACCCGGATCACCCGACACGACCAAAAATCAACTACATAGGAGAGATGGATGGTAATTTCTCGGTGGTTGGCTACGTCAAACTCACGCCTGACGACCAGATACGATGGCACTTTGTAAGTTTTAACAAGTCAACTCAATCTTATTCTTGCTGACGCCAAGATTGCCGGGTACAGGTCGCTGGTAACGGAGATCAGCCAGTGTGGTGGTATGTGTTCCTCGCGCTTACATTGTTCATCATTTGGTAACCATATACTCCACGACAGGGGTGAAGCGATTGTTATGGGGAATATTCGTTCTCAATTTGGAGTTCTTGGGGCTTGGTCTACGACTTTGCATGACCCACAGGATCCCATTGGTGCGTGGAAATGTCCTTTGGTCGATTTCTCACATCAGTGATTAATGCCCGGCTTCAGGTCCATTCTGGATGCAGTGCCAGCATCCTATCGAAGACTAAGCTCTTCGCCCTTGATGATTATTCGTAATGACTACTGCAAATGCGGTCGCACATGCTGTACATATATATTCTTTTTTGGGACAATGGGGTCTGTAGTAGAGTCGACATGTAATTTGGACGTATTGATTGGGTTGCCGACCCGGAATTGATCATGAACGCCAAGGGTACAAGAGGAGCCTCCTGATTTGGTCAGAAAGACTGACTAGAAGATGATGAGTTCACTAGTGATATGAACCGTGTGAGCCTACTTCATAGGAATAACGCTTTGATAAGACTCTACTAGCCTGGTTAAGCTAACAAATGACAATCTCAGTCCTCGTCGTCTGTCTCGGCAACATCTGCCGCTCTCCTATGGGAGAAGCCGTTCTCCGCAACGAAGCCCTCAAGCGCGGCATCACCGATATCCACATCGACAGCGCTGGAACAGCTGCGGCACACATCGGGGAAGATCCCGACGAACGGCGAGTACAACCCTTCCCTCGCACCAGACTCGAGCTTATCATGCACCATAAGGACCATCGAAGTATGCAGCATGGTACAGTGTTCCCTTCCTCACCCAGCATCTTGATACCTACCAGGAGTACCACTGCAGAAAGGCGTTCCCATTTCCCACTCTGCGCGACAAGTCCGCGCATCAGATTTTACATCGTTCGACTATATACTCGCTGCTGATGTTTCTAACCTCCGCGCGCTGGAGAGACATGTGGGTCATAAGGAGGGATCGAAAGCGACGGTGAGGCTTTGGGGATCTTACTTGTCGGATAATAAGGCGATTCAGGACCCGTATTACGGGGGATTGGTGAGTCGGTTTTGTTGTTGCTGTTGGTGGGGAATGATCTTAGAGATGGCGTATGCGCAGGATGGGTTCACGAAGGTCTACGAGCAGTGCGTGAAGCTTTCAAATGCGTTTTTGGACGAGGTCGCTGGGAAGGAAAGTTAGTAGGGGGGTGTAGTCAGAACACACAAGATGGAAGATACCCTCATAATACCTGTACTTTTGGTTGGAATATCTATGTAGCGCTTCACCGACTTCATCGGTTTCGGTCAGACAATATTATGCGATTGAAGGCTTCCGGTCTTCATCAATCGGGATTGCGATCTTCAAGTCTGGAAGGCCCTACTAGTACTTATTGGTGATACTTGCAATTTAGATTTCCAGCCGCATGACAATGCAAGTCAGCCTATCCACCAGTAGTATACACTGGTGCTAACCTTCAACGGAACGTACCTTTGATAACCGCGAGGAAGATCGAATTCGGATCTGCTATCATTCAGGACCATTTATCGTCGAGTCAGACGCGCAGCGCCGCTAGATTGAGAATGCTATTCGAAATTACATGTCCTCTGTATGTGTACAAGCACCCGAAGTGCAGTGCAGATCTGAACAGGAATCGTGTCGTAAAGATGAAAATAAAAAAGGGGACATGAAAATGGATCTAGCGCGGCCTTTCCACCGAAGGAAAGTTAAGATAGTGATACATACAGAGTCCAGGAACGATCATAGCTGAACGGTGAACTTGAGTCTGCCGTCCGCACAAGGCTCGCATTTTACTTTCTCCATGTTGTCCACTACAAAGTGGGCGCCAACGTGCTCGATCTGCTTCCTCTCATGGCTGGTGCACACAGCGATGACAGTGGCACCGCTAGCCACACCTGCGCGGATCCCACTTGGGGAATCCTCGAACACAACACAGTTTTTCGCAGAAAAACCGAGTTCGCTAGCAGCAAGGAGAAATGGGTCTGGGGCAGGTTTGCCAGCCTTGAGACGCTTGTCGTCTGCTGTGATGGTCACCTTGGGCGGGGTAATGCCAACGCGAGTCATGCAACCATATGCTGTAACGATAATAAGGATTATCCTTTATCGCAAATAGAAATCTGCATACCATATGTTTTTGCACCTGAAGTGGCGACAGCGTAACGACCTTCAGGAATGGAACTCATCATCCTCTTGACACCGGGCAAAATCCGCACTGAACGATCAACACTCGCGGCTTCCTGTTGCCAAGCCTCAAGGACGTGTTTCTTCTGATTTGCCTCGAACATGATGATGTCCTGTTGATCTTCCTCCATGATAGAGTCTTCGAATTGGGGACCCTGACCGTAAACAGAAGCTTCGGGTACGACCGACATAGTCAGCATGTTATTCAGCTTGCTGGCAAATGATGGCCGACGAGGCGAGACGAATGAAGATGCACGAGAAGAAGGGGCAGAATTGCTTGGCGAGAAGGAAAGATCAGGGGTTGCATAACCGGAGCTAAGAGGGGAATTCAAGGAAGGGGAGCTCGCAGGTGAGTTGAGCTGCGAGCCAGGTCCGTGCATGTTATACGCGTCGGCGAAGAAGAGAATGCTCTTCTCGAAATTTTCTACCTCATCGTCCATCTCATGTGCCTTGATATGGGGCTTAAATTGAGCGAGGTTGTCGACGGCGCGCTTGCCGTGGGTTGCAGCGATAACGTAAGCGGGATCTTGACCGATGTCTTTGGCGACTTTACCCCAGGCTGCCTCGACAGCTGCAATAGAGTCTGTGAGGGTACCGTCCTGTAACGCACTGGCAGAGTTAGATTTGGAATACCAATGAAAGAAAATACACACCATGTCGAACAGGACAGCGTCGACGAAGAATGTGTGGACGTTTTGAGACGACATGATTATTTCGTTCAAGATTGTGGTGAGGGTAGATGTGAAAGGGTGGGTTAGATACGAAAGGCTGCTGGAGCTAAGAGAGGCTGAAGATGCTAGTGAACAGACGTTTGGTGACCCATCTTATATACTCTCGCGTCTAACAGACCTCCTTGTTTTGTGAGTGACGTCAAGGGACCAAAAAAATTGCTATGATAGAAGATGCCGCTGCCAGTGGAGTTGCCTTGACAGGGAACAATTAATTTCGCACCAGGTGGTGCCCGTTTGATCACGGTAGCGTCCTGGTAAATATGATAGGTTGACTGACAGTTGCCGAACCCCGGACATCTAGTGAGGACTTAACAGGAGGGCTTTGGGCTACCGGGGCAAGCGAGATCAGCGGTTTCGAAAGGAACGTTGATGTTAAGAGTTGCCTAATACGTGAGCGCACCGTCGGCACAATGGGTATGTAAAATTTTTGCCTCTTTGCCGGGTCCTTTTCGACCAAATTAGGGATGACTAAGAGTCCAAGCATCACGCATCACAAGTCTGAGACACGTCAATATGAACGGGCACGGACACGGTAGTTATCGTTACCGTAAGTTTCGAACACATATTCTCATATGGGAGTCTAAGCCGCGTAATTGCACTCTTCCTGGGCTCAAAGCAACGCCTTTTCGCGAAGTTTATCACACTTATTTCCGTGTTGACCGTGCTGACAATGTGAGAGACTCATCTGTTATCACTCCTCACTGACGCCCTCACCAGCGCCTCTAGATAATAGGTGGCCAATGGCAGATAAGCTCGCTCCAATTAAAGCCAATTTGGTCAGCGTCCCCTAACAAGTTCAGACTTTGTCCTACATACAGTATCACCACATTCGCCATCTCGTTGTTCGCGAGAACCTGATGCTGTTCTGATATGTCATTTCAAGACCATGTGGTTCGATAGGCCCCCACCTCGCACACCCCCTCATTCAGAAGTTTTACAACCTCTTTCTTCGTGCCTGATAGCACAAACGTTCCTATCTATTCGCGCACGGTCAGGGGGAACTATTCATCGAATATGTATTTCTGCTTTGTATCAGACGCACCTAGTTAGCTTCGCTCTTCTCAGCAAGCACTTCGCTTTAACTGTTTCGCGAAGGTCCATTCTGACCCTGATGCCACAGATATGTAGAACTTTATCTATCCAACTAGAAGTGTTCGTTCATATCCAGCGACTCGGTTTCGCCATTCATTCATGTATCATGAGCTGTGGCGTTTCCTTTGTTGTCTTCCCTCTCTCTTCGAAGTGGGAACGCCGTCGACGTCATGGGAATCTATTTAGGACCCTTGGAGCTCATGCATAAGCGACAGTGGCAGTGACGTGATAAGTACTGACCTTGTCATACAACCAGTCACACATATGCTCGACCCAAAAACAAACAGACTTGACCAACTGCGGACGTCACCGATAAGCCATCGACCGGGTCTTTCAGCCAGCCGCAAAAACGCGCTCTCCGTCCATGAATCGGTCAAACCTTCCATCGGCTTCGAAGGTAACGATAAGCAAATTTTTCGTCTTCCAACCTGGACCACCCAGTTCCAAAAGAAGTCAATTTTCCAGTCAACTTCGTGTATCAGTGATAAGCATCTATATGAACTTCCAAGCTAGACCAGCCAGTTGAAAGAAAAAAAAACACGCTCTCATGCATCAGTGATAAGTATCACCTTCCAACCTAGACCAAGCAGTTGAAAAAAAAACGCGCTCTCACCCGTACAACGCCGTGCGTCGGCAATCGCATTAAAACCGAGTCGCTGGGGTCATGAGTGCTTTTAACACCATATCTGTAGGAAGTGGAATCCAATTGCAAGCTTCAACTAGGGCAGCGAACAGATAATCAGCCGCACAACCAGAACTGGTGTTCACCGAGCCCTGAAAAACCAACAAGCTGACTGAGAACATCAAATAATTTCTGCCGTTTCTGATCGACATTTTTTTTTCACTCTTCTTTCCGTCCCATAACCGATCGTAGAGGTAGGTTCTACGCCCCGAAAATTTGGGATAGGAGAGCGATGCACGTTTGCTTGCGAATGCGGTGTATGATTTGGTATTTGAGGATATTTAATATATGCGTAACTTGCAAGTCTCAATACCAGCCGCTTTGTCGGCGGTGGATCGTCGGACAAGGCGTTTGGAAGCACTTCTTCGAGAGCGAACTGAGTTAGCCTCGACACCGGCCCACTTTGTCGGCTCGGGGAAACGGTTGTGGATGCCATCGTTGGACAAGGCAGAGAGAGCATTTCGCACTCAAACTCCGCTTACCACCTTATTGGGCAATTGCAGCATTGGAGGATCAAACACAGAATCACTCTGCAAACGAACAAGTTCCAGTATCGAATTACACGACGGAAATGCTGCATACATATACATGTACAAAACACATGTATAATAGAAACTATAAATCTTATGCCTGCACTGTTGAAACTTTGCAAAATTTGTCCTGGTGAGGTTGACCTGGCGGCACGGCGAAACGCGCCGAGGAAACACTCAATTGCAAGGCACTCGAGGCAGCAGTTGAATCCTCGAGGAAAATGGTGTTGTGCTTGATGTTGGTGGCCGATATTAGTTGGTGAGACGGAAAGGATTGCTGTGGTTGGTTGATTCTTTAACAACTTTAATGTAAATAGGTCAGGTATGTACACACATTTCATGAAGCATACCCGACCACAATTCGCAAGGCCGAGGGCGCAAAGCTGAAATGCATTGCAGTCTGCTCGGAAGTCCTGGAACGGTACTTTACGAGTTACATGAGCAGGTGACAATTCAAGTTACAAGAGTGATCAAACTCACCGAGAACGAAGGGATATTGTTGCAGGCAAGTTCCGCATCCGGCCCCGAGGTCATAATAGTATCCCCGGAAATTGCGATATCAAAGACACACATGTTTCGGGACGCTGTGTTATCAAATTCTGCATTTAGTCGGCACCTTCGTGGAGTGTAAGTAGATGAAACGCACTATGTTGGTCTATGGTGGGGTACGTTCCACCAAGACTATGACGGTATTGGAATGTAGGATTATGGGTCAACTTTCTTTCTGAGATAACGTGGGTTTGCTCTGCTGCCGAGCAACAAAGAGCTTTTTTTTGGTTTCTTATGTGGAAGGAGGCAGTACTCAAGAGCCTAAACTTAACGATCAGCACGATGTGTCGCATGTTATGAGAATCGCGTACTAGTTCTCACACATACCTGATTAAGACAAAGTCAGATATTTATACTCTGTTCGTTCAGCACCAAGTGTTATGATTGGCAGTTGCCTTTCACTGACACACCGTCTCATCGGCATGTAAGGCGGCCAGTCACGAGTCCACGCCACTTGTGCGTAACTGTCATTAGTAGCAAGGGAACTGCGGAGTTAAAGCACGAGGTCTTGAACCATAAGCGTTCCCAAAAATATACTTAGTGGTGCGCTTTATGTCTGGTATCCGGGCGTTGAGAAGGACGGACGACAGAAACGATATCATTAGATTAGGGGATCGCCGAGGAGCAACTGAACATGGAAAAGCCCCAACGGCCACTATACATAGCTGAGCGCTGAACCACCGAGGAGACATATGTTTGATAATAGATATTTGTTGTATTCCGACCTATTACAGAAGTTCAGCGTGATCTCGCATCAGATGTATTAATACTTTGAATTATGGAGCGACGGCGGTAACTTCAAGTTCAATGTCCTCGTCGAATGCAATTTTTTCATGACGCTAACCAGTTGACTGCTCGTGGTCCGATCACCGTTAAATCACTAGACACGATATATCAGCATGTAGTCGCAAGACTTGCAGCCCACTGGCACCTAATACCTACCACGAATAGACAGGGGCGAAGGAACTCTTTCTGCTGAGTTTCAGGATTGGCTGTGATTTGAGATATGATGATGTGTAGTGTAAGGCTGGCCTGCTCGCCGATCGACGAAGCATACTAAATAAATTTTGATGTCGTTGCAGTGTAAGTTTGGTGCAAGTGTATAAGAAGTCGATCTAGCGGAGTTTGAAATGTTACTGTGCTAGCTTGACCAGACATAATGTGCACTGTACCGTCTCAGCATCGGAAGCACTTCGTAGCATTTAGAATAACTTTGCCAACTCACAATATGCAGCAATTAGCCAATCAGGATAAAATTAGGAAAGCTCTACGATAATCTTCGAGAATACCAGTAGTGTTTCGACGGAAGACCTATCATATTCGTGCGTAGTATACTCGTACCCGAGGGCATAAATACCTACGTGCGGTGTAAGACACATGTTATAACAAGACAAGATAGACAAACAACGAGAAGAGAGAAGAGAGAGCAGACAAAAAAACAATCGGAGAGCCAGCCGGGGCAAGAGATGGGATGAAGAATAAAGTTAATGAGAGGATGGATCGGGCAATGCTCGCCGAAAGAGTCCGTGTAGTCGAGATGAATGCCGTGGATATAATGCACAAATGGCAGAAAAGAGAAGAAAAAGGCAAATTACAACTCGGATTTCTTTCCCAGTCATTAGTGTATAGTCACCAACAATCGTCAATTGGACTTACTTTGGAGAGAGGCTGGGGAAACACACGCACAGCGACCCTAAGATCGCTATGAAAACACCTCAGTCACAGTCCGTCGCCTCTCCCGCCTTTGCGAAGGTATAGTGACGGTGCGTGACTGAGAACTGCCATTGTCACCTTCCCTTTCGTCACGAATGCTGTCCAATGACATACGAGCAGCCCGTACACCAAACGTTCGCCGGCGAGTATCTCGCTCCGTCTCTGAGCCGGAAAGTGGAGAACGGACTTGAGCAGGCGAAGGTGCCCGAGGAACGTTTGCGTCTTCTTCAGTGTTGGCAGAGGACATAATGGCCTTCCTGCGTGCCTCGTCTCGTATATGCTGTTGTTGCAGCGCAGATAGTGATACTTCAGAAGGACGTGAGAATGTTACAGACGAACGAACGGAGTCTTTGGAGTCAACGCGTGATAGAGGAAATGTTGAGTTTTCAGGGGAATTGGATACCGTATGGGTAGTTACAGCGGTTGTCGGATTGGCAAGTGGCAGGGGCATACCTCGGATGGTAGCAGCAGATGTGGTAGATGATTTGCGATAGTTGCTTTTGTCTAGTGAATTGCTCGTCAACTTGCTCATAAGCGATTCAGAAGGTAAGGTAGGAAGAGGAGGGGGGACGGCAAGAGATGGAAGTGGTTTTTGGCGGCCCGCAGGCACACCCCGAGCGGCAGGTGTCGGTGAAGGCTCATACTCTAGAGAAAGATCAACAATATCGGACGAGGAATTATGAGAAGCGAGTGCATTTGACGTCATTTGACGATCACGGTGTTCTCGTGGTGTGAAAAGCCTACGTGTGGCAGAAAGCGGCAGCGGGGGAAGAGGAAGGGATTTGCGAAACAAAGGCTGATCTTCTGGATCACGGTCTCTTGACGAAGGCGGACGTACAACAACTCCTTCATCATGGCCACTTAGCCTTCTGGACAAGTCAGCAGTGGGAGCAGAAGGCTCCCAACTCCGTCTTGACTCCACACTCCTCCTTCCATCCTGTCGACTTCTATTACTGCTCCTATCTATTTCGGGTGTTCGACGGGAAACGTCATCATCAAGGCCGCTTCTGGAGTGCTGTGGTCCGGGTTCATTCAAAGCACCAGCGGATGCCTCCTTTACAATTCTGCCGATTCCAAGCAAAAATCCTGTGATCGTTCGGACGACTTCATCGCTCACACGCAGGCTCTCGCGGTACTCCCCTCCGACCCTCCTCCAAATTTCACCCGTGGGTATCGTACCCGATGTTTCATCATCCATCTCAGCGTCAATCTGCTGTTCCAGCGCTCGATTTGTACCCGTTCTCAACAACGCATTCAACTTCTCAGAAGCAAGAACGATAGTCTCTGCGCTGCGGAACAGATCTGGTGCAGACGCAGACTGATTTGGCAGACGGGACAAGACATTCTCGAACATCTTCAAAGACTCTAGCATGAGCTTGGTATGCTCCGCGCTCTGTTGGTGACTGGAGACCGACCCATTCCCAAGAGGTGTCATTGTTGTATGACGTCGAGTGAGTGCGACGCTACGTGATCTGTCTGGTGGTGTTGGTGCTGCTGGGGCTTGTTGAGGAGGAAGCGGACGGATACCAGGCGATGCTCCCGAATGTTGTCGCTCAATACCCGAGTATTGCCGCCTGGAGCGGAGCAAAGATGCCGCTCCCCTTCCAGAATTTTCATCCTCCTCGTGATAGAACTCTGCCATCGAGGTTGCTGGCCTTGAGGAAGCTGTGCGCGCCCCTCTCAAGTCTCGTTCAACCAAAAGTGAAGATGAAGCTCTGCTCGGATCTGACGACAGATGTGGCCTTGTGGAGGGACCTACACCTTCACTGAGTCGCGTGCCACTCGAGCCGCTTGCCCTACTCCTGTCATCTGCAACTCTGTGTTCGTCCTCCCACTCAACGTTTCGACGGGTGCCAGAGGCAGCCGTCCGTGCGCGACGTAAAGACACGTGCGAGCCATTGCTATGTGCAAAGACGTCATCGTTGGTCTGGGTCCCGTTCCGCATACCTATGCCAGCAGCACGCAAGCCTTCACCAACCAGACGTCCTCCAACTCCCAGGGTGCTTTCGGCGCTGCCGCCGCGTTGTGTTTGTTTGCGACTAGAATCTGGAAGGTTGGAGATATCGTCCGATAGCCAGCGCGTTTGGTGACGGCGCGTCAGTTCGCGAACGGTTGACGGAAGGTTAGCCCGAGTGCCGCGTGGTGAATATTGAGGATTGGGATTTGTGTATGAAGAGGTTCTGTGAGAGGTGTTGGCATTAGAAGTGTAGCTATCCTGACGCGAGTTATGATGTGGTGTCATAGGCTCGATGGAAGTCTGAAGTCCGTCTGTCAGCGGAAGTCGAGAAAACTAGAATAAGGCGTCTTACCCTGCTATCCAAAGTACGGACTCGATCACCGTCTCTGAATTCCCTTGGAAGCGGCTGTCGCGAACGCCGGTTAACGCTACCTGTACCTGTTGGACTCCGTCGTGAAGATGCTACGGCGGCTAGTGCGGCACTCGTCACATCGTACGCTGCGTTATCTCTAGGGACAGATAGTGCACTGGCGATAGATACTCGTTTCCGAGGAGTGTGCGAAGGGGCAGGAGAAGGCCGTCGAGATCTAGCCGGTGAAGCGGGAGCAGATATGCGGCGTTCTCTTGTACTAGTGCTTGGAGGAGACGTTGATGGACGTTCTGGAGATGAGGAACCATATGAGCGAGAGTTGGAATGTGAATTAGAGTACGAGGGAGTTGGAGCACGCTGACTCTCGCGTTCTGTCTCAGAGCCAGAAAGTGCACTATCATATTGCAGTGCTCCATCATACTGTCTTGTCACGATGTTAGAACGCGAGTGGGAGGAAATCCGGGAGGCTGCAGAAGAGGAAGATGAGGAAGTGGATGCATGGATAGGAGGGAGCGGGGATCGAGATGCGCGGGAGTTTGCAGGAGAGGGAGTACGGGAAAAGGAAGAAAGTTTGTTCAGGGCCTGTGTTAGAATGAACCAAATGTAACAGAGTTAGATGGTATAATTTCATGTAGGAAAAGCGTAGAGCCGCCGGAACAAAAGTGAAATTAGAGTTGTTGCAATTCACAATAACATAAGACACGTGCAAGTTACCAAGGGCAGGCTCCAATTAGAATGAGAGTCAACGAGCCAAAGAACACGTACCATGCGGTTGCGCTCAGCAAGGCTTTTAACTCGTTGCAAAGCCATGAGGTTTTCGTTTGGACTCTTTATTGCATGACTGCGGTCAAGGCGAGCGGTGTCGTCTTCTTCATTTGAATAATCGTTTTCGTCGTCGTCATCGTCGTCAATATTTCTGGAAGATTTTTCGGGTGTGCTGGGTGTGTCATAATTACGGTGGGGCATGTTTACGCTACCGGCATACGAGGCAGGTCGCTGGCGTAGACTGCTTGGAGTCGGACTCTTGTTATCACCTGTTGATCCGCTTCCTGTTGAATTGGTTGCGGGTGGTGAAGGAAGACCAGATGAACTCGATATTGCACTTGGGCTTTCTGGAGGCTCAGGAAAGTTAGGAATGACCTGCTCCTTGGGTGGTAACGATCCTAGGAAGATGGCGGATACAGGACGCCTCGAAGAAGAAATGAGTGGGCGCGGCGTCATCACAGCCAGAAAGGCTAATCATCAACCCGCAAGGAGAAAATAAAAGAGACCTGACAGCGTTCTCACTGTTGAGAACAGCGAGCAGAAATTAGTGATAGGGCGACTTCGACACCTTGGGCAGTGACTACAAAGCAGACGGTCCAAGGGAAACATTCGTGGGAATTTCAGGGACGTACTTATGATAACGCCGACGGGAGCAGCCGGAAGCTGGTAGTAAATTATAATTAATACCAACTCTATCATTTCAGTTGTCACAGCTGACGAGTCTAAGACGACGAAGTGAACATGTATCTGATCATATCTCATTACATTCAATATGCTCAGATATACGTTCACTTCTGCAGGCAGCATAAAGCACTTCTGTTACATGTACAACCATTATATTTCACACATTTCTGCTACGGCTTGCATACATGCTACATTCTCATGCATACCTCCAAGTTATTGTACAAGCTTCGCACATTTCGTGATATCACACATGTGTGTTACTCCTTGCATATATGCTGCAATTTCACGCATACGTTATACCACTCTGTTCGGGGTTTGTAAGCAGTAACCGGCCGTACACTCCAACGTCTTTGTTGTTCAAGTTGATGTATCTCTGAGATGGCCAACACCGAAGATGATGTTACAGTAAGTGGCCGTCATCTCAATCGCTTGAAACCGATAACAATGTCTCGTCAGTCACATCAAGACCATACTGCCATTGGAGATGAGCTGTATGGACTGTCTAGAGATCAGGGTGATCTGCAAGACCTCCAGCTAGCTATCAGTCATTACAACACAGCCCTTACTGAAGATGCCCTTGATTCCCAATGCAGCAGAAGCGACCAACTTTTGAAGTTGGGCACTGCTCTATCCCGGCGTTTCGATCTCGTTGGCGATACTGCTGACTTGGACGTTGCCATCCATTGCCAAGTGTGGCCATTGACCTTCAAACGCCAGACAGTCCTGATGTCCTAATCATGCACGCCAAGCATGCTCAAATGCTCATGAAACGCTTTGAGCTCCACATGAATCAATCAGACCTTGATCTCGCAATTGAGCAATACGCATGCATCTCCGATGAAACCGATCCTACACACAAAACATGGCTGATTGCCCTCGCCGATGCCCTGGTCACTCGTTTTTCCCATCGGGGAAATGTCAGAGACCTTAGCCAAGCTATCTACCTATACGAGTCTGTAGTCAACTTCTATGCCTCCAATGCACCCACTTTTATTCTCGGTAATCTATCCCTCGCGCATTTCTTTCGCTACCAACAGGAAGGTGATGCTTCAGATCTCACATCATCCATCGCCTATTCTACAGAAGCTCTCGATAAGATATCTTCCGAAGATCAAAACCGTTCCGTCCTGCTCAATAACCTTGCAAATGGCTTGCTTTTGCGCTTCAAAAAGCTTGCGGGCGCTGATGACTTGGAGCAAGCCGTCAAGTTTTATGGTTGTGTTATTGAACTATGTCCAGCGGGGCACAAAGGGCGTCTCCATGCTCTTAGTAATCTCGCGAGTGCAATCATGATCCGTTACGAACTACAAGCGTCTCCGGCAGACCTTGAAATCTCCTTGGGTTACTTCCACGAAGCGCTCGAAATCTGCCCCAGAAACCAGCCAGATCGCTTCATATTACTCGATAACTATGCAACTACCCTTCGCAAGCGTTTTCAACACACCGGTGACATGATTGACTTGGAAACAGCCATCAAAAATCATTATGAAGTGCTACATGTCTTGTCACCGTCTCATCCCCATCACTCTGACACATTATGCTCGCTTGGGAACGCCCTCCAGTCCCGATTCGCGTGTCAGGGGGATCCTGATGACCTTGTTGCAGCTGTAGACCACTACAGCGAGGCTCTCCGCCTGCGACCTCCATCACATCCAGAACGCGCTGATTTATTAAGCAACCTTGCCAACGCATCTTGCAAACTGTTCAACGAACAGAGAAACCCTCGTCTTCTTGACCAATGCATCGAGTATCACTCTGAAGCGCTCCAGTTTAGCCCAGAAGGGTTTCGCCGGCCGTTGTTGCTTCACAATCTCGCTTCATCTCTTACTACGCGTTTCCTGTACCACAATGACGCCAAGGACCTGGACCGGGCATTGGAGCTAGGTACTTCTGCATTGAAACTACGTGAAGAGGGCAATGAATACAGATTGTCCACTCACGTCATGCTAGCAAACGCAAAGGGTCTTAAATACGGGCTTGAAGGGGATCATGCCATGCTTCAAGCTGCATTCCAACATCTCGACGAGGCATGCGGTATGTGCACTCCTGGTCACCCATATCTTCTCGACGTTTGGGAAGAGTATACCCGTATCCACCTTCATGCCTACTCCAAGGCACCGCAATCCACAGACCACTTGGAGCAAGCATTTCAGTACTTTAGAGCTGCGTCAACTCATATATCTGGAGGCTCGCTGCCAAAATTCCGCGTTGCGTTACGATGGGTTAAAGAAGCGGAGGCACACAAGCACCCGTCAGCATTGGATGCCCACCAGATTGTTTTGAGCATATTCGACCACCATTTCACGACAAAGCCATCCGTTGAATCACGACATCGCATAGTCCGTGAATACGCAGCCTCTTTGGCCGTAGACGCCGCATCGTGTGCTCTCAGACATGGGCTGGTCACACTCGCCGTGGAGATGCTGGAGCACGGACGAGGTATTTTATGGACATACCTCGCGCGTTTCAGGATGCCACTGGATGACTTGCAGAGCGCCGGTGAACATGGCTGTCAACTAGCCTCTGAGTTTCTAAGGCTGGGTTCCCTTCTTGAAGCCGCCGCGTGTGGTGCTGTGACTGAAGAGGGGTTACAACACTACCGATGTCTCCTCCAGGAATGGGACATCGTGGTAGATCAGATTCGGCTCATAGACGGGTTCGGCGACTTTCTTCTTGCACCGAGCTTCGCTAAGCTTAAGGAAGCTGCAAAGAATGGGCCAGTGATCATCACGAATGCCAGTCAATACTCCTGTGATGCAGTAATCGTCCATCACAAGCACGATCCAATCCACATCCCCCTGCCAGACATCAATACACCTGATATCCTTCGATTGTCTGACCAGTTCAGGTACTTTGCTACCAGTCCCGGCAGAGGACGCTCCATGGAAAGGGCGCTTACTGAGTCATTACGTCAAATATGGGACACCGTTGTCTTTCCTGTAGTCGAAAGATTAGAATCTTCTCTTCACCTTCCCAAAGGTTCGAGGATATGGTGGTGTCCCACCGGTCGTTTCAATAGCATTCCGCTCCATGCGGCAGCGTCGTTGCGGAAAGGCGAGAAAGGTCTACCCAATCTCTATGTTTCATCGTACACACCGACCCTTTCTGCCCTCCTGCGGTGCCAGAAATCACGTCACGTTCTCAACGACAAGACACCGCCACGGGTCTTAGCTATAGGACAGGCAGCACCCACGGGTGGTTTTTCAAAGCTCGGGACGGTTGATGAAGAACTCGATTCACTTCAAAGCATCTTAGCGCCCGCTATTCCGATGACACGAATGACTGGCGAAAGCGCAACATGTTCAGAGTCCCTCCGCGCTATTCATTCAAGCCCTTGGGTTCACCTTGCCTGCCATGGGAAGCAAGATGTGACTCGCCCTCTCAAGTCATGCTTTGCCATGAGCGATGGACCTCTGACGCTCTTGGACATTGTTCGCGCACCATCCAATTCCGTGCGGTGTTCAGAATTTGCATTCTTGTCGGCGTGCCACACCGCCGCTGGGGATCATAAAGCCCCAGACGAAGTTGTGCATCTTGCTGCTGCGATGCAGTTTGCAGGCTTTAGGGGAGTTGTTGGAACCATGTGGGCTGTGGATGACTCCGTCGTGGTCAATATGGTCTCGGCGTTTTACGAAGCCCTCCTCGAAAAATCACCAGAGCGACTGGACTCTGAGCATGCAGCAGTGGCTTTGAATGTAGCTGCAAAAAGAGTGGATAAAAGTGTTGTCCCACTGCAACAAAGGATCTTATTCATCCATGTCGGAATATGACTAGAGAGATACTTAGGGAAAACGTACATACCAGCTGAAAGACTAGATGCAGATACACTGTATTATTTACGACTTCTAGAGGCGACACGTTTGCTTTTTCCTGGCCTCTTACTACCTCCTGTTCCCCCTCGTCCTGCCTTCGATCCATGCCCTCCTCTTTTCCCTGGTGCAGAATCAAAGTTGTCCGTGGAAGCTTTGGTGTTTTGTTTTGACCTCCGGCCTTGACTACCAAAGCCGAATTTTTGATCGCGCGCATTACGCGTCATCTTCTTCCCACCAGGGCCTTTGGCATGCTTAGCAGGTCTGTCAGCGATGGCATCTTCAACTGCGATATCAAATGCATCGCCATCCGCGCCATCAGCCTCAGCATTTTCTAAGGCACCTTTTCGTTCTACGAGGACATTGGTGAGTTGATTGTCTCAGTAGAAATCAAGACGTACTTCTTTTGAGCCCCTTAAGTCGCTCCTCCATCTCCTTCTTGCTACGTTCTCTTTCCTTGAGCTTCTCCATCTGTACCTGCTTGCCAAACTTCTTCCCCTCCCTCTCTCTTCTCTTTTCTTCGGATTTCTTGATACCGGCACGTTCATCGAGTAACCGTGAACGAAGACGCTCCATGTGCGCGTCGGACTTGACCATCTCTGCAAAATAATCTGATGGACGCGTAAAAGGCAGAGAATGAGAGGCAGCAAGCGTGCGGGCAGTATTGGCGGCATGTAGCGCTTGTTTATAGCTAGATGCAAAATGAGTTTTTCTTAACGAAGCAAAATGGAAAAGTGCACTGACAACGCAAGCTCGCGATTGAGGTCGTCATCTACATCGGCCTCTATCACTTCTGGATACGATATAACGAGGGTATCTGTCCATGGTAATGACGGGTCGAGTCGAATTGTCTCTCTTATGCGACGAAGAGCAACCTGGAAAGTCGTGAGTTTCGCATGTCGCTCGACCAATGGATGGACACATACGGTGTTGTCGATTTCGACTTTTTGTTTTGGAACCACATCTTCGTCAATATGACCATCTTCGAGATCATCGAGTGCCACCACCTCTTCTTCATATTCTGAATTATCTGAGCCCGCTTCACTCCCATCCTCAGAGTTTTCTTCGTCTTCAACCTCCTCAACCTCCTCCTCACTGTCACCGGCTGAGCCCTCGTCCAAAGGTGAATGTGCAAGATACGGCCGGTCTGGATGCATGCCTGGGGACTTCAATGTCTGAGTCTAGGATCAGGTGGAGTTATTCAGTCGAACCTTAATTCCTAATTGGGTACTAGGTCTATACCTTGTAAAATTTCAGGTCGCGCGGGCACATTAATTACACGACGTAGACCATCACGAAACATGTATTCATAAGATATATCATAGTAGGGCGGCATCAAGGAAACATGATTTGCTACAGAGTGCCCTGTAGCACAATCCATCCCACTGATCTAGTAGGACATAAACCTAACTCCCGGGCCCATCCTACAGGCGAAGTGCGCAATCTTTCTGGTCTATGCCGATCCGCCAGCTGACCATGGTTATGAAACTGACCCGGACGATGCAAGTATTACTTCCGCAAAAGTTGCACTGCAAGTTGGGGGATATAATATGAAGGTAGTAGAGTCGGTCATCGCCATCCAATCCAAGCCTAGAAAAAGATGTTCCTAAGCGTCATACTAAATGCTTCGGGCGCTCAAAGAGTTCACACACTGTTGCCTTCCTCCATCATGAATGCTTTGGAGATAAGAAGAAATATCAAACGCTTCCGAATACTCATTATTGGAAGAGCGAACGCAGGAAAAACCACCATCCTCCGGAGGGTTTGTAAGACACGGGAGAACCCAGAAGTATACAACAGCGCCGGGAAAAAGGTGCGGTCCATGATACCAGTAGTATTACTAGAATGATCTTAGATTAACCGATGGACATTGGAGTTCAGATAGATCCTGCCGTGTTGATGGCATCTAGAGAGGTAGGGTGTATTCTGTGTTGTTAGTAACATCACTTGACCAGTTTTCAGCGCGGAATGCACGACATCGAGAATGAAATGGTGTTTCGAAACAACCCAGGCTTCGTCTTCCACGATTCACGTGGGTTTGAGGCAGGAGGACAGTCCGAATTCGATAAGGTGAAGGCTTTTATCGCAAGTCGTTCTAAGAAGCCACATTTGTGCGATCGAATCCATGTCATATGGTAATTGAATAATTTTTTGGCGTGCGCTATCTCACATCTGTGGTATAGGTACTGCATTCCGATGGACGAGGATGGCAGGTCTTTCACGGAAGGGGAAGTCAAGTTTTTTTCTCAGTGTGATACTGGAAGCAGTAAGACTTTGTATCTGCTGTTGTGTATCATCGACTCATTTCCAATTGTCAGTCGCAGTAATAGTGTTATTCACTAAATTCGACGCTCTCTACGATGATGAGTTTGCAGAGCTAATAAGCAAGGGAGTATCGAGAAAAGATGCTGAAGCGCTGGCCCCGCAGCATGCCAAAGATGCATTCGTCAATGGGCCACAACTAAAGCTTTTGTACAACTCCAAGGGCAACCATCGTCCTCCAAGATGTCACATATGCCTGCCTGGTAAGTCGACTAATTCTTGAGCTGCTAATAATCAATTCACGGCTTATCTTTGCTCTCCGACATCTAGATATGGACAAGGATGATGCAGACTGCGGGCCACTTATTGAACGCACGGCTGAAACTTTGGATGATGATACACTCAAACAGATGTTTGTCTCGACTCAGCGGACCAACTTGGAGGTGTGCATGAGATATGCAGTCAAATGGTAACTCCTCGAACCTTTCTTATCTGCGACAGAAGATCACTCACCGTGTATTGAGGCCACTTGCACAGCACCTAAACTTCTCTCAGAAAATCTCATCGTGCATATCTGGGAAATCCGACCGCCAGATTGTAAACGAGTTGGGTTTGTGGTTTCCATATACCTCAGTGAGATTGTAGGAATATTTCAAAACTTAGGTTTATATCGGACACTTACTTTTACTAGTAGTGTCTGATCATCTCTGCCAGCATGCTGACTTAAGGCATTCTTGATCCCTTAACAGGATGTGAGTTTGTTGACCCTCTTGAGCTTGAGCCTTGCTGACTGAACACATCCCTGATTTCTTGACAGGCTGTGAGTCTGTTGATCCTCTTGAGCTTGAGCCTCGCTGACCGAACATATCCCTTATCCCTTGACAGGCTGTGAGTCTGTTGGTCATCTGTCAAGCTCTAGCATCGCTGGCTGAATACATCGCTGATCCCTTGACAGGCTGTAAGTGTGTTGATCCTCTGTCGGACTCGAGCCTCGCTGAACAAACATGTCACTGAATCCCTGATAGTCTGTGAGTCTGTTGACCCTCTGTCGAGCTAGAGCCTCGCTGACAGAATGTATCGCCAATCCATTGACAGTCTGTGAGTGTGTTGATCTTCTGTCGAGCTCGAGCCTCGCTGATTGAATCCATCACCGATCTATTGACAGGCTGTGAGTGTCTTGATCCTCTTTCAAGCTCTAGCCTCGCTGGCTGAATGCATCGCTGATCCCTTGACAGGTTGTGAGTGTGTTGATCCTCTGTCGAGCTCGAGTCTCACTGACAGAACACGTCTCTGGCCCCCTGACAGTATGTAAGTGTGTTCCTCCGTCGAGCTTGAGCGTCGCTGGCCGAATGCATTGCCGATCCCTTGACAGTTTGTGAGTATTATCGAGCTTTAGCCTTGCTGGCTGGATGCATTGCTGATATCTTGACAGAATGTGAGTGTATTGATCTTCTGCTGAGCTCGAGCCTCGCTAGCCGAATGCATCGTTGATCCCTTGACAGGGTGTGAGTCTGTTTGTTCTTTGTCGGGCTTGGGCCTCGCTGACCGAACATGTGACTGATTCCTCGACAGTACGTGAGTGTGTTTATCCTCTGTCGAGCTCATGTCTCGCTGACTGAACACGTCGCTGATCCCTTGACAGGATGTGAGTGTGTTGATCCTCTATGAAGCTTGAGCTTCGTTGAATGAGCACATCCCTGATCCCTTGACAGTCTGTGAGTGTTTTAATCCGATGTCGAGCTCGAGCACTGATGTATTGATAATGACAGTATGCAAGTAGATTTATCCTCAGTCATTTCTGCCTTTTGATCAAACTTTAACAGTATTGCTACCGGCCTGAAGATTATGAGATGTGGTCCACGTTACGATCCTCGGCATGTCCCATTGCTCACAGCTCGTTCACATAATTCTCATCTCAAAGGCACACTAGCTCTCTGGGTCATCAACATTGGAGAAAATCATGCAGCTTGGTTCTGGTGAGATTTTGCGCCACATTGCAATGAAACTGCTGATGATTGATCATAAGCTGCTGTTATTGTCTTCGAAAATGCTTTTTATCTTTTGGAACAGCAACGCTTTAGATTGAGACGGGAGACCGTTTCCGTTTTCCCTGTTCGTATTGCCCTTCAGCAGTACATGGCGTCTCCCAATGCAGCTGCTGTGAGGAAAGCCGTAAGCTCTGCCGTCCACGCATATGAAGCAAACCCCTCTCGGTGGATAGCAGGGTCATCCAAACGCTCTCAGAAGAAGGATTTGATCGAGACTATCACTGAAGTTGTTTTACAGCACCGCCTGCGTATGTGATATCTAGTGCAATTGTCACAGTCCCGCTGATATATTCGTATCCAGCAAGACCTGAAGTCTAAGCAACATGACGATCTTATCGAGAACATTGGGCTCAGTGAATTGCGGTTTCCTGACGGGCAGAGGGCATGTTCACCAAGGTGGTTAAGGATATGGAATTGTATGAAATGTATGACCAAGCAATGTGCGGTTTTTTATATCATGGTGGACGCATGTGTGATGGAAAATGTGCTACTGATTTCGTACGATGTTGTGACATTCTTAAAAAGATCTGTATACTTCCATACAAGTTGGCTTGATCTGCGGAGGCATAGGCAACTCGCCAAGGCTGCCATTGTGGTTAGTCGAAGGTGGTGACCGAGAGGATGTAGTTCGAGAGCTAGATTGTGGCTCTCAATTGTGCGGTGCAAATCAGCCATGTCTCCGCATTGTCGAAATCAGATTAACTGTGCATTTCGTATATGATCCTTCCGAATGGACGCAAGCAGTTTGATAGTGGCCAATGGTGAGACCAAGGTCAAATGAATCACCCTGATGTTTGAAATGTGCGAGCAAAATGCCAGCGAGGTTGTTACGTAAATGCAAGGGCATGGCGGGGATGTTCTTGGAAACACATCTCGAGTACAGCTTGATAGTACCTTCTGGCTGTCTCAAAATCAACCACGCCTCCTTTCTGATGAAAACGCTGGAAAAAGTCACTCGCAAGTGTGGAGAATTTGTGATCGGTCAAGGCGATATGTTGTAAGAAGATGAAGCGCTATTAAATGGACCCTCAATAACTTCGCCAATGCCCTTCACTTCTATTTCCACCTGTTTCATGAGCTAGACCACCTCGATTTGGAGCCAAAAGTTCGTGAGGAGATGGTAAGTCGACGATTGTTTGATATTGCTCGATTGCATACTGCATCTTCAGTATTTCTGCAATACTTGAAGCGCGAAAGAAGAGCGCTCGCGTATTTCACCATGCGAGCACATCTGGCTGGGTGCCCGAAAGTACAGGGAGATAGTGCACCAGCGAAGTTATCAAATGACAAGGTGGATGTCATCGAGCATGCCGTCTTCTTTGAAACGAATGAGAAAAGCTGTGGCAAAGTTTACAAGGGTGATCACTCGCATTGGATGTCCAATTGGGCAAAGAGCCAATCCCGCACGGTGACATTCCATGACGCATGCATACCCTGCACGACTGCCCTATTATTGAAAACGCAAGACCAGGGCATTTGCGAGAACGTCCAGTAATTGATTACAACTATCAGAGGACAGATTCGAGATCATGCCCAGCGGCAGTGTGCGATGGCGAAAACTAGGTCTGAGGGGTTAGCTTGCAGAGCCTTCACCCAAAGATTGTGAGCTCGCATCAGCAGCTGAAAGTATCAGTTGACAACATGGTATGGCACTAAAAGATATAGTCGGAGTGTACCTCATTAATCCCCTATGGCGCAGGATCTCCAGATATAGGAAGTTTTGACATCGGTGCAGTGAACAGTCGCCGATGATTGTAACTAGCAAGTGGTAAATCATGATACAAAGGTTAGCATGGAAAATTCACCTCACCACTGCCGTCAGCGGAGTGTAACCGCAAGCGGATTATCTCAACTGACAATGTGAGTTTTGTCTGTCTCACAACATACTACACATGCCATATCGGTGACAGCTTTCGATTTGAAATGGCTGAATCTTCCCAATATCAAGAGCGCATTTCACACACTAGTTGCTCGGGAGTCAGGATCGCTACCATCTTTTCGGGACTGGAAAATGCGTAATTTCTGGCATCCTGACGGAGCGTGTCCAGGGGTTTCTGAGTGCTCCTGAGTCTGAACCTAGCCGTCAAGGAACCAGTCCCACTTTGTATACGGAGGTGCCACAGACTGGCATGATGAGTCACCGTGACTCGTTTCAGACGTAATTTAAATGGCTGCAGAACTGGCAAGACAATATAATATCATCAGCCAAGTAGTCTTGTACACACCGAATGAAGCTCATTAACTTGAACGTTGTCCATACAGGCGTCACTAGCGAGAAGACCAGATAAAAGACATGCTTCCTTCCATAGGAAATAACACGGTAATATGCCTGCAGTATGGAGAATTAGAACGCACCTGTATACTCGGTTGGTTGGTCATCTACTGCGCCAGCTTGAATGATTGTCCCGGCCAAGAGACCACTTGGTCACTCTAATTCTTTCTGACTTTGCTCTGCATTCCGGTCGCCATTCAGGTCAATTCGACGAGTTCCGTACCTTTTTTTCCCATTTCCGTTCGATGGCAGTGCCATCACCACAACATTTGTTCAGATTGCCCATAGGCACCCGTGTTTAAATTTCGTAGCAGCATCATTTGGCCGGATGGAGGCACATTGTCTCAGAAGAAGGTAATATTCAGCGAGAAAAGTAGATGGTACTAGTAGTGGTAGGACAGCGTCGGATCGGATTACATAATGAGGGTCGCGCGGAATGTCGTACTAGTTAAGCGGTTGTCATCTTTCACCAGTCACCTCTGGCAGCTCTGCGGCACGCGACTGCTGAAGTATATATTGTTATTATACTGGCTCAAGTTGACAGTCATTACCATGGTTAGTACCACCACCATTGTCTTCACGATCGACTGTACTGATTCCTCATAGTGACGCAAGTTCAGCGTTACTCGGCATGCTTTTACCAACAGCATTCTATCAAGAATGGAGTTCTTGTCACTCGACCCTTTCAAGTTGTACACACAGGAGGGGTGATCCAGGCGGATCATCAACCAGGGTTCGAACATGGTCATATATGCTTATGCCAGACCGCCATCTGTGAGTGCATTCTTTTGTGCAAGTGCTGGCATGTGACATGACACACTTCGTAATCACTGCGAAGTGGCTCACGATGCCCCCACAGATACCATACATTCGTAGCACTCTGTCAGTCGGCTAGTTTGCGTAGCCCTGTACGTTTTCACCGTTGTCAAGAAATGTCATGAGTATTATGTCTGATAGTCAAATAATATAGGAGGCACACGCAAAGGGTCTTCTTGCGTCACCTATATAACTAATCTTCAACATTTGCATGTCAACCTAAAGATCATCCTTACCCGTTATCTGATAATGACTTCCTGGCAACAACCAGGTGAGTGGAAGCTATGTAGCCAGCATGTTGCATAGTTTTGTTCATCATCTTTTGAAAAGTCCCCAAGTCGATATCGATATCTCATGTTATCGCCATTCTCTGTACCATCTTTAGGCTTGTCTACAGAGGTTGGACGCGTCACTTGTGGTGGGAGGATGCGTGGGCAGCATTTGCACTGATCTCAGACGGTAGAAATTTCGTTATGTGCTGATGATTACATAACCAACTGCCGTGTCCCCAGTTATTTGCCTGCTATGCATCTGGATCCATACCTCGACAAGTTGTGAGTATTTGACTTCACGCTCCAATATCTACCTTACTTTTATGTCAGTCCCGGGATGGACCTTCTCTGTGGCTTTCACCTCCGTCGTATGGTGAGCATCGTAGCTCACTCGGTTATCTTTCTAATCCACTAGTCCAGGGCTGCGCGCATGAGCATCATTTTCTCAATCATCCGAATCGCCAATTCTTCAGGTTACAAGTACCAGAAATGGATCATCTATCTCATCACAGTATCCTTCGCGGGTATGTGGGCTGCGGTATTGATAGATAAGAACGAAACGTGCGTCTTCGTGTGCCAGAATACCAAGCCAGTAGCGCTCTTGCAAATGATTAGTTGGTTCCTCTTTCTGCTTTCTATGCTTGTGGACCTCAAATTATGTTCCTGCAGCGGATGTTGTCGCGGATATTTCCCTCATTATTGCGCCGCTGTTGTTCTGGAAAAATACAGGGCTCTCACGCAACCACAAAATATTGATCCTCTCCCCATTCAGCGCGTCGCTTCTTATCACTGTCATTACAATCCCCCACTCCATAATGCTCCTTCGATCTGCCTCAGGAAAGACGCTCATCATGGCGCATGTCAAGGTATGCATGCACTTACTCGCGTTCCTCTGCAACATCTGACGGAGGTTAGGCCGCCCTCAGTCTCATCATCTGCAACCTCCTGGTGATCGTTACTGCGGCATACCGCGTATGCCGGAAGGGAACACTTGATCCAGACCAAACATTTGGATCTCCCGTAATCTTCACGAGCATTCTCGTGGCAGAAACCCTCGCCAACACGATTCCCATGCAGGACACAACTCGAGAATTGACGACAGGCGCTGACTAGGGAAATAGAAGATGAAAGACGTAAACGTATTTTGCCAAAGAGCGCACTAGCACGGAAGGATTGAAAGCAACATGCGCAAGCACTTTGTCCACCTTACGATGCGAGGCTTTTTTTATATAAGTGGGTTTTGATGTATTATTTAGTTTACCTTTTTCCCGGCCGTTGTGTGCAGCGCGAAATCATATGGTTTTTTTGGGTCATCATCATCAAGTGCCTCGTTCTTCAGTTTCCCTGCCAGGCAATTTCTCCAGGTGCAATCCCATTGCGATATCGCCTTGTCCATGCCACAGCTGAATATGAAACAAACGTCCATTCATCGTACTGCGCAATCATGACGCATTACATGAACGCCGCACATGACCTGCTCCCACAGCACCATGCAAAAGAAAAAGACAACCGGGGCATAAAATGGTCCTATACAGCCTCATAACCAAGCGCATGTCAAGGCACTTCCTCCACTGTACCAAAAACAGATCATCTGATTTCACAAGATGCAAATACAGCACGAGCGAGGATCATCGTACATACATCATAGCACAACGATTATCGTCCAGAAGCAGCAACATATGAATCCAACGGTGCTGCACGCTTCTGTCAGGACAAAAAACTTTCGTCAATGGACAAACGACCGCTCTGCACCCCTAATGTTCCCAGCAGACTCATGTAAGAGCAGCACAAATACGCCGGTGATGGCATATACGACGACGCTCGTCCACACTGGGATCCCGCGGTTCAAGACTAGAAGTACACCACCGAGCAGAGGAGCAATCATTCCGCCTCTGAGATCGATGAATATAAGTTAGGTTTTGTTGTGGTAACAATCAGACGACGATACATACATTCGTGATAGCGCGGATGCAATGCCACATGCTGTTCCCCGGACCTTGGTGCCGAATATTTCTGGTGTCCAACTAGAAAGCGTCAGTACTATGCACTCATATCGGGAAACTACTGGGTCGTACCCATATAATACAGCATACATGGTCTGTATCAACTCTGTAAGAACAAGGAACAGACATTCCAAGAAGAGTCACCCACCGTCGCACTAAGACTGATCCCCACCGAACTCACGCGCACCAAAAGCGCGCTTCTGACAAGCACGAATACGACACAGAAGAACGCCGTAACAAACGTGGTCACAGCCAGCGAGCCCCGCCGACCAAGAGGACTTTCAACCATATAGGCTCCAAGCTGCAGTCGACCGTCAAGCATCAACACATTATGTGAACAAAGCAATGGAAGACATACGATGGCACCGGGACATCCTCCCAGCGTAAATATTAAAACATCCCACAAGCTATGTTCTAGAGACTTGGTCGAAGTATCATCACTCGACCCAGTTTCGAGCAGCTTGGGGAGGTAGACATTAAACATCGTGTAAGCTAGGACTCAACATGAGATGCTGATGCTCCACATGGTCATAGAAAACTCACCTAATGACATAAAGAACCACACGCCCCACATGAGTACCGTCGTCCGGAACCACTCGGGGGCCAAGACCATGCCGACACGGTCTAGCCATGCAAGCAGTGGTCGACGCGCCCATCTAGGCAACACGCTCCCAACACGCTGTTTCATCTCAAAAGACATTACAGATGACGGCCGTGAGTGTATAATTTTTTGGCCAGACCGCGGGCGCGCTTCGGGAGTGGACAAAAGGACTTTTGGTTCGGACACTGAGTCTCGAGAGGAAGAGTGAGAGTGATGCCCGCGCGCAAGGCTTTGTCCGCGGGCAGGGACCTCGCCAACGGGAGTTATGAACAAATGTCCATCTAATGCATCGTGAGTAGCTTCGTCCATCGACTGGTAGACTTTTGTCGCGTTCTGATCGCTCGAAGTGCTGCTGCTATCTGCACATGCATCGAAACAACGTCTCGCTATTTGTGTGAGGATCTTGGGAGTTGGAGTTAGGGAGGAATGGTACGCGCTCCCCTGCAGACGCGTGTGCTTCGGAGATGGGTGGAGGCCTGTCATCGACGTCTTGTAGCTCTATTGGTAACTCGGAGCCATTGAACCTGGAAATGAGCTGGAGACTTTCTAGTGCTTCTTGGTGACGACCAGCGTGTACGAGGTACCGCGGAGACTCGTGCAATCGGAAGAAGACCATGCGTGCGAGAAACATCGAAAGTGTCTGTGATGATCAAGGTCGGAGACAGTTACAAATTATCTGAGGAGGACATACGATGACACCAAGGGATACGAGCATGAATTTCCAGCCTGTATTCTGAGTAACGACATCGCAGGGCTTGTTAGGGGGACATGAACGAGAAGGGATGACTATTAATGCAACGCCCGCGGATAGAACGGAGCCGAGTGAGAAAAATACGGAAAGAGCCGTGACGAGATATTGCTTCCCGTTAGGCATATGTTCGAGAAGAAGGGTGCCATCAGTTGGCATTGAACCCTAAATCGTAGACGCCCAATAATAAGTCAAGGAGGCCATCAAGATGGAATATGAAATATTAACGTACACCAACTGCGCTACCAAGGAAGAATAGGAGGATACACAATGACGAAAACGACCATGCAAACGACGAGAGGATACCGAATAACGCGGTGAAAAAGAGTGTCGCGTTAAATGCAGCACTGCGCCCTAGGAGGTCGGAGCAGGTTCCCCAGCCCACAGCACCGAACATCATGCCGGCGAACATGGACGATGAAAGAGTCCCGATGTAGTTGTCAGGAACTAGGCGAGGGTTATATGATAACCCACTGTGGGCATGAAGGGAATTTACCTGAATAATGTTGTTGTACTCTAGGGAGAATTATTGCAACAGCTTGAATCCACATCTGAGCGATATGTCAGAAAAGTAGGGGATGGTTCCGTGAGCTACTCACATTATCTGCCATCCATCCTGGTGGAACGTATCATGATTAGTTATGATTGACAGGAATATTGTCGAATGACGAGAAGTGGTACTCACCGAACCCGCATAATGACAGCAACGTCCATTGATAACTCCCTGCTCGATGTCAGTACCATTTCAGAAACGCGAGAGCGCTGGGACGCACCCATCCCAATCCTATCAATAGTCTTGTCCAACGGTGTCCGTTTATCATACTCAACATCCTCGAAGTCATCGATACCCTGTTCCGTGTCCTCAAAATAGGTCATCCTGAGATCCGATGCGCGATGGGTGACAGAAGCCATTTTTAGCTGCAGGTGTGAGGGCTTATATATTTAGGACTGATTACGCGAGTAAGACGCTGGCAAGTTACGAAGAGTTGTTGCTATATTCGATAGCAGTGTTCACTGCACTCTCGATGGATGAGATGACGGATGAAAGATGTAGAGCGAGTTGAACAGTGCAGATAATATATACCATTCAAAACTTGATTTCATTTCAAACTGGAACAAGCCAGAAATCGACAGACTTTTATCATGCCTGTAACTACGTTCCATAGCAGTCCATCCATCTAGGGTAGTACTGGACTGACAGTCCGAGAAATGCACTAGTACATTCAGGCTGCACTGTACGCCGGCAATTCTTCCTCATCTCCAACATCATCTCCAAGTTTCCTCACCTGTCTATCCACCCTCCACCTCCACTCATTTCCTTCCAGCCACTTGAAAGACGTACCACCAAAATTTACAGAGACGTCACACTCCCCAGACACACCCACAGCAGCATACACGTCGATCCCACTACGGTTCTGCAAATATATACCCGTAAACGCATCCGGCAGGCGTTGACCGTCGATAGTGAAGAACATTGTACCTGTACAGAAAGAATACCCGCATCCGATTGTGTGGCCAACGACAGACGTAATGGGTGGAGAGTCTGGGAAGCAGGGACGCCCGCCCTCTGGGTCCTCGAAGAATTTGTGGAAGTCGTCAAGGTGAAGGCCCGCGCTCAATCGATTCCAGCCTGGGAGCCTCCATGTTGGGTACGGTCTGCAAGCGGTTCCTGACGGACAAAAAATGAGGTGAGGCGGAAGAAGCGAAAATATGCATACCAATTGCGATTACGCCACCTTTGGATGGGTCTGTCATTTTGTTTACAGTGATCTCGAAGTACACTCCACCATCATTCGGAAAGTGATATTGACCAGCGACGATTGGCAGGTTGCTGAGGAGACATGTATCTGGGCAGCCTACTCTAGAGCGTATCTGCGAGAGTCCGCCCTTCCCGTCTGAGTTATAGGCTACGGCGATAGGGGAAGAGTCGTGAGCCTGGATTCGCCATTCTAAGCACCCATTGCTGTCGATGTCCGCGAGGGTCCGAGAGGGTATAATTATTGACGATTCAACAGGATGTCTTTCACAGAACTCGAGGGCTTTTTCGTAACTTTCATCTGAGGCTTCGTTCAGAAGACCGTATGTAAATGATCGTTCTATTGCAGGTGCCCATTCAGGAGGAGCACCTGGCGGACCCTCTGGGTGCTGGCGAGCACGTCGCTGATGGTGTTGTTTGAACCAGTCCATGCAGTTTAGAGTTGCGGATGTACGTACAATAGGAGTTCTTGTATCGCAATCTGAACAATCGTGACGGAGTTTGAAAACGGATGGTTGGACTATAATCACAAGAGAGACTCGGTGGCGATTCTGGAACAGGGCAATTCAATATCCGTAGTAGTGCCAATTGTAAAGCAACGATTTTGAATTGCATTTGCCGAGGGAGACGATGCTGTACTGGGTCACCAGGAGTAAGGCCTGTCTAATAGAAATCGAATGCGATGAAAATGTAATAAAATGGTGTGCGTTAGGCTCGGAGCTGCAATCGAGAAGAGGAGATTATGTAAGTCATGCTTTCACGTTCAGCTCTGCATCCGACTCGTCGGTTACTCTATTCTCGCATGCACAGACCGTGGGGGTAGCCACAGGGAGTAGCTGAGGTATTACTCATACCATGTGAGGCAACGTGCGTAGTAGGAGGTGCGTGCTTTTACGTTTGAGCCTATGCTTCGGAACTGTCAGAAACCTAATTTGTTCAAGTTCACTGGCAGTGTAGACTGTGATCATTGCTAGCTCATCGACAAGAAGAGTACCGCTGACGTGGTGGGGCGACTTGTAATAAGGCCGAATCTATGTTGCGTTAGTTTCAGTTGTGTGCAGTGTAGTACCACGGTGACTATGACCACTCTAAACGAATACGGCTTACCACATTCGTCAACAGCTACCCGCGCGCGCGAATCGCGATAGGCATGGTCACCAGATACAGTCTGATACAGCTAATAATAATTTCGCAGTCATCCGTAGACGTATTAGAAGGCGACTTTCATCACATGCACTGTGTGCCTCGTGCTGTATTACAGTGACCGTCTCAACTAATGTCGACGTCTGGTTTCACCTTGCGTGTGGGTGCAGACACAGACAGTTAGCCTAAAGTTAGCTAGCCAATGATAAAGCTGATCAATGTCCTCTAAGCCGCCATACCGGGTGTTCATGTTAGCTTTAAAGGAGGTGCCACGTGGGATAGTCAGTTCCTGTGAACTGCCCTTAGCAGCTAGTCAAGTGGCGATGATCGAACGCCTCATTATCGGAATAACTTCACTATCATAATGAACTGCACTTTCATCCAAGTCGTTCCCTCGTTCCACCATGATTCCACGGCAGGATGATGAGGAGACTCCTCTTCTGCAACGACCAGAGCCATCAACAGCCTCTAGAACACCTCTACCATGGGATCAGTTTTCGATCGTACTGTTCTTGGAGATGTTAGATCCTCTCTCTTCTGGTACCCTTTCCCCGTTTATTCCCGAAGTGAGTATATTCCATTTACTGGCATTTATATCTGATCACAACCTGCAATTTTGTCAAGCTCATTAGACACATCGGGGTGACTCACGGAAACGAGTCCCAGGTTGGTCACTATGTCGGCATCCTTGTAAGCATGTCTTCATTGTTACTGCCCCTTCATTCGTTTCTGATACCCCCCGAGCAATCATCATACTATGTAGCTCATGCACTGACTATCTTTCATTGGAGTCAACTGTCCGACCACATCGGGCGGAAACCCGTGATACTCATAGCTCTATTAGCAATTTCTCTTTCGATGTTTTCGTTTGGGATCTCGAAAACCTTTCTTGATCTGGTGGTCAGGTCAGCGTGTTCAATCAAATATAAAATAGTTATTGTGATCATCGATTACTGATATTCTTGACCAGTCGTGTTATCTGTGGAGCATTCGATGCAAGCAATGGTATCCTCAAAACCATGGTGATGGACATCACTGACGCAACTAATATGCCTGAGGCATATGGCTATGTACCAATTCCGTGGATGATCGCAAACACAGTTGGGTAAGCATACATCACATTTTTTGTCACAGAGGTTCACAGCATCTAGACCAATCATCGGAGGATCGCTCTCCCGACCGGCAGATAGATTCCCTGACATCTTTGGGCGATCAGAACTCCTGAAAACCTACCCATATCTCCTGCCATGCTCTATTTCGGCATTTGTTTCATCAATAGCTTGGCTAGTCACGTATTTTCGTCTTAAAGAGGTGAGCGTGATACTGAAAACCCATCTCTGGATCACACTAAGTGTGGTTACAAGAGCATTTCTATCAAGGCACCACTTTGGGAACTGATTAAAGGAGGATTTTCCCGACAGCCATCGAGCGATGTTATAGTCAATCCTGGAGAAACTCAACCAAAGCCTCTTCCGCTGCGTGCCTTGCTGACCTCGAAAGTTTCGAGCGTAACAGTGAGCTATGGCACCACAGCCCTGCTTCACATGTCGTTCATGTCCGTCCTACCTGTTTTCTATGCGACACCGATCGAACTTGGCGGTCTCTCCCTCGAACCTCCTCGCATCGGCGTTTTACTTGCGGCACAAAGTGTCGCACATGGCGTATTTCAGCTACTTTTCTTCGCTCGTTTACATGATCACTTCGGTGCAAGAGCTATCCATGTCACCGGCGTTAGCTCCGGCATACCTATCGTCCTTCTATTTCCAGCGATCAATGCTCTAGCTCGAGCCTATGGGATAGGTATGGCGGTTTGGCTGTGTGTCGCCCTCCAGCTTATGCTGACGATCAGCCTGATCATGTGCTACCGTATGTCATTCCGACACTTCAGACGTCTTACTTTACTGAGAAGTCATAGCTTGCATGACATTGTTTGTCAGAGCCGCCGCTCCCAGTCGCGCTTCATTTGGAGCAACCAATGGAATCGCCCAGTTGGCTGTCTCAGCAGCAAGGATCATTGGCTCGGCGTCTGCAGCTTCGGTCTTCTCTTATTCATTACAGGAAGGGCATGATGCGTGGTTGATATACTACTTCTTGATCATAATTGTATGTCTCGCAGTTGGTACCGCGCTATTACTTCCCCGTAATCCTGCTGTATGGGAAGATTACGAATGATATTATCGATGGCTATAGCAGGGTTACGTAGGATATTGTCAAGTTCTCCCGACTATAGTAGAATTAACGGTAAATAGACTACGCACAACGAGCATTCCACAGTCACGTAGGGGAACAGGAACCCGACTCGGAGACGACATACGGGTAACAAAGGGAGCAGAGTGGTGTTTTCCTTCTGGTAGCGCAAGCCCACAAGCAAACAGCGATTTGAAACAAATGAACGAGCGTCAGTTGACAGTTGAAGGTCACGCACGGGGTCTGCTGAGAGTATATGCGAATCATCGCACCATCTGTATCGTACAACATACATTGAAGTATCATCATAATCAGGGACTACTAACTCCTTTACTGCTGACCGATTTCTCAAGCATCTCGCTGGCTACAGTCCTCAACTCTTTCACAGCAACAGCGAGACCCTCTCCCTGCTCTGAATATCGCCTCTCCAGCAATCCGAGAACATAATCCACTTTTGTAATCAAATACTGGAGTCCATAAGCAATATGCATATACTTCTTCGTGCCTTCCACAAGGACGGGGAGGAACTCGAAAAAGCGTGCATCGTCGATTCTCATGATAGAGCTAGTACCGGACCATGCATCGCTGATAATGTTCCACCACTGTCCTGTGATGAAATCGAGCGATGTAACTGACAACTGTTCAGGTGCAATTCGGAGGAGGATGCCAGCCAGGTAAAATGCATGTGGCCCGAAGCGGCAATGTGCGATAATGCCAATGCATCGATCTATATGGTGATCCCTAAACAAATGGGGGTGCCACTTGGAATTCCTCGCGAGGGCAAAGAGCAGTTCGAGATAGCACAAGTCGCGGTCATAATGAAAGAAGGGGTCAGGACCATCATCGGAGAGTGTTGCATCATCTGGTTGGGGACAAGCCGCAATCAGGATAGCGGGGGAGAGCTTCGTCAAGATCATATCTCGCAACTCCACATCATGAATGGCATCAATTGAGGCAATTTCTTCTCGAGCATTGCGAGCCGCGCGGAGAGCGACATGGCGTGAATGGTGAGGCATGTAACTGCCCATGCAGGGAATGAGGGTCTTGAAGAACTGATGATATTTAGCAGGGCTGCAGCGCACTTTCATGACATCCAACAACAAAAGGATGTCAAATGCCGTTTCCTCGTAGCCAAAATAAATGTACTCGAGATAGTCCATCAGCCAGTCAAGGTCTTCTGGCGAACGGGAGTCGCCTGTTTCTGAATAATGGCCATACCACAAGTGGGCAGGGTCCCGAGATACTTTGGCAGCAATGAGCGTGAAGCGCAGTGCATTTTGCAGAACTTTCGACAATTTCCAGGAAGCATATGGTCCGGATGACCCGAGTCGTAAATAAATCTTCTTGCACACGTCCAGGTTCCGCATGGCGTTGGATGAAGGACCACCACGATAGTGATCTTTGGCAGGTTCAAGCACAAGACAAATGATATTGAGGAGTTTCCATGCCCTGCGTGTGACTTCGTCGAGATCGCCTCCATTTCATTCCCAGAGAACCATTTGGAACTTCTCCAAAAGGGCATCTACGAATCGAGGCAAGCCAGAACTACACAATCTTTTTGTTAGCCACAGCAGAAGAAGTACCAAATGATTCAATGGCACCTTTTATCGATACGAACTATGTCCTTGTCAAACTGAACCCCGACCATGACGCAAGCAAGAAGAGTGCAATTAGCCACGATTTGATTCGACGGGAAGAATGGAGAGGATAGCAGTTTTGATATCACATTTATGGCGAAATCTTCTGTAGTCCGATCCACTCGCCTAGTGACAAAGTGGTAAGAAAGGGAATGCGACAGCCACTCCGTGACAGAGTTTGGATAATCATACGACTCGGAATACCCAAAACGTTCACTGTCATCGTCATTTCCTGGAATGCAAAGATTCATAGTCATGGTAAGCGCCAGGTCGTTGGCTTCACTTATGTCACCCAGTTTCATCCTGGAGAACGCATCGTGATCTGTTCTCCCGCGACCAAGAAATTCGACACGGTCAGGATATGCTTGAAGAACCCGGTTATAATATAGCTGGATCATAGCCATTATACAAGCTGAGGCCTTCTCCTCCAATGACGGCATAATGTTCCCATGGAAGCCGACGCAGTTTGTGAAAGTATCATACAGCTGATGCAGCGTGTCTGAGACGTCAAGATCCAGGGGCCACTCGACCTGCGGAACAAGGCTGGCAGCGGCGAGAAACACTTCGGGATCCGTAGAGGTCTCGAGCAGCCACTTGATGCTAGGTGCTTCGAGATTGCTGGCGGGTATGTCAGGGAGGGTGAGGGCGTATTTATTCTCTAACGAAACATAAAAACTCTGGTTGAGCGCTTGTGCTTCTAAGTCCAAGACCTTTGTCGAAAAGCGCGAAACAACAGAACGCAGCCAGTTATGAAGCGTGGTAATTGACTGCTGAAGAGATCGTCGTGCGAATGTGCCAGCTGCATGGACAGGGCCTAGAAAGTTAAATAAGCACTGAGTATCTTTGTAATAGTAGATTAGGTCGTCACCTATGAACACTTCAGACAATTGGACCCATCCTGATCTGATGATATCAAACAATAGCCCCAGCACACCTGATATGAAACGGGTCAAAACCTGTGCACATGAAAAAAGACATGACTCACCGTGCAGTGAGATCATGAGCTGCCAGGAATAACTGGAGAGTCTTTTGAACACCGGGCGTACAACCTCTGCAATGCTGATTCAGACAGGAAACCACCACCAGAATTCAGTAAAATGATCTTACTGTCGACGTGAATCATGCGCAACATCGTCGATATCGGCGTCTGAAATGGACAGGCAGGAGATATCAAACATGCCATCAGGGTCAGGGAATAAAACAGAAATCCAAAGATTGTCGTTGCAATGATGACCCGGGCGACACTCGGCTGCTCGTACCAGATGTTGGCGCCGAGGGGGATCCCAAAAAGAAGAAGTGAGATTTGAAGTAAGACCGGGAAGGATTGCACAACAGCATCAAAATACCATGTGACGAGGCCGTCGAACTTCTCTTGCCTGGGCTTGCCCCGCTCCTCCTGAGAGCCCCGGCCGTATCTGTTCGACTTGTAGTACCCGAGCCACTGCTTGCCCAGTACGGCCCCGAAGGCAGCGAGCAAGCTCATGGACAAGCTTGCGTATGCGATTGTTTGGATCCACAGGGTGGGCGCGTTCGGCGACCATGTAGATCCTGGGTCTGCGGGCTTGGAACCCGCTGCAGCGAGATTGCCCAGACCGATTTGAACAAGTTCCTTCAAAAGGGCATTCGTGGTATCGCTGGGGTCGGGACTGAGATTAGACTCCATGGCGACAATGAAAGATGTGCTGACAGCAGAGAAAAGACCAGACTAATCCAACATCAGTCTCAAAACGCATCAAAGATAAGCATGCTAAACTTACAAAGATCAAGACAATGTCCACGTTAGTAGTGTATCGCTCGAGGAACTCGCTGTCGTGTTCCTCGCGACTCGTTTGTATACCCCCCAGAAACGAGACCGATTGTCCTTGCCACTCTTCAACGCAATTGTCGAGTCCTTGAGAACATCCAATACTTGTTTCATGACATCTGCTCTGCGTGTAGGATGTGGTCAGTTGTAATTGCTCTGCTCGTTTTTCACTCACAATTCGCTTAGCGTGGGCTCGTCCTTCGCTGCCTCGCTGAGACAATTGAGAAGCATGTTTTGATAAAGATGAGAACTTACGGAGGTAAATCGCCAACTGGTGCAACATTGGGAGTGTTTTCCCGTACCTGAGGTCCCGGCGACTGTAAAGATCCAGTATTGGAGCTACAGTTCCGGTGAGGAGCGAAACAGCAGCATCAGGGCAGAAATACTCACATTACTGATGGCAGCTCCACCGAAGGCTCATAATTTTTCTCCCTGTCTTGTTGTCAGATGGCAAGCGGACTTCTAGATAACACGGCTTACATTTCTTTAGGTCCTACATCATCGTTCTTTGGAGAAGGCTCAGCCGAGTCGTTGTGAGTGTGCTGATTCTCGGCACCGTTGATGGATTGTGACATTAGACTAGGCAACTATATTGGATCCCAAGGAAAGGGTCTGAGGCGAGTGGACAGAGCAGAGTGGTGATACACAGCCTTACACATGTCAGAAATTCCTAATCTAGCTTTCAATGCATTACAAAGCATTGAAATTTTTAAATACAAACTGCTGCTTGAAATAGATTTTAATGATAGAGTGCGCCTTGTAATGGGCATTGCAACCGTCATTGCAATGCCAATTGTAATGGTAATTGAAATAGGTTTAAATCAATATTAGTCATTGTAATGGACTGTTTGTACAGCAATCGGTCGTAATGATGCCCCCATGTCACCACTTCTTGGAATACTGGACCTTATCTTACAAGCCCCTTTTTCTATCTTTATTAGGTCCTGTTATGTTATATTAGTTAGTTTACTATCTTATCTGGTTTGTGTTAATGCTTACCTTGTCTATTATATAGTCTGTACTTGGCAGGTTTCGAATGCTTGACGTGTAGTAGTTATTAGCTTAAGCTTAAGGTCACATGATACTTAGGACTTACCACGACAAAACCATTAGGCTAAAGGGTCTTTTTATATAGGGTAACTTGATTGTATTTGAACCATCATTTTTGGCTAATACCTAAGGCAATAGCAAGTAGCATAGACTAATAAGATTGGGTGCGCGCGAAAGGCAAATCAAAGATGTAACATTACAAATGAATGAAATGAAAAAAGACTAGTATATCTACTAATAGTATCCTAAGCAGCACGAGCACTGCGTCGAACACCTGTAGCTGCAGGCTTCTTTGCCCTAGCCCTTCCTCTCCCTCTCCCTCGAGCTGGTGGCTGTTCCACATCTGCATCCTGTACTACAACTGTATTAGTAGCTGCTGGAACTGCCGCATCACCCTGAACAGTAGCTCGGAAAGTAGCACTGAGAGTGGAGGTGGTACTAAGTGACGAAATAGTGCTGAGAGCGGCGGGAGGCTGTGCCACCTTGACAGTGTTGGAATGAAAGGCAGTGGTACTCTGGACTGCGGAAGATGTTGGAGTAGGTTCAGATATATCTGACTTGGTGTCGCTATCAATATCGAGTGCGTTCATTGCGTGAATGACTTCGCTGGAGTGATCTTCTTGAGTGGCTGCAGGAGTAGAAGATTTTGCAGAGCCGAAAACTGCTCGGTCGATGTTTTGCACAATGGTCTGGATGCGGCAGCTGTCCCACTTGGTGAGCGAGAGTTTCTTGTAGTGAAAGAAAAGGTCCTTGTAGTTGATGCCAGAGGACTTTCCTGTGCCCGACTTCTGAAATTCAGTATCGGGTGATAGCAAAAAGATTGCCTGTAATAGTATCGACTGAGTGAGAACATTCGACATAGCATAGATGACTTACAATGACAGCAGCCCACGCAATAGATCTTGGCGTAACATGTTCAAGGTTCCACTTTCGGGTGTTGGTCTTTGGTCCACCAGTGGTCTCTTGATGAAGCGAAGTAACACCGCGAAGTGCAGCCTTCAGAATCTATTCAGAGATATATCAATGTCACAAATTGGAAGAAAAAAACACATACCTTAGCCAAAAGTTCCCAGTTTCCGAACACAGTCTTCAAGGTAGGGTCCTCTTGCATTCCAAGGAACAGGACCAGCGGAAATGTCTTGTACTTCGGATTTGTCGCTGACACTCCAAGCATTTTCTGTATGTCTGCGACGTCGGCTCTGCAGTACTGGGTATTGCTGAAGTATACTCCCGGAAGGTCAAATATACTGCCCGCAATGCTACATAGTTTGTTGATTTCTGATGAGCGAGCCTCGGAGATGGACTTCATTACCTGGAGGATGATTGTTAGTTCAACAGTTAGTAGCAAAACATGTAATACGTACGAGATCGCTGAAATACGAGCTTTCCATAACACTGTGTAAGCGACTAGGGAAGTGTTGATATAGCTCGTCCAAAAACGCCGATTCCTGGGTCATTGCTGTCAAGTATCGGTCTCAGCTGTTGAATGGTGTTGGGTTCTCGGGACATTGCATGCTGAAAAGGTCGGTGTTGGGGAACATTTCAACAGTCATACCGTATTTACGAGCATAGAGTGTGATTGTTTGTTCGTGGGCCAGGAGTTCGTCGGGAGCTTCTGTGCGACATTTGTGTTTAGGCTTCTTGGCAACGAGAACCTTGTTCTCCTTGCGAAGAGTGCAATTTTCCTTAATGAGCTTCTGAACCTGGATTTGCAGCGCCTTGAGTGCCTGGAGTGAGAGGAGAGTTAGATAGGTAAATCAAGTAGTTTAACATCTAAAACTTACGTCCATGAAGTCTCCCTTCGAGGTGTTTGGCCTCGGAATTGCAACAGATTCAACATTGGACTCTGCATCCCATTCACCGTCTGAGTCAGACGTGTTTTGAGAGAAATGAGACATGATGCTAACTAGATGCAAGGAGATGAGAAAACAGTCAGCATGACAGCGCAGTATATAAGGTAAATCATCATGCCTCGTGCTTGATGCAGCCGAAGTTGTAGCAATGTATCAGCAGTGCCAAGAAAAAATGTGCCTACTCTTTGACTATCAATTATGAAGGAAAGCGTGATAGCCTGGAAGTGACCTTTGATACAACAAATGAAATCAGCACTGCAAAGTAATAATCAGCGTGTCATGTCTAAATCATAGGCTGGGATATTATGTCTTGAGCTCCTCGTTGATGGGATATGCACCAGGATCTAGTACAAGAGTAGGATAGCCTGCCACGATGCTCAGAATGGAGTAGGCGAGACGTTGTCTGAGTGGGCTCACCTGAAGCGGAAGATCTGTAGATGCTGCAGCCAGCACAAGATTGCCAAGAACCTCGTGAAGCCAGCCATCGGATCAGAATGAATGCAGTGCCGGCTCTTCAAGAAGGTCAGTCTGAATCACCAATGAGGCAACTCACCTTGAGATCCTTGACTTCCTCAGAATCATTTTTGTCATCTTCATCATTGACATTGACGACCACATCATCTCCACTCCTCTTCCTTGCGCTCATGACAATCTTCCTCAAGCCAGTGCATCACTTTTGCTTCCAATACACCCTCAACCCTCCATTCACATGTGCCCTCCAACCAGGTGAGCCCATCAACAACAGTTGACAAGGAAACGGCACAGCGCACAAGTCGGCTCCATCTCTTGCTTGTCTCCCCACACAAACTCTCCCTGTGGGAGTAACCATCCTCTTCGTTATCTTCATCTTCGATGATCCCATCAGTTAGCTGACTGCCTTCTTCCATATCCAGAATCTCCACCTCCACCCGCCTTTCTTCTCCACTCTTCCAGTATCCACACTCAAAGACTTTGCAACTGATCCACTCCATCCCACGAAGGCACCAGTCCTCGGAGAGAGGCGGGGCATAACCACTTGTCAGCATCGCCCACCACTCACTGCCAGTAGCTGGGATATCCAATCCCTGCGCAGCAAAGATATCGTGGGGAATGGTGGCAAAAAAGCGGGCAAGATCATGCCAAGGTATCGAACGTTCCATTATAGAAAGTGTCTCTGCATGTTTTGTGATGGTAGCCAAGAAGGTGAGTAGAACTGTGAGATAAGGATTGAGAGTTGAGCGAGAAAAATGTGTGGCTTTTCGCATCGGATTGCGGAGAACAAATGAGAGCATTGAAAATGCAAGTTCCAACGCTAGTTTGAATGCCACTGGCAGCTCCACAGGCATGTTTGTGTCTGATAGAGCTGGAGATGCTTGTGAGGTGTGGAGTGCATGGGTCCAGAGATGAATGATGATATTGTACTTGGTTTGGATTGCCCGGTGCGAGGGAGATGATTATGCATCATCTCAGCGAGTCTGTACCTATTCAATCAATGATAAGTATGGTGAAAACCAGAGAATGACTTGCTGTTTAAGGTCTGAGATCAGCTTTGTCCATTTGTGCTGCTGGAGATCTTCGTCGCTAACTTCGTGTCCTCGTCCTTGGAGAATGATGTGACCTTCATCTATGAGATCATTGGGGTCTTCACCTAATATCTTTGTTTCTAGGGTGGATATGCTGTGGTACGGCCTGGACCTTGAAAGCTGAACCTGATCGCAAAGGCTGGTTTGCATGGGGTGCCATAATTGAGGAAGGGGGAGCTGAGCTGCTAGTATAATCAGTGTTCTGTGACATATTGATAAAAGTTAATAAGACGTACCTTATAATCTGGTAATGAAATATCTGGTAGGAGCGACAAAAGGATTGGTCAGATTAAGTAGCAGTCGAGAACTCAAGGTGTCCATGATGGCGGCCAATGAAGCAAAAAGGTTCTCATTAAGACAAATGATCAAACACGCACAATGTGCCCTGCCTCCAGATGCATCATCTTTAGGCAAAGAAACATGTCAGTATCTGCAGTATCGACTACGAAATAATCAGAGGGTCCATCTGGTACCAGAAGGGCCCCACGTATGAATGATCTAACAGAAAAAAACTGTGCCTGTGCTCAGTGGTCTTGCGCGAACTCTGAAAAGGTTGAGATCCTTGTCCTTTTGAGTGCGCAAACCAGTAGGAATGTCAAAAGGGTGAACAAGAGCCAAGGGAAACATATTATTCCCAACCAGACATTTAAAACAGAAGATCAGACGGCCTGAGAATGACTTTATTCTCTGTCAACCGGATGAAGACGCAGTCGAAGCGTGGCGAACCAAAGAAATGGGGGTTGCAACGAAGGTAATCTGTATGTTGACACCAATCAACCATTGATTCACAGTTGATGCGTATGAAGCGGTGCTCTGTAATTTGTGTGTAGTATGTCAGCAGCAGCAAAAAATGAACTAAGACAAACATACATACCTCATCAGTTCCTCAGAGATGAATGTGTTTGCCTTCAGGCAATGGTATGCTTGACGAGGGCAAAAGAACATTTAGAAAATCGTTGAGCTTGACACGGAAGTTACTGAAGGCCTGGTCTGCTTGATGAGCCATCTGAATTGCATCAAAGGTCAGTGGAGGTTGCTTTGATCCCAGTTTCACATGAAGGTAGTTGCATGTTGAGATAGGGCGATCAACGACAGTGGCAATGAAGTCTTCTTCATCCAATTGGCGTTGATGATCGTCAAATTCAAATAAGCAGTGGCGTATATGATCTGCAGCCACCTGCCACGTATTAATACGGAGAATCTGTCAAAGTTGAATCAAGTTGTGGTATTATAATAGATCATTTTCTTAAAATTGAAACACACCTGTTCTGCTACGTCACGAAAGTTTGTGCGCAGAAAATATGAGTCCTTTAGCGAGCCATGCATCTTCTCGTTCGGCTTGGTATTGTAGTTTTGTGTTGCTCCTTTTGCCTCGACATCGTCAAAAATGTGTGAGCTCATGTGCAACTTCGGAAAATTCCAGTTCTTCTCACTCTCAACTGTTTTGTTTATATATTGCTAATAGAAATTAGTTGCCTATTGAAAGAAGTAAATAGTAAATGAGACATACCCGCAAAAGAGCTGCAAATGCAAGGTGTGTGTGTCGGCCACTGCTTATAGTCTCCGTCGTGTGAACCTCGAGCGAGGCATACATATTGAGTTCGAGGTAAAGTCGGACACAACGAAGGAGCAGGTAACCGAGAGGACAGTCTGCCTCTGTCAATATATTGTGGGTCGCATATACTATCATCTAGTAGTGATATGTGAATACTAGATGCGAGGTAGAGCGGAAAAAAATTACAAACCTTCGAAATGTCTTCATGTGTGGAGTTGTTGGTAAATGAGATGTTCATGACCTGATTTGGATGCTTTTGGTCTCGCCAGCAGGGAAATGCTTCATAGCTATGTAAATTCATGTGAGTTCAAGTCAAAATGAATCATAAACGACTTACCTCTTGTCTACTTGAGATGTTTTCTCTCGTCTGAGACCGTTTATACACTTCTGAAGCTCGACCCATAAGTGATCAGACCATAGACCACCAGAGTGAAAGTGCAATTTGTCCCAAGACAATGCACGATGTACATCCGTTGAGGACACTGTCAAAAACGAATTCTAAGACAACGTTAAAACAATATAGCACGAGAGTAAAGATAAATTTACCTGGACATCACGAAGTCCGTATTCTTTCAGTACTTCCTCCTGCTCTTCTGCAGTCTCCCTTTCTCGTGCAGTTGCTAGGATAGCTTGTGATTCATGAGATGTGCGACGTGGATAGCAGTGCGACATATCCGAAAGTTTATCATGGGGAACAAGACAGATTGGGCATGGCCATAAGGCCCTAACACCATGAGTAAGCACCATTGTTGACCTTAAAACATGTAAGTTAGTGAGACGTCAATCACAAAGTCCGAAGCTCACTGTTCCTCAAAATCGGAAGATAAAATGAGTATCAGTGGAAAAAACCACCGCTGAACAACATCTAGACACTCCAACCATTGACCAGTGTTTGATTTTGCAGCGAGTGAAGACAGTATCCTTTCAAAGGATTTGTGCCATACTGTGGCCTTGAAGTTAGCCCATGCCAGCAAGCCGGCATGGGCTTTATCTTCCTTCACCTATGAATAGAATCAGTATGAAGTAATGCACATAACATATATATTGTAATACCACAGGAAGCCACCCAACAATATAACTGCCACCCATTCCTTGACTGTTGCGAATGTGGGTGGGTAAGTTCGCCAATCGTGCAACGACGGGATAACCTTTTGCAGTACCGAAACTAGATAACTTCGTTTTGTCAGCATACAATATGAAGGCGAGGGGCTTAGCGCTATGTGGCAGCTGCGACTATGAATTACATTGAGATGCCATCAAAATTACTGTACAACATACTGTAGAGATACACACTTACCTTCAACGTCATCCAGGTGTGACCAAACGTGTCTTAGCTTCGAAGATTTGAAGATGGGTGTGACCTGTGACACCTCAGAAATAGCTTCGTCTCCACCATGACTGAGCCGCTGTCAGTGCCTGCAGCAACAGGCTCTCGTTTTCTCGATGATCCTCAAGGAGCACTTCGTATTCAGCTATCTGGTGACATGTCAAGCTTCAGGCTTCTCTGTGTATGCATGTACTGTCATACTATCAACACAGATCCTCCAATTTTCGGTAAGAAATAAGTCAGCTCTCAGGATGATTAACTCTGAAACCCACAAAGCCCTTCTGTACCATGGCCAGTTTGCACCTCCTATGTGTTCCTTCGAAGTTTCAGGCTATTGTTCCTTCCCGCACTCTCTCAGTGACTCAACTGCTCATCTTCAAGTTCCCCTGCGAGTCTCGAAACCAATCCATCATGCACCAGTATTGTTCTTTCTCAAGAGCCCCCCAAGGTCCAGCTCCCTGCAGACTTCATTTCGCAGTCAGTTCCTGCATTTTCAACAGCCATGGCACTCCGTGATCACGCTACCAGTGCATGGCAAGACGGAGATCAATCAATCATGCATCCATCATTCCCCAATGATCCACTTCCTTTGTGGGTCTTATCATACTGGGTGTCCATGTCTCATGCACTTGAGCATCAACGTGATTGGCGTGCATCACACACCTGGATCTTAGACCGACTGGACACTGTTTTGGGTGACTGTGATGAGTTGGAAACCATCGACGACATTTTAGATGTGATAGAGCGTCTTCCATGGGATGTTCCGCTCAAGGGAGTTGGCACTCAGACTGACCTATCTACTAGTGGGCTACGGCTGCTGTTGGCATCAGGCCCAATTGGTGGTTGCCTCATGGATACTATGATTGCTGTGGTAGTTGAACACATGCAAGCATCTCAAAATGCAGACCTTCGGACCATCTGTGTCGAATCCCTTGTCCTTATGGATACACTTCATCTCGGCAAGAAGCGGTGGGCAAACTATGAGACTGAGAAGGCGTTCACTCACCTTTGTGCCATAGGCTCTGCATTACACGAAGGAAGACTTCAGCGTGTCCTCTTTCCTGTCAATATTTGCGACATCCATTGGGCTGCTATCGAGGTCAATGTGATCAACCAAACCATCTCATATGCAGATTCTCTTGGGTGGGATTGGCCCGCTCATGACATTGACACCATTCGTCATTGGCTGGGCTATCACGGCCTCTCTGGATTTAGTAACACAAGTGCACTACAGTGCGGTCAACAGCTGGATTCGTTTTCATGCGGAATTGCAGCCATCAATACTATCAAGCATGCTGTGTTTCGTGATCCCTTGTTCAACAATAACGAAGCATTCTCCCTCCGCATGGAAGAGTTTTTGGATCTTGCTTATGATCATCTTGAGGTATGCGCATCTCGTGCTAACTGATGTATCGTTGTTGATTGAATATTGATTTTTTAGCACTCAGTTCCTGGCGACAGCACAGATGTGGATGATGGCAGTGACTTCGAGCCAGAAGAGACTCCGTCAGATACAGAGAGCGAACACGAGACTCAGCCATCTATCTCCACCCCGCCATCATCCACGCAAACTAACAAAACAAAACTCGACCTCCGTTCAACTGACGCAGACCAAAACAAAGGTCTGTTCAGGTTCTTCCCAAAAGTATCACGCGAGGAGCATCTACAATGTGCTTGGAAGCCTTTCACTTGGGAGCTCAAAGATCAGGAGCGGGACCATTATCAGCAAGAATTCAATAAGTTTGAGAAGGCTACTCGCAAGCGTGAAAGAGCCGCTGAGCGAAAGAGAAAACAGCGAGCACGTGAAAAACATGAAAAAGCTGCTATGGAGGTGAGCATGTGCCTTTGCGCTCTGGGTCATCCTAATGGTTAATGTGTTCTGTCGTCAGAAACCCACCATTGATTCCATTCTTCATGATAGCAATCCTCAGCCACCAGCTGTCACTATCGCAGAGGCATCACATCCATATCGTCAACTACAAAGGCAAGCTCGTAGCAAGCGCACACACAATCTAGGCTGGAAGTGCAAGCGGGGGGACACAGATGCTTTGCGTGTCAATTGGCAAAGCCCCCTGCTATGGCCGACCATTGAAATGGCTGCTCTCTATGTTGGCTATGGGATGTCACCAGTGCAGATTGAGCGTGAGCTTAAACGAATTGACCCCACTCGTTTTGCTGGTATCCATGCTCAAGTTATAGGAAGCTGGATAGACCATAGCGGGACACAACCAGCATGGCATGCGAATGTGCTTGCCCGTGTTCGAAAGGGCAATCTTCCATTAACAAAGGCAACACCGCCTGGTATTCTCTCGAAGTATCCTAATGTTGTCAAGACCATTGTGGAAGACCTGCGCGCTCTGCGCACTGTTGGTGTAGCTTTAGACACCATGCATTGTCGTGGTGTAATCATCGCCCGCCTCACTGTCTCTTGCCCTGAGGTCTTTGAGGCTGTTGCGAAGGACGGCTCACACTTTCAATGCACAGAGTCTTGGGTAAAGAAGTTCGTAGCCGCAAATCTCAATTGGTCATTTCGTCGCGCAACTTGTGCCGCACAGAAAACCCCTTCCAACACCGATCAACTTTGTCTGGACCAATTCCTTCGTTTAACTTTGACCATTCGCAACTGCGCAATTTTTCATGCTTGTTTCTACGTCAACATTGATCAGACAAATATTGTGTATCAACCCGCAAACACGGCTACATACGAAGAAGTCAGTTCCAAGCAAGTCACAGTCATCGGACAGGAGGAGAAGCGAGCATTCACTGTTGTGGTTGGCATATCTGCCTCCGGTGATGCTCTCCCATTTCAGGTCATCTACTGCGGCAAAACTACATGCTCCCTCCCCACGAAAAACATGCCACAATTCAAGGAAGCACAGCGCTTAGGCTTCAAGCTGTGTTTTTCGAACACTGACACGTACTGGTCAACGTTTGAGCTCATGTGCGACTATATTCGTGATATCCTCATTTCTTACTGGACAAGACAGAAGGAGCTCGTTGGTGCACCCGATGATCAAGAATGTATCTTACACCTGGATGTTTGGTCAGTCCACAAGTCCATCCAGTTTCGCACTTGGCTTGATCAACATTACCCATGGATCAAGTATCGCTTCGTCCCTGGCGGTTGCACTGGTATTGCCCAACCATGTGATGTTGGTGTCCAGCACCCACTCAAGCTTGCTGTCAAACAATCTCAGCATGCTGACATCGTTGACGAGTCTTTGTCATTGCTGAAGAAAAATGATGCCGCTGCCGCCATCATTCAACTTGACACAATGTTGCCCACACTGCGTGATAGATCGTTGCACTGGCTTATCAATGGCTATCACGCCATTAACAAGCCAGACATTGTTAAACAAGTAAGTACGCCATCCTTGTATCCCTCACCAATGGCACTGACACATTCAGGCATTTTTTCAATGCAAGGCCGGCACTTCATTCAACCTCTCCTTTGAGAGTCTTACCAGCCGTGAAGCGCTTCAAATGCTGCGTGATGTAGAGAAGAACAATGTCGAGACATGGGACCGAATCAAGACAGCTCAATACAAGGTTGAAAAACCTCAATCCGAGTCGGCACTAGATGAGGTTGAGCCACCATTTGCGCAAGCTGCAGACGTTGAGCTTGATCCGTGTGATATTCCTGTTGATGCAGTTCTACTTCACATCACATCAGGGGGGTCAGTCCCTCGAGGCTATGGTACTGATGTTTCTGGCAACCTGCTGGCATGCAACAAGGCAGAAGGATATGATCAAGAGCTTGCAGCTTCCGCCACCGAGGGTGACGAAGAAAACTTTGGTCGTGGGAAGCGTAGACGCATGGAAAATACACAATACAGAAAATTTTGGAAACATTGACCTTAGTTTACGCGTTTTTTTCATGTTTTACCAGTATGTCACAATTTACCTTCAACGCATTCAACTTTGTGTGACAGTCACATGAAATAGCTTTGATTCGAAGGATGTGTGACACTGTGATGAAGGTAAGTGCATATCTCTACAGTATATGGATAGTACATACTTGAGCGTCCCAGAAGTCTTGAGCAGTAAAGGGTTCGTCTACAAATCGTTCGAAAGACTGGCCATTGAACTTCGACAAGCGCTGGGCATCAAAATGAAAATAAGGAAACAGATGAGGATCATGGAGGAGGTCAGTAGCCCACTCCCAAAGATCGCGATAGTAGACGTCAAAGTCCCATGATTTATCTGCGAAGGGTATCGAAATCACGTCCTTTGTAAACTAAGCTCAAACATTAGTCCAATAAGAATCATACAACAATGGGCTATACAACCCCTGTTAAGCGCTGAGAAACTGCGTCCCACTTAGTGCGAATGTACCTTGTGGTTCTTGAAAGTTAGTTTCTCTGACTTCTGTGTGCAGTGGCGGCATATGTCAAGGAGATGGTCCGTCTGTTCATTATTGAGGGCCGCTTCGAGGGCGATCTCAGCAACATTGAACTCCAAACGAGACCTGAAAGGACGCCAAGGCTGTGCGTCAGGTTCTGGAGCAGACCATGAGGAATGATGGGCAGGGCGACACGTGAAATCATTGAAAGCAAAGACTTTGGTCGGGATCCCACTCCCCGGGTGGTGCTCGACCTTGATGTCATCAAGCTGAAATTCACGATACTGAAGGTCCCTGTCGTCATCAGGGATAGCTGGCTGCTCTTCTAAAGTCCATGTTAATTATATCCAACAAAACAGCCAAAGAAATAATCAAACTCACCAAAAGTAGGGCCTGAATTATCATCATGGAAACTCGTTGATGCTGAAGGGTCGCGCTGAACTGTTGATGCTCAAATAAGTAAAATAAATGACACAATAGATTGATAGAATGATAAACTGGTAAGACTTACCCTGTAGTCTCAAGTGGATTCAGACTGTAACCCGCCACCGCATTGACAGCAGTCCCACCAACAAGACCTGCTGCAGTTAGTCCAGGCACAGAATTAAAATGGAGTATTCAAGAATGCACCTTTTCGCCGCCTGATTGAGTCTGCAATGCGCTGATCTTGGGCTTGTTTTTGAGTGTTCTTCTCACAGGCTTTTCGGTGAGTGGACCAGCCACATGGTTTGATATTCTGGTCGCACAGATCGCAGAGTTTGGCCCTGTCAGAGCCCATGATGTCGACAGATATATACGGGGTATCTACAGAATTGATATGAGCGAGGAAACAAAGAAATACAGATGGTGAGAGCACGAATACAGGTAAGTACACATTGCAAGCACCTTGCAATCACGTTGCGATACATTGAAACTCAGCAATCAATCTATAAAGTAAGGGAGAACGGTTGCGGGAAGGGACGGACGCTCGCGTGGTTTCCGCTTGCACCGCGTAGATATGCTTAGATACACTTAGATACACTTAGATTCGCTAAGATTTGCTAAACGCCATGTGGGTTCGCTTACCTCACTTAATCCTTACTTTGGAAATCTCGCGTGGTTTTCTCGCTTGAGTTTGCTAATGGTGACTACAAAAAAATCTCAATTCAGAATTTCGAGAGGTAAATTTCCACAGTGTCCAAAAATGCTGCCAAACGCGATATAGTGGACAGTGTTCCGCACACCTACTGCGCCGCACCCATAATACGGACAAACAACTCACTTTTCCTACTATAAGGGAGCGAGCATCGAGAATAGCAAAAGCATAACAGATTTTGGTGACACAATTTGTTACATAATTTGGTGACACACATCATTACACAATTTGTTACACAGTTTGGTAACACAAATCATTACACAATTGGCTGCTGCTTTTGTATAGAATTCTCGAATTAAATTGCCCTCCCCCGCAGCCAAGTGTAACAAAGTGTGATACACTTTTTGTGGGTTTTGATTATTGTCAACAAAGATATAAATGACTTATTGATGGGCTCAGGCTACTCAAATTTTACACTTGCTAAACAACCGTTTAAATATCAAACATGGACAGAAATATGCCCATTCTGTGAGTTGCTGACTATATATTGCTACCTGCAAGGTGCATGATGCTAATGTCTGCACATGCTATTTAGAAATCAAGAATGTATTACCCGGAGCACGAGCGTCACTCCCAACGTGAACGCGATAGAGTCAATCAACTCCAGATGACGTCCCCTACCAGGCGCAATCGTCGACATGCTGCTCACAATAGGCCTGCGCCTCATGTACCACAGCCAAATTTCATGCCAGCTAATGAACCTCAAGCAGGGCCTGTTCCGCGACCTTTTGCATGGCAGCCTCCTGCTCACTTTCCATATGAACCGCTACCAGTTGGTCAATATCCTGGCTTGCCAAGGAATGCAATTGCACATGTGCAATGTGCTCATCAGCACCCTCCTGTTGATTATAATGCATGTTTGAATGAGCAGATGAATGCAGCTCATAATGATAGACACTGTCAACGGAATCGTCGTCGGCAACAGGACAGAGAGGAGATAAGAGAGCAGGCACAGGCAGAGTTAATGGCAGCTGGGTTACAGCCCATGCAGGTACCTCAGGTGCATAATGAACCCGCTCAACCTGCTCCTGCTCCTCCTGTATATGGTGCCATTCATTATGAGGGCGCAGTTGGTCCTCACAACTTTGACAATCCTTTTCATTACTTTGCGCCTAATCCTGCACCACCTTTGGATGGACTGCCTGAACCTGATTATCATCAGTTTAATATTCAATTTCAGCAGCATCTACAGGTAGAACAATTGGAACAAGAGCACATTAGAAATGACTTGCTTCAAAGGCAAGCACAGGAGGAATTTCGACAACATCAAATTCAGCTACAATTGCGACAACAAGAAGCTGAGAGGATCAATAGAGAGGCTCAATGGCGGCATGAGGAGGCACTTCACCTGCAGCAACAAGAAGCTGAGAGGATCCAAAGACAGGCTCAATTGCAGTATCAAGAGGCTCTCCTGCCTGCAGCAGCAAGAAGCCGAGAGGATTCAAAGACAGGCTCAATTGCTGCAGCAGGAGGATCTTCATTTGCAGCAAGAAGAAGCTGAGAGGATCCAAAGACAGGCTCAATTGCTGCAGCAAGAAGAAGCTGAGAGAATCCAAAGACAGGCTCAATTGCAGCAGCAGGAGGATCTTCATTTGAAGCAAGCAGAAGCTGAGAGGATCCAGAGACAGGCTCATTTGCAGCAGCAGGAAGAGGAGCAGCAGAATAGGCTGGCTCAGGATCGTGTGCAAGCAGGTCGACAGGAAGAGGAGCAGCACAATAGATGAACTCAGGATCGTATGCGAGCAGGTCAAGAGGAAGAGGAGATCCAACGCCAGAGGCAACGAAGGATTTGTGAGCAAGCAGAGCATCTAGAAGAGGCGCTGCATGAATATAATGATCCTGCTTCTCAAGAAAATCACGCTGCTGATGAAGAAAGAAGAAGAGCTCAAGAGCTTCAACAGCGTGAGGAGTGTGAGGCAGAGGTTCAAGAAGTTATCAACCACATTTTTCCTATCCCTGATGGAGCTCGACCATACAGGGAGCCTATAAACATTCATAATCTTGGTCCTCTTAATGTAGAGTGCACCAAGTGCCATGCATTGCACTTTGCATCCGAAAGACTCTCAAAATCATCCCTACAGAATCCAAAATTCGGTACATGCTGCTTGGAGGGTAAAGTCGTCCTCCCACCCTTTCCACCATGGCTGCCAGAACTGCAGCGTGCTTATACTGACAGGACATTTGTCTCCAAGATTCGGCAGTACAACAGCGCTCTTGCATTCACGTCGGTCGGTGTTGATATCGAGGATAGAGCCCTCCAAGGCTCTGGCCCCAATGCTTTTCGTATTCATGGATCTCTGCATCACCTCATGGGTAGTCTCATACCTCCAGAAGGCATTCAGCCTTCATATGCGCAACTTTATATCTACTGATCCCGAGGAAGCCACCAATGTTCGCACCACCCGACCTGGAAATGAAGGTCTTGATCGCGGCATTCTCAGGGAGCTCCATGACATGCTGTATCGAATCAATCCCTATGCCACTCTTTACAAGCAGGCCTATCAGGTCATGCGAGAGAAGCCTCCAGAGCAGCACACAGATGTTCGTGCATGCATTCACTTCCAGCAAGGCACAGATGGTCGAAGATATAATGTTCCCACTGCCGATGAAATTGCTGTGATCATTCCTGGAGATGGATCTGAGCAGGTATCCGAAAAACAGGACATTGTCTTGCGGCTTCAAGGAGGTCGACTCCAGCGTATAAGTCAGCTCAGCCATGCATACTCCCCACTTCACTATGTCCTTCTCTTTCCATCTGGAGAGGAGGGCTGGCACCTTGGAATACCTCTGATTCTCCCGCCAAATACCCGCACGGTCGCAAAGAATGTCACTCAGCTGTTGTACTATACCTATCGACTTCATCCACGCCCTGTTCCCATCTATCACAACAATATCTTTCGCGGTGGAAGATTGTTCCAGCAGTATATTGTCGACGCTTGGGCCTCCATTGAACAGAGCAATTTGAACTGGATCAGGAGCAACCAAGAGCGGCTGAGGGCAGACTGCTATCAAGGCTTAGCAGATAATGTTTGCAACGAGGGCGTAGATGATCTGGCTCAGACAGGTCGCTCCATTATTCTTCCCTCCTCTCACACAGGGAGCCCTCGATATATGCACCAGCTGCTTCAAGATTCTTTAGCCATTTGCTGTGCCTGCAAAAAGCCGGATCTCTTCCTGACAATGACCGCCAATGGAAGTTGGCCTGAAATCACAGAGAATCTCCTTCCTGGTAATGATTCTTATTTGATGTGTTGTGTATGACTTTGTGCTGAGAATTTCTTATATAGGTCAGAGCGCTGTGGACCGCCCAGACTTGGTGGCTCAGGTTTTCTACCAGAAGCAGCAAGCGCTGCTGAAGAAGGTTCGCAATGGCTACTATGGGAAGGTTGCTGGATTGGTGTACACCATCAAATATCAAAAGCGGGGCCTGCCTCACATGCACCTTCTCATCTTCCTGGAGCCAGATTATAAGATCTGTACCACTGAGCAAATCGACTCCTTCATCTCCGCTCAGATTCCTGACAGGAACATCCATCCTCAGCTCTATCAGGTTGTGGAAAAATACATGCTGCATGGCCCTTGCAGTCCACAGCATTGCATAGAGAATTCACGGTGCAAAAAGCACTTTCCAAAAACATTCTGTCCCCAGACCCTGATGAAGGATGATGGCTATCCCGAGTATGCGAGACCTGACAATGGTCGCACCATCCAAAAGAACGACATCATCTTCACCAACAAGGATGTTGTTCCACATCCCCCCGAACTGCTGGTGGAATTCAACTGCCACATCAATCTCGAGGTCTGCGCCTCTATCAAATCTGTCAAGTACATCCACAAATACATTTATAAGGGAAACGACCGCGCTACAGTTGGAGATGAGAGGAGCAGGTGGATGAGGTCAAATCATATCTGGACTCGAGATATATCAGCTCTACTGAGGCTGCATGGCGCATCTTCAAATTTTTGATGCATCTCGAATGGCCCTCTGTCTACCGTTTGCCGGTCCATCTCAAAAATGAACAGATGGTGTTCTATGACCCCGAGGATGATGCTGAGGAAGTCCTTGAGCGCGCAGAAGTGAAAGATACTTGCCTCACTGGATGGTTCAAAGCCAATGCCAATGAGAACTTGGTGGCAGCTGGAGCCCACGACAGCCTCTATCAGGATTTCCCCTCAAAATTCATTTGGAGCAAAGGTGCATGGAAGATACAGGAGCGAGGAATGGCGATTGGAAGAATGTACGCTGCTGCGCCCAGCTCTGGAGAGCGCTTCTATCTGAGATTGCTTTTGACTGTAGTGAAAGGTATGATGTCTAAGACAATTTTTATCAATCAAGCTCACCATAATTTCAAGGGGCTACCTCCTTCGAACACCTTTGGACACATGATGGGACTCTCTATGAGACTTTCAAGGAAGCGTGTCAGCACAGGGGTCTGCTTGATGATGATTACGAATGGATCCAGTGCTTGCGGGATGCCTCTCATATGTACACAGGAAATCGCATGCGCAATCTCTTTGCCATCATCCTGCTGCACTGCAACCCTACCAGCCCTGATGATCTTTGGAACTGCTTCAAGGAAAATCTCTGCGATGATCTGCGTCACCGCCTCACTCACGCACCGTTCAACATGCCTGACCCCACGGAGGAACAGGTACACGACTATGGTCTTCATCTCATTGATGGCGTGCTCCGCAAAAATGGCAAGTCTTTGGAAGCAATTCCTCAAATGCCAGTAGCTCGAATGGCAGAAAGATGGGGGGCCATGGAGGGCAACCAGCTCATCAGCTGAGCAGCATCAGTATGACCCTGCAGGAGCTTCAGCAGATAGTGGATGAAGGAGTCCCTTTGCTTAATGTCGAGCAGAGGGTGGTCTATAATGCTGTGGTCGAGGATGCAATGAATTGTAATCAGCAAAGACCCGGACAGCGCATACTTTGTCCATAGCGCAGGGGGATGCGGCAAGACATATCTCTGCAAACTCATCACTTCAAAACTCCGTGCTGAAGGAAAGATTGTCCTCTGTGTGGCCTCCTCTGGAATTGCTTCCCTCCTCCTACCAGGCGGACGTATGGCTCATTCACGATTCAAAATCCCCATTCCCATTAACGAGGACAGCTCATGCAACATTAAAAAAGGAGATGTCGTCCATGAGCTTCTCAAGGAGACCTCCCTCATCATCTGCGATGAAATTCCAATGCTCCATCGTCATATTCTGGAGTGCCTTGACCTGCACATTGCGTGATCTTCTAAACAAAGAGGCTGATTTTGGGGGAATAACCGTGCTCTTCGGCGGAAACTTTAGACAGACCCTGCCGGTGGTGACCCATGGATCCAGGGAGCAGATAGTGGGCACTACCCTTTGCAGATCTCAACTCTGGCAAAAGCTTCGTATCTTCCACCTCGAGAGAAATATGCGGCTTGGTCAAGACCCTGCCTCTGATGAATTTGCAAGGTGGCTCCTTGAGATTGGAGCTGGCGAGGGCACAAATGAAGACAGAACTGTGACCCTCCCTATTCATATGCGCTGCCCCAACAATGATGTCCAGTCTCTCATCAATGCCATATACTCTCCAGTTCTGCTCCCTGGGCAGCCTGCAGTGGATGATTCCTTCTTCCTGGAACGCACCATCCTCTCCGCAAAGAACACTGATGTGGATGAGATCAACACCACCATTCTTGAATCATTCCCTGGAGATAAAGCAGTCTTCACCAGCGCAGACTCGGTCTCTGAGAGGGAATACAATTACATCCCCACAGAGTTCCTTCATACCCTCACCCCATCAGGCTTCCCTTTGCACAAATTGGAGGTCAAAAAAGGTGTTCCCCTGATGCTGTTGCGCAACTTGAACCCCTCCGAGGGCCTCTATAATGGAACTCACATGATCCTGCTGTCTTGGACCGTTCGTGTCCTCAAGTGTCGCATTCTTAGAGATGGAGTCAATGAAGCTCGCCAAGATGATCGGGACACGGTCCTAATCCCTCGCATGACCCTGGATGCCACATCTGAAGATAACCCCATTCCTCTCAAGCGTCACCAATTCCCCGTTCGTGTCGCATTTGCTATGACCATCAACAAGGCGCAAGGTCAAGCGTCAAGTGGGTTGGGCTTAATTTGCGGACTCCCGTGTTCAGCCATGGACAGCTCTATGTTGCATTATCTCGCTGCACTCACCCAGATAGAGTGTTTGCTATCTTTCCTGAGAGTGAAGAGGGCTCAAAGACGACGAATGTAGTGTATACAGAAGTGCTTAGAAGAATTATGATTCCTGTTGGATGATTGATGTACATATGATGTACTTTTATATAGAGAACAGACTCGGATGTGATGTATCATGTAGTTTTAGTTGTGTTGAAATGCTGCTCAAAAATGTAATTGTTTTCAAAATGCACTATGATCATTAGTAAGGCAAAGTGCCGCAGGCACCTCGCAAAGGAGCGCTTAGCGCTCCTTTGCCTTGCTGTGCCTTAGGCACAGCAAGTATTCAAGGTCAAGACTTAAGACACCCAAAGTAGGATGAAGCCGAAGGCCAGGAAGCCAAAAAAGAGCGCGAAGCGCTCTTTTTTTGCTTCCTGTGCCGAAGGCACAACGGGTGTGTGCTAGTCTTACATGATCATGACAATAGGGATTTCAACGTCATCTCAACAACGGAGCATTGTAATAGGTTTCGCAAATTTCCGACAACAGCAAGTCATTTGGGCGCCTGCGACCATGGCAAACACATGCTTGCGAGCGTTGCCTATTTTTCGTGGTCCCACTGCGATTATGACTAGTGTGGAGAAAGTTGCGTTCTGAATCACAACGGGCCGCAGGGAACTTCACCAGTAAGTTGTTTGGGCGGCTGCGACCATGACGAACAAGTGCTTGCGAGCGTTGACGCCAAGAGCTGTTTGCAGAATATTGCACGCAAAAAGCCAAACCTCGATCATCTACTGCCGCATGTGCGCGTCTCATCTTCTCATGACACCACTCACCCCTAACATCGCCTAGTCTGATGCAACTCGTTGTGCTCCAGCTGGGCACCGCAAACCACCAATATACGCCATGCCTACAGTGCAGAGACCTCCGCTTACAGATGACTCCCAGCAACTCTCTTTCCTTTGACTCAGCAAACTCCTTCGCTTCCCTCGCGCGAATGCGGTCCCTGTTCGTCACATCCAACCTCGTGATCCTCTAGATGTATGTCATGACTCTCATATCTCGGTTCTTCGACAGCTGACTGCATGATGGCACAACAGGTCCCCACTACATTGCCCCTACCATCCTCTCTCAGCCCGCAACTCGATTTGATCATGTCAGTCTTCAATTTTCATACTAAATTGCATAACTGAGTGTGTATCCAGTTCGAAATAGACTCTCCACCTCCCCCCTCGAGCGGAGTCGCGCAATCCCTGCATCAGCATCTTTCTTTCCTCATGCCTAGACACAGCCATGGGCCTCCGGTCGTTGAAGTCGCACCAGGCCGCAAATTCACCGTAACGTTCATTTTCCCATTTCTCAGTGCCTTTTTCTGATTTGTGCACCATAGCGACTTGCTGCTGCCAAACTGCCGGAATACAAGAAAGTAGACGACACTCGACATCCGTCTAGCCAACAGGATGCCGTGCAGCAGGAAAACGATACAGCTGACGTCGATTCGCTCCCAGATGTGCATTGGTGCAAGGCTTTCCTCTGCTATTATTCCTGTCTGTCGCATGGTAGACTGAGGATGCCTCGATGGCGCTTGGCCGGAAGAGGACAAGTCACCTTCGCCCGCGCTGTTGAAGCATCGCGTCCGTGGCCCGTTTTTTCTCATCTCCCGCAGAGTATCCCCCAGTCCAACCTCGAGCTTGTCCATCAGTAGTGCAGCCACCTCTGCGGCGCCCATTACTTTCAGCTCCATCCAATATGTGATTTTTTGACCACATCCACCAATCGGTCGCTATGCTATATCCACTTAGGCACAAGTTGATCTCTTGGAGCTTTCGCGTCGAATACATCCAATGTTTATACCTTGAAGAAAATCCTGGCGATCGAGTGCATTCAGCAACTGGTCAGGCTCATTTAATTCATTGTAAAAATGATTGCATTACAGAATAATAAATATTGTTTGAGGCGACATGAAAAAATCGGCCGCTATCCGAGAGATGATGCTCCTGTTCAACGTTCAAGCGTGGTTTTGTTTACTGCTAGGGTATTACTAGTCAGCACGACCGACGGGCCCTGTACTACATAGTACAGGCCAATACGATACAAATCATGGCACTGGTTTCTCTCCGAATCAGATCTGTGAAGTCAAGTTGCGTGCTCCACAATCGGCAGTTCGTTCATGAATGCAACTACAATGCATCCTTGATGTATCCATTACCTTGAAAGCGGAAGGATCTGCGTTACCGGTAGTAAACACTTTTGTTCAGAGTCAAAGTTACATGCCAATCGAGAGTCTGAGACAGAAAGGTCAATTCTGATATGTTCTAATAGTAATGTACATTGCAACTGGATCTATTGGTGAGGAGGATGTCGATGACGAGGAAATGAGAGCAATCATTAGACCAGTATCACACTGCATGGCGCTCGAGCTCGGCCATTCTTGCTCGCATTCGGTTCAGTTCAGCCTCAAACTCCTTCCTCTCTTCGTCTGCTTTCCTCTCCGCTCCCTCCCTTTGCCTCCTCTCTTCGTCTGCTCTCCTCTTCTCTTCGTCTGCTCTCCTCTCCGCTTCCTCTCGTTGCCTCCTCTCTATGTCAACCTCTTGTTGACATTGAGCCCGTCCCTCCATCAAACCTTCCATCCTCAACTGTAAAAACAAATAAGTAAACAGCCCAACCAATCCCAAAAAAGAACACTCACCCGGTGCACCTCCTCCTCCTTCGCCCTCCTGCTGTCCTCCGCCGCATTCTCAAGACACGCCCACTCGGCGCGATACAGCTCACATACCGCCTCGACACTCTCCGCCTTCCTAATCTCCTGCCCGCAAAAGCGAGAGCGCCCCTCGCTCAGCGTCCTCTCCCGGTACGCAGGGAAAAGCCTCTTGAGCGCCTCCCAAACAGTGTAGGCGTACCAGTAACACTGGTATTGCCACAGATGATAGTTTGGGGAATGCTTGCGGAGCACGCACAACAGCACGGATACTTGCATCGCCGAAGGACGAGCGGAAGCGGAAAAGTCGAGGTTACAAAGGCACTTATACTGGCCATATCGTTTAGTGAGGTATGATTCGATGGCAGAGCCGTTGTTGGGGGTGGTGAAGATGGAATCGTGGGCGGGGGTTGCAGATGCCGAGGGGGAGACTACGGTTGATTGGCCAATGCTAACTGATCTCGATGAGCCATTGCCATTATGATTTTCTGTGGAATCCGGACGCAATGTCCTGTCCAACACTAGGATAGCGACAGCGTGGTGTTGCGTTGGATGACGGAAATGGAGGAGCAAGAATTCATGTTCGACGCTGGTGGTGCATTTGCAGCAGACCATGCGTTCGAGCTCACACTGCGAAGAAAGCTCGTTGTTCAAGAGCAGCGTGTGCCAATCTCTTACGTCGTTGTAGCTATCGTTCGAGGTGAACACCCCAGGGGCGTCGGTTGGGGATGTCATGAATGGGTGCAGGATCGCTGCGAGGAAACCGCGAACGCTGAAACGCTTGACGCTTTTGCTTTTGAAGGCCATTTCATTGCCTTGGGTACAAGGGTTGGGACACGAGGCAGAGAGGGTGAAACTTTGAAGGTGAGTGGCTCAACATGTGTTCGGGAGAAGCAGCGTGGTCACCTAGGCTACTAGTACTGTCAATCAACATCCAACTTCTTGCTCCTTATGGCCCCCCATCATATCAATGTTTTATTTACTATGGCTTTTCCTTGAGCTTGATCAGTGAGTCATGCCATTTTGCCTGGTGCTGGCGTTGATACCGAGAAGTAGGTCACGAAACCATTAAGTTGTATGCAGCCGGTGCCTTGCACAGGCACTCATCTGGACTCCAAAGTTCAAACAGTCAGTAGGTTGTCTGCTTTGTTGTCTGAAGTTTCTCTAACTCTCCACTAAGTTGTGCAGCTGCCCTTGCAGTCAGATTTTTTGTTTTTCTCTGCAAGTTGCGGAGCAACATCAAAACATCGCTAGACCACACTATTTGCTAGCGGCCGCAGCTGCACACAGGGATGGAAGTTGCAAAGCACAAGTGCGACTCGGAATGGGGTGCGTTATGTTGTGTTCTAGGTGGACGGACATCTTCTGTTTGGTCGCGGCTGGGACCTGAAAATATCACAGTGCGAAATACTAGAAGAGGCGCTCAGAGCAGTACGCGGTGATCGTTTGGCCGGGAAACTAAGGAGTAAGGTGACTCGATTGTTTATCATCGGTCCACGCGCAAACTCGCCATCAGGCCGGACTGTATCGGAAGAGACAGAAGGTGCTTGACCTAAACCCATGTTAATGTTTATGCTGATCTTAAATCAAGGGTATCAGGATAAACCGCTTTTTTGATGCTCAGCGATTCAATGTATGCTCAAACACTCCTAGTCGAATATTACTTGATGTAGATCATGCTTCGTCTCAGATGAGATGAAAACCATAGACTTGCATACATGTAGTACAGAATTGACTTTTCTCCTACGATGCATATACATATCGAGTATGATATTGTTTTGGTCGTGATACCTATCCCAGGTGAAACATGCAAGTACCACCATAATCAAGGACTAATAACTACGTTACCGCTGACCAGCTTCTCAAGCATATCCCTGGCTACAGTCCTCAACTCTTTCATAGCAATGACGACGCCTTCTCCCTCTCCCTGCTCTGAATTTTCGCTCTCCAGTAATCCGAGAACATAACCCACATTGCCCAGTTCATATTTCGAAGCAATCTGCATATACTGCTTCGTGCCTTCCACAAAGATGGGAAGGAACTCGAAAAGGCTTGCATCGTCAATTCTTATGATAATCCTAATATGGGACCATGCACGGCTGATAATGTCCCACCACTGTTGCTCTGTGATAGAATCGAGCGATGTAACCGACAACTGTTCAGGTGCGATTCGGAGGAAGATGCCAGCTAGGTAAAATGCATGTGGCCCGAAGTGTGCGATAATGCCAATGCATCGATCTATATGGTGATCCCTAAACAAATGGGGGTGCCAATTCGAATTCCTCGCGAGCGCAAAGAGCAGTTGAAGATAGCACATGTCGCGGTCATAATGGAAGAAGCGATCAGGATCATTATGGGAGAATGTTCCACCTGGATGCGGACAAACCGCAATCAGGATAGCGGGGGAGAGCTCTGTCAAGATCATGTCTCGCAACTCCACATCATGAATGGCATCAATTGAGGCAATTTCTTCTCGAGCATTGCGAGCCGCGTGGAGAGCGACATGGCGTAAATGTTGAGGCATGTGACTGCCCATGCAGAATGTGAGGGTATTGAAGAACTGATGTCGTTTAGCAGGGCTGCAGCGCACTTTCATGACATTCAGTAACAAAAGGATGTCAAATGCCGTGCCCTCGTCATCGGAATAAATGTACTCGAGGTAGTCCACCAGCCAGTCAAAGTCTTCTGGCGAACGGGAGTCACCTGTCTCTAAATAATGGCCATACCACAAGTGGGCAGGATCCCGAGATGCTTTGGCAGCAGTGAGCGTGAAGCACAGTGCATTTTGCAGAACTTCCGACAGTTCCCAGGGTTCGGATGACTTGAATCGTGAATAGATCTTCCTGCACACGTCCAAGTTCCGCATAGCGTGGGATGAAGGACCACTATTATAGTGATCTTTGGCAGGCTCAAGGATGAGACAAATGACCTCGAGAAGTTTCCATGCCCTGCGTGCTGTCTTTGTCGAGATCGCCTCCATCCCATTCCCAGAGAACCATTTGGAACTTCGCTAAAAGGGCATCCATGAATCGAGGCAAGGCAGAACTATACAATCTCTGTCAGTCATAGCAGAAGTACCAAATAAGTCAATTGCACCTTTTATCAATGCGAACTATGTCCTTGTTGTCACATTGAACCCCGATCATGACGCAAGCAAGAAGAGCGCAGTTGGCTAGGATTTGACTCGACGGAGAGGATGAAGAGGATAGCAATTCTGATATCACCTCTATGGCGAAGTCTTCTATACCCCTATTCACTCGCCCCACGACAAAGTGGTAAGGAAGAGAATGCGACAGCCACTCCGTGACGGAGTCGGAATATTCCTCCGGTAAATACCACGGAGATCCACGATTATCCTCTGGAAGACAAAGATTCATAGTCGTCATAAGCACCGTGTAGTTGGTATTACTCGTGCCAAGCAGGACCATACTGGACAGTGCATCGTGATATGTTCTCCCGCGAACAAGAACTTCGACACGGTCAGGATATGCTTGAAGAACCCGGCTATGATATAGCTGACTCATAGCCATTATACAAGCTGAGGCTTTCTCCTCCAATGACGGCATAATGTTCCCATTGAAGCCGACGCAGCTTCTGTAAACATCATACAGCTGAGGCAGCATGTCTGAGAGGTCAAGATCCAGGGGCCATTCGACTTGCGGAACGAGGCTGGCAGCGGCGAGAAACACTTCAGGATCCGTAGAGGTCTCGAGCAGCCACTTGATGCTAGGTGCTTCGAGATTGCTGGTGGGTATGTCAGGGAGGGTGAGGGCGTATTCATTCTCTGACAAAACATCAAGATTCTGGTCGAGCGCTTGTGCTTCCAAGTCCAAGACCTTTGCCGAAAAGCGCGAAACAACAGAACGCATCCAGTTATGAAGCGTGGTGATTGCCTGCTGAAGAAATCGTCGTGCGAATGTGCCAGCTGCATGGGCAGGGCCTAGAGAGTTAAATAAGCACTGAGTATCTTTGTAATAGTAGATTAGGTCGTCACCTATGAATACTTCAGACAATTGGGCCCATCCTGATCTGATGATACCAAACAATAGCCCCAGCATGCCTGACATGAAACGGGTCAAAACATTTGCACATGAAAGACGACATAACTCACCATGCAGTGACGTCGTGAGCCGCCGGAAATAACTGGAGACTCGTTTGAACACCGGGCGTAAAACCTCTGCAATGTTGATTCAGACGGAGAATGACCACCAGAATTTAGTAAAATGATCTTACTGTCAATGTGAAACATGCGCAACATTGTCGATATCGGCGTCTGGAATGGACAAGCGGGAGATATCAAGCATGCCATCACGGTCAGGGAATAAAACAGAAATCCGAAGATCGTCGTTGCAATGATGACCCAGGCGAGGCTCGGCTGCTCGTACCAGATATTGGCGCTGAGGGCGATTCCAAAGAGAAGAAGTGAGATTTGAAGTAAGACCGGAAAGGATTGCACAACAGCATCAAAATACCATGTGACGAGGCCGTCGAACTTCTCTTGCCTGCGCTTGCCTCGCTCCTCCTGAGAGCCCCGGCCGTATCTGTTCGACTTGTAGTACCCGAGCCACTGCTTGCCTAGTACGGCCCCAAACGCAGCGAGCAAGCTCATGGACAAACTTGCGTATGCGATTGTTTGGATCCACAGGGTGGGCGCGTTCGGCGACCACGTAGATCCTGGGTCTGCGGGCTTGGAACCCGCCGCAACGAGATTGCCCGAACCGATTTGAACGAGTTGCTTCAGAAGGGCATTCGTGGTATCGCTGGGGTCGGGACTTAGGTTGGACTCCATCGCGACAATGAAAGACGTGCTGACAGCGGAGAAAAGACCAGACTAATCCAACATCAGTCTCAAAACGCGTCAAAGATGAGCGCGTCAAACTTACGAAGATCAAGACGATGTCCATGTCCGTAGTGTATCGCTCGAGGAACTCGCTGTCGTGTTCCTCCGCGACTCATTTGTATACCCCCCAGAAGCGAGATCGGTTGTCCTTGCCACTCTTCAACGCAATCGTCGAGTCCTTGAGAACATCCAATACTTGTTTCATGACATCTGCTCTGCGTGTAGGATGTGGTCAGTTGTGATCGCTTTGCTCGTTTTTCACTCACAATTCGCTTAGCGTAGGCTCGCCTCACTGAGACAATTGAGAAGCATGTTTCGATATGATAATTGATGAGAACTTACAGAGCTGAATCGCCAACCGGTGCAACATTGGGAGTGTTTTCCCGTACCTGAGGTCCCGATGACTGTGAAGGTCCAGCATTGGAGCTGCAGTTCTGGTGAGGGGCGAAACAGAAGTATCAGGGCAAAGACACTCACATTGCCAATGGCAGCTCCGCTGAAGGCTCACAATTTTTCACTCTGTCTCGTTGTCAGATACCAGGCAGACTCCAGAATACCACAACTTACGTTTCTGTAGGTCCTATACTGTTGTTCTCTAGAGAAAACCACTCAGCCAAGTCTTTGTGCCAGTCGGCGTGCTGGTCCTCGATGCCGTCGGTGCCCGATCCTTCAAGTTGTGACATGAGGAAGTTACACCTATGTTACTATGTTGGATCCCAAGCAAAGCTAGTGAAGGGGTCTGAGGTCAGCGGACAGAGCAAAGTGGTGATACACAGCAAGTCGTTTGGGCGGCTACGAACACGTGCTTGCGAGCATTGACGCCAAGAACTGTTTGCAGTGGACTGTGATAATAGGCTACCATGGTTAGTGTAGTCAGACCGAACCCAAGACAGAAAGTTGCCGCCTCAAGAGTCAAGACATAGTTCTGAGTCGGAGCTGGCGTTACCGTGACTGACTTCACCCGAGTCGCGTGAAAGCCTCGAGAACTTGCTGGTGTTGTGTCGTTGAGAGGGCACTCATAAAGTCCGTTGGGAGATTCTCAATTGTATCTCGAGCAGCGAGCGATAAAGGTCGTACAGAACTCAGTACTCGTTGTTGAAACTTAACATACCGTAATACCGTAATCTGAGCGAGAGCACGCATAAAAGTTGTGCTACTATCGGTTACCACAACTTCGGACAACCACTCGTTCGGACACTTTGCAATATCTCACTCAACTCGACTTCAAATAATATTCTGGTTGGCCACATATCATTGTACACTTGTAATACACCATTGCGAAGTTGAATCTTTGAAATTGGTCAAGAAATGATTGAGATCTTTGTTGAGGTGTGACAGAGCCAAAAATCACGTCTGCCTGTCACCAAGCCGAGTCTGCCGTAGCGGAGTTTCATTTCTGCCGAACCGCTTAGTCATCCAGCGTCGTCGTCACTCCCCACACCATCTTTTGGCTTCAGCTCATCATTGCCTGTCTCACAGCCACCTACTGCGCTGGGACATATGTGGCACACTCCTCCTCCCCCGTCAAGCTTATATCAATCACACTCGTCAGCTAGCATATCCCATGGATCTTACACAACACCTACTTATTCATTTGTACCATATGCAAGTCATCTAAACAGTACCTACGGCCCCTCATAATTTCGTACCAGTTGATAATGCACATTCAATAAATCGCTTTTAATTGCTTTTCATCACAAAAATGAATGCTACAAAGCCACGACGCTGCATGTAAACGCTACCTGGGCCAGCTACTCGATGCCGAGCGGAGCTTGTTTTCGGCGGATGTGACGTTGTGTTACTACTCTGTTACATTGTGTGACTGTCCGAACGAGTGGTTGTCCGAAGTTGTGGTAACCGATAGTATATGATCAGAACTACCTCCGGCAGGGCTCAGGTATTTTGCCGCACCCTGCCGCAACTTGCCGCACCACTAACGCATCATTACTGCCGCACCCGCACCAAATCAGCACATTTCACTCTTAGTTTCGATAATCACTGTTGACGTGCACAATATAATTGGTTTACCATCAAACTCATCAATTATGTGCCTCATGGTCATGCTTTTGAGAGTCTGAATCCCGAGAACAAGTTGAGTACTATGCTGCGGCATGGATGCGGTAGTGGGTGTAGTGGCTTCTTGACGGTGAGTCTTGATATCATTACTGTATGTACTATGTACTGCATGAGACATTGACATTCATACTGTCACTAGATCACCCTCCTTGCAATGGCCTGTCTCGCTTATGCACCCTCTGGCTACTACTGGCACATAGTACTAATTGCATGAGACACGCACCATACTCTATCGCACAACCACTAATAACAATGTTCTTTTTTTGCAGATGCTAACATATTTTTTGCATGAATGCTGTTCAAGTTGTTGGTGTGATACCTGGCTTGACCTCCAACGTCCTTGATGGATATAGACATCAACTTGGAGTGTCTTGATATACTAGAACAACGAATGTTTGAGCTCTCATTGGCTGCAGGTGCTGCTGGGAATGAATGATGGGTAAAAGATGCCGATGCTCACCAAGACTGATGGAATCCATACGAGGGCCTCCTGAGTACTGGAATCATGGTGATGGAGATCCATATGCACCCTGAATTTGAAGGAGAAGTGGACATGAGTTGTTGTCATATTGTAGCATGGATTGCTCTGAAACACTTTACATAGTAGTGCAGGCCAAACTTTAGTGAAGGAAGTGAGCTTGAAGTCATTCCTAAAAATGAGAGACAGACCCAAAAGCCGAAACCGCGGCCACGACCAAGGAAGGCACATAAGGTGTCTTAAGTTGACAGTAGTCCATAGAACTTGTGTACTGTGAAAGTAATGAGTCTTGTCTAAAGGCCATATACCCATCACATATGACACACATACCTTAGACCCTAATATCTGTTCTCACAGGGGCCACAGAATCATGTTTGAGGCCCAAAGATGTGCTGTAGTGAAGTTGTCAAGGCATGTTATTGGCATCTGATTCTGCTGAGTCCGAAGATACTGAAGCCGGAGAGGAACGGGAGGAGGAGTAGAGGGTAAAGAAGGAATGGAGAAGGAGCTGTTGACATCAGGACCGATAGGTCCAAGTTAAAATTTTACCTGCCTAATTATCGAAAACACTTACCATATAAATAGTAGCACCCAATTGGCACGAGTGTCTCAGTTCTTTTCAGAGACTGAGACGTGAGTCTATACCTTTATCGTTAGCCCACATATAACTGACTTAGTGTAGCGTTTTCTTACCTGTTAGGTATACACTTCGTCAATAAAGAGTTCTTTTCAGAGACTGAGACCATTTTCTTACCTGTTAGATCTTTTCTATCCCGCTCTACCTCTAATCTCTAGACATGTCACCAATGAAGACATATCTTGAACAATAGGCATTGAGGCGTTGAACTGTGTGAGGAGTTTGTTTAGTAGTTTAACCAAGTTTCGGGTGAGGTGCTGCAAGTGTAGTGCGTGCGTTGGTGTGGGTTGCGGTAGTGCATAGCCACTGCCGCACCCATCAAGTATACTATCACTGTTGTATCAGTGTAATTCTAACTCAAAAACATATACTATGATATTTTTGCGTCGATAATCATATTCATGGCCTTTATGGACGACATAGACATATTATACAGGGATATAAGACACGTAGGGTGCGGCACCGATGCGGCAGGATGCGGTACGATGCGGCAAAATCCCAAGGCCCCCTCCGGCACGACCGGCACCTATCAAATTTCAAACTCTTCGCTCCGCCCTGCCACGCCACTCCGAGATTGACCAGCCTCGCTACACCACTCGTTCATCCATGGTAGTATACGCCAGGCTGGTCACGAGCCTACATTCCTTCGGAGTCGCAACAACGGCAGTTCTTCAAGCTCTTTGCAACAAATATTGCTGTACGATTCCTCGCGATTATTACATGGAAATACGCCATCCTTTTGCATTCCTAAGTAGTTCAATTGGATTGAGGTATGTTTCATGTCTCTAGATTGCATGCCAGCTTTGTCTTGCTTTAATTAGTCTCTAGATTCCTTGGGTATTATCAATCTAATAACTTTTCTTTCAAAAGTGGCGTACACGATGTCCTGTATGATCTACATTACCACTGTCTCTGCAACCTTCCACTTTCAGTTCTCGTCACTGTCGATGTTTCAGGGTTCAGGACTAGCTGTCGTTCATCTGCAATGTTGCAACGATACGTCCTCATTGACAATGTTTTATTTACTATGGCTTTTCCTTGAGCTTGATCAGTGAGTCACGCCATTTTGCCCGGTGCTGGCGGTAATACCGAGAAGTAGGTCACAAGGCCATTGTTGTATGCAGTCGGTGCCTTGCACAGGCACTCATCTGGACTACAAAGTACAAACAGTCAGTAGGTTGTCTGCTTTGTTGTCTGAAGTTTCTCTAACTCTCCACTAAGCATACCCAATTGTGCAGCTGCCCTTGCAGTCGGATTTTTTGTGTTGCTCTGCAAGTTACGTAGCAACATCAAAAATACAGCGCGAGAGGCGACAAGCACGCGCTTGGGTTACGTCGAGAGCCTCTCAAGACTTTGAAGGTCGCAAGCAGGCTATCGAATCCATCGCTACGTTTCAGATGGTCAGAGAATAGCGACCGGGTTTTGGTATACGACAATGCCTATATGCAGGTTGCAGGCACCGTTCTCGCATCTGCATCGGGAGACCATACTATTCGCTTGCGGCAGTTGCACACGGGGACGGAAGTTGCAAAGCGCAAGTGCTTGAATGGGGTGCGTTATGTTGCATTCAAGTTCTCGGTGGACGGACATCTTCTGTTTGGCCGCAGCTGGGACCTGAAAAGATCACAGTGCGAAATACCAGAAGAAGTGCTTAGAGCAGTACACTGTGATGGTTTGGCCGGGAAACTAAGGAATAAGGTGACTCGATTGTTTATCATTGGTACACGCACAAGTTCGCGTGCACCCTCATCAGGCCGGACCTTATCGGAACAGATAGAAGGTGCTTGACCTAACCCCATGTCAATGTTTATACTGATCTTAAATCAAGGGTATCAGGATATATGCTCAAACACTCCTAGTCGGATATTACTGGCCAACGCCACTATAAGGTGCATAGGCACCCCGACAAGTCTACTTCACAGGCTACTTTCTCCTCAATGCTACAGGTTGATACAGAATCTACTTCGCCTTCTTTCTTCCGGGATATCAGGAACTTTTTTAACAACATTCGGCCGTTGTCTGACAGGAACGTAAAGCAAAGTGAGCATTGATCGAAACCGGAGGCTTCGGAAGTTATCAATGTCCCTCATTGATAAAAGACTTTTCCGAATTCCATTTGGGTTGTGCGATCCGATTGACCTTTGCTGAGGTGATGTTGGTGTCGATGAAGGAATTCGACTATCTTCACTCTTCTTTTGTTTCAGCTCGTTCCAGAAAAAAAGCTACCACCAGTTTATGACGTCGACCTTGTGAATGATGAATACGAGGGAGACATTCTCGATGTTCGCTTACCTACTGTCAGGTATCGCGAGTCTGTTCGCTCTTACTCGATGGGTTCTCTGATATGTTTTGATTTGTAGCCTAGATCCAATTCGTCCAGCAGGAGATTGAACTGACGTCAACGCTAGCTTTTGGAAACAGGCCCGTGTCTCGCACTGCAGTCACTGAAGAACGCAGTTTAGTCTTAGTCAGACCTTGAGAAAAGGAAGACAGTCGTTCCTCTTTTTCAGGGATGAATAATTACCCTGACCACTTTATTAAGTATGCTTGTAGGCTGTGTCTCTATGGACTTCGATGTTAACGTCAATGTGTTTTCACTTTGTCGTAAGTAAATATGCAGTTGCCTAGAGCGTGAGAAACATAAGGTTTTGATTGCCTCGTGTCAAGTGAACGCGGCCAAACATGCTGCGCTGTCGTAGTCCGCTGCCACCATCTCCATACACTAATCTACCAACAAAACATGAGTGAAACGCCGCCGAAACCAAAGCCAGGCTCGCTGCGCGACAGGATCGCCGCGTTCGAGAATGCTAACAAGAGTGCAGCTCCTGCCCCCGCCGGGCCTGCACCTCGCCCAAAGCCCTCGACCCTCCAATCATGGAAACCAAAGGTACCTTCACCACCTCAGTCACCAGAATCTGAGCGTAAGACTGCGGGGATGTCTGCATCAGACGCGATGGAGAGCATCGGCAGAGGCGGAAGTCTCAAAGAGCGCATGGCTGCTCTCCAAGGAAAGGTCGCATTTGGCGGCGGCACCCCGCCCCCGATCCTCCCCAAACCTGCAGACAAACCAAGGATGGAAACCACCGCCGCCCGTATTGACTCCTGCAGATGAGGCTGTCTCTCAAGATGGGGCGATTGATCCTCAAGGGTCTTCTCCCCCTGCTACGGGTGATCCTGATTCTGATCCTACCGACTTAAAAGGCGAACACGAGGCCCAGCAAGATGCCGCTGAGATTGAACAAGATCCGGAGGAAGAGGAGAGGCAGCGCCGTGCCGCGATCGCTGCTCGCATGGCTCGTCTTGGTGGTGCACGTGTTGGCATGGGCCCGCCTCTGTTTGCCAAGCCATCTCCCAAGAAACCAGCGACCCCTCCACCTCAGCCTAAGCAGGATGAGGAGGCAACCTTACCAGACTCAGAGGGTATGCAATTCCTTCAGTTTATGGTATAAAATAACACGTATCTTAGTGACTTCACCTCCTGCGGAAACTATAAGCCCTCCCGCTGACGTTAGGGAAGAGGTGCAGACTGATCCAGGTCATTGTTATGATTTCTGCTCTCAAGTCAGTATTAATGAAGTTCTACAGGTCACTTCCCTGCCCCTACACACAAAGACTCCGACTCTTCCTCGCTCTCCCTCGCAGATTCCTCATCTAATGCATCAACTACCCGCTCGATGCCAGTACCCGCCGGTCCACGTCGCGCAGCTCCCCCGCGCAAGAAAGCCTACAAGTCTCCTCCCGTGTCTCAGCTCTCAGAGGTCCCTGTAGTTCATGTGGCACCAGATGTTTCTGAAGAGGCCCCAGACGCTGAACCCGCAGAAGAACCCGCAGCTAGTATTGAACTGGAACCTGAACTTGAACCAGAGGCCAGACCGTCTGTTGCAACGGTGACGTCACAAGAAGTAGTCCAAAGTCCAGAACATGTCCCGGTCACATCCGCAGAGCAGATTCTCGCCGTCAGCGACGTACAGAAAGAGATTGGTGAAGTAGGCGTGAGTATCGAGCTTGATACAGCCGAGGTAGACCCCACCGACAAGCTCGAGGAGGAAAATTACCGTGTCGATGCCGATGAACCTGCGCCTGAGCAACAAGACCGGGAGAAGGAAGAGCAGGAACAGGAACAGGAACAGGAAGAGCAGGAACAGGAAGGGCGTGAGCAGGAACAGGAAGAAGAAGAAGCGCGTAGGCAACGTGTGGCTGCTAAGCTTGCCCAGATGGGTGCATTTAATCCATTTGCGGGACCTCCGCCTGTACTCCACCAGGATTCCATATCATCACCTACTGCTAGACGTGATTCAATCACTGTCCAGCCTGTTTCTGTAGAAGAACCTCTCGATATCGGTGAAGCAACTCCCTCTCCCCCTGCCCACAGTCCGCCCCGGTCTCACGTCGAGGAGGAACTAGAACAAGCCAAAGAAGTAAGAGAAGTAGACGAGCCCGCTTCCTGTGCTGGTGAATTCTAATTTTACCACTTGTACTCATGTTGTAGTGTATTAATCGATTTTTGGTTGCTTTTTTTGTACCAGCCGAGTTCGACCATGGATCTCAGCCTGACTTGGGGGCAACTCACCGCGTGCTATATCACGATGAGATGGGCGAACAAGATGGTTCGGGATCGGCTTTTGAATGAGCCTGGAACTTGGGAGCCTGCATCACAGCCATACACTCTAGATACTCCTCTACGAGAATACGAGCCCAGCCAGGGTGATCCAAATCAACCAGGACACAAGTGCCCAGGATGAGGAAGCCGTATTTACAGACTTCCGTCAATTCGGTACCACTAGATAACGCACCCGACGCACCCGAGTCTCCTTGCACCGGATTTAACCCCAGACCAACACCAGGACGACGACGACGAGATGGCCCCTGCACGTATCACACGTCCAATCCCGCCCCCACCTGTCAATTTAGTATCGAAGCCTTCGATTACACCATCATCATCACCACCACCACCACCACCCAAACCGTTGTATGCGCTCCAGGCTGATGAGGAAAGGCCCGAGTCGCCTGCACCGCGACCTGTGCCTCCCCCTGTGAAGAGTGGTACGTGATCATTGTACGTGTGTGAAGTTCCACTGGCGCTGATCTTATGGTTTGTCAGCGAAAGCGGCTGAGGGGCCACCTGCCCCACCCCCTCGCGTCGCTCGGCGTGCGAGTGCACGTGTCAGGTCCGCGGATTTGGAGGAGCCAGCTTCCCCACCTCCCCCACCTCCCCGAATTGCTCGGCGTACGAGTGCAAGCGTCAGGTCTGCGGATTTGGAGGAGCCACCTTCCCCACCTCCCCGAATTGCTCGGCGTACGAGTGCAAGCGTCAGGTCTGCAGATATGGAGGAGCCTCCTTCTCCACCTCCCCGCCTCGTTCGGCGTACGAGTGCAAGTGTCAAGTCTGTGGATATGGAGGAACCATCTTCCTCACCCCCTCGCATTGCTCGGCGTACGAGTGCAAGTGTGAAGTCTATAGATATTGAGGCTCCACCTACGCCACCACCTGTTCCGATCTCTCCTCGCGCTTCGGTGCGCAGACCAACTTCTCCACCGATAATCACCGCACTTCCGCTTGTTGTCTCTGTGACGACGAACGAGAAGGTTACTGAACAAGGTGTGTTGTTGTCGGGCTAATATCGTGGAAAATTCTGATGGAAGTATCCGTTGGCAGAGTTCTCAGATGGTGAGACACCCTCTCAGCCTCAGCGAGTTCAGGAGCCTGAAGAAGAGGATGAGGATTCTGTGCGCAAACGGACCATCGCAGAGCGCATGGCGCGTTTGGGCGGGATCAGGTTTGGTGCACCACCAGTCCCCACGCCAACCACTCGACCTACTTTTCCTCGTGCACCTCCCCCGACATCTATCCCTCCTGATGAGTCAGAAGTTGATGCTAAGGAATCGGAGGAGAGAGATGAGACAGTAGAAGACGAAGCTGCGAGGAAGCAGCGGATCGCTGCAAAACTTGCAGGTATGGGTGGCATGCGATTTGGGATGTTGCCGCCTGGTGCGGGCGTAGCACCTGCGACTGCTCGACGACTTGCACCGAAGCAGGACGACAGTGAGAATGAAGACGCGGCGCTTCCTGTTCCTGCACCCGCGCGTCGACCACTGCCACCTGTTGAAGTCGAGTTGGAGCAAGAATACCACCAGACATGGTCGGAAGACAGCGTACGTACTGAAATGGAGGAGAGCGAAGTTGAGGAGGCGTATTATTCAGATGCGGATGCTCAAGAGCCGGTTGAGGAAGATGGCCCACCCTTGCCTCCGCCCCGACGGTCGTCTTTGACGCTGAGGTCTGCGGAGGTACTTCCGACTCCTCCTCCTCGTCTGCCCCCTTCTATTGGAAGACATCCAATTTCATCCATCTCTGCGGCTCTGCTTAACCGTCGCTCTAGTGTTGCGACGGGATCGTCCTCTAGGAAGTCTTCGGCAGACTACTCCAGCACGGCTGAAACCCCCGTACAGAAGCAGCGAATACATATGGCCCCACCCTTGGAAACAGCCTCATCAGATTCTGGTACTCAATCAGAGTACGTGATGGTAGAGCCTGAACCAGAGGCCGAGGAACAGCCCCTTGCGCCTCCACCTCGCCGCTCAAGTCGTGCGCCCCCTCGCTCCTTCCCACCGCCTCCGCCTCCATCCGCCATCGACCCTCCTGAACAGATTGCTAGCACTACTCAGTGGGAACTCCCGTCGATCCCCCAGGATACATCTGAATTTGGCGATGAAGCGGACCTAGCTTCATCCAGACTCTCAGAAGACTCGACGTTCCATGGATCCACGTCACCAATGCGTAAACTCGACTCTCGCCGCACCTCAGGGCAGACTGCTCGTCCCGTTGACCAGCAGATCAGCGCGGACGACCTCATGGCGCTCTGGGGCAAAGTTGGGGTGCAGGTGGTGGAGTCTGCGATGGGGCTGTTTGAAAAATCTAAACGCTCGCTTGTTGGCGACGGTTCGTACGCGGGATTTGTGAAGGATGTTTTAGCACAAGTTCCTGATGCACAACGTGTCTCAGGGGAGGGTGAGGACTGGGGGTATTTGATCTACGTGCAAACTGCCGGCTCGGTGCAGCGCCGCGTTGCTGATATCCTGCCGGGTGATGTAATCGCCTTTTGGGACGCAAAGCTCAAAGGCCACAAGGGGCTTCACACGTATAGCCAAACGATCGGCACAGGGGAGAACGGTCCGCTTGTAGGTGTGGTGAGTGAGATGGAGAGTAAAAAGAGCAAAGTTCGCGTATGGCAAGCGAACCAGCATGTCGGTCAGCAGGTGAGTTTGCTACGAAGATGGGGGTGGAGGGCGAACGGCGCGCTGATACCGAAGGCTACGCAGACTGTGGAGAATGTGAGTTACAGGTTGGAGGATTTGAAAAGTGGGGTTGTTAAGGTGCGACATCTTCTCTTTTGGGGTTAACTGTTTCGCTGATCCGCTATGTGTGTTACGATGCTTAGGTGTTTCGTGTCATGGCCCAAGTATGAGCAATTTTGTGTGTACGGATTTCGTAGGGTGGATCGTGTAATACTTTGGTTTTCATTTATATTCGGAACTGTATAATTCCATGTGGACTCTTATCTAGGTATTCAGGCGCTACAAGTTGTTGCATGAGTCAGACTTCAGTACTCTTCTGCTAACTACATACAATGACATCATGATCGACATTGCTTATTAGTGTGTCATAAGCCTGACTCGGTTACGCCCTATGATACTCCGAATTCACGTCGGTTCTTCTCCACCAGCTACTACTACGGACCTTTTCAACACAGCAGTATGTCATCGTTACACAGGCTGGGGCCTCTTTTTTGCATCAGTTTGGAGTCACAGACACAGACCATATGGAAGCTAGACAATGATCATGTCTTGTCATTCGCCTCTTTGCCTTCGTGCGTAGTATCCTCGGTTTCTTACCAAGGGATGGTATAACTCTAACCGATTAAGTAGTAGGCACAGCGGGAAACGAGGGATAACTCCGAAGGGCGCTTTTCCTCCAGAATTATTCATGCCAGCGCTTCACCCGCTGTCCTTCAACCATGGCGACTTGGAACGTCGTGGGCGAGATTGCGAATGTCGGTGGTGTTGCTTCCATAGTTCAACTATCTCTGCAAGTCATCCTTGCAGTCAATAGCTATGCCTCATCCGTTGCAGGGGCAGAGGCTGCACGTATAAGCCTTTGTAACGAACTCCTCTCCCTCAATAAAACTCTCAACCACATATATTTCCTCCTTCAGCAGTCGAACAATGCATTATCAACACAGGAAAATGACTTATCCCCTTTGGAGAGCGCATTAAAGGAGTGCGAGAAAGTCTTGCAAGGTCTTCGTGAGCGGATACCAGAGAACAAGCGCCGGACATGGATCGGTTCAAGACTAGCGTGGCCATTCCAGCAAGCCGATATAATGAAGGCCGTGGATACATTGGAGCGTTGCAAAAGTACCCTTTCATTGACGATCTCTAGTGGTCTCTTGTACGTGCTTTTTATTTGGATTCTAGGCCCTGATGCACAATTAATGTCAATCGTTATTATAGGTCACATGTGGCAGAGATAACGGCTACAACCAAAGAAATTCAGCTGGACATAAAGGATGAGACAGAAAATATCAAGCAGGAAATTAGTAGGAGAACCAATGAGGTCAAGTGGAAGATTGGAGATAACGCTTTAGCGATTAGAGAGGAAGTCACGGCTGCGAAACTGGCAATCACTGTGCGTATATTTGACTGAATTTCAATGCATGCTGACTCCAATTGATGACTAGGATAGGTTCGATTACGGCATCGCCTACATCACGTCCGCACAGGAAATGGCCATGAAAAGACACGAGGAACAGAAGATGGAAAAGATGGCTATGCATGCACAGGGTATGTCTATGCAGCCACTAGCAATCACTTCACATTGTTTATAAGTGCAATCACCCAGACCAAGAACGAAAGGATTTCTTGCGGTGGTTGGGAGGGTTCGACTGCACAATTAGGCACGAAGAGGTTTCCGCTCAACGGGAAGAAAACACGTGCACCTGGGTGTTCGGAATGAAAGTTTTTCGACAATGGAAGACACCGCCAACAGTGCGGCATGGTAAATTCCTATGGATTAATGGCAAACGTTAGTACTTCTATGAGTCTTAATTATGATTATCTGACTCATTATATCTCAGCCGGAGCGGGGAAAACTGTCATTGTGTGAGCACTCATCTTCGATACCAACATACGAACGCTAACATATACAGTTCTGCAATCATAAACGAGCTGGTGGCTTGTGGCGAAACCCCAGTGTATTTCTACTGTGACTTCCGCCAAGAAAGAACCACAGATGGAGCTATCATTTTACGTTCCCTTCTTGTTCAGCTACTGAGACAAGCACGTATCGATTGGAGCTCGGAATTTACCGATCTCTTTCGTAGGAAATCAGAAGGGGCTGAAGCTCCTGTTGACATCGCAGTCCTATGTGACCTCATCTGCCGCTCTCTGAAATTCCTGCGACAACCCGTCGCAATAATCGATGCCCTCGATGAATGCAAGCATATTAGGACATTCCTCCCACGGCTGGTTCGCATAGTGAACGAGGGCGAATTGCGACTTCTCATCACCAGTAGGATGGAACCAGCCATTTCCAGTACTCTATCCGGCTTACCATCATTATCGTTAAGCGATTATGCCCGCTTAATCGATAACGACATGCAACTTCATATTGACAGAGAACTGGAGGCTCGTTCGAGGCTCGCATCTCTCGCCCCGGATCTGAAAGATGAAATACGAAGATCGCTCTCGCAGCAGGCGGACGGCATGTCAGTGAACGCCTACCATTATATGTCATGACTAATACTTTGATCATCAGGTTCCGTTGGGTGGAATGCCAACTGGATGCTATCAGTGCTTGCCGATCTGTTAAAGGGATATCAGACTCGCTCAAGAGTCTCCCGAAAGGCCTTTACGAGACGTATGACAGAATTTTACAGGCAATCGAAGAAGCCGGACCGGATCGTAGGTCTATCGTAGAGCGTACGTTGATGTGGCTGGTCGCTTCTCTGGAGCCACTCAACCTGTGTCAGCTTGTTGAGGCCTTGAGTATAGACATTGGAAGTACAACACTCAACCAAAGGCTCACCGTCATTTCTCCGACCGATCTCTTGGAGATATGCAGTTTTCTGGTGAGCTTCGACGAGAGGACCTCCATTGTGACTTTGTCGCATTACAGTGTGCGGGTAAGGTGTGCTCGTTTTCCGACAAGATGGACTCTCATGCACGGTACTCTAGGAATATTTAATGGCAGGCGAAAATGCACGCAAGTATCGCCATTTACTCGAAGAAGCCCACCGACATATTGTCCAGTATTGCGCGCATTATCTGGTCAGCGATGATGTCCTTAATTCCAGCAACACCCGTCCTATGCTGCGTTATGCCCTTGATCTTGGGCTTGGGGCGCATATATCCTCAATCATCAACGAGGAAGACTCTGTGCTTTCTTGTCTAGAGGATCTCCCGGGACAGATATGCATTCGACATCCTTGGAATGACCAAGCAGCACTTGTCAATCCCTGGCAGATTTGGCTTGCTGATCCCAAAAGCATATGTGACGTTCTGATCCGTTTCGGACCTGAGTGGATGGTTCAACGGTATCTGCGAAAGCATCGGGAGCATTGGAATAATGCGCTGCAATTCGCAATCTTGGAGGGAAATACACAACTCGCCAATGCTGTGTTGGATCTCGAAAGAGACCCCAATTTACCCATCACGATTGGCTCAAAGACTACAAGCCCCACGATGTTTGCCATCCGGTACAGTCCACAAGATCTCATCGAATGCTTCCTTCGTAAAGGTGCTCATCTCCCAGTCGACGCTATCCATACTGCACTTGAGGAACGGCAGGATCTTGACTCAGGCATCCTTTCATTGCTCATTCGTTATGGGGCAAATGTCCATGCAACACACGTCCATTTTAAAGATAGTCCTCTTCACACTCTCCTTCGCATAGATACTCGGAGCCAGGAAGTGTACTTGGAGGCTTCACGTGTTCTTGTTGATGCAGGGTGCGAATTCGATACTCGGGACCAAGAGGGATGGAAACCTCTTGACATTGCCATCATGAAATCGTTCCATGTAGTTGCGGATTACCTCCTCCAAAAGGGTGCTGTCGCCTCGGCGGATGTTATTTGCAGACACCTTGAGAAAGAGAGCTTTGACTTTGACCTCATGTCTACGCTCTTACGGCACGGCATGGATGTGAACGTGCAAAGCAGCGGATCTAATCCCCTCCATATTCTCTTTGGTTATGAAGAATGGACCGACGACTGGCTCGAGTTAGCAGACCTACTGATCGAAGCAGGATGCCCAATCGATGTTGAAGATTATGAAGGATATACGCCTCTGCACCTGGCCATCAGACATGGATCGTCCAACTTATTGATGCATCTTATTGCAAGCGGTGCTCGTATCCCTTTGGACGCAATCCATGATCATCTGGAGGATTATTGGGTTGATCGCTCAGTCATTTATACCCTTATCCAACATGGAGCGGATGTGAACGCGGTACGCAATGGAGCCTATGTCCTTCATGCCCTGGTGGCCCACGAGAATTGGAGAGATGACTGGCTCAGGACGGCACAGTTACTTATTGAAGCAGGATGCTCAATTGATGCTGAAGACGTAGAAGGTTGTACGCCTCTCCACCTGGCCATTAGATGTGGATCATTGCCATTAGTGAACTATCTCGTCAAAAAAGGCGCCCGCATATCGGCATGCGCGATCCATGATTACCTTGAGAATGATTGGATCGATCATGCCATCATCTCTATACTCGTTCAGCACGGTGCTGATATGAATGCGCAACGCAATGAACGCAATTCCCTCCATTCTCTGCTTCATCATCAGCACTGGAAAGAAGAATGGTTCAAAGCAGCATATATCCTCGTTGAAGCAGGAGTTTCGTTGGAAGCCGTAGATGAAGCAGGTTATACACCAATCCAGCTGGCCATCATGCAAGGCTCGGCTACCTTAGTGAAATACTTGATGGGAAGAGGTGCTTGTGTTCATGTGGACGCTATTTATGACAACCTCAAGAAGGGCTGGATCGACGCTGCCATGGCTTCTGTACTTGTCCAGCATGGGGAAGATGTCGTGTACGACGGTGGCAACTTCCTCCATGCTCTAACTAAATGTCTGGATATGCGACATGACTGCCTCGAGATAGCAAAAATCCTGATCGATGTGGGGTGCTCGTTGGACGCCACTGACAATGCCGGAAATACTCCCCTTCATCTTGCCATTAAACAGCAATCAGCGTCTTTCATGCAGTATCTAATAGAAAGCGGTGCCCATGTTCCTACGGATGCTATCCATGTTGCACTTCAATCCACTCAAATTAACTTGGATATCATCTCGGTGCTCGTCCAGCATGGCGCACACATCAATGACATGCATTTGGGTGCTAGCCCTCTCCACACTCTCCTCACTCATTGGAATTGGAGAAGTGATTGTTTTGAGACAATGTCAATCCTCGTCGAAGCGGGGTGCAGCTTGGACGCCACAGATTGGAAAGGGAATACCCCCCTCCACCTTGCCATCAGACTTCAGTCGCCCCCTTTAGTCGGGTATCTTATCGACAGAGGGGCTTGTATTCCAGCAGATGCCATGCACGATGCGGTTCATTCCACTCACAATTCTGGGGTCGACTTGAATCCTGACGTTACTTCTGCTCTTATTGCCCGTGGCGCAGATGTGAATGCATTACGCCATGGTGCCAACCCACTCCATACGTTGCTTTATCGCCCCCAAAGAGGCGACTATCCTACAATAGCTCGCCTCCTCGTCGATGCAGGATGTGAGTTTGACAGATGCGACTTGACTGGGTATACACCGCTTTGCCTTGCTATAATCCACGAAATGCCCTTGGTGATTGAATACCTCCTCCTGAAAGGTGCTTCCCTGCACATGGACTCTATTGGCATTGTCATCAAAGATAACGATGTGGGTCCCGATATCATTCGAAATCTTCTTCAGCACGTTGCAGACTTGGATGCGGATCTGTCCTCTCAGTTGCTTATGCTATCATTGGGCCATCGTTCATCGTCCCAGCTGTTACATGATATGCATGATAGCAATTGCCTAGAAATCGCCAGAGTCCTCGTTGATGCCGGATGCGAACGAGACAATGTTAAATATTCACCCCTCATAGATCTTGCCATCAGCCAGTCGCTCCCACGTGTCACGCAGTACTTCCTTCAAGTGGGCAGCCCCATCCTCATAAATCATCCGGTCCACGTCGCACTCAATAGCGTCGTTTCTGATAATCCTGAACAGGATCAGTGGGTCGATCAGCTGCACGCATGGCAAACAGACTGCCGATTCCAGACCGCGCAGGTCCTCATCGAAGCTGGACATGATGCCAAAAGTCGAGACTCGGCGGGACAAACACCCCTTAACATCGCTATCCAGAAGCGGATCCCATCTGCAGTCAATTATCTCCTCAAAGAACTCGCATGTGGACAGCTTGATTTCTTCTGTGGAAATGGTCTAGAGGAACACAATGCGGCGGTAATTGCGACACTGCTTCAGAGCAGCACCCCACTCCACAGTTTTGATCCGCAGCGTATTTACAGATCCTGTTAGCATTCACTGACTTCTGTTTTTCGAGCAACGGGATGCACGGTCCTTTCTGCGAACGAGACTGTGGGGAGATGCTGCTTATTCTCATTGACGAGGGCTTTTCGGTCAACACTATAGATTCATCAGGAGACACGCCCCTCCGTGTTGCCATTCAACGCCGACTCTTCCTCATTGTTGAATATCTTCTTCGACGTGATCCAATATGCAACGTCGACGATGTTATTGCCGCTTTCGGCACCCAGCCGTATGCGTGGCAGCACCTTCTTCACAGATACATATTGAACATGGACCCTTTGCATACCCTGATCTCACGGATGCACTCGAGCCACAATAACGTGGACGAAAATATTTACCTAGCACTTACAAAAGGCCTCGTACAAGCTGGCTGTGATGTCAATGCGCGGGACAGCAGTGGGATGACTCCACTCCAGCATATGAATAAACTCGAAGTCGATCGAGGATACCCTGCAATCAAATATTTTCTATGCCAGGAAGGGGCACTGTAATGTAATGGGGTGTTGCGACAGTCTAGCTATTCGAGGTTTCTCTGATGATGTTGATACTGTATTGTTTAATGATCAATGGTAACTTGTCTCGCTAGCCTTACAACGCACAGCAAGACCCCCTCCCTCCGCATGCAACGCAATGGGGTGTTGGAACTTACTAAGGCTCACAGGGCACCCTTCAACAGATAGAAACAATTATACGATTAAAAAATTCGGTGCACGACCACGTCCGTTCGGTCGCATTGTATGGTCAAATAAACCATTAACTTTGCCAGTACTAGTGAGTTCAAGACTGCAAGGTGAAGGCGCACATTAAGGATATCATGGGGGCGCATTGATCGCTGGCTGGCTTCAAGTCCGTGTCATTAGTACTTTGTATGATACGTGGGGGAGCGCGGACAATCAAACTATGGGACTCACTATTGGGATATAAGAGAATGCATTATTATCGACAGAGTATCCTTTCACATAGTGAGCTACAAGTCGTTTACAGAAAACACGTACTCACATAAAGAGGGACCGTCCACCTTGACTTTCTTTGTAGGCTTTCCTTGGGCGACTGTAGAAGCGGTATCAGGTTGCTGACGCTTTCCGCGTTTTCTCTGGCAATCAAGAGCGTACGAGTCAGGCTATCAAATGTAGGACAAATCACGCATGATACTGACAAATCTGTCATCGAATTGCTTCTTCCTGCACATAGACACGAATATGATGAGGTTTCAAGCGGTACAAAAAAACGATCAAACTTGCCTCGCGAGTGCCTCCTGAGCTTTCCGTTTATCCTCTTCATCCTACTCAGACATCCGAGCACATCAGCAAATTGTCTAGGCAGAAGATAGAGGATATCTACGGGAGCCCACCTTTCTGCTTCTCTGGAACCTTTCCAGGAACGAGCCATCGTTTGAGAATACGTTGACCGGTTTCGGTTTCGGCGGGACCTTGGACGAGGTGCCAGGAGAAGTTGGCGACAAAGTAGCCGTGATCGGAAAAGCGTATCCCGGATAAGACTGAGGTAATGCACTGGTCATTGGTATTGTATGATTTGGCACTAGATGGATTTCTACGGGCTCTGGGACTGGATCAACGAATGGAAAGTGGAAGTTCCGGAAGCCGCATACTTTGTAATCTTATTTATTTGTAGTCTATTTATTTGTAGCTGTTGACTTCAAGTTCCAGGACATTCGTGCATCTTCTCATCGACGTTAACTAGACTCTGTGGCAACTCTGATACTGGTGACTAGCAGGACCTCGCCGGCTCTGCTAAGTGCTTCCAACGGCGTGAGCATGCAAATTTGCTCTAGAAAATGTGGTTTGGAATCATATTCTGACCCCAGACCGCTCCCACTTTCGCGTGTTCAAGTTATTCTCCCTCACACCGGATCAGTGACATTCACATACCACAGCCCCCGTTCCCAGACGATATAAACATCCGGATAACAAGCATACTGGCAGGACTCGAGTGTGAATTAATTTGTCACGAATCACACAAGAAAGAGTCTGGATCTTTTGCAAATTTCTTCACTCGTGTTTCCAGGCGATCGCTTCACATACAGCCATATTTTTTTCTCTGAGCCGGTCGGGATTATCATGTTATTTGGATGAAACACAGGACATTGCTTGAGCATGCTCAACCCAAAGACCACAATATCAACATGCGACAGGATCATCAAGTAACCGCAATGCAACAATACCGCTGAGTTCACATAAACTTCTGTGGACACTCTTCTGAGCAGAACTCAGAGCTTAGTTTGCAAACGTACTGGCGCGAAAGAGCTGCTGTATGCTTGATTGTTCACGCGTTCTTGTATCTGCCAACAAGAGCACTGAACTTGCTGATGGATGATCAAGCACTTCGATTCTTGCACTGGGCGTATACGTGAACATTTGAGCACCAATTGTAGATAACCGTGCGTATGGTCTATGACAATGAACATCCCTTCATGCAATTGTGCTGGGTCACCTTGTAAGTACCAACCTATTCCCTCGCACGCCCCCGTTTGCCTCCAATGTTACTCACTTGCCGCAGAGAACGAAATGAAAATAGCGACATCGGTCATGCCCCTGCGTGTGAAACGCTCCAAAGATGCATCTCAGAAGATTGAAACAAAATCATCTAGAGAGAAACTATTCAATCTTCGCATCGGTCAATGATGCGGAGATTGTTCATCTCACCTTCTTCGCACAAGCCTCTCATATTGAAGCTAATTTGCCGGCTCAATTGGTGCGTGCATGCGATCCGTTCCTGGGCTCTCCTGAGTTCCCCGTCGCAGCTTCTCCACATATATGAAGGTCAGCACTACCAGATCCACCATATGTTCGACTGGCGAAAAGACCTCTAGGTATGCTTCATGTCCTGGCCTGTTGAAACCGATATCCACTGGGTGATGCCGTGCCACTTCCGTGTCGCCGAGCATGAGCTGACAGTCATACACCGCGTTATAAATTTTTGATTGAAAATAATCGCAGCTGACTTACGATGCATTCGCGTGGGCCGATCTTCCACTTGTATAACAGTCCGTCAGGACCTCGAAAAACACGCCGCCTGCGAGATAAATTTAAGTGTTAAAGCAACTGAACGGATCATACGTATTAGGCTCTCACCGTCCAAGAATCCCCTTAGTGGGAATGAACTGAGACGTGACTAAATTCATCCCGTTATACTTGATGACAGATGAAGCAAATGTGTGCCACTCGATCTCTGCGAGGATTTCTGACGATTCCACTTTGCCAATATTGAATTCGTTTGGGACGTGCTTCTTGACGACTGTCACACGAGTATCGAATGAGAAGGAGGTCGAAGTGGAGTATAGAACATGGCCCTGTTCATTTGTCATGACCATGTTACGCACATGAGGGGGTTTGAAGGTGAGTTTCATCTCCAGTGTCTGCGGGGATCAAGCTCCCGGTGAAGTCTGGTTGTGAGAGAAGTCATCGCATGCGTACTAGAAGTGGGTTTCCATTTTAGTTACATGCTTGTTTATCATATGGACCTGGCTCACACGATATCGTGCATGCAACGTTTTACATGACGGAGTTGTAACTTCGCGAAGCTTAAGCTTAGTAAGGAAGGGTTCTTGACTCGGCATAATCCGGCGGAGAATATCGGCCTTTGCTTTTACTGTAGGTCTCTGTCCTGCTGCTGACTTGGTAATTCTTACAGTTCGCTGGCGAGGGGGGCTCTGACCTCTCAATCAACAGCACATTTCCAAGGTCTGTGCACTCCTCCCCTGTCCTCGGCGAATGTGATGTCGCCCGAGGCAGATTTATTCTCACCAGAGTCACCACCACCGGTGCAAGTCCCACAGAAATCGACATCTATGTTACTGGCTATGCACGGAACAAATCTATCTGCGAAAGATGGCTTTATAGGATTTCCGAATGATACAACACATTTCACGAGTCACCGTCCGTCATGTTTTCGAGCGACTGTCCATGTTTCAGAGCTGTTTTTGTACTGCTTTTATGCCCCCGTTACAATAGTACATAATATTAATCGAGCATATGTGCGCACATATAACTTAATGTAATGTGCGGATTCGCTCGATGTTCTCTGAGGTGACAAGATTACTTATCGTCACAACTCGATCAAGGATACTCCCTAGGTTCTTATCGTCAAGTTGTGGCCTAATATCATCGTGTTCGTGAGAGGGCCTGTCAAGATATTTTAAACCTCGAGTCTTGCAAGCGCTGATAATTTCATGAACTCAATTGAGAGGGGCGTGACGTCATACATAAGAGATCCCTATAAGATTGGTAGACCACTGATATTTGTGTTTTTGAGCAAGAGACTCGCCTCGACGAAGATTGTCCACCGGGATTGTTGAACTGTACAAACTTGAGCGCGCATTCGACAAATATATCTGTAGCGTACATGAGGTCCAGGCCGTTACCGAAATAGCTTCAAGCTGAAACATCAATATTGGACATATATACCTGCCAATCTAACGGAATAATCTAATGATAATGATCCTTTGTTATCACTGCTAACAAGAGCTGCGTCGGTTGCGGATCCTGAATCGGAAGAACTGGGTGACAGGCCTAGAACCCTGCATGAGGCTAGAATCTTGATGTTGAATGCTTTAACGGCGGTCGAACAAGAGGCAGAGATAGTATCCTGACTCACCGAAGGAAGCAGCTGGGTCTGGTAGCGGATGATTCAGGCGATCTGATGGGTAAACCTATTACCCCTTGAGTCGGAACGGCAACTTCGATCGGCTATTATTTCAAGTTTTATGACAAAAAACAAGGGCTGCAGCCTGCAGGGCGTTCGGTTATTGTCGGACCATGCGGGCTGCGGCAGGCAGGGTGTGATGCCTACAAACATTAGATCGCCGACGAGTGGGTCTCGACACGTTTGCCAACAGGACAAGTACACGCATTTCAGGTGCGTTATGGATGCGATCATCCTTGATATGTACTGCCGACACCGGTTTCCACAGTCATCGTCATGGATGAATCGATGACGACGAGGAGCTATGCATGCATACACAGCTAGGGCACAAATTTTAGATGCGGTCACATTATCACAGAAGGTAATCTCGCATCCTTTAGTTGACATCATTTGGCACGTGTTGCCGGTTCTACCGCATAATGTGGGACCAGGGGTACCATATAAGGCCCTCACAATTACATCTGAACCAGCCCTTTGATTTCTCTCCCGAATTTTATCCATCACCCGCAACATCACACTTACCATCGACATGGAGTCCACCGCTAAAGCTACTGTCAACCAGCCCCAGGCTGCCATGCAAATGAGTACGTTTTCTGTGCGACTAATAAAACATATCATTTATGGCAGCTGCGGCTCAATTTGAATAGGCGTCGTGAACCCTGCTCCTGCCAACAACAGTCAAAACCACCAGGAGCACCACGCTAAGCGTATTCGTGGAGGAGGAGCTGCTAAAGTACAGTCTCTCCAATGTTGAAAGTCGAGAATCGTGGTTGATTTTTGTTCGCTTCACCTAGGACTGCTTCCTTGGTGCACTCGAATGTTTCCTGTGCTTCGGTGAGTTCAGACCCTGAATCGCATCTTTCAATTGTAGACTAAAACTCCCCATATAGAATGCTGCAAGGTGATTGGTGGACATAACGAATCTGTCGGATTTAATCTAACTGCGACCATTTCAGGACTGTTGCGAATGCTGCGCAGATATCATCTGTATGTCTTATGTCCTTTTTCTACTAGTTGGGCGGCGCTGACTTCAAACATTAAGGCTGCCCTTGCGAGATGTGCTGTTAAATGCCCTCCCGCCTTTGAAGTCTGTTCATCTTTCATTTTACGACCATGACTTTTGTAACACTGCCTGTTCGATTAATGTTTGTACTGCGATGAATCAGTCGGTGTAGAGATCAGACACGCTGGCATATCACTTTTTGATACAACTGACAAGCGTATTATTATTTTCGGTTCTTCGTTCCGGCAATCAAGTTACGTTCCGTCAGACTGCGGATAGTGAACGTTCGAAAACGCTACACATGATAGGGGTTCAAACGTTCAAACAATCTCCTTCACTTCCTAGATGGAACGGACTTGTTATATTGGATTTACCCTACCACGTGGGTCATAGCGTCAAGGTAGTAACAGCAATCCAGCAAAGGCCTACAACAACTAGTGTTGCTAGATTTGTCGAGTGGAAAACAGAAATGCTAGAGCAGTAACGAAGCAAAACATTGTGCGCAGACGTGAATAAACCTTGAACGTTGAACGATGCTATGCAGAGATATTGCTTACACCCACATCAAGCATGCATATGGAAGGCTGTACATGACCAGCGCTTCAACGTCCGATGATGTATGAACCATTCAAGCCATGAACGATGCCTTGAAGGTCAAATGAGCGTCACACCCTTCAGCATGCAATGGAGTCTGACCCATCCGCGGCTCTCGACAACGAGAAGCATAGATACCACCAAGGAACTGACGGAGCATATTGTCGACAGATAAACGGCCACAGCTGCTGCGCTGATGCCCCCAGGAACGACCAGAAACCTAATGTCAACTGCCAACACCACAGTGGACTAGCCAAAAAGGTTGATCACAGCAAGTAACCAACTGAGGAACCCGCTTACAAAGATAGTAACATTGCTAGTCGCCACTGGATCTGCTGATGTGCTTGTACCACTTTGGATAGTTCAAAGCATTTTCTACCCATGTGTTTTGCAGGATTTGTACCGTGCAACCGGGTGCCCAGAGGAAGACGTTCGCAAGCCCAAGTTAGAATGCGTCTTTCGTCTACGCCGGCATGCCCATAGAAGTTCAAGAATTTTGAACGAAAGCTGAAGGGTCGGTCAGTGACCATGCCCATTGTCCCGTACGGTATCTATGCTCACCGAACAACCCCACACGAGGCGAGCTTCCAATGTATGAGTGGAAGAATCGGCAGCCTGGTTACCTTCGCATGCCATTGCTCAAAGCTATTTCGTATTCGTTTCCCCTAGGATATGACAGAGCTCGATGGTGAAAGACTTGCTATCTGGCGTCCCACATGCAGTCCACCTGCAGGTAGACGCGGGTTCATCCCCCGTCAATTCAAAAGTATTGCTGGTCGTACGAATCAGGTGCAGGGTCGATTCCTCGGAGCTGCCAGGGGTGTATACACAAGTCGGGGCACTCACAGATACACGTCGTAGCCTAAGTAGCTGTACATTTTAGCTTCCTACGTTCATGTTGTGTCAGTCATATAGCAATATTCGAAACCGAAACATTTCTGCAATAGCTGAAGAGGGTAAAAATCCAATAAGAATAAAGTAAAATGATACAGTACGCAGCTGAAACTTAGACTACACTTTCTCTATCCATCCGCCGGCGTTTACGCTCTTGCTCCTCCATGATAAGCCGTTCTGCAGCTGACATCGGCGCAGACCGTTTCCTATCATTCCCTCCACCACTCTCTGAGCTCTCAGATTTGACAGGAGCAGCAGATTTGAACACGTTAGGCCGCTTCAATGGATTAGCTTTCAGAGGATTAACTCCGGGCTTTACGGAAGTCAGTTTCAGCCCTATCGGAGCAACTTTGGCCGTTGTATCCGACATGGTCACTGGCTTTGCGGATAATGATAGAACAACCTTTTCTGCGCCTTCTTCTCTCTTGAGACCCTCTTCAACAGGTGGGCTCGCACTTCCTTCACCATTCTCCTCTTTCTCCAACTTTGCTCTCTCAATCTGCTCTGCAATGAGAGTGCGCTCCCGCTGTTCATCATCCCGCGTAGCTCGATCCTTTTTGATAGAGGCTTCTTGCTTTGCGAGAGCTTTCGGGCTGCTGTCGATCCATGCGATAAACCACCCTTTTTCTGTCTCGTCCACGCGCGCAATACCTGAGCGCCCCAAATGTTTGGCAAACTCGGTAAGAGTCACCCAGCGGGTGGCGTTCATGTGAAGGTGGTTCTTGTCTTGAATAAATTCTTGGTAGACTTGATTGACGCGCACACGTTTCGTATTATACCTAGCGAGTAACAAACAGAGTTCTAGATTAGTGATGCCAGATTGGAACAGAGCGACGCACCGTCTGCTTAGAAGTTGGACGAAATCATGCTGGAACTGGCTTGAGAAATCAGCGATATGACGCCCGGCATTCTCGCCGACGACAAGCATCTGACGAAGATGGGCCTCGGATTGAGCATGGCACTTGAAACCGTTCTCATCTCGGCACTGCTTCTCGCAGACTTGGCAGTACCACCGCAGGCGCTGTAGGCCCTTGGATTTCATCTTATTGGCGAGATACTTTGGAGTTCCGACTGTACGTTAAACGTTAGCGTAATTCGTTCTTGTCAGTATTAGTCTGACTGACCTTCTGCGCGCGGCATGTTGGGCAATAAACAGGAGGTCCTGGTAAGATGATTGGGGTAGAAGTCGTAAGTATCTTGAAGAGAGCTTAGTCATCTTGAGTGACTGACTTGTACTCACGTGACTCATGGCTGTGCAGTAATGACAGCACTAACTCGAAGCGTTTAGTTGCTTTCAGATTGCACGAAGGGCTACGCAAGCACAGGGACTATGCTCAGTGAGAAGGCCAAAGGGAAGCAGCGTGCAATCGAACCGCCCCTTGAACGGCCCTCTTCCTCGACACCACCAGACGATTCGAGAGAACTAACAATCCGGTTTACGGAGGGTATTCCCGACTTTAAACTCACAGTCCGTCTGAAGGACACAGTCAGGGATGTTAAAGCTAATGTGCGTGGTTGAAAGTATGATTGTTACTACGTGTCTGATGTGCAGTCAAACGCAGATAGTTCAAGGTCTTCCCCAACTGAAAGACCGTCGGCTTCGTCTCATACATGCTGGGCGCCTGCTAACGGATGGAACGTTCCTTCACGAATGGCTGGCAACCCTCGAGGAACGACAGGTCCGTGCATCCGCACGTTCACAAGAGGTTTCAAAGGAGGATCAATTGGTGACATGGTTACATTGTTCTGTTGGCCCCGTGATCGAGCCTGGAGAGAGTGAAGAGGAGAAACCACAGGTGCGTGGCTCATGGATATAATGAGTCGTGTTCACTTATCACTTTCGTGATAGGTCGCTCAACTGCAACCACTGAGGGGATTCGATAGGCTTGCTGCTGCAGGGTTCTCTGAAGATGACATCGCAAATTTCAGGCGACAGTTTCATAGTCAATCGTCATCGAATTATCTTGACATTGAGTTTGAGAACGAGGAAGACTGTACGTCCTCTTAAATACACCAGAAAATATACTTATTATATACCAGATGACGAACACGCGCGAGCTCTTGAAGAACAATGGATAGACTCCATGGACAACGTCAACACAGCCTCCATTTCTTCGGCTTCCTCACAGAGTCTCATTCTCCGCGGGATTGTCATTGGATTTTTCTTCCCGATCATACCATTTTTCTTCCTGCGTGAAACGAAGCCCGCAGTTTTCTGGGAAGAGGGTGACCACGAGAGTGGGGAGAGTGTCATATTTTCGTCAGTCTCTTCTATTTATGAATTCCTGTGGCCATCTACTGATCGGTACCCTAGACGGCGCACACAAGTAGGAATCGTTTTTGGATTCTTGGTGAATTTGCTCTTCGGGATGTGGAGATATTTGCTGGACACGTCGTAGGTGCACATGGAATTCTTATCATCGGAACTTGCAGAGGGCCCTCGAAGACATCTACATCGATCAGAATCCACTTATATGGACCTTCTTCAGAGTTAAGTTGCATGTACACTGCAAACATGGTACAACATTCCTATCGATATCATAATTTATCTGTGGATTATTGTCAAGCGGTTACCACACGTTGAGTGACGACCCGATTTCCTCAACTCACCCAACATAATATCTGGCTCCGAGAATGAAGAAGTGAATTTCTTACAGTGGAACAACGTTGATACTATAATTCATAGTTAAGGTTGGCTTGTGAAGGGCGTATTTTTGGTGCCCACAAGTCTAGTGGGGATCAGGCTTTGACATGGCGGTGCGTGACTGATTTCGAAAGTCTTTCTGGCTCTTACAAAGCCCATGCAGATATGGATCTTGGAGTATGTGGGTAGGTTCCACGAGTGATGCCCCCCGAATCATACATACGAATATCGATGTGTGATGCGCAATATGCTCAAGTCACCCCTCTGGGATTTAGTGTCACGGAGTCAATCAATCTGGCACAATATCGTGTGTCAGAACGATGTTTATGCACCTGTCATGCGCATCTGACTAGAGAGATGCACTCCTGAACAGTTTGGTAACATCTCTGCTCTCCCCTAGCCTTGAAACGATATACCCTTACAATTTCCTTTCCATTTAACATGTTTCTAGATCCCGAAGCGTGACTTATTCCATCTATTGGTGATTTATTGTATGTAGGCTGACCACATTCTTCTCTAGGGTCGTGCTGTTGGTATGGATGGTAAAACACGAACGATGTTCCTCGTATGCAATTGGACGGAGAACGTTCGATACCTACCTTAGTGAGTGGCAATGTCGTAGTTGTCCCCTACGAGTCGGAGTCTAGCCTTTCTACGAGCAGCATCGACGCCGAGAAGTAGGTCACGAGGCCACTTCCAAGCCCATATATTGCTATATGCAGTTTGTTTCGGTCACCCCCATGCTGTCTCATTTCGCAAAAGGAGTAATCACCTACGTATGCTTCTCGATAGCCGAAGATAGGTCGTGCGCATTCACCGGTCATCCATTGGAGTCCCTTCTGTCTTGCGTTGCACCAGTTCTACCCCGTGGGACATCCAGAAGTCCTTTGGACGCTTGAAGGCAAAGGTTGATGGCGGGATGGTCGAAACAGGACGATGTAGGGAGCTGGCCCGCAGACTTTGCTGCTTCTTGTCAAGGACATGTACGTTGGCCGTAATCTCTGCACAGGTACGGTCTCGGATCTACGCTATAACGGAAGCGAGGATACGGAACTGATCCACTGCCAAAGTTCCCGTTGTCGATTTACCGGAATACCTTTTTGGCGATGAATTCAGATCGAAGGCGGGTGAGAAGGCCAAGACAGCTTTTCGGCATGCCTACATCAAATTTTCGCATTGGGTGCCCATGGAAGATTTCATCTTGCCGAAAGATTCCAAGCTAATTAATGTTGAGTCGTCGAGGTAAGCTTCTACTCATTGTCGAACAATATCATCTCTTAGATACCGCACAGTGCCAGATGCGACTCCAAAAAGTGGACTTTGCGCGGTGCAATGTTACCCGCTTATCGGAGCTTCCCTGCATCGCTCTCCTTCTTGGACCCGTTTCCTAAGAGGAGGTCAAAGAATTCTAAATCGACCAATATCTGCGTATCTAACCTTCCCACATTTCCATTTTACGTAATGTCGTGGAATCGCTACGTCACGGGGTTTCAGCCATCGCAGACTACTCGGCAAATTTGGAAGTACTGGTATTATACGTTACGCCACGCACAAGATGGAAGGAGTTTCGCACCACGTAGTACCCCGATATGCGGATATCATTCGTGGCCGGGAAACCCGATCTTGAACTCCTCCAAGGCCTAGGAACTCAGTTGCTGTTATTGAGACGGGTATATGACGCGACCCTCGGAATATGATCTTTGCGAAACAACTATGACCCGTTCTAGGGTGAGTTATCTATTTTCTATCACGGTACCTAGGATACTGATACTACTAGTGTCTATTAGGTAGTACATATTTTAGTCCAGGCTGATAAGGACCAGCGCCTGACATCCAGCTGTTACAATATCAGACGCGCGTTCGCGCGTCAATACTGCATGCTGAGCGCTAGCACTGATTAGTGGCTCTTTGAAATAATCCATCACAGCGTTTTTACAAAACTGAATACTCTGATTATGTGGAAGCTAGAGCAGTTCGCTGCATGAAATGATGCTGATAGTTGTTGTACAAGCGAAAAGAGTGATGTAATCTTATCGTGATCAATTAGGTCAACAACTCAACGCGTTGCCGCGTGTTTGATCCCAATATTTTTCTGCCAAAGCTCTAGTGCAGCCTTTGTAAACGACCTTCACGACCATTTAGTATCCTTTGTCTCTTTCTCTCCATAATATATCTGCCAGAGGTCTGTATTTTATCGCTATAGATGAATTTCAACGTCGAAAACGCTAATCTGATCATTATGGATGATGCCGCGCAGATGGATCTTCAATCACTCGCAAATTTGTTCGCGACAACTTACAATCCTGATCCTAATGTACAGAAGACCGGCGAGCTCCAAATACGCAAGGTAATGTCCTGGTTAATCACACTTGCAATCATCGCGCTAATCGTCCCTGCAGATCGGCGCACAGGAGGGCATGCTTACTGCCCTTCTGCAGATCATCGCATCTGAGGGCGTTGAATTGTATGTCTACTTTCAACTTTCACGATACTCACTATAATAATTTCACGACAGAGCCACTCGTCAGGCTTGTAGTGTTTACCTCAAGAATCGCGTCCATACTTCCTATATCCTTCCATCAAATCCGCGCCCGGACCACGTTCCAATTGCTCAGTCAGACCGCGATGCACTAAAAGCTAACATTCTTCCCCTTCTTTCTGCCAGTCCAAGCCGCTCCGTCACCGTCCAGGTCGCAGCGACTCTCAAAGACCTTGTGGCGCATGACTTCCCCGATCGCTGGCCATCTCTTTTGGATGACGTAAAAAGGCTCTTGGGAAGCGGAGATGTGAGAGAAGTAGGAGCTGGTGTCGTAGCCGCACTTGAGTGCGTCAGAGCGTTCAGGTATGTGTTTCATTGTGTCAAATTTCAGATTTACCTAATAGACGCGTAGATTCCGCCAAAAAGCTGACGTCCTGCCAGGCGTTATCGCCAGCCTTTTTCCTACACTCGTCACCATCGCTGATGGCATGCTCAATACATCCCCGTCCCAACCCGCATCCCAGGAGATCCCTGCCATGCTGCACCTCATTCTCAAGACGTACAAAACTGCAATCATCGTCAACCTTTCTCCACACCAGCAGAGCCCTGAATCACTCGTCCCCTGGGGAAGACTCTTGTTTCGCGTCGTGGAGATGATTGTCCCTGTGGAAGGCGTTCCAACCGACGAGGAAGATCGGGAGAGATGTGAATGGTGGAAGGCCAAGAAGTGGGCGTATGGAATCCTCGGTCGACTGTTCCACCGGTGTGTGGTTTATCCAGATGTCACATATGTTTCTAATGGTATTGTAGCTTCGGTAATCCCTCTCAACTCCCATCACCAATGCAGAAGGAGTATGGCGTATTTGCACAGCATTTCGTGACTACCTTCGCTCCGGAAATTTTCAAAGTGTACCTTCACCAAGTCGAGCTATACGTTTCGGGGCAGTCGTGGCTGGGCAAGAAATGTCAATACCAAATCTTCCAGTTTTTCACAGAATGGCTCGTATCCACCCTCGATTCCTCGGATTATGCTGACGCGTTTACCTACAGTATCAAGCCGAAGTCGACGTGGATACTCCTGAAGCCCCATGTCGACAGCCTCGTGGCTAACTTTGCATTCCCCCAGCTCGCTTTCAACGCGTCCAAACAAGCTATGTGGGAGGCAGATCCCGTAGAATACGTCCGTGCTAGTGTTGGTGAGTTCATTTGGTCTCTCTCTCCTGTTTTCCGTATCAGTATCTCACATGGTAAAGACGAGTACGAGAACTTCTCGTCCCCCGTGAGTGGCGCCACCTCGTTCCTCCTCTCCCTCGCAAGCAACCGCACAAAAACGTCCTTCCTCCCGATGCTCCAGTTCATCAACACTGTATTGCGCTCGTGAGTCCCTGTCACTTCTACTACATCCATCAACTCACAAGGATACGATATAGAAATCCAACACCAGCTCAGCGCTTCGGCGCCCTTACAATGATGTCTGTCCTCGGCCCCTTCATCGTCCGCCATCCCGATGTCAAGGGAAGCATCGAGCAGTTCATGGTACAGTACGTCCTGCCCGAGTTTACCTCGCAGGAGCCGTACTTACGGAGTGTCGTATGTCTATTTATTTCCCTCAACCTTCTTGAACTGATGCCGTTCAGGCATGTGAGGTGCTTGGCGTAGTGACCAAGGCTGGTATCACATGGGTTTCTGAAGAGGTAGGCATCTCTACTATAAGTGTTCTCGTTACTAACATCGATCTTGCATAGAACTTGAACAACCACTCCCGTGCTGTGGCGTTGTCTCTGGATGATTGCGAACTCCCAGTACGTGTGCAAGCTGCGCTGGCCATCACCGAGCTGGTTGTCATCCACGACTCTGGTACGTTAAAATTTTTCTTCTTCCGCTTGTCCTGTGTCCAATCTAAATTGGATTCTTTAGTCAGAGATGCTGTCTCTCCCCAAGTAGGCAAGGTCGTGCAAGGTGTGTCTCGTGTCCAAACCTGCTGATACATTCATTGATTTTGATGGTGGCTGTTGCAGATCTTCTCAAGCTCTCCGATGAGACGGACCTCGATATCCTCAATCACAGCATGGAAGCTATGGTTGACCGGTTCCAAAACGAGCTCATGCCCGTGGCTTCGCAGCTCACCGCACGCCTGGTGGGTGCCTTGTCTTCTAGTTACTACTATGATACGCTAACGGCATGTATGTAGTGCGAATCCTACTTACGCCTTGCAAGAGAGGGTCTGGCACAGCAGAACGAAGCGATCCCGGACAGCATCGACGTGGAATCACTCGTTTCGGATGCCGATGACGATAAAGTATACGGCGCTATGGGAGTCGCCAAAACTATCGGGACTGTGCGCGTACTCTTACCATTATGTTTGTTCAACCCGTCTGATAAAGCTGCGCAGGTTGTTTCGTGCATTGACTCGTCGCCCGAGATTCTGTCGCAGGTGCAGGAAGTGATTATACCCATCATCCGGTTCACCCTTGAGAATAAGTTGATCGGTGCGTCTGTTCTTTTTTCCCTCGAAGAACATCGCTGATATTAGCGTTTGTAGATTTGTTTGATAATATGTATG